ATGACCTTTAAAAAATTAAAAATATTTATTTTTATTATTTAATAAAAGTTTAATTGAATAAATTTATTACATTTAATTAATAAATTTTTATAAATAAAAATTAAAACTTTTATTTTAATTTATTTATAGTTTAATTTAAAAATATTTTAATTATAATTTATTTTTAGTTTTATTTTTATTTATTTATTATAAATAATAATTCTTTTAAAAATTTATTAATTATTAAAATATTTTTATTATAAATATTTTAATTATATTAATTTTAATAATTTTTAATTAAAATTTATTAATTTATTAATATTATAATTAATTATTTTTATTTATAATTATATTTATAATTAAACTATTTTATAAAATTATTTATTAATTTATTAAAATTATATTTTATCATTTATTTAATTTCTTTTTTCTTTCTTTTTTATAATAATAATATATAAAATCTATTTAATAATTCTTATTATTTAAAATTAAAAGTTTATTTATTTAAATAATAATTATAATATTATTAAAACTTTATTTAATATAGTTTTAAATTATATAAAAGAATTAATAAAAAGTAAAAGAATTATTTTAAATTATTTATATTAAATATTTTTATTATTTTAATAATAATAAGAATTATTTTATTTTTAATTATAAAATAAATTATTATTTTCTTTAAAAGTTTAATATAGAAATTCCTTTATAAAAATTATTATATTTTAAAATTATAGTAGGTATAATAGGGTATAGCTATACCTATATATAGATAGATAAATAGAGTATAGGGAGGTGGCTAGCTAGTTGCTAGCTGATATTAGTTAATAGGTATATAGGCTATATTTTTAAGCTTACTTTAAAGACTATAAGTAGACCTTCTAGCTATTAAACCTTCCTTCTATCTATATATAAATATAATATAGTTATATTCTAACTTATATATTATAAAAATTATATTTTTTTAATAATATTAATTAATTATTAAATAAAAAAATAATTTTAAAAAAATATTTATTAAATTAAACTTTATTAATAATTTTAAATAAAAATTAAATTTTTAATAATAAATTAATAACTTTAAATTATATAATTAAATATTAAAAGAATTTAATTAATAATAAATTAATAATTTAAAATAATATAATTAAATATTTAAATAAATTAATTATATTTTAAAGGTAATTATAATACTTTTAAAATAAATTAAAAATATATTTTAATAAAAATTATTTTATATATTATTTTAATATTAAATTATAATTTTATTATTAATAAAACTTTTATTTATAAAGTTTTATTTATAAAACTTTTATTAAATAATTTTTAAATTTATAAAGAATATAATAAAATTTCTTTATTATAATTTATTTTATTTAATTATATATATTTAAATAATTATAAATATTATTAATTATTAATTTCTTTATTATTATCTTTTTATAATTTAATAAAATAAATTAATAAAAATATTTCTTTTTCTATATATTTATTAATATTATTTTAATTTATTTAATAGTTTAATTTTATTATTAATTATAAAGTTATATAATAAATAAATTTTAATTTTATATTAATTAATAATAAATTTATTAATTATATAGTTTTATAATAAACTTTTAAAATATATTATTTATATTATAAAAGAATTATATAAAATTAAAATATAAAATTAATAATAATAAAAGTAATTATTAAAGTAATTATTAAAATAATTATTAAAATAATTATTAAAATAATTAATTAAACTTTTAATTAAACTATTAATTAATTATTAATAAACTTATTATTATTATTAAATTAATTATTAAAATAAAATCAATTATTAAAATTAAAAGAATTAATTAAATAATATAAAAATAATAGTTTTTATAATTTTAATTATTTAAAAATAAAAGTTTATATATATTTATAAATAATTAATAGTTATTTATTAACTAATAAAAGTTATAAAATTAAGTTTTAATTTATTAATTATTAATTATTAATTATTATATTTATTATAAAATTAAAATTTAAATAAATTAAATAAATTATAAAATATTAATTTAAAATACTTTAAGAATATTTATATTAATTAAATTAAAATTATATACTTAAAAGTAATTTTAAATAAATTAATATTTTAATTAAAAATAATTTTATTAATAAATAAAGTTTTTAATTAATTAAAAATAATAAAATAATATAATATTTTATTATTATTTAATATTTATAATAAATATAAAGGAATATAAATAAATTAATTAAATTTAAATTTAATTATTAAATTAATTAATAATTTTTAATTAAAATTAAAGTTTTTACTATAATTTATTTATAATTTAATTTAAAAATACTTTAATTATATTTTAATTTTGATTTTACTTTTATTTATTTATTATAATATTTAATTATTTTTTTAATAAAAGTTAAAAGTTTATAATTATAATTTTTAATTAATTTTTATTTAATTATTTTATTTTATTATAATTTAATTTAATTTAATTTTAATTTCTTTATATTTAATAAAATTAATACTTTATTTTTTAAACTTAAATTTAAAGTTTTATAAATTTTAATATACTTTAAATTTAATTTATAAAATTTTATTTTTAAAAATATATTAAATATTTTTAATATTAATATTTATTTTTAATTATTAAAATTATAAATTAAAATATTATATATAATAATAAAATATTATTATTTTATTTAAAATTTATATTTTAATTAATATAATAAATTTAATAATTATTTTTAAATACTTTTATTTATAAAGTTAATAAATAAATATTTATATAAATAAAGTTAAACTTTTAAATAAAAAATAATAACTTTATTTTTATTTATTATAATTAATTAATATTTAAATAATTTAAATTATATAATAAATTTAATATTTTATAAAATAATTTTATTAATATTAAATTAATATATAATTTATAATAATATTATTAAATTAATAATATTAATTTAAATGAATAAAATTTAATATTTAATATATAAAATATATTTTATAATAAATAATATTATAAATAATTATAAAATTATTATAAAGTTTTATATAATAAATTTAATTAAATTAACTTTTAAAGAATATATTTTATTTTATTTTATTTTAAAACTTTAATAATTAATTTTAGTTTAATAATAAAGTTTAAAAATATAAATAATTTATAATAATAATTTAATATAATAAATCTAAATAATATTAATATTTTTAAAATATTTCTTTTATTTATTTAATTTATTTAATTTATTTAATTTATTTAATTTATTTAATTTATTTAATTTATTTAATTTATTTAATTTATTTAATTTATTTAATTTATTTAATTTATTTAATTTATTTAATTTATTTAATTTATTTAATTTATTTAATTTATTTAATTTATTTAATTTATTTAATTTATTTAATTTATTTAATTTATTTAATTTATTTAATTTATTTAATTTATTTAATTTATTTAATTTATTTAATTTATTTAATTTATTTAATTTATTTAATTTATTTAATTTATTTAATTTATTTAATTTATTTAATTTATTTAATTTATTTAATTTATTTAATTTATTTAATTTATTTAATTCATTTAATTTATTTAATTTATTTAATTTATTTAATTCATTTAATTTATTTAATTTATTTAATTTATTTAATTTATTTAATTTATTTAATTTATTTAATTTATTTAATTTATTTAATTTATTTAACTTATTTAACTTATTTAACTTATTTAACTTATTTAACTTATTTAACTTATTTAACTTATTTAACTTATTTAACTTATTTAACTTATTTAACTTATTTAACTTATTTAACTTATTTAACTTATTTACTTTATTTACTTTATTTACTTTATTTACTTTATTTACTTTATTTACTTTATTTACTTTATTTACTTTATTTACTTTATTTACTTTATTTACTTTATTTACTTTATTTACTTTACTTACTTTACTTACTTTACTTACTTTACTTACTTTACTTACTTTACTTAATTTACTTAATTTACTTAATTTATTTAATTTACTTAATTTATTTAATTTACTTAATTTACTTTAAATATTTTTATAAATATTTTTAGAGACTTATTATTTCTAATTTACTATAGCTATATAGCGAACACTCAACAAAGCTCGTATTATATATATTTTTAAATACATATATTATAAAAGTAAAACTATTAGTAATAATACGGTATTTATATATTATTAGAATTATTAATTTATAAATTAATTATTATAATCTTTTAATAGGATAGTTTAAAGTATATAATCTAGTAATTATACTTTTAATTATAGTATTTATATTAATATAAAGATAAAAGTTATTATAAAAGATTAAAAGTATTTATATTTATTATAAGTTAATATATTTTATAATATATAACTTTATTAATATAAATATTATTTTTAAATATTCTTTAACTTATTATTAAATATTTTATTTTTAATTATTATATTTAATTCTTTTAAAATAAATCTTTTAATTATTATAATAATTTTATTAAAAGAATTATAAAACTTAATAATATTTATTTATTATTTATAATATTTAATATTAATTAATTCTATATTTATTTTATATTTAAAAGTTTTTAAATAAATTAAAATTAATATTCTTTAAAATATTTTAATTATTTTATTATATATAAATAACGATAACTTTCTATTTTTAACTTCATTAATATATAAATAGATAGTTAATACTTAAAAGTATATAAAGTAAAAGAAGTATTAAAAGGTAAAAGTAAAGAAATTTATATTTAAAGTATTAAAAATTAATAAAAAAGATTATTCTATAGAGTCTTCTAATACTAACTTAATAAGTACTTATAAATATAAGGAAGTTACTAAGAAAAATAGGTACTAGGTATATTAACGGAAAATAGTGGGTATGTGGACGGAAACGCTGGGTGTATGGACGCTGGCTCTGAGATTGAGTCTTCCACTCTGAAGCTTGGCATATTTTCACACCATCAGAAAGATAAATCGAAAACTGAGATCCACCCAGGAAACATGGAAATCAGAACAACCACCTACACAGTGCTACTCTCATGTGGTGATTCGTTGCCTCCAGCCCCCTCGATTTGTTTCGAGGAGCTCTTCTCCTCAAATCCAAAGTCCGTTACTAACTCTTTGCGAAGCTTGACCCTCCGCTCAAACAGTGCTGCCAGTGTAGACACGCTTGGGAATGCCATACAAACTAGCCACATGAGCTTCAAGGAGTCCACGTACGCACCCACTATTTGTTCTTTGGTTTCGCCTTGGATCTGGTTCAAGAACGCCGCTGTGCCATGTTCGTAGGCCCTTCCGCCCGTCAGAGCTTTACGGTAGATAGGATCATCCACGCCCCCAGCTAGTTGCTCTATACGATTGTTGAAAATGGCCGCCGGGATACTGACGCCCCAAATCATACCTATTCCGCGTAAAAGTGCCCAGGCCGCCGTACTAGAAGCTGTTTCCTCTTCCGATAATTCGGCCTGGACTGCGGGCAACAGTGCTGGAAACACAGTGCCAAGACCAGCTGCAATGAGCATTAAAAACCCCACCCACATTCCTGTTGTTGAGTGCTGATCCAACAATGAGCAGCAGCCGACGCCGATGCTAAGAATGCTTAATCCAAACAGTTGAATGAATTTGTACTGGCCTGTCTTAGCAGTAATCACACCACTCAGCGATGCGAAGACAGGCCAGGTGAGGACGAGGACCAGCAGGTTCAAGCCAGACTGGCCCGGCGAAGTGCCCAAAACAGACTGGAAAAACAGAGGAAAGAAGTAGATGACCCAAACAACCACTATGGCATGGTTGAAGGTAATGAAGAATGTGATGCTGGAAGTCCGGTTTTGGAAGAGGATCGGCGGCACGGAGGGATAGGAACATCGTGGTGAGTGCTCATAGACGACGAAAGCAAGTAGTAGCACCAATCCCACAGCAAGCAATGCAATGATGCGCGGGTCGGACCACTGGTATATAAAGCCAGCATAAGACAAGGCATATAGAACCAGTACTGTTGAAGCAACGAGTATCAGGGTCCCTGCATAATCAATGCGGCGTAGACTTGTCTGCCAGGGCATGCTGGCACGGTGGGAAACACGAAGGTACACATAGATAATGGCGAGGGAAATGGCGCCGATGGGGACATTAAAATAAAACGCGAAACGCCAATGCCCAGCACCGGCAAGAGCTCCGCCGATCAGGGGTCCGAAGCATGATGACACGCCGACGAGGGCAAACAGCAGTCCAGCGATGCGACTGCGTTCGCTCAAGGGGACGAGGTCGCAGATGATAAGATTCGCCAGCATGATGATACCACCGCCGCCAACTGCAAAGTCCAGAATCAGCTGTTAGATCGCCATAAATACATAATCTCAGACAGAGCAGTTTCGAACCATCTCTGCCGAGAGCCCGTTTCAAGAAGGGAACTCTCATTAGACCATGACAAACCGTCCAGTGTTAGGCAGGAGGTGGCCCCCACGAGTTTGCATACAATTCAGACAGGTAAGATAAAATTTAAACACACTTACCGCCCTGGATGCCGCGGCCAATGATCAGCATGGCCGTGTTCTGTGCGGCACCACATATCGCGCTGGCGGCCATAAACACGAAGATCGCCAGCAGGATGATCTTGCGTCGTCCCCACAGATCGGCAAACTGGCCGTAAAGAGGCTGGAAGATGGCGCTGGCGGCGGAGTCTGTTAGCCAAGTCCAATCGCATGGAACAGAAAGAGCCCGGAGGGCCGCAAGGAAATAACTCGCCTTGTGAGAAAGTAGATGTTGGTCACCCAGATGTAGGCATTGCCAGTGCCTAGGTCAGCTGAAATTGTAGGCAAAGCAGTCGCGACGATAGTGCTTTCGATCGAGACGAGAATAGACGCGAGACTGAGTCCGGCAAAAATGAGCCAAAAGCGCCAATCCCGTGCACGGCTGCTATTGGCGCCACCCGCCCTCGAATCGTTTCCACGAGGAGGCATCTTAGACATGAAAAGCCAGCGCGGAACAGAGAAAATCCAGCAACCGTGTGTTCGACGAAAATCGGACTGTTCCATGTTCATTACTTGTTAATAGTTGGTGTATTTCCGTGATGAAAGAGGAACAAGTGGGCTAGTCTGGGTTGGATTCCAAACAGTTAGGTCTGCGGCAGGAATTTTAAAAGGTAGAAATGAACGAACTAGCGGTGAGGATCTAGGTCTCTTCCTTAAGGGTTAATTATACTACTAAGTAACACCTTCTAAGTAGATAATTAAGTTTAATAACTCTAACTTAATTTTATATATACTCTTTTAAATATAAATAATAAATAATATATATAAAAGTATTTTAAATTATAAATTAAATTTTTTATTTTTAAATTAAAACTTTTTATTAAATATTATATTTAATTATTTATATAAATAATATTATATAAAAATATAATATTTAAAAAAATATTTTATTATTTTTTAAAAAAAGTTTATTATATAAATAATATTAATATTAACTTTACTTTTTTAATTAATAACTTTATTAAGTTATTTAATTAATTAATTTATTTTAAATTATTAGTTTTTATATAAAGTTTTTATAATATATAGAATAGGTTTTAAGGTTGTATAGATTAGGCTTGGAGTAAACTCTGAGTAAAAGGCCCGCGAGTTCCCCGAATCCGCGCTCGCTTCGGCGTTGGTCATGTCAACCCGTGGAACTAAGTATTCCACCTTACAAACGGCTGATAAACGGCTGATACTCCATATAATATCAAATCTTGTGTTTGCGATAGGCGAATTAACCACCTCTAAACCAGGCTCTCTAAGAAAGATTGTTTCTATTTAATGACATCTACGATATGCCTCGTGTCCAGTCTTGGCGTCGCGGACGGCATGGTCGTCTGATCCACAACGCCTTCCGCCCACCCATCCTAACTATCCATCCAACCCGATGCAGCCAGGAACCAAACATAGTAATAGCAGGGTGACCGGGGTACTACTCCACATTCTTTTCCAACAATCCAGGTCACTCATTCAAAAGCTTGACTGATCTGGACACTCCTCACCACGGGCTCAGATAGTTACAATCACTCTGCCATCCCCAGTGACATATGGGCCGAGGTTGTATCTTGTGGTCGTGAGGCTAAAATAATAATACCTTAGTACGAGCCAACCTTGTTCGTTAGTGAGGTTACTTACCACCAAGTATGATACCCAGTAACAAGACATCGCAAGCTATCAAGATATCTGTTGATATCGCCGCGTTGCTCAGGCGGGAATCGGCCCAGGATTTCGGCAGCTTTGCAGTCAAAGCGAGTCTTGCATCCTATGGTCAGACCAACAATCTCCTTGACGGCTTCATCCAAGTTTCCGCCTTTGTCCAGGCATAGCGTTACCAGACTCGCGTTATTCCCGGAGTACTGTTTGTGCGCATTGTCAGCCTTGATTGAGAAGCATGTCTCCCCGAGGGTCTGATGCACGAAGCCGTCGTATTTACCATCTCATTTTTGAAAGAGTAAAGATCGTTGATGCTGCCAAAGTGTCAGATATGAGACAACGAGCCGACCAATACGGGGCTTACAATATCATAAGATCCCGGATCTCCGCCCAAAGCTGGACTAGCTCCGAAATCGGGAGCACGTCCGTGTCAGGAAGTCGGACGCCCGAGGCATATCTGCAGGAAGAATAACGCATGAACTTTAGCAAAGTACCGGGGAAGAGCCAAGATCAATCTTGGAACTTACTCGGTCGCAGAGCAAATTGTGTACATGCAGACCGTGCCTCGTCGTAGAGCCATGTAGTTTTCGAACGAGCGAATCTTACCCTTGTGCGAGTCTATCTGTTCTTGAACTAGAGAACGAAGGTAGAACCTGAAGTCTTCGAGAAAGAATAGCCGTTTTTCTTGGAGACGAAGTCAGCAGTCTTGTCTAGGGACCAATAACACTTGAATGCGCCAAGTTACCTTCACAAAGAGCACAGCGTAGAGCCTGACCAACGTCATGAAATAAACCAACGAAATCATCAATTCCACCCTCGGGCTCCTGGTAGTCGTCATTGACTCCCAGAGTGTAGGCCGCATAGTCCAATGCCTGTTGTGTGAGGGCACTGAACTGTCCGGCGTCCTCGAAAAGCTCACCATCCTTGTGGTCCACCTTGTCGTCGAAGAAAAACAGCCAAGCTGTGAGAAATGTCATGATACACAGAGGAGCGAAATCCGCATTCATGTACATTCTGGCCTCCAGTTAGTAAATGAGAGGTCACCCAGGGCTTTTCTGGGAAAGTGTGGGGGGGGGGCTGTTGTGCACCCTGCGCCGCATAATGCATAATCATCCATCTCCAGCTTCTTGAGCTTCTTTGGGTTGGACATCATCCTGGAGAGAAATTATTATTGCTCGATTCAGTGAAACACAAGATGGGTAGGTTGGTCCTACAACTTGAAGTTGTTTACCAGAACTGGTTTCAGCATCTCATACCCACTGTTGGTATTCCTGGCCCAGTCTTGAAAGATGTCATTGAAACTGGGAATAATCATCTGCTGGCCTTTTAGAGATGCAGCCAAAGAAGGTTTGTGATCATCCGCTTTCTGTGTCAGCGGCTGCATTAGGATAGGCTTGGGCGTGTCCACAGTAGGATAGATGGAGATGTGGCCTTCTTCTCCAGGTCCGAAAGCCTCCATCATAGAACTAACAGTTGCTGCCATCGTTGCTATTGCAGCCGTATACACTGATTAGGTGGTGATAAAGTGGCGCAAATGCAGGTATATATAAGAGGCGAGGCTCGAGGCTCGATTTAGCAGAAGCAAAGATCTGTTTACTCCCGATCCGATAAAGTTTTAAGAGTAGAGAGTTTTAAGGCTATGAATCTTATATTTATTATAGAAATTATATCCTTAAGTAAGTAGTTTATAAATAATATATATAATTATACTTATTTATTATAAAGGTTATTATTTGATTATTATAAAAAGTAATATTATTATTATAAACCTTTTAAAATTTTAAAAAGTAATTTAATTAATTTTTAATTTATATATATTTTTAAAGTAGAAATATTAATATTTCGTTTTATAATATATTTTATAATTATTATATATAATATTATTATATATTATTAGTATTTTAAAGTATAGATCCTTTAAATATATATAATTATACTTATTTAATTAAAGAATTACGTATTAATATTATTAAATATCTTTAATATAAATTTCATCTAACGATTTAAATAGCTTCATACATTTAATTTTAGTAAGGGATGAAGTTGATAACCCGTGCGCGTCCCGAGTGGCCTAAAAGGGCAAGTCCGAGAACGCCCGTAGACTAGTAACCTTGCTAATACAACCACCGCAATTCCCATTCTCTGTAGATTTCCGAGCAACCTTGTTCTCAAAGTCCCTTACACCCTGTGGGGATCAATCAGCCACGCTTTGACTATTTAGTTTGGATCTAAGATTCTTGTTACAACGCAAGAAAGTCAATCGGACGTGCTAAGGCGGAGAGATCCGCCTAGCGTAGACGCGGACTTCGTAATAATGATGCCACATCTTCTAGCAGGAAGCTTAGAAGAGAAGATCTAAATGTTATGCGAGATCTCAGAAAATTTCAGGGGCGTTTCCGGCGGCGCCTCAATGCCCCTGCAGACATGGTGAGGGTGAGCCTTCACGGACCGAAAGTTAGGGGTCGGTGCCACATGAGGCTCCGAAGTTCTTGACTTGAAATCACAGCCAACCAACGTTACCTGTCTCACAAGATGAATGTACTACACCTCCGCAGGGGAACCAAACCTTCAAGCAGGTTCTATTCTCTGTCATGGGTTGGCTGCACATACAAGGTCGCGCTTCGACGAACTTTCTCACAAAAGCCACTTGTGGTGGTGAGCTCTAGAGGTCACCGAACAGCGTTTTGTGTAGTATCCGGCTTCCTTTCAGGATTCTTCCGCGGCAAACCCCAAGATACCCCGATTCGGGGCAGGAAAGTCTGTTGTTTTTCCTCTGAAGCAAACTCTACTTAGTCCCAGCCCTTCGGCAGTCAATGTCGGTACACCCGACTTTTTCGGTTGGCCGACCCCGTACAACATCCCCTGAAAAGGATACTAGAGCCTACAAGTATCCCCTCCTAGACAGGGATAAAAAGCCACCTCGCTTCAAGATTGCCTTACTCTGGGCCCGCGAAGAGGCACTCTATAGTAGGGAAATAGAGAGCCTTTTAAATGAGGTACAAAGCTTTAGGCTGGGCAGCAGGCTTGGTTGATTGTATCATGTGGGTGGACGCAAAAGGCTGTTTGGCTGCTTTCCAAGGTTCTAATTATTACTCGAGTAACTGGTTCCCGAACTAGCTTTCTCCATACTTTCTGTCCCCCACTTTCCGTCCCCTTCTTTCCGTCCCCCATTTTCCGTCTCTCATAAGCTGCAATAGTGTCATCATCACTAGGATAAGGGAAGGGGTCTTATTGGCTTGGGAAACAAAGGAAGGCTATTGTTTAGTTATCTCTTGTTTTGCGAGTATCTTGTTTTTGTAATGCTTGCATGCTGCTCACCCGCCTCGTATCACTGCTCACTCAGCATGGAGCTAACTTATCTATGAATCAAAAAAATGCTAGGAGTGTGCGTGGTAGAGGACTTTCACGGATTCTTACAGCCTGACACTTCCACACAGTATTTGCAAGAGTCCTGAATACAGCGAGATCCGCGCCTTCAAGGGAGGCACCATGACGACAAGGTGGTAGTTAAGTTCACCACACCAAGCACAGAGCTGGCAAAAGTAGTCAAAATGATGGAAGCTTATCAGTCCGCAATCTGTTTACGAAAGACCTAACCTCAATCCCATTCATCACCACAGAATCTCATTCATGGCCAGAATCTCCATAAACACAGTCTTTGCATCTCATACTGACATGAAAAAAAAAACTTCCAAAATTTCACACATGAACAAGGGGTGGTGAGATTTGAGCTCGCCTTTCCAATACCACTTTTAGTTCTCGTATGAAAACGAGGAACCTGGATTAAGTTTAAGCAATTGTGCCATCCAAAGATGCATGAGGTTTCACTCACCCATATTCCTCGTACACTTTATCTCCATCCACCTGGGTCAAGTTGTAACGGAGGAGTAGCCAGGGGATCATCTCAAAGGCTGTCAGTCATGAACATAATAACCTCGCTGGTGCCGACAGCGCTTACCTTGGACATTTCCAGCCAGCTCAAATCTAGAAGCGGTTTCGTGCGTCAGGACACATGGACAGATCTGGGAACAGGAGTCTGGAGTAGCTTACTTCTGCCTATGCATGTTCGAGACCCGCCGCCAAAGCTGACTTAATTAGTCCGGCCCATAGGCCGGACCTATGTTAGCAACATCTCGTTAAATAGCGATTTGGTAGCTCACAGAAGAAACTCTCTGTTTTACAAGTCATTTGTCAGCGGGTCTGGAACCTTTCATCTAGGAATAAGGTGTGACGTGGTCAGGAGACCGGTGCTCTACTCACTCAGTGCGGAAACGTTCTCTTTGGAATCAAGCCATCTCTCGGGCCTGAATTCGTTCGCATCGGGGCCCCAAACCTGTGGCAGCCGGTTGATAATGTATGCACTTGAGCCTACAATCGTCTATGGCGAATTCGTCAGCAATTTCTCTTGTAATCTCGTTCAATTTAGTCGGAATAGGGAACGAGAGATAAAAAAGAAAAGAAGAAGCGACTTAGCCAAGCGTGACTTACTCCTTCCGGGGCGAAGCGGCCGTCAACATCCATACCACCCTCCGGCACAACCCTAGCCAACGGGGAGCCGATGGCTGGGTACAGACGGACACCCTCGTACATCGCAGCTTGTAGATAGGGACATTCCAAGGTCTCTTCATACGTAGGGGGGTCGCTGAGTTCCCCCCTAGCCTTCTTTCCCTCCAGCTCCTCCATCAGGCATCTCATCTTGTCGGGATTGCGGAGCAGGTGCAGCATGGTGCCCCGAAGGGAGGTTGAGGTGGTGTCTGAGCCGGCGAAGATGTTCGTGCTCATCATGTACTTGATGTTCTTGTCGTTCAACTCGGGTTTGGTCCGCTGCACGTCAACAAGCAAGCCTACCATGTCCTTCTCGGTCCGTCCCCTCTGCTTCCACGACTCTACCTCTTCCTCTGACATGTCGAAGAATTTCCCGTGGCGGTCGTTCAGACCTACCCAGTTGCCAATTATGGGAATCAGCGCATTGTGGATGTTCAGCAGCCATGGCGCATGCTGCAGCCAGCCGATCGAGGCGATCGACCGTTGCAATCGGGCCAAGATACCGTGGTCCGCTCCTGTGTCCACAAAGCCAAAGGTTCTCGAGAAGCTAACCGCTCCGACAACATCTGTCCTTCTCATTAATCAAGTAGACCTTTGGGGTTGAATCCTGCAGAACCTCGCTTGGGCTCAAGTTTAGGGGGGTGGGGTGGGGGTGTTAACAAACTGACCGAACGCGAAAGCCTGCATCCACCAACCCAGATCGATAACCTCGTTTTCAAGCTCATCAAATTTTTTCTGCAAAGAAAGAATGACTGAATCCACTGAGGGCTGTAGCGAGCGAATTGTGTCCATTGTATAGGCCCGAGCGACCAGCCTGCGTTGGGCTCCATGCACAACCGTATTTGTCTCTGTCGACAAGTCAAAAGTCCGGTGACCCTTGATGACTGAGTATGCTGGAGACTTCACGAACAGGTTGGACTTTGCAGCTCCTGCTAGGTATTAGAATACAGAACCAGAAGATCTGGGGCCAAGGGCTTCCGATACCGTAAATCTCCTTGTGAGCTTTCGGGTCTGCGATGCTTCTTTAGATTTCGTCAGCGGGGGCCAGTGGAAACGAGGAAAAGAAGACGCCTAATTTCTCACATCTCATTCGGTGCAAGTCGTACAGCCGCTCCGTACTTTGCATGCATTGCTATCAGTTCTTGGTGCCAAAGGCTGTTCTTCGCCTTGTAGGCATACCAGCCTCTGGATAGCTTGGCCAGGAAAGGTCCGGGGAAATGGGCCAAAGGATGATAGAAGCATTGGTATACAATGTATGCGCAGGCTGCCATCAGTGTGGTCAAAAAGACCGCACCAAATGCTACTTCGGGCGAGGTAAAGCCCTGTGTCAATTCCACGGATGGTAAGTGCATCTTGAACAATTGGATAAGGGAGTATGGCAACAATGCTGAAGAATATTTCTCAAATCTACAAAATATTGACGACTCGTGGCTTAATCGAATAAGCAGAAACGTGAGCAGACAGTTGGGGAAGAAAAACCAGTTGTGACCGTCAGGGGACATTTCGACACGAAAGAGGTTCTCAGCATATTTGCGGATGGGTTTATCATCTGCCAAGAAGCACTAGAATAAAAAGGTTGTAAGGTGAAAGTCTATAGATCGACCGATGAGATCTGGCATGAGAGTTTTCGCAACCGGTTTATCCGTTGGCGCTGGCGTGTAAACCAGGCCTGATTTACACTCCTCCGGACCTGCGCTTCAAGTTGGCGATGTCACCCTGCCAAAACACTTCACCCTGGTGTCGCAAGTCTGATTGCCTGGTTGACAGGCGATTTACCCACATTTTACGCTCATGTCCTCGGACCCAACCTCAGGGCAAAGGTCTTGTAAACGAAGTTGTGAGGGGTAGGTGACATCTCCAAGCGCGGGGCCCGATGAATGTACTGTACTGGTTGATGGTGCCGCTCACTTGGGTTCCAAGGTTAGGAAGAAGACGACAAGATCAAAGTCTATGCATGCGGCGAGCTTCTCTCATACATCTAGGCAAAAGTTTATCCATGTGAGGAGCTTCTCTCATACATCTGGGCCGAAGTTTATCGATGTGACCAGCTTCTCTCGTACGTGTAGTCTTAGAACACAAGAATAACAGTAATCTAGCTAGCAGAATCGGTAATTACTAACACTAGAATAGGATGATGTATACCTCTTACTCCTATAATTTTTAAAATAACTATATCTTAAGTATTTTATATATAAATAATAATAATAAGTCTATAAAGTAGAAGTTAATAAAGAAACACTTAAAAACTTTCACTTTTTAATTATAAAAAATAATAAATATAAAGTTTAAACTAAAGAATATAATTTTAATTAAGTAATATTAAAGTTAGAAATATATAATAAAGTATAAGTTAAACTTTTAAAAACTATATAATAAGACTATTATTTTTCAAATTTAATATATAGCTTTAAATATATTAAAGTAAATATTAATAATTAAATCTATTATAATACTAAGTTTTATTAATATATATATTATTATTATAAAATAGGATGTTAGGATATATCTCTATGGTTGTACCTTTGCCGCTTTACGGTTTTCTTTACGGTGTTAGTCTCGATCAGCGTTAACACCGACATCACCTGAACGTACGAAACCATTAATAATCATCATACAGGTCACTGGATTCCACTGAGAGTTCTTCCTATGACAGACTTGCAAGCACCGTGGAAACATTCTGCAGGCCAGGGATTCTCTGCAACATGACGTTCTTACTAGCTGTACACCAGCAATTGCAGGCATTCTCGCCATGGGCACTGACATCAGTCTTTCTGGGTTTACTGGTCATTGCATATTTGGTGCGCGACTTTGTCACGTGGTGGCGCCTACGGCACATTCCAGGGCCCTTCCTCAACTCGATCTCAACGTTGGTCTTGATGAGACAGATATTCAACCAGAAGTCAGCCTTTTACTTCACTGAACTTTCGGATCAATACGGTATGATTCCCGTCTTACACAAAAAATCACACAATGGAGCCAGCAATTTGTGCAAGGGACGGGACTCGCCCCTGTTAGGTGTAAACACAGAAGCTCACATAGAACACAGGACCTCTAGTACACGTCTCTCCCAGAGAAGTCATGATCACCGACCATGACGCATTCCGCTACATCAACGGACTCCGAAGCGAGTTTAAGCGAGGTCCATTTTTCACTGCATTCAGGTTCATTCCCAACAGAGATAACATCTTCAGCATCCAAAATGATGCGTACCATAAAACCCACCGTGCAAGGTTGGCCCCGGGGGTTAGTTACCAGCCTTCTGCGATCGCATCAACGTTTTAGACCCATCCCGAGGGGCCCCGTGAGATGTATAGCTGACATTTTTGCCAGTATGTTGGCCGCGAGAACGATGGCTATGATGTCTACATAGACAGGCAGCTCACGCGGCTTTGGGATCTCATTGAGAGGAAGTATGTCGCGACTCTCGCTGAAAGCAGCCGCGTGATGGACCTGAACGCCATTTCGCACTATTTTCCTCTAGATGTGATTGGCGACGTCGCAATGGGACAGCACTTCGGCTATCTGGACGAGGGAGAGGACCTCTACCGCTTCGTCACGGTCAACGGGAAGTTTTTCATCTACGCCGTCACACTGGCCTGCCAGCCGTGGATGATTAGTCTTCTCCAGAAATGGCCGCTCAGGCTGCTCATGCCCAGCGATGCCGATGTCTACGGCTTTGGCAGGATCATCAGGTGCGCTTTAGACCCCTTCATGAGCCTCGAGGCAGAGCCGGGGGCGGGCTTTTGCGTCATGAGCTGACCAGGGGTCCAGCGTTTCGACCGAAATAATCGACCAGCGTCTACAGCCGTGGGCCGAGCCCAAAAGGGATATGCTCCAAGCCTTCATCAAGGCCGGCCTGACCCGCGACGAGCTGATCCAAGAGTCCATAGTACAGATGTAAGTCGAGCCTCAGCCCTTCGCAAAACACCTAGCTCATACGTGTCAGCGTTGCCGGTACCGACACTATCGGGTCAAGCATTCGGATGACGACAGCGTGCCTGCTAAGCCGCCCGGACGCATACCGCCGTCTTGTAGATGAGATTGACGCCGCAAGTTCCGAGGGCGCACTCTCGACTCCCGCGACCTTCGAAGAGTGCCGCACGCTTCCATACTTGCAGGCCGTTCTCAACGAGGCCATGCGTCTGTATCCGCCTCTGACCGCTCTGGCGTACAAGGAGGTGCCCGCGGGCGGCCGCACAGTCGCAGGATATTTCCTGCCTGCCGGAACACAGGTCGGCCAGAACATATACGGCATACTCCGCGACAAGGCATACTGGGGCGCGGATGCCAACATGTTTCTTCCTGAGAGGTGGCTGAATGCCAGCAGCTCACGCGCCAGGGACATGGCCGCCATGCTGGACCTGACCTTTGGCCATGGCAAATTCAAGTGTCTTGGGCGCCAGCTGGCGCTAAACGAGGTGAACAAGTTCATTGTTGAAGTAAGTGCTCGTTGGCTCACTTGAATCTCTGCATCATTTCTGAGATCCCGTCGCTGATCGAGGATGCAGTTTCTGAGGCGCTATGACTTCGCTGCGGTCAGCGTGCATGATCCACTCGAAATAGGAGCGTCTTTTAGTTGGCCTGCTGAACGATTTTTACTAAGGGTTACAGCAAGATATAAGGTAGACCAAGTGAAACCCGAGGAGACACCTCTGGTATCCTTAGAAAGCTCGAACACTTCAGAATAGTTTATTAAGGATGTCGTAACTGCTCGCGCTCCATGTTGCGTTGATCTGTTTCACTGGGGTCATTTACTGTTGCTATTTCATCGTGGTCGCTTCGCCTTGGTGAGCTGTTTCGCTGTGATAGCTACTTCAGTGTGGCTATTGACATACAGCTTCTCATAATAAATTTGAAACGTTTGGAAGAAAAAACGTAGGAAGTGCATTCATGGGCTATCGCCTCCACAACATAGATGTCTACCTAGGTAAGATCTAAGAATACCTCTTCCTGCCTCAATTTGCTTTGCCAAGAGAATGGATGGAGTGTAAAAGAAAAGGTGTAAAGGAGCTTCGGGCCCGCCGATGCGGCCAATTCAGGGCTCGTTTTTTCTTTAGTGGCCGGCCTATCGGAAAGTGCACCTAGAACTCTATCACAAGGCTTGATATTGTAAGCTGACGGATAGTACCAAAAATGTGTTTGGCCCACCGGCCCCGCCCTTGAAACTTTTAAGCGATTCCTTTGGCATTCTCCAAAGCTGACAGATACTAGTATACGATTCGGGAAATCAGAAGAAATCCCACGGTCTAACGAGAGGTCAGCGGATCGTCTCCTCTTTTGATTCAGAGAATGATACGAGGTTCGAAACAGGGCAGAGATGGGTGCCCGCAGGGAAAAAGTCGCATCGCCGAAGTCTTTTAGGACTGTGACTTCCATTTGATACATTCGAACCTTGGGTTACTGCAAATCCTACATATTGTGTTTTTACCACTTTTATCTACACTGCTTGTTTTAAAAGCCTAGGTCTTGAGCGTTTGCCACTGTATGCAGGCGCCATGTATGTCTTCGGATGTGTGCGGAATAGCAGCGAAACCAGGTACTGTATATCAGCTAGAGTAGAAAGACCAGGCCGTTCGGCGGAGAATATTGGCGTGCGTAACAGTCACCAAACTACTTATTTGGGGGACACTAGTCGGAGAGCGATCTATTTATGTCATGGGTCTGACTGCGCACAAATATCCTCAACCCACGATGTGAACCACCTGAGTGGGTGTGGGGGCGGGGGCAGTTTGTCTCAGCCACCGCCTCGACCTTGGGGGCCCATGCCATATTCGAGCAAGTGATCCACGGAGAGGCGTTCCAAGGTCGCCAATAGATGCTAGACTAGGCCATAAGGTCTTTCAGGGGGATTCGCTTTTCGCAGTTTCGGCTTGTTGAAGAGGATGCATACAAACGAGCTTCTTGACCTTTTCTGAAGGTCGTCAGCAAAGCCGACCGACCCAGATCGGCCAAATTAAGCCCACTTGGACGCCAGAACGGGTGTTACTATAAGGAAGGACACAAAATAATATTTCACTGTGGCAGAATGGGAAAATCCTGGGAGCACGAGACTGGAGAAATCCTCACTTCAATCAATAATGAAATGAAGGGAAACTTGATAAATAAAAGGGCCGCCGGTTTTCGAGGGAGTCATAGTTGAAGAATCATATTAAACAGTCATCTCAGACAATCTAATCATCTCTTTGCTTCACTGTTCAATTGTCAACACTATATATTCAACCCTCTACAGTCACCTTTGTCAAAATGGCTACCCAATTCATTCTCGTTGCAATCCCCGGCCATGCGCCCCTGGAGCCATCCCGTGCCCACTTCACCGATCTGGATGGAAACCCCGTCCAGCTCAGCTACGATGACACTATCAGGATCCATCAACTCTACGCCGGCATCCTCCCCAGTCGCCTGCAGGCCGCCTCGGCCTGCGAGTTGCTAGCCCGCATCGCTGAGCTGCCCGGCATCACGGAGGTCCAGGAGACCGGGTCCACCAGCCGGCGGACGGGCACGGGTGCCCACGCCGAAGAAAACCTTGTGGCGCGCATCGCGCAAACTATGATCGACAACAACAACTCCGCCACCGTGCAGGCGATGTTTGTCTCCCTGGAGCCGTGCCACGACAGATACGCCGGCCACAACTGCAGGGACTTCTTCCGCGCCGGCCGGACCCACGCCGGTGTCGTCAACGCGAGATTTATCCCGGCGTACAGGTGGACGCCCATCTTCATCTTCCAGAGCCAGCTTCCTGAGGGCGAGACCAGCGAGTGGGGCAAGATCAAGGCCATGGGTAAGGGGATGAGGGAGGTGACCCTTCAGGAGTACATGTGGGACACTCCAGAGGAGGCAATGAAAAACTTCAGGCGGTTCGGCAGGGAACAGCAGGGTTCTTCCTCACAAAATAGCGCCAGGCAGGTAAAGAGTGCCGCCCCAGTTAAGACTGCCGCGCCAGTCAAGACCAGTGCTCCAGTGAAGACGAGTGCTCCGGTCAAGACCACTGCTCCGGTCAAGACCACTGCTCCGGTCAAGACCACTGCTCCGGCCCAGACTAGTGCTCCAGTCAAAAAGATTGGGTCTAAGAAGTGATATGAATTGGAAGGAAGAGGATGTTGCGAATGAGGTGTGAACGCGTCCCGGGGTGTGCTGGTAGAAAAGGGGTTTGTCTTGTCTTTTTCTTTTTTTGAAGTGGTTTGGGGTGCATGTGTTAAGGCTGAATCTAGAGATTTGTTAAATATATACATATACATGGTTATCAGGAAGCTCTGTGTGGTCGCTGTCTCCCGTGACTGGGTTGATTCGAGGTTATTTTACGAACCCGAGGCCAGTAAGTAAGTATGTCTACTGCTATAGAACACTGTACATTTACTTGTATCAACTGTAGATCCCTCATCTCTGGTCGAAGTCAAATCCACTGCTGAGCTGAGATCCAGGGTGTTCAGACATGAAAAGTAGAAGTACCGTCAACTAACAATTGTCTCCCTTTTTTGAAACTCGGCTTGTTTCAACACATGTCTACTTCAAACTCCTAATGAAGACTTGGTCACTATCATTGTTGAATAGCGGATGAAGTAGGATCCATGGATGTTGTTAAGATCCCTTTCTTATTGGGGTGATCATTTAGCGGTCAAATTCTAAAGAGCATTGGGTGATAACGGTTTGGCCCTCATAAGAAGCATTGCCCCTTGAAGAGACAAGTTGGAATGATAATAAAAAGCCTATTATTTGCATCTTATAATTCATATAGAGCTGTGTTCCGTTCTTTGAGTGGTGATAAAGTTCAGCATGAGGGTGCTATCGAGCCTCACACGAAGCAGTCAATCCGGTTATCTTTGCGAGATCCCTTGGTTCAAATGTTGGGAATACTGCAACCAATTATATTTCACTCTCAAACTATACAGAAACATCAATCCTAATTGCAATACTCCTCACTTTTCCTCGATGTCGTCGGACTGCGCGTCCTCGTCCTCTGACCCCTTTTCCTCCACGTCGTCAGATTCCTCGTCCACGTCATCAGATGCCTCCTCCACATCATCAGACAGCTCCTCTGCATCATCTTCTTGCTTTTCCTTCTTGGCTTTATTCTCAGTCTGATGGCCCCCTTCAGCCTTCTGGTCTGCTTCAATCTTAAGCGCATCCTCATTTCCTGCCTTGGCGTCCTCTTCAACTTGCTTCGCAGCCGCATTTGCATCTGCGCCAGCGTTCTGGTCACCTCCTTTGCTCATCAGGAAGTTGATATCCTCCGCATTCTTCTTGGGCTGAGCATTCTCAAAGTAGACCTGCATTGAAACAGGGTCGGACTTTATCTTGCTCTCGCCCCACCAACTCCAATCCTCCCTCTCCCTCTTGCCATGGCGGATGTACGTGCCCGTGTCGAAGATGTATATCTTGCAATTGACAACCACGTCCTTCTTGACCTCCACATCTATCGGTCTCAAGAGCAAGATCTGCCCCTGCACGTCCTGGAAGTCATCTTGTTCGTAGTCGGTGCAGACGACGATGTTGTACTGGTCAAACGTTGCTGTGCGAATGGAGCTGATAGCATTGTCGAGGAAATGCTTGCGGATGCTGGATTCATTGTCGTCATTTCGAGCCTGCTCTTTGAGCTTCTCGGCCTCTTGACATGCTATCTCCGCTAGCTTGGTGCTGGCTTCTGCGATGCTCACGATGTCAATGTCCCCCGCGCCGCTTCCGCTCCCAATAGAAGCGGCTGTTCTTGTTAGTCCCGCCGAATAATTATGAGAGCAGGCTGGGAGCATTCACCTACCTCTGAGTACAACGGCTGCCATAGTAATTGAGAACTTTGGAAGTGGCAAATTTGGCTGTAATAATAAAGAGGGATATTGATTTAGTCGCGGTAGTCCCGGTTACCGAGCTCAATACTCTATATTGACACACAAGATCATGGTTGACACTCTCAACAGCTGGGAGTTGGCCTTTATTTTATATGTAAAGACTGCAATTATAGATGTTGGGTAAGTTCTGAAGGGGGTGACTTGTCTTGTACATTGTCTTTCACAAAGGGGGGTGCATGTGGAGATTGAGAGTCATGTTAAGTCATGGATATGAATGGATATGTTTCGACCATCGGGACTTGTTCCTCCATCGAGTGTGTGGAATTGACAAAGGCCGGCGATCAGAGATACCTAGGTAGGGAGCGGAGAAACATTGAACGAGGCAGTGCCCCTTTTAAGGAAACAATTTATACATTCGAAAAGCGCCCTCTACAGTGATCTCGGGTCATTATAATTCGCTTGAACGTTTTGATGAATGTTTTTACATACAATACACACAATTTTGGTCTAAGCAAGCATTGAGGGTAAGAGAACGATCCATCCTCTAGCCGGCACCCGAAGGGTGACACATGGCTTGGTGCACGAGGCCAATATGATGCATGATCTGGAAGCCGTGGCTTAAATGGCTGGTTAAGATCTACTAGTCCGATCTGAATACGAATGCTTTTGCTGCGTTGTCTAAGCTCTTCTGTATCCTCTCAGCAATTATCCCTAATCCCTTCAGAGACAATTCGCGTCATTCGTACGATGATCTGGAATCCATCAAGCTTTACATCTCGTGCAATGGTCACATTTGGGTTGATCGTTAATGAGAAGGTCATCGAGATAGTTATAAATCAAGCTCAAGGATTAGGCCGCCGAAAAAATAAATTCAAAAAGGAGATCAACATTTCGGAGCCCCTTTCTTGTAGGCAGCATAGGGGGCTTTCCGCCTTAGATGGCTATATAATCAGCAAACTGACGCCTAATCTGCGCATAGATCGGATAGGCTTTCAAGTTCCTCTACTAAATCGGCAACAGGATAAATGCCCCCCCATTGGTACAAAATTCACTGTATCCTTGTTTATATAAATACCGCAAAATTTGTTTTGCAAGGCTTCAAGCCACGATTTTTGTTTTCTTTTTCTCTTCACATGCACGATATGTCACCCTGAGTCTACTAGTACCCCCTACAATCTCGCCTCCAGCAGTCCCTCCCCCTCCAGCCCACACGCAACCTCGCTCGTCATCAAGATCGCCGTGTCCCTCAGCGCCGGCAACCTGTACTTATGGTTAACCTCCTGATACCTGGGGTCACTCAGCATCGCCGCAAAATGCAGAGTACTAGGGTAGTGCGCGAGCGCGATCTCATCCCAGCCCTCCCCGTCCCGTGCGTTCTGCCCCCGCGGTGACCCGTTGGTGTGCGTGACCCCGCCGACGATCTTGGCGTCCCCGCCGTGCGAGGCCCCAACGGACGAGGCAAACGCCCTGCCGTACTCGAGGTACGACCCCTTCCTGCCCGGCCGGAAGGAGAGCAGGTTGAGCATCGACACGGCGCCCCGCGCCTCTTCGCCCCCGCCCGCCACGAAACCCCGGATCCAGTCTCTGAGGCCGGACGAGAGCTCGAGGCTCTGTGCGGAGGGGGGTGGGGAGGACGAGGACGGCGGCGTGGTGGGGGTGGTGGTGGTCTCCTCCGTGGTCCCCAGGGCGGCGTCGTTGGCGGCCTTGGTGCCCCCCGGCGGCACGGCCTGCAGCATCTTGCGGTTCCTGGCGGCAAAGTCCTGGGTCAGGCGGGACGGCACGCCAGCGGTTATGCTCCATGTGAGCCGGATGTGTGGTTGCAACGACGGTGGTAGCGGGGCAGCCGGGCCTTCCAGGATGAGGAGGAAGTCCCAGCGGGCGTTGCGGGCGAGCAGGTGCTCGGTGGATAATGTCGAGGGCAGGATGATCCACCGTATCACGCGGGACAGGACGAGGGGCGAGATTGTAGTGGCCTTGAGCGCTGAGAGAAACGACTGCTGCGCCCTGGGCTGAGTAGGGTCTAAGGCGATGAGGTGGAGGGTGCAGAGAGGCATGGTTGCTATTTTGATTGTTCTTGTAAATAATTGTGTTTGACGCTTAGATACCGGGGTGAATTGGGCGGAGATACGGCCTGAGGTCGATATGGAATGCGGAGTGCCAATAACGGTATGATGTAATCAGCCGAGCTTAGTAGTGCTTGTTGCAAGTCAATGTCGAGGATTGAAAATGCATTTTCACACCGAGCGTAAGCTCGCAAGGTTTGGTAAACTGTTTACTCTTCTTGTTTGTCTAACCCCTCTGGCTTCCCCGTGCCGCTCGCGGCTTTCCACCATCGGACTGTAGTCAATTGATGTTAGCGGCTGCACTCAGGTATATATTTGATGTTTCGGTGCAGCTATCAGACATTTGAACAGAGATGGGAATACAACCGGAACAACTTGAACAGTACTAAGTACCTACCCTAGTAGCATAAGCCTGAGGTATTTAAGTATTGGGTCTTGAGCGTTTACCACGGTATGAAGGCGCCATGTATGTCCTCGGACGTATAGGGAATAGAAGCGAAACCATCTACTAACGCACGGTATGGGTATGCGGAATAGAAGTAACTCCAGCAGGCAAGGCTTTTCACGTTGGGTTCCCAACCTCCTTCCGCAAACAAGTGCATTCTACCCGTAGCCATGTTGTTGGGCCCTGCCTAGTCTGTTCGAGCTAGTGTATTAAGGCTGCCTACCTCATTCTACATTCAAGCACTCATCGAGTATCTTCCGCCTTATTATACATCCGCGCGTCCAAGATCGGAGTCTGTGGGGAAGTGCTGATTGGCATGATGCGGTCATGCAAGAATCAGAATTGCAGGCAAGGTTCCGAGATAATTCCACACCTTCTGGGACCGCCTCGAGCATCAAATGTCTTTTCATACATGCTTGAGGGATGTCGTTTTGCCAAGGGAGGCGGGGGACGGGGGCAGGACAAGTCACTACGCAGGTACTCGGAGATAAGCGCGCCTTAACCTTTGGCCCACTGTGCCTAGCTACAGTAGTATTAATGCTGGTGGTTATAATGGATCACTGGCGGGACGACTTGGACAGCGTTCAAGTGATTAAGTTGGGCAAGGTCCAAAGATGACGTTCAGTATTCGAGACTCATTTTGAGTATTTCGTAGCATTTATGTGTGGATTAGAAACAAATCACCTGGCACGATGTCATAACTCCAGGGAAATAAGGATAGCAAGCTGGCCGGGGGGGGGGGGAGTGTTCAGTGCTACCGTGCCAGGGGCGAGCACGAGAGAATACGTTATACGTCACACGTGGCCAAGTTGTAGTAGAAGCATAGACGGTAGTTTCATCCAGGGCCACCTCGAATACAAGGAAAGTGGCCCATCTCGCGATATAGCTGAGGGCGTCTATACTAAGAGAAGCCGTGGACGCTCATACCAAGTCGGTGGATCTCATGATTGCGTACCCATCGACCGATGGGAGAAAGACCCGACGGGGGGGAGGTCGCTGCCCAGGTGTGGAACCCCGGGCTATGGGGGCCAGAATGGGACGTCTGTGGTCGTTGGTGCTCACTCTCATCTCCCCCGGATTTTTTTCCCTGGCCCCCCCCCCCACACGAAATCGGGCGGTTGATCGACGAGTGGTAATGTAGGTCAGCAAGCTACACTGCACTCTCGAGCTACTGTACCCCCGTAGCCCGGTCGGTTCGACCTCGGGGAGCTTCTCTTGACCTCGGATGAAATTGGTTCCCGGCGGCGCTACCTAAGTACGTTATGCTGGGAACTGCAACGCTTGACAGTGACGTAGCGCACGGACAGGAGTCCTGGACTGCTGTCACCTTTTTCTGGCGGTTGTCATTCCTCAATCGGGACAAACCTGTGCATAGTCGGTCTTGAAGCGCACCTGCTATATGGCCGCGAACTTGGCCCTGGGGTCCTTGCGACGAGGCATTGACAAAGAGGAACAAAGAAAAACGCTCCGCAAGTAATAGACGCGAGAGCACATGCCCAGCCGGGTAACTGAGACGAGAGGGCGGACTGATCTGGTTCGCTCCGGTGCACCAGCCCCCAAAAGGGCGACAGCGTCCGTGTGAGGACCGACCGACCGTCTTGTTGGGGAGGGGGACCTGGGGACCCGGGGGACCCGTTGACCGCTGGAGCACCGGGAGAATGCATGGCCGCGAATAATAATAAAACCATAATAAAATTTGGGTGCAGCAGTGCAGGACTCTTGTCTCGAACTTTGAGGTGAAAATATCAAGGGTCCCGCAGACTTGGCACAGCAACTTCGTACATACTGTAACACCAAACCCCTGCCCACGGCCCCCGTTGTGGTGCCGTGGACGCAGCAGGGTGGGAACTGATACGGTACGGTGAGCTCGGTTCCTGCATCCGATCCGGAGGGGGGAGTGTGAAAATGCTCAGCGTGGGAGCATTGAAATGGGGACGTTTGACACATCTGTGGCTTCTCTTGACTTCATGTCCCTGCCCAATTTGATAATCGAAACGACTCCAGGACCCCCCGGGGCAACGAGCGACGTCATCTCGACATATGATGAGTCGCTGCTCAGAGTTGCTTGAGGCTTTTCGAAGGTCACGGTGTAGATACGTGGGAGGCGGGCTAAAATAGCCGGCTAGGGATAAAGCGTCATCAGATGGCCGGCTCGGTGGTCGCGTGTGAGGGACGAAGGACTACATGTCACAATCCCCCCCGCGTCCCAAGCTCACGTTGGCTGCAGGGGTAAGGGCAACGGTGTGGTATCAGGAGAGGAACAGTAGAAGAAGAAAAAAGGATGGCCTGCGGAGAGAGGGCCTGTTTCAAGCTGATGGAGAGACAGACTGACAGACTGACAGATACCACGGCTGAGGATCACCTGCATGCGACTCCTGCATGAGAGGCCTTGACGATGATCGAGTTTTCTGGCATCTGGGAATAATAACCGCGCAACGAAGCCACAGAAAGGGACCAAGAGGGAGAGGGAGAGGGGCGAATCAGCAGCAGGCGATAAGGGGCCCCTGCAGCGTGGCAGGGGAGCCATGCTGCCATGCTGGATGTGGCGAGGGGCGGTGGGACCAACCAGAGGCGGGCTGATAACAAAGGGACACGAAAGAATTGGATAATTGGTGACAGTTGGGTAACTATTTTAAGACGTGGTTGAAGACTGGGCGGCCGGAGTGGCCTGTCTTTTGGGGACGGGCTGTCTGGTCCGAGCCCTCGGGGCGGCCATTCCAGAGGGCTGAGTGACAGTTGATATTGCCTGGTGCGTGGCCGTGTGGCCGTGTTAGTACCCAGTATATACGGAGGGGAACATGCATTACCGTGGACGGTGTAACCGCGGGTGAGAGGCGGACGGGCAGACACAAGTACTAGTAAGAAACCTGGGGTGCCGGGACAGGGGCCCAGCCTGTAGGGCCTTGTTCCCCCGGGCCGTGGACTGCACCGACAACCGGAGCGGGAATTAAAGCGCAGGGGGAGGAGGACGAGTTTAGGACGAATTTAGACGTGTTTACTCGATCGTGTCCTCAAACTCTTAGGTAATATCTTGCCGCAATCAGTGCCAATCGCATATTGTTTGCAGCATGGCGCGCCCAACACGAGTCGAGGGTTGGACAGGAAGGAACATTCTGAACAGGCACGCATTGATCAAGACAGGACTTGTTGAACATTCATCCATCTTGTTGTTAGCTGGTTCTGGCCTGGGCTGGTGGTGTGGGTTCTAGATAGACACACTACTATGTACCTGACTACATAGCCCAACTGCGGGTATTCCGTTTTCCTTTGAGCCGGGCTGGCACGTCGGTGATCAGTGCGCCAGTCCGTCCCACTCAAGTCCTCTCCAGTCTCGGCCGGCCCAGCGACGGCTTGGACTACACAACGGCCTGGAGCACTGCCATCTTGGTCTTGTTGGTGGTTGTGGCGGCCAGAACGCAGTCAGGACGCATCCAGCCTCGAGTGCTCGTAACTTGGACCGACCTCGACTGGGCGAGAACGAGGGGGCCACCAACTTATTACCAAATATCAGCAAAGAACTCGTGTCTGTTTTAGGTCAATGAATGTCTCAGCACAGCACGGATGAGTTCAGCCCAGCCCAGCCCAGCCCGGCCACAGCCACACACAGCCCGTATGTGACGACGGGACAACGGGCCCGAGGGTACGGAGCACACTCTGCCGCCCTCAGTCGTACTGTGGCAGCACAACGTGGTCCTGACGGTGGAGCAATGGAGTCTCACCTCACGATGGAGACAGTCAGGCCCCAAGGGCGGCGCCAGAAAGAGGGGTCACTTTGATAATAGATATCTAGCCGTGGGGATGGCGTCCTTTTGCTTATCTGCCCACGCCGCCGTCCGCCAAATCAAATCAAATCAAATCAGAGCCGAGTGAGTGGTTGGTTGGCTGGCCCTGCCTGTGCTGTCATGTCGTGGTGTCTACATATCGATCGATAATACCCTGGATTTCCGATGGGGGGTGGAGGGGAGGGGAGGGGGACAGATGCAAAGCACAATTAACTGCCCAGAGACTGGCTGGCTGCAGGGGCTGCACAGTCGAACCGCACCCGGCGACCCCTTCCACCACTTCGAAAAAAGCCCGGGCCCCCCACATTCCAAGCCAGGGTTCCTGTGGGGCGGGGCATGTGGTGTGGGTACGTACTCGTGGTACGCTGGTACCTTCACGTAGTGGCCGGTGCTTTGCCTGGCTGCCGGGTTTGCTGGTTGGTATCTGTCTGGCCTAGCCTTGGGTCGCCTGGCAGCCCTGGTGCCTTGCGGGTGTGCAGTTGCCAGTGCCAGTGCGTGCGGGCGGGCGGGTGAAGGAGGTGCGCAGCAGCAACAGAGCTGAGGTACGTATCTCATGTACATTGCACGCTACCCCGTAGATACGTACTCTGGCCCGGCACGAGGTACGTATCTACCTCCAAACAGCAGTGACGGCCGCCGTGACTGTGAGTAGCTTCCCTCGCAAGCTGCCCATATCGCCAGTCACTCCTGGGGCCCGTCGGCTCTCTCTCGGTCTGGTCTTCCTGGCCTGCCTGGCCTGCCTGGCCTGCCTCTCTCACCCTCACCCACCCCCACCGCGGCGACAATTCCTTTTAAGTCCCTCGTGCTGCCAGCCTGATAACCTTTGCCAGGGGCCTGCGCCTATTCTTCTCTTTTTTTCAACATCATCAATCCTCTTGTCCCCTCTTCCTCCAAGGACCTAAACCAATCTGTTTCTTGCTTCGACTGCTTGACTTGCTGCTTGCGTCTTCTGGTTTGCAACAACTGCATCTCCAAACAAACATCCCCAGAAAACCACACATCAAAATGGTGAGTCGCAGCCCCACCTGCTTCCCGCAGCCCGTCTTCAGCCCGGCCCAGCCCAGCCCAGCCTTTCCCACGCCTGTTTTGGTGCCACCATCATCAGCCGCACTGCACCACCCATTGAGTCTTCTTTCCAGAGGGCGCGCGATTTACTGACAATCCTTTGTTGCAACAGGCGACCAAGGCGGCTGTCACATCAAATGCTTCGGCTGTAAGCTTCACCCAGACCACCAAGAACCACAGAGCCACAGAAACACAGCCAGAAGTGGCCTGGCCCCCAGCGGGAATTACGAACTACGAAGCACGAATCACGAGTTACGCGAGACTGACATGTGTGCCCCCACAAACAGCTGGCCAAGTACCTCGAACTGCCCCAGAATGGCAAGATCATGGCAGAGGTGAGCAACCCAGCATTTCGCCCGTATTGCAATCGCTCGAGACTGACCTTGTTTTTTGTGTTGCAGTACATCTGGATCGATTCCGAGGGCGGCACTCGCTCCAAGTCGAGGGTATGATCCAAACTCCAACCTCCTCCCACTTGCCCCGAATCTGCCCGACCCACCAGCGATGCCGTGACACCATAACTCTTGGCCCCCCTGGAGAGGCCGCTTTTTCGTGGGCTGTCCTTGCCGAGAAGCCACCCTCGTCCCAGCTCCAACGAAACACACGCACTGCAGTCTTTGTGGGCTTATCTGCCCCGAGACACAGAGTGGCCAAGACTCCGCCTTTTCGCTTTGCGCCGGTGGAAGCACTTCTGGCCGCTGCACTGTGTCCCACAAAACTGCAGTGGCTGTGGCGAGCTCCACGATATCGCTATCGCCAGGACCCCCCGAGCTGCGTCAGGCGTTGAGGAATAACGGGGCTGACACCATGACTCGATTTTAGACTCTGGATGCTAAGGACGGCGGCTACACCCCAAAAGATCGTGAGTCACTTCCCCCAGCTCTTGCCCAGTCCCAGGATTCCGGATTTCGACCCTGGGGCTGCCGCATTCCCGTCCACTGAGACATGCACTGACACCCGACTTTAGTCCCAATCTGGAACTTCGACGGAAGCAGCACTGGCCAGGCTCCTGGTAAGTTGGAGATGATGATCACCACCAAACGGCTAGCCCTGGCGATCATCTGCTAACGGCTGCGTCTTCCAGGCGACAACTCCGATGTCTACCTCCGCCCTGCCGCCGTCTTCCCCGACCCCTTCCGCAGGAACGGCAACATCCTCGTCCTCGCCGAGTGCTGGGATGCCGATGGAAGCCCCAACAAGTACAACTACAGGCACCAGGCCGCCAAGCTGATGGAGGCCCACGCCGCCCACAAGGTATGTCGAAATCGCAATGCGCACCACGATTTGACGCGACGTTGCGCTAACAGTGCGTGCAGCCCTGGTTCGGTCTCGAGCAGGAGTACACACTTCTCGACCTCGACGACAGGCCGTACGGCTGGCCCGCAAACGGGTAAGCACATTCCAAAACCACTCCAGGCGGAGGATGATCGCAGGGGCTCGCCGTGAGACTTGACATGGTCGCCAAATCGCCAAAATCAACGGGAGTGGGTGCCACGTATGATTGGCGCCTTCTATCGCGGGGACTCTGCTCGATGGTGGGACACAGTGGGTGGCAGCGCCTGCGGCTGGCTCGCACTGCCGACGGCAGCTGCAGCCAGTTCATGGCGCCAGACGTCGATCCTCAAATCTGGAGCCCCCCTGACAATTGAGCAAAACATGGGACTCGGCCCCCCGCTACCCCATTTATGACAATGATGTCACGGGAAGCACCGAGGAACTGTTTTCGTCACATTGTCGGGCCAAAGGCTCCAGGAGGACGACCGTGACGTCTCGTGACGAGCGTCAGCCTTGGCAGGGTAGCGCGTGTGGTGTTGCCACCGGCTGGCCGGCTTTTGCCGAGCCCAGCTGTGGGGGACCCGCACCGTCGTCATAACAACGGCGCAGCCCACGAGTGCCACCCCACGTCAAGAGTGCTTGCGATTGAAGGCGTCAATCGAGCGCAGATCAGGCCCTCACTTCCTGCTCTGGCGACGACATGTCAAGATGGCGAGCTTCGCGATCACACTCCGAACTTTTCCCGATCTGTTCCACGTACTGACCAGCTTTTGAAGATTCCCCGCCCCCCAGGGCCCATACTACTGCGGTGTTGGTGCTGGCAAGGTCGTCCAGCGTGACATCGTCGAGGCTCACTACCGCTGCTGCCTCTACGCCGGCATCAAGATCTCGGGCACCAACGCCGAGGTCATGCCCGCCCAGTGGGAGTTCCAGGTCGGCCCCTGCGAGGGTATTGAGATGGGCGACCACCTCTGGCTCGCCAGGTTCCTGCTGCACCGTGTCGCCGAGGAGTTCGGCGCCAAGGTCTCGGTCGAGCCCAAGCCCATCCCCGGCGACTGGAACGGCGCCGGCCTGCACAGCAACTTCTCCACCGAGGAGATGCGTCAGGAGGGCGGCATGAAGCACATCGAGGCCGCCATCAAGAAGCTCGAGGGCCGCCACAAGGAGCACATCGCCGTCTACGGCGAGGGTAACGAGAAGCGTCTGACCGGCCGCCACGAGACCGGCAGCATCGAGCAGTTCTCATATGGTGTCGCCAACCGTGGCGCCTCCATCCGTATCCCCCGCGAGTGTGCCGTAAAACAGAGCGGTTACTTCGAGGACCGGAGGCCCGCCTCCAACGCCGACCCTTACCAGATCACCGGCATCCTCATGGAGACTATCTTTGGCTCTGCCTAAGTTATTTCTTCTTGCAGCACATTTTCATGAGTTCCTTCTTCTAGTTCAGAGGGCGGCGTGTTTGGTTGCACACTATTTTTGGTTGTTGCACAAGAGCAGTCAGGTAGCCGAGTGGTAGAATAGGGTTTAGGGCCTAGCTTTTTGACCTCTTCTCCACCACCGGGCTGACCTATCCATCCCCATTTTGAGGTTTCGTTTTTGGAGGTTTTGGCGTCGGAAAATAACAAGATTTACATACTGCCCCCACCCCCCCACGCACAGATGAGATAAGAGAGATTGTGTGTGTGGTGACAGAGAGAGAGAGAGAGAGAGAAAGGACAGGACAGGATATCTATACGCCTGTCTGTAGTATTGTGGTAGGGTAGATTGGAGCGCATCCGAGAGCGGATTGATATACTACTTGCTATATGCGATTTTCTTCGCCGAGCGTGAAATTAGATTCTGAATGCTCGCCCCCACCGATCAACCATCCCTAAGTCTCTTCTATGCTTTTTGTGTGACTGTCACCATGTTGATTTTTGAGTTGTCTGGGCGTGGCCAGCCCCTCCTAATTTGATGTTTTATCTTTGTCGTGACGGGTAGAGTTGTTAGAATGTGTGGCAGAGGAGTATTAATGAGGCTGTTGATCATGAAGTGGGTCTATAGTACTTGTAAGGCCAAGTCTCTACATGTGCAGTGATGTGAATAAAAGCTGTGTGTAACTTAGTTCTAGAATTAATTGGGTGAAAAAAGTGGCTGATGCTTCAAAGTTGAGAGAGAGTTCCAAGGTTAGTTGATACTGAGTGACTCTTTAACTACCTAGGTACCTAGGTATGTATAGTCTTTTACGGTTGACTACCACAGTACAAAGGAGCTATATACCTTGGGTCTCCCTTTGAATTTATATCTAGGGACTTACTAATCAAGCATAAATAAATAAACATGTGGGAATTATAGATGAAACCCCTGGCTAATTATTACCGCTGTCTTCCCCCTCCTTACTTACCCTAGGTTCGGTATAAATACGGAGATACGCCTAGTTATCCATCCTATAGTTACCCTGCTTCCCTGCCCTGCCCTGCTGTGCTGTGCGGTAGGTAGGCAGGCGGATAGGGGATGGGAAGATAAGACGAGCGAGTGCGGATTCTAGGGAGCATATTAGAGGGACTGAGGGACATCATACATGCACAATCGTCAGTATATCGCTCATTAGCACTGCAAGTGGTGGACGACTTCCCGCTCGCGTTGCTGGACGCTCACGGATTGAAGGGTACATGATGTGCTATGCTCGCCTTGGGTCGAGTTGCTGTGGTCAAGCTCCACCGGCATGGGAGTGAGGGAAACGGCGAGGGGTCAGTTAAACCACTTGTATAGTCTGGGGAAAGGTGATGAGGAAGAGGGGTGCGGACATTTGCAATTACCGCGTTGCGCACTGGTCACCCCGCCCGGACGACCACCAACGGGCGCACGGCCAAGACTCTCAAGTCCACACGTGCTGGCCCTTGGGAGGTCACAGTATGGTGAGCCAAGTATGCCGCGGGTGTTCTTTGCCCCTGGAGCTGGGGTCGCGTGTCCTGGTCTTCGATATTCTCGTCCTGGAAATGTGATTGTTGATCCTGGTCTGTGTGCTTGATGCAATTTGTGTGCCAGTCTCATCACCACAATGTGTGCATAGAAGATCGCATATACCTAGGTCACTTTTCTCGAACGTAGATACCAAACAAAACCTTGGAAGACTAACCAGCTTCAACCTGATAAGTGCGTTCGAGCTCTCCGAGTGGGGTGTGGAGGGATTAGCACAACGAAATGTCAAAGCAAAGTCGATGATTCTCGAGCGGCACGAATTGATCGGTTTGAGAACTTGCTTCCAAGCCCAACGAAAGGGTTGGGTATCACTATACAAGGAAGCTTATATTGACCCGGGCTTTATGATTCTGAAGATCTTTTGGGAATGTGCATTCATCAGGTATGTATTAGGATGTCTTGTCACGTAAGCTCATGTATCTTAAAACCCCCCTTTCCTTCAGCGAGTACCATTACTAGCTGTGTGCCACGGAATAATAACCCTTCAATTAAAAAAACCTTGTTAGACCCTCCGCTCCACCTCACCGCGATGCGCCTCCTCGGTATGTGAAGACGAAGACGCATGCGTGACCACATGCATCATCGCTGACTTCTCGCTCACCGCGGCGGGCGGCGGGACCGCGGCGTCGGCGCCGTCGAAGATGACGGCCATCTGCTCGAGGGTGTGGCCGCGCGTCTCCGGGTACGCGAAGAACACGGTGATGAGCAGGAGCGTCAGCATGACGATGAATACGATGTAGTACTTCCAGTGGATGGCCTCCAGCGCGATGGGGTTGACGAATGTGTTTATGAAGATGGCGACGACCGTCGAGCACCAGGTTACTGTTAGACCGCGGGAGCGGAGGCTGAACTGCCAGATCTCGCAGGGGTAGGCTGTCAGGAAGGGTGTCCTATTTTCTATGTTAGTAACTTGTTCATGTAGGAGTTGGGCTGGTTCGGTGTTTGTTGGTGGGGGGAGGAGACTCACATGGCGATATCATATCCGGCAAAGAAGACGAACAAGAACGGGATGACAGACAGCCCGATCTGCGCGGACCCAGACTCGGCAAACGCACCGCTGAGGCCCGTGATGATGATGAAGCTGACCAGCATGGTGCTCGCCGAGGTGAGGAACAGGAACCGCCTCCCCAGCCGGTCCACGTTGGTCGCGGCCGCGATGGCCCACAGCAGGTTCCAGACGTTGAGGCACGCCGAGATGAGCGTCTGGTGCGTGACGGAACTCACGCCGACAGAGTTGAGCACGAGGGGCAGGTAGTACGAGACGACGCCGTTGCCGGCCCACTGCGCGAAGATGCCCAGGCTGATGGAGATGAACAGCCTGTGGCGGTTGCCGGGGGTGCGCACCATGTCCGCGTACGAGGCGCTGCTGGAGGCCTCCCTCTCGGCCGTGATGGTCGCCTGGATCTCGACGACCTGGTACGACACGAGGGGGTCGCCCCTGTCGCCGCCGGCGTGGTGCGTCGCCAGGATCTGGGTGGCCTCCTCGACGCGGTCGACGCTGATGAGCCAGCGGGGGGACTCGGGGGACAGCAGGAAGCCCGGGAGCGCCATGAAGGGCAGCACGATCTGCAGCACGACGGGGATCCGCCAGCACCAGTCGGACGGGATGTCGCGGCACGCGAACGTGACCCAGCCGCAGAGCGTCCCGCCAAAGTACCAGCCGACCATGAACAGCGCGTTGGCCACGGAGCGCTGCCTCGGGTGCGCGATCTCGTTGATCAGCAGCGGGGCCGAGTTGCCCAGCCACGAGGCCGCGATCCCCACGAACAGCCGCGAGTAGGTGAACGTGACCTCGTTCTGGGCCGCGGCCTGCATGACGACCCCGAGGACCAGGAAGAGGTAGCCGATGTAGATGCCGAGTTTGCGCCCGTAGTTGTTGGACAGCCATGCTGCGACGGGGAAGGCGATGCCGTTGCCGACCCAGTAGATGCCCGTGATCCAGCCCAGGTAGGCGCCTGAGGGATTGTGCATGAAGGTGTTCCAGCGCGGCAGGGCGAGGAGGCCGCCCATGATTGAGCCGTCGTAGCCGTTGGCTGAGGCTGTTTGGGAAGGGTGGGTGTGGTTAGCATTTTGTTCAATTAATGTGAAAATAGACACGCCCGGGGCAACAGGGCGAGGCTTACAGAACAGGACCATGGACAGCGTGATGAAGTTAAGCTTCCGCAGGTGGGACTGCTTGTACCAGGGCGTGTCGCCGCCCGGCAGCGTGGCGAGTTCCTCGACTGGGTTCACCATGGTGATGGCTTTGCTCTGATCGCAAGGCTGAGTGAGCCGTGGAATATGGGGCGGGATAATCAACAAAGCCCGAGATTGAACAGCGACTGCCTGTTGGTGCTGCACGTAGTCTTTGCTTTCGGGATGTCTCGGCTCTGGACAGCCTGGGAGAATCCTGGAACACCGTCGTTTGACCCGACGTTCAGGGGGGGAAGAAGTAGTCGGCTTATATAGTCTACAGCCTCCTGAAGCCCCCTTTTGGTGTGTAAGATCGAATACGGCCTAGCCTTGGGGGAAGAAAAAAAGGCGGCGTGGAGTTGTGGAAAGGTGGTATCGCTTACGGCCTAGCCTCTCCTGTTGGCTGTGGGAAAAGAAAAAAGACCGGGTGGGCCTCTGAGAAGCCGATGGCCCGGTGTTCGCGAACTGGGTCCATGGGGAGGGCACTTGAGGCCACGCTCTCGAACGGTAAGAAAAGGGGGGCACGTCCCCCATGGAGAAGCACGCAGGAACAGTCGGGGGCCCCCACATGTAGGGTCGGGTTGGCAAAGGGATCCAAGCCTCGTGGTGGTCTCAGGAGCGGGGAATTGAGTCAGTCTTGTTTGTTTTTTGTTGTTGGGCATTAGTAGTTCGGTATTTACTGATCTATTACATACGAGATGTGAGAAGCACAGGCGGAGAAATGTGTTCGCTAATTACTTGGCTATTGTGCATGAATGAACCATGTCCCTTGCATATTCCAATATCCGCGGTGGTGTAACTCGGTATTTCTCCGCCTCCAGATCCTTCGACGTCCCTCGCTCCCCAGATTCCTCGTTACCGAACCGTCGGTTCGCCAGCTAAGCTCCTCGCGATGCAGGACATGAAACCTAGCTGTATATTAAGACCCGGAAAAATGCCTGATTCAGTCTTGATGATTTACGTCATCGTCGGCGGATTGTAGCCGTTGCCAGTCATGTGACTGACCAGTGGAGAAATGTTGAGCAGAGAGGAATACCTGAGTGCCCACCTTGGCATTATCTAGCCGCGTATACTCATCCTCCTCCATGTTTGCTCCTCAGAACGTGAAGTTTAAGTGGCTTTGTTTCTCAAGAGGGCCTTTGCTGTCGTGAGACGTCTGTACTTTGACATAAGATTGTTTGCTCAGAGACTTGTCACTTGACAGTTCCGACCCAGCCAAGATGGATGTCGAAGCACTCCTAGAGAAGTTGACGGTGGAAGAGAAGGTGGCCCTCACAGCTGGTAAGTAACTGTATCGGAAGGATGAGCACTTCATGTCAGCCTCTCTGACCAGGACTCAGGCAACGGCTGGTGGCACACAGCGACCATCGAGCGTCTCGGCATAAAACCTATCCGACTCTCAGACGGGCCCAACGGCGTCCGCGGCACACACTTCTTCGACAGCACGCCCTCCGCCTGCCTCCCCTGCGGCACCGCGATCGGCGCGACCTTCGACACTGAACTGGTGACGCGCCTGGGCCGGCTCCTCTCGGACGAGGCACACGCAAAGGGCGCACACGTTGTCCTTGGGCCAACGATAAACATCCAGCGCGGGCCACTCGGCGGGCGTGGGTTTGAGTCGTACTCCGAGGACCCGCTACTGTCGGGCATCCTCGCGGGACACTATGTGCGCGGCCTGCAGGAGAAGGGCGTGTCGGCCACGCTGAAGCACTTTGTATGTAACGACCTCGAGCACGAGCGCATGGCCGTCAACGCTATCGTAACGGACCGCGCCAAGCGCGAGATCTACCTGCTCCCCTTCATGATCGCCATCGAACTGGGGCGGCCGCGGGCTGTCATGACGGCATACAACCAGATCAATGGGTGCCACGCCGCGGAGGACAAGACGCTCCTGAGGGATATCCTGCGCGGCGAGTGGGGGTGGGACGGGCTCGTCATGAGCGACTGGTTCGGGACGTATAGCACGTCCGAGGCGATCAATGCCGGCCTCGACCTCGAGATGCCTGGGCCGACGAGGTGGCGGGGCGGCGCGCTCGCTCATGCTGTCATGTGCAACAAGGTCAAGATGGCTGAGCTGGACTCGGCGGTGCGGAATGTCCTGAGGCTGGTCAAGCATGGCTTGGAGAACACGTCGATCCCGCCCAACGCCCCTGAGAAGCAGGCCAACACGCCAGAGCACATTGCTTTGCTGCGTGAGGCAGCAGCCAAGTCCTTGGTCTTGTTGAAGAATGAAAGGGATGTCCTTCCTTTTGACAAGAACAAGAAGGTTGCTGTGATTGGACCCAATGCCAACATTGCCACGTACTGTGGCGGCGGCAGCGCCGGCCTCCGGGCATACAAGACCATCACGCCCTTGGAGGGCATCAAGTCTCTCGCAGGTGACGTGGTATTCTCCCAGGGCGCATATGGCCACCAGTCCCTGCCTCTCCTAGGCAAAGCTCTGAAGACCCCAGACGGCAAGCAGAACGGCTTCGTCCTGCGCATCTACAACGACGCCCCGCCCAAGGCGACCAAGCGCGAGGCCGACACACGCGCGCCGCTGGAGGAGCGGGTCCTCGACGACGCCAACATCTGGTTCGTCGACTACGAGAACCCGGACCTGGCACCCATCTGGTGGGCCGAGACGGACGGCGTCCTCGTCCCCGAGAGGTCGGGCGAGTGGGACTTTGGGCTCTCGGTGCACGGCACCGGGGAGCTGTTCATCGACGGCGAGCTCGTCGTGTCCAACGTCGAGAACCAGAAGCTGGGGAGCAGCTTCCTGGGGTGCGGCACCGTCGAGGAGACGGGCAGGATGCACCTCGAGGCAGGCCGCGCGTACCGGGTCCTGGTGCGGTTTGGGTGCTCGGCCACCAGCAAGGTGAAGGCGTCCGGGACCGTCGACTTTGGACAGGGCGGTGTGCGCTTTAGTGGGTGTCCTAGGATCGACCCGGCTGTCGCGATCCAGGAGGCTGTTGATGTCGCCAAGAGTGTGGATCAGGTCGTTGTTTGCACCGGCCTGAGCGGCGAGTGGGAATCGGAGGGCTTCGACAGGTCGACTATGGCGCTGCCGCCCGGTACTGATGAGCTGGTGGCCGCCGTTCTGGCGGCTAACCCGAACACAGCCGTTGTTGTCCAGAGCGGCACCCCGGTTGCTATGCCGTGGATTGACCAGGCCAATGCTGTTGTCCAGGCATGGTTTGGCGGCAATGAGTGCGGGAGTGGCATCGCCGATGTGCTCTTTGGCGAGGTGAACCCGGTAAGTCGTGACATTCGATGTCTGTTGCTCCAAACATTGGCTGGGAAATGTGCTGACTTTCCATCTTGCAGGCTGCCAAACTCCCACTCACGATACCTCGACGACTGCAAGACAACCCCGCCGCCCTCAGCTTCCGATCCGACAACGGCCGCTCGCTATACAGCGAGGACGTGTACGTCGGATACCGGTGGTACGACACACTCGACATAGAGCCCTTGTTCCCCTTTGGGCACGGCCTGTCATACACAACATTCGAGGTCTCCGGCCTCGATGTACAAGTCTCCGCGGATAGCCTGAACGTGCGTGTGAAGGTGACCAACACGGGTTCTCGTGCCGGCGCCGAGGTGGTTCAGGTATACGTCACTCCCGCGGCGCGGACGCCGCTGACGAGCTCTAACCGCGATACCATCACCCGCCCGGCCAAGGAGCTCAAGGGCTTCGCCAAGGTCTCCCTGGAGCCAGGGGCCAGCGCGACGGCCGAGGTCACGCTGGACATGCTGCGCGCCACGAGCTACTGGAGCGAGATGGAGGACTGCTGGCGGAGTGATGCTGGCGAGTACGGCATCCTTGTGGGAACGAGCAGCCGTGGCGAGTTTCTTGAGACGGCCTTTGTTCTTCAGAAGACGAGGCGGTGGAAGGGACTGCGTGCTTAATTTGTTAATGCTCGCGAAGAGAATATTGCATGGACATTGCTTGTAAACGTAAGGTAAATATTGACTATTCCAGAATGTCTGTAGATGAAGAACAAGTCGCAAAAAATGATTTGAATCCTGAAGTCAAGAAATGAGAAGCATGTCGTTGTTGAGGAGACATTTCGACTTGGGACGGGCCACGTCTTCTTTGGGATAGGAAATGCCCCTATTCCGTAAGTCCGGAAGTACCCGAGTCATCCCCAGCCAGTCCCCCCCATGTCTAGCTGCTTCCGACCATAGAAAAAACGGCTAGGGCACCCCGGATGTTCTGGAACTTCTGACCCGTGGGGTTTTTCACCGTGGCGTGTGGGCACCGATCTGCCCGGACCAAAATGGACCAGCCCAGGTCGTGCTGATTCTCCGCAGCGCTAGATTCTCCGCTGCAATTCACAGTCGCCTCACTCAATACCAGGTACCCGTGCACTGCCACTGCTGATAGTTTACCGTTATGCACGACCAGAGCCCAGTGAATAGCGGGACCCCTCAGCCTGGTTCCGTGAGGTCGAGCATCTCTAGCCGCGCCTGTGACGCCTGCCGTGGGCGGAGGAGAAGGTGCCATTTTGACAACACGCTTTCACCCAATGCTGAGCCACCTGGGTCAGCCGAGTCTCAGCCACAGCCCAAGTGCTATAATTGCCGGAGGCTTGGTCTAACATGCAGTTTCCTATTGCCCTCGAGGCCGCGGGGCCCAAAGCGCAGGTATGTCCCGCCAATCCGGTGTTGTATTGGGCTCGGCGAATATGCAAGATTTGCTCACCATACTCTTGGCCGTGCAGGAAACGCCTGTCAGAAGACATGTCGGGCGACGGCGGCAGTGAGCTGCATCCTGAGCCGCCTATTCAACCTCCGGTAGAACAACATTCTCGCTCAACAGGTCTGGACAATGCGACTGGCTTCGTCTTACCCGGCGATGTGCTTCCATTGCCCAGAACACTGCAAGCTACATCTCCCTCTTTCGGAGCTCCCAATGCCATATCCAACGTTCTTCATCCACATCCAGCCATAACTGCCCCGGATAATAACCCAACCATAGCCGGCCCGAGGTTTCCAACAGATGAGCTGTGTTCAAGAGCACTCATCAACACCCTGATGGTTGACTACCTCGACCTGGTCTACCCCCTCGTGCCCGTAGTCCACAGACCAAACTTCCGCCAAGACCTGGCCAACAACCGGGACATCACCGACCCGGACTTCTTCGCACTCCTCGTGAGCCTCTGTGCGCTCACCGTCGGGCTGCTGCCGTCCCGGTTCCGGGACTACCGTGCCATCGACCCGGAGGCCGGCATGCACTTCGAGACGAGGACGGCCCTGATAAACTGCTGTGCCGAGATGTGCACCCGGCAGAGGCCGCACAGCTACTGGGATCATGTCAACCACCGCAAGTGGGCCGTTAGTTATGTCTTTTCCGTTGCAACCTTCCAGACGGGGCAGGTCAACCGCAGCCGCATGTTTGACGTGGAATATCTTCAGCTCTCACGCCTTTTGGGATTGCATCGCATCTCTGAGTACGAGGGTCTGAACTGCATTGAGACCCAGCTGCGGAAGAAGGCCTTTTGGTTGTTGTTCTATGGCTACGCGTAAGAGAAACCCTGCGGTCCCTGCCGAATTCGACTTTGTCTATCTGCGTATCATCACTAATTTACGAATGCTTGACAGCCATACAAGAGTACAAAGCGGACGTTGGGAGCGTCTGACGTACTTCGGGCCGGGCGAACTGCGCGAAGTGAACTTTGATGCTCTCGTCCCCCTCGAGATCGACGACGAATACATCCTCAGAGACAGAATCCTGGACCCTCTCTCCCCAACCGCAGCAACACATACACATGGCCCCCCAACCACAGGAGGCCAAAGCGAAGCAACCCCCGCGCCCCCGTTCACCCTCGCAAGCGCATTCATCATCCACTCCCGGGTGTTCCTCAAGGGCCTCCGCGAGAGCATGGCCACTACGGGGTGCGAGTGCGAGCTCCGCCGGACCCCGGCCGCCCGCCTCGCCCGCATGCGCGACCTCCTCCAGGAGATGCGGTACATGCTCGACGACGCGCCCGGCCCCATGCGCCAGTGGGCCTCGCCGGGGCGTCTCCAGGACGACCCTGCCACGCCCCGATGCGACGACGACCGCGCCAGTAGTGTTGTGTCGAGTTTCGGCAGCCCGGTTGAGCGGCGGCCGAACCGTGCCGTCGGTGTTGGGGAGGGCGACGCCCCGTGTTCGAAGGTTGTTCAGGGCCAGCTTGAGATCATGCGGGCGAACATCCATGTGACCCACCTCTGGCTGCAGAGTCTTCTGCTGGAACAGATCGACGTGGTCATCCAGGAGAAGGTCATTGGTGGTGCTGCTGCTGGTGCCGCTGGTGCCGAGGAGGTCTCGTCTGCCTTGAAGGCGAACTGGGCCGAACGCGAGGATATCTGCCGACAGATGCTGCATCTCCTTCACAGCATCCCATATGTCTATCTCGAACCGAACGGGCTGTACTTGGTATGTTCGTCTGTGTCTTCTCTCGTTCTACCTACAACCCATGTGGATCTTTATCACACAAACATCAGAGGCTGACCCACCCAACCAGGCATACAAAGTCCGCGACGTAGCCGTGACCCTGCTGAACTGCCCATTTGAAGCCAACACACGGCCTGCCATCCGAGCCGTCGAGTACACGCGTGACTTCACACAGATATTGTCCCGGCTCGACCGCAGCGAAATCGTCAATACCAATAGCCTGAGGAGCTGGGTCGATGTCGACCGGGAGCCGGCGGTAGTCTCGCCGCAGTGTCCAGTTGTTCCGTCGTCACCGCATGGACATGTTGGGGCTTCGAATGGCTGTGATAAGAATCAAACACAATATTAGTTGGAGGTTGAACTCCTGGAAATCCAGGTATCAATACATTGACTGAAGCTATGATTCCATCGAAGCCGGCAGACTTCAAGTTCAAGCAGGTGATCATGTCCGGTGAATTGGCGCATCCGGTCATTTCGGCCATGTCCACGGGTGGTCGAAGAAAGGCTGACCGCGCTCGGCACTCTCAACCATTACCGGTCCGCCAGACAAGGCCATCGCGCCGTGGAACGGAGCAGTCGCCCCTTTCCCCTCCTCAGGTCATCCCATAGCAGATGTGCCGCAATAGACCAGCTGCCAGCTGACTCGCCCATGATAACAACCAGGTCCAGCTGCGATATCTGATTAGCATGCATTGATCAACAACCTAGTTTTGAGTAAGGCGAATACATCGCTCGCTGACGCTCGCTCGGAGAATGGCTGGATGGCTCTAAGAAAGCAAAAGGTCGGTGCGAGTGAGCAGGTTAGACAGACTATAAGATTTCTTACAATAGCACTGCCGCGCTCAGAAATTGGGGTGGGTGCAGGATCATGTACTATTCTTTGGTGGCCATGTTATACAACACCTAAGCTGTGTTGTGTACTAATTTGTTATTGTAACCCCATTGTGGTCTGAATCGAACGGGCCCAAGCTGGCCATATTCGAAAAATCTTCCAATCACGCAATCTTCTCCGACTACTCAAGATGTAGACATGTGCGCGCCTCCATTCACGTGGAAAGTTTGGCCAGTCATCCACTGAGACTCGGGAGATGCCAACAAGGCCACCACACCGGCGATATCCTCAGGAAAGCCCGGGCGTCCCATTGGGCTCAGCCCACTTACTTTCTCATCGATCTCTTCCGCGGTCAGGTTCTCGCCCCCGGGGATGTAATCCTTGGCAGCCTCAGTGTACATGTCTGACTTGATGCCGCCGGGCGCAATGCAATTGACGGTGATCTTCCGGGACGCGAAGTCATGAGCAAGACACTTGATCATGCCCGTGATGGCTGCCTTCGAAGCAGAGTAAAGTGCGTGGCGCGGGACACCCTGAACAGCATTAGTGGGATTTTTCAAGGAGCATCATGCGTGTTGCTTACCCAAACTGCAGAGATGGACGAGATCAGGATCAGACGGCCACCCTCCTTCAGGTACTTGTGAGCCTCTTGGGCCACGAAGAATTGAGCCTTGACATTGACGGCGAGGACCCTGTCGATCTCCTCTTCCTTGACGTCTTCAAGGTTCCCGAAATGCTCGATACCCGAGTTGCTCATGATGATATCGATGTGGCCCAGCTCGGCCGCAGCCTGCCGGAACAGGCTGGCGATCTGGTCGCGCTTGCTAACATCGGCTTGGATGCAGACTGCTCTCACGCCCAGCTTGCGCGCATCGGCAGCAACAGCCTCGGCGCGAGCCGCCGAAGCGACGTAGTTGATCACGACGTCGGCCCCGAAAGAGGCAAGCTTGAGGGCGATGGCTGCGCCGATGCCACGGCTGGAGCCGGTGACTGAATCGATGGTCAGATATGCGCTTCATAGTGATTCAAGCAATGAGATGAAACTTGCCAACAGCGACTTTGCCAGACAGTGGTTGATATTGACTCATTGTGATGGTTTTTTCTTTTCTCGTGCCGATTTTCAAGATTGTGATGTATCACTGGTTGAAGATGCTCATATGAAGATGGAGAATCATTCTTGGCAAAGGGAGAATGTATGAGATATATATACATTTTCTATTTCTGTGTGTTCAGTGCTTTGTTCACAGGTTGCTAATTGACAAGTGCGCGAGGCGCGCACAAGAGAGCGAATGCCGAGCCTCGCGCTCTCAGGGCGGAACTCATTTGTCGCACCTCCGATGGTGTTAGCGCCACGACTAGTCCGCAAAGTACGCCCGCTCTACTCTTAAGAGACATAGTAAGGCCCAGACAACGATCGGCCTTTGGGGAAGGGTGCCGGTCACCCGCGAACGCGGGCTGACATCGACTGAGTGCACCATTCATCCTTGCTGGGTGATACCTATCGCATCTTTGCCGATAAAATTCGTGGTTTCCAAGTCTATGACGCAACTACAAGACATAAAGGCTGGGAGAAAGCTGGGCCGGGACCCAGAACTCCATCGCCAACAGCAGCCGCCAGCCAGCTAACATGCAAACTAACAAGAGGTCAGCGAGAGCTTGGACCAGATCATGTATATGTGGCAATGGGAACCTTCAAGTTCTGAGTGATACTCCGTTGTGATATTATACCTCGATGCTAGGGTGTAGAAATTCGCGGCGGATGTCTGCGAATTTGACGGTTTCTTTCCAATCCGATGAACTCCACCGAGTGTGAATGTAAAGTTTCGTGAAAGAGCATTCTTTGAAATACTACCCAGGAACCTGGTAGTTAATCCACCCGTACAGACCTTCCCAATGACGCGGGTGTCATGAAATTGAAGGTGTGGCGGTGCTATGTAACAGTGGATATGCCAGGTATTTTGTGCTGTGCCGCGAGCGTGCCTGAAGCTGCGGGTCTGTCCCAGGGATTGGTTGGCAACAGAAGACCCTCGCAGAGTGTGCCCGCTATTATTTAGGCAGCTCTGTAGTCATACCCGCCGCATCACCTGGCATTCAGTACACATATATCTTCTCTTTTCCCTGTCTTCCCATCGCCCAAGCAGCCTTGCGGAATCCATTCCAGAACCACGTGTGCGCCTCTACAGATTTGACTCGGGCTTCCCGCATCAGGCATCATGTCTCTCGCACGTCTGGATGAGTAGCATCTTGCTTCCCTCAAACAAGCGATGACTAACATCCTTTCTTTACCACACGCCGAGTTCACCTACGCCCAAATTGTGGACGGCATGCCAACCAGCGACATTTACAGAAGCGACCACTGGTACTATGAGCACAATGTTGCACTGCCAGTGGATCATCAGCATTTATGCCCTGGGATAATGAAAAAGACTCAAGCTTTCCGCGCGGAATTCGATATCATGTCTCTCAGGTTCGACACAAAGGTTACTACCCAGGTAGCAAGGTAGTATCAACATTCAAGATAGCTAACACTTGATTACAGACAATTGATGCGTACCAAGGCACTGTTGTCGGGACTGTTGCTTATCAACTGCGACTACTAGAGCTGGTCGTGATCGCTTGTCATGATATCGCTGGTTTTCTTTACCAGATGGATGACGGTGCTCACAAGCACGCAGAGTTCGAGACCTGGCACGCGGAAAAGCTTGAATCACTTACAAGAACCATAGAGAATCCCACACAACTTCGAATCCAACGTAGCAAGTACGGGCCACCTACGCCATTCTATCGAGGCGGCTGTTGGGCATGGAAGAGATATCCTAATGGCCTGGCAGATGTTGCTGGATACTGGGCAGAATATCATATCTTCGGTGGTACTGTTCTCTTTGACCGCGGAGAAACTGAGGAGGAGGTAAGTGAGATCAAGATCTATGTTGTGCAAATGGAGACTGTCTTATGTCGTTTATAGTGCAATGGCATATACATATACGGCACGGGCGATGTTTTCACCATCGCACCGCCTTCCGAAAAGCAATTCAACGAACTTTTGGATTTCATTTTATCGCCAAACCCAGATCACGGCCGCTGCCCTCTCCCTATACGCATCACAAAAGGAAACAAATGGCGTTGGCATCCCTACGATGGGATGGTTAAATACCACATATATAAATTTCGCCACGATGTCCCAGAAGGGGCGCGGCCGCGTGATCATTGCGTAATCACCACGGTGGACTGGCCTGAATCTGCTGACGAAGATACTATCCTGACTCAGTATGAAAGACGCTTGATGGGAGAAGGGGACCCTGATGAGGATTTGATAAGGACGTGTCGGGAACGATTGAAGCGAACAACTACTCCGACCTCCAGGTGCTACCACTGGAATGAGGAGGAACAGGCGAAGTTGCAGCCCGATCCAAAGAAACGAGGGCGCCCTCCGTACTTCTTTGACCCTTAAAGAGATTGTCTTGTTTCGCGTGGGCTTGGTGGACTGTGCCGGTGTGCAGTTTCAGTACACACGATGAACAGAGAGTTTAGAATGAGATCGTATCCTGGTAAAAGATCAACACGGGCTCTGCACTCCTGCTATGGTGAATCACTATGCCAGTCACGCCGCATGCAGTCTCGTACTTCGCAAGATATGTAGCCAGTGAGCCCCCTGCTACCTTCCTAATCACCAGACATTAATGAGGCAGACATACTTACCGAGTCTCAGGTTTACAAGGCAGTGCCAACATGACAAGTTGCCTAGCTTGGAAATCATCAGTGTTTGGAAGCAAACAAACGGAAAATCAAGTCCACCTGGTAGACAGGGCTTCACTAATTGCCTTACGAGGTGCCGTATGGACCAGCTTGTCCAAGCAGCATAATCAACGGTCTTCTGATATTGTATGATGTCCTCTACTATGTGCGACCCAGGTCCCGATTCTCCCAACCCCGGGATTGCCAGTGTCGACAAGGAAATTACACATGTAGGTTGACTGTAATAACAAAACTCAGTCCCGTAACCGTTCCAGCAATTGCTGCTTATGATGTAGTCGCGACTCTAGACATGCTGGCACATAAAGTCCCGCATGAACATAATCTCCAGGGCTTATCACAGTCGCATTCGCCAGGCACCATATGTGTTCCGGACTGCACAGGAACCCAAAATGGCCCCATTTGTATCGGTTTCGATGGAGATTGATTCAGGTGGACCAAAACTGTCCTGATTGTTGTGGTTGTTATCGGTCTCATACCTAGGTACGGAGCTATGACAAGATTTATGCTGAGAAGTGACAGGGAGACGACACTAGAGTAGCGACGCTGCGATCAAGCCCAACAGCTGCTAGATACCCAACAGTCGAGCCACCCGGGACTGGCTACTAGCTTGCTGGCCTGGCCGGACGTCCCCCAACCTTTGCATTCAATGCGTCAAGGACTCAGATCTGATACCTTGGTACATACCTAGGTAGTAAAGAGGGAAAAATCCCGCCATGGGTGCAGGACTTGTCGCAGGGAGTCTGGGGAAGATAATCTTGGAAGGCCAACCTCTCAGGGGTTGCAAAGACGATGCGTCCATGGCTGGTTCGTTTCGTGGTCGCTCTTGGCACTTTTATTGCACGCAGGTGGGCTCGAAGGGGATCACGATCTCTAGCGAATATGCCGGATGGTAATTACGCGGGGAGAGATGGGGGGTTATGTGGGAGGTCACGTACAACATCACGGCAGGTTTGTTGACTGTCCCAAAGCGCCTGCATTCCGTCATCGCAATTGCACCCAACCGTTGAAAAGTCTACGGGTGGCCGACCCATGACGACGACAGTACATGGACACACCGGTTCACGTTTCGAGGTGTATTTGGACTATCTGGAGCCCACCCTTTTGTGGCTGCCTAACTGGAGAGATCAACCACGTCCTCCAAGCCCATCATTTGAGGCCCCCACCGTCCAAGAAGTAGTAGATGTTCCTCGTCCTACACCCTCAAGCTCCACAATTCTGTCGCCATGCGGCCCAGGTAGGTCGCTAGACTAAGCGGATATACCAGTCATGTGGGTTGTTCTTCGAGGGCATTTTCATGGCCGCGTAGCAACTGCAAACTCTACCTGTCTACGTCACTGCCGCCTTCCACCGCTCGAGATCATGCAACTATGTTCCACAGGAACAAGCCGGCATTCCTGCTGCGGGAGCTTTGCCAGTTCCGAGTGGACAGGCGGGGGGCCTGCCGTCGAAGCCGCCATAGACGACATTGCCCTGGCAGCCCCCGTCGAAGCCGCCAGAGGTGACATTGCACTGGCCGGCCGTGGTGCCAACCCTGCCAGCACCGTCGAAGCCACCAGAGGCGACGTTGCCAGCCCTTCCAGTGCCGTTGAAGCTACCAGAGGCGATGTTGCTCTGCCTGCCGACGTGGGTGTACGGGGGGTAGCCGCCGCTCTGCTGGGCACGTCAGCCCCGGCCGCCGCGGCCTTTGCCCTGCACACCCTGCCCCTTGCCCCGCGTCTGATGGCCCGCAATGTGTTTCTTCATCTCAGAGAACCTGGTGGTCCCATAGTGGACCTGCTCACACCCATGGTAAGGGCAGTAGAACGCAGTGGTAGGGCCCTTCACATGCATCTCGTCCTTGTGCCGGGTGTAGTCTTGGCTGTGCCAGTCGCAGGTTGGGCATTTGCACTTCCAGCCCATCACCGTGTTGCCCTCCTTGTTGGTGTATGAGCTGCGACGCATCCTGTCAGCAACGAACTCATAGATTGCTGTTGGCGCTCGGCGGGCGCGGAACTTACCTCTGTTCGAACCCATAGTCGTGTGCGGCGGGTTGTGCTAGAAGGCGGAGGGCCACGGCGTTGGGCGCGTCCTGTCTCGTCTGACGGAATCTTGCCTCCCCAAGTGCATTAGGGTGCCTCGCATCACCCAGGCGGGCGGTCAGCTCCGCAACGGTGGGTGCGGTGGCTGGGCTTTTGGCTTGGTGGTGTAGGGAGGCGACTACGGCAGCTGCTTCGAGCCCCTGGCTGGCGAAGAATGCTGCGAGGGCGGTAGGAGTAGTAGGCACGAGAGAAGTGTTGAGAATTAAGGGGGCCTGCAGCCAGGCAGAAGGGATTGGAATAGGCGGGGCTGGCAGCGAGGCGTCAATGGGACTACCTGCCACCGGAGTCCGGGTATGGCCAGCGGGGATGGCAGACTGAACAGAAGAAGAGGACAAAGAAAGTGAGTCGGGAGTGTAGGCAGGGTCAGCTGCCCCACCTTGATTAGAGAGGCTGTCGCTGGACATCTTTGCAATGGGTTCTGCTTGCATTGTTTATAGGTGTGTGGCTTTCCTTGAAGGGGAAGAAGGAGATCGACACGTCTCTATTTGCTGCAGATTGAGGAGCAAGAGCACTTGAGGTGAGTGGAAAAGAAGGATGGGGAGGTGGTTGGAAGAAAGAAAAGGTTGGTGGAAAAAGAAAAAGGTGGGTGGTGGAAAGAAAAGGGTGGGTGAAAAGAGGGAGCTGGTCAGGAATTCCACAGCACAGTGACTCACAGGCTGCAGAGGAAAGTTGCAAACAGATTGATAGGATCCAACGAGCAGTTCTCGGCGGGATCAGAGCTGGCACTATCCTCGAGGGTACTTGCTGGGTGGGGCAGACGAGGCTGGGCCAGGCTGAACACGCGGCTGACAATGCGGCTGACCACGCGGCTGCAGCCTGCCCTAAGTGTGTGGCTGACCCACAATCCATAATCACAGCAGCCCTGGGAAATGACGACTGTCCCTGCTGTTTGAATGCATGTTCATGTTCCTAAACCCATTGCACATTGAGCACTTTAAACTGTTTGCATAGCTCAGTCGACGGGGCTCAATTGTCCTAAGTTGCATGGCGTTTGATTTTCCCAACCGCATCCAGGTGTCGCTACTTGATACAGTCACTGATGCAAGTCTAAAGTAAGAGAAAGATCACACATGATCATGAGCATCATTATTACTTGATGGTCTCTGAAGACTCTTGGGGAACATCTAGAACTTGAGACGGGACATCAGTGTCTCGTCTGGATCCAACCGCCCGACCTCAACCGTCCGTCCGATCTTCATCAAAGTGGCGTTTCGTCCCAAGCCTCTTCACACCCAGCTTTGTACTCAAAGAGCACCCATTCTCCCTCACAAATGACCATGTTTCTCATCCTTCTTACTGACATCACTGGAAAGAGGACAGAGGAACGATTGCCCTTCCCTTCAGCAACAGCTTGTCATTCTTTGTCTCGTGGCTCTCGCAGTGACTCTTGAACTGAGGTCCCCTGGTCCTATAAATCTTGGTATTGCACCCCTCGTAAGGGCAGCACAGGAAATTGTTGATGTTTCGGACGTGCATTTCGTCCATGTGGCGGACATTGTTCGAGCCAACGTAGTTGCAGCCAGGGGCAAGGCATTTGTACTTGTACGCACGCGATCCGTCCTTCTTGGTCCTGAGGCCATACATTCTGTCAGTTCCACAAGCGCCATGCGGAGTTTTCACGAGGGGGGAACACACGTGTGTTGGGGCTCGAACTCATGCTCCAGGCCAGGGTTGGGCGCCAGCAGCCGAAGGGCCAGAGCGTTGGGCAGGTCTTGGTGGTACTGGTTGATGTGCTCAGGCTTCACGGCCCTCACACGTTTGAGGAGCTCCACAGAGGTGGGTGGGTTGAGGCTGCCGGTGATGTTGTGCCGGATTGCGGCAGTGTTGATGCCTTCCTCCAAGCCATGTTTGGCGATCACCTCAGCAAGCACACTGTGGGTGAAGTGCTGTCCCTGGAGAAAGATGTTCATGATGCTGGACATGATTGTAATGGCGGATTTGTTTGGGAATTGATGGGTGTGTCGTTTCAAAGGCGAAGATGGTTGTGTTCGGGGGTAGGACGACCTGAACTTGAAAAGCAGGTACTACTTGAAAAAATGGAAGTCTTGGAAAAGTCTGCCAGTGTTGGCCCTGGCCCTGGCCATTCACTGGAAAGGAGGGGCACTGAGGTACAAACAAACTGACAGGGGCGTGTTCAGTCTGCCGGCATGCTTGAAGCCAGCTACAGACCTCCAGAATGCCACAGCCCAGGTGCAGCTGAGGTTGAGGGCATGGGCAGGGTGGGCTGCACCACAAGGCCACATCATGACAGCACCATGGATCAACTGACAAGTCGGAATTACCACCACTGTGAATCAAAGCTGCACCCCATCCCCAGTCAATTTGAAGTGTGACGGCCTTGCCCTTCAAATGGTATTGTGCTGTTTCCTTTATGTTTGAAAACAACCTTTAGCACGATCATTATCACTCAAAATACCTTCAGGCTGTTGCCCCCCCCCCCCCCGCCGCCGCCTCCAAATCAAATGAAAGAATAGCCGGGCATGATCTAATGCCCGCATAGAAATATTTCCCTATCCATTTTATAGCAACTCCCGTATGGTAAGCTTGTCATCCAAGCATTTGATGCAATGAGATGATGACCCAGTTGGCTTGAGCTTTCCAAGTTGGCACCTGGCACACATGAGCTGTAGCAGAGGCCAACGGCAAGACGGTGGAATGGAAACGGCCGTTACCGCCAGGCTTTCAAACTGCGGGAGATGGGTATCGAGCACGGACGAGGCTAAAGGGCACTACTGTCTTGACGGCGCCGTTCATCGCTAATGGCAGCTGGGCCGACTCGGACGTCGTCGGTGTGGGAGAAAGGACCTCACAGGGTGTGGTTTCGTTTTTTAATCCCCATACATGTAAAATGTACGTGGCACCTTCATACAGTAGTAAACGCTCAAGCCCCAGCGTTTAAAGAAATATAGTGCCAATAACAGTGGAAAGAGAATACAGTACGTAGGCACGTGGCTGAGCCTCCAGCGTACCGCACAGACAAGGCTGGAAGGTATCGCTCCCGACGGCGCCGCATCGTCGACACAAGTAGCCTAAGGGCTAATAGCCGGTAAATTAGTCATACAGCGAGACTAGAATAGTCTCAAAATGGCCCCTATAAGAAGAAGAATCCCACAACTTGAGACCCAGCAAGCTACCTCTTCCCCATCAACACAAAGGACCTCACAGCTTGGCCGGTTTTCTGCCGTAGGAATGGGTAGAACATAACCCTATCCCTGCTCGGAATTAGTCGCGAAACCTTCCGATTTGTTGCCTGGACTCCCGCCCTGGCGTGAGCGTGCGCCTCCCCTTCTCACGCCACGAGTGGTTTCGTTGTTACCTCATACACCCTCCAGGCATACGCTCCCTTCACACAGTGGTAAACTCTCAAAGACCCAACCACGCCACGACAGAGCCACTCCTAGATCCTCGAAGCCTCTTTGAGACTTTCAACCATGCAACAACAACAGGACCCAGCGGCCACCTCCGCCCCAGGGGTTGTCACGCTCGATGAACCACACCCAAATGGCCCTGTGCCTTCGCTCGATACCCAGCATCGGGATGACGAAAGTCGCCTGGAGGGCCTTCCAGCCGAATTGCGCCGGCACATTCTTTCTCTCTTGGACATCCACTGCCTGAAAGCCCTTGTCCATGCGTCGCCCACCTTTCACGAGCAATATCGCCACGATCGCAGACACCTTCTCAGCACTTTATTGCATGTAACATTGGGAACTGTTACTCTCGATGCTCTATTTGTTTACAGGGCGCAGGCTCTGGAAACAAGCTCCTTTGAACGCATGAGTGAACTAATACACATCTGGTCGGGGACATGGCCACAGAGGGCATCATTTCAGCTTGCTGCCCAGGGTGGATTGGTCATTGAAGATGCAGCGGTTGCTATGGTCCGCTTTTACCTCAATTTTGTCGCCCCGGTCGCAAGTCATTTCATGAACAAAACCTTGAGCACTCTGAGGTCACTGGATGCAAGCGCTGGTGATAACTCAGACTCAGATGCTGAACCCAGCAGTACAGAGTGGCAAAGATGTCTGAGAGCTGCCTACAGGTTTCAACTACTCTGTTGTGCCACCCGGCCCGCCATCACCCAGCAAACTTTCCATGTCCGTGGGATGAATGCATCTCGTATATTCCACACCCCGGAGCCGTGGGAGGCCGAAGAGCTCCTTACTTTCTATGAGTTTGCCGAGTATACTTACTACAATCTCTTCAATGAGATTGCGGCAGCAGTGAACCCCTATGACCCCAGATTCGAGGATCAAGAGCACGTTCGCCTTCTTCCTGTTCCGATTGGATCATCAATCGAGTTCCATGACCCTCGGGATGATTGTAAGCCTATTAAACCCCCTACTGAGATATTCGCAGCTCACCGTTTCCACCAGACACCGCGCGTAATTACCTAGAAGGAACCACGCTGCGCGGTGGTCTTCAACTCCTTCGTACCGTCCTCATCGACTGCAAGTCTGAAGACTTGGAGCCGCTTGTCACTACAATACAGCGCAGCGTTGTTCAATCATGGATACCCATCAGCACACTGGACGGCTTCCTAAGCTCTAGGTTTCAGAGATGGGGCTCGCGTCGGGGGCCTCGCGAGAAGCTCATGAAGGAACACGCCCCGCTACCATTCCAAGGGGATGACTTGGATCGGCCACCACTGTGTTGGACCGACATATGGGATGGTCAATATAGCAACCTTATTGGAGGCTACATTCCCAATGAAATTCGAAAATGGGGATATGTCTTCTGGGACGCAGACAGAATGAACAGACACGGCCGTAGACACATGCTGTCGGAGCAATGGACTGGCTGCTGGGAAGGAGATCCGAGGGAAGATCTTATCCCGTAGGCACCAAATTGATCGGAGAAAGCCTATTGCTATCCATCCATTACCGGTCAGGGGTAACTAATGTCTCAATTGATGCGCTGCTACTGGATGCCCCCCCCCCCTGGTGGCCAAAACCTGTGTATCGCCAATGATTGGGCTGGACGGCCTCCGATCTTTGGCGATCTCTGCGGAAAAGCCTGTCGTTATGCAGAGCCTGTCGTTATGCAGATTCAAGGGAATAGTCTGTTATGGGTTAAATTCTCATACAACAGGCTCTCACACCATAAACTCCTGTCGGATTGACTGTACGGATAGTCTATATGGTGGCTTTCGTTTTTTCACAACCTTCTCACCTATCGAAACTTGATCGACAGAAGACGCCTCTTAGACGAGTCGGAACCTCGAGTCCATGAAGTCTTCAGCGAGCTCTTCAAAGTCATTGAGTAAGCACTCTCCAATGAGCTTCCACGGGAATGACCGAGATTTTATCGCTTTGATGAGACGTTCCGGGGACAATTCGTCTCCATCCGTACCAATATCAATGCTCAACCTCTCATCTGACAGCTTCCTGACCACAAACGGGACTCGCGCTCCGCTGATTTGGATGATCACATCCCCTGTCCTCGCGGACGCAGGCACTAAAGCAAGCTGTCCGGCGCCATCGCCAGAACTCCCAGAGTCCGAAACAGTGTCCGTAACACAAGTTGCCAGCCGTCTCCCATCGACAATGGATTCCGCGTCTATAACACTTGGACTTGGCCTGCGAACGTCTGTATCAAGGTTCTGACCGGACCAGCTTGTGGTGGAATGTCCTCGTCGGTAAAGATGCCTGTAAACTGGGAGGCTGGAATTTTCAACTGCGGCCTGTTTGAGGTGAAGGCGGACGTCGCGGAGCTCAATCAATCGGGATTGAACGAAAGCTAAGTTCGGGTCGCCCTCATCAACATGATCCAGCTCTTGCCATTGGACACCGTCCGCTCTGGTCCGAGCAATAAAATCCTTATCTGCTCTGAAGTTGGAGTCATCGCCCGTCGACGTCAGCTTTCGGGCCCAGAGGGCCATAGACAAGGTGAACCTCTCGTCCTCGTCTTCAACGTCATCCAACAGGGTGTTGAACAACGTTTGGGCATATCCATTCATCCTGATCGTTCCGGTAAGAGCTCCGATGTGTCCCACTACCCGTCCAGATACCTCCATTGTATCCGCGACGGCGGACTGGGATCCGCAATTAGACCAGATAATTTTGCTGTTTGCCACTCTGATTTTCCGGGCGTCGTTCTCATCAGTCGATTCTGTTGGAAGTGTATCCAGTACGGTCAGGCTACTGCGGTCATGCCCACCATTGCTGATGAATGGGCTGTCGTAGTCCCAGCATGGTACCCAAGACGGCGTTTCAACCGTCGCACTGGGGCCAAGACCTCCAGTCCGAACTGTAAAATCGACATAGGACAGGATTTCTAGCGAATTGGTCGTCGCGATCAAATTCTTCGCAAACTGTTCGTGTAATCTGCGCGGAGACAGACTATAGTCCACGCGGAATCTTGCATCGGTAGTGTCAATCCCTTCCGCTATTCCCAGAAGTCCAAAAATCTTGTCCCTTGCATCCGAGGCTTGGAGGTACCTCCCCATGTGGAGCAACCTCAAGATGTTTAACATGCCTGACGGAGAAACAGCCCGAGATGCCTCTGGGGATTGAGGTAATTCTGGGTGGTGAGTTGCTCCATGAAGTTGAAGGTATTCTCGCCGCGCTCGAGTTATCGCCTGGACGATATCTCTTCTACCATCATTCTGAATGCTGAAGCCATAGCGATCGTCACGCCTATGGGACTGCAATACCGTCCTGCTGAAGTCATCCCAGGTGATCCGTCGATAGCCACACTGTACTAGCAAGTGACGTGAGAGCACTGCTTCTTGGAACACCCAAAGCCTCCTGAACCACGGCCGAGATAGTACGTCGATCTCAAGGTCCCGGAACTCCCCGCGAAATGAAAGTAAATCCGTTTCAAGCTTTGCTGGAATCGTATAATCTATCTCGCGGTCGCCGTTGAGAGCCCATTCGCTGTGCCTCTCCAAGAAGTTCCAGGCAGAGAGGGCTGTGTTGCCCTCTGCTGGTCCGAGCCATGCGATGGTATCAGTTGCGGCTGAGAAGATATTGCGCATCTGCTGGACCTGTGAATTCTTTTCGACGACATCAGCCTGGTTGATGCACACTGCATCCACCCAGAGGCGAACAGGGCTGTCTCGGCGGCGGAGGTGGCGAAGGGCGGATTCCAAGTTGGCGCTGACTAGAAACCGTTCGTCGCCCAGCCAGATTTCATGAGAGAGCTTGGGGTCGCCCCATGCGTACGACAAGGCTGTATACCGTTCAGGATTTCCTTTGAAATCAGAGAGGCGATGTTCGGTAAGATAGAACTCGAGGTCATCGTCCTCGCTGTCGCTCTCGAATAAAGTGAGAATACGTATGGAATCCGGACTGGACAGAGGCTGGTAGAGGTGGGCATTGGGGCTTTCATAAGCGGGTGCTGGACCACTGCCGTCCATTTTGGCCCGCTTGCACGCGAGGACTCAGAGCTTGCAGTAAACGGATAGGTTGGTACTGAATGCAATCGATGTTATCATCTCCTGACAATCTAGGCTTCAAATTGTATGCAGAACATGCAAGTCGCCACACATGAGTGTGGGACATGGGCGGGGAAACTAGGCACCAGTGCGGCTCAGTTCCAGCTGACAGGTAGGCAGCTCGCTGACCACTCCATAGATACGCCCTACATAAGGATTGTGTCATGGTGTATGTAAGTGTAAAACTAATGCGATAAGAAAGGTCTAATATCATTAATGTTGTTGCCCGGGAATTGTGGTTCATGCTATTTCACAAGTACCTAGGTAGTGTGTCCATGCACATCTAGGTAATAGCGACCGTAGCTAAGTACCTAGGTACCTAGGTACATATGTAGGTATTCAATCAAAACCATTGATACTCCTCTTGGTAGGATAATACTCCTTTCCTGGCTTACAACGCGAACTTGACGAATAGAAATTATCAATTGATCCGTAGATGCCACGTCTCCTCGTAGAACTACAACATTGGCACAAATGTAGTTTCGCTTCTATTCCGTAAGCGTCTAAGGACATACCTACCGGGGGGAGGGGGGGTCCCTAACATAGGTGTATAATTATATTAAAAATTAACATTTAAACAAAATCTAGACATTACAACTAAATACTAGTAAAAAGCTAATAAAATACTATTATAGGTAAAATCTATTAAAAGGTTAATTATCTATTAGATTTTAACATTATATTAATATATATTAGGAATTTTAAATCTATTAATATTAAATTTTATAAGTTAATAAAAAAATAAGATTTCTATATTTTCTTAACTCTATAACTCTATAGACTTAATATATAGTAATAATTAAGCTAAATAATAGTTAATAAATAGTTAGGTTAGGGATAAATTTAAAAAAAAACTTAATTCTAATAGGAATTAAACTCCCTTTTTATCTATATATTAGGCCCCTAATAGTATATTAAGAGCATTTTAATAAGTAAATTATATTAAACTAAAAAGCGTCATATTATTTAAACATTATATAGTTATATTAATAGTATATTTATATTTTAAGAGAATATTAATACTATTCGAAAATAATAGTACTATTCACTCAATTTACCCCCTCCCCCCGGTAGGTACATGGCGCCTTCATACGGTGGTAAGCACTCAAGACCCAGCGCTTGGAAAGAATACGATGCCGATAACAATAGTTGTAATACGATAGGTGCTTGTGGCCTCACTGGCAGCCTTGCGACGCACAGACAACTTGAAGGCTAAGGGGCACCGTCTTGACGACAGCGTTGATCGTGGACAGAAGTATCCCACGGGCTAGTCGCCGCATTGGCACAAATACCGCATGATTTGCGAACTACCAGTTGACCACTTTCAATCTGATGGAAGGGAAGATGCCAGGGAGAATATTCTAGGAGATCGTCGTCCGAAGGGGCAGAAATTGCTAGATCAGGCGGGATGACGAGCTGCACTCCCTCCCGTCTGTTGGCACTTGATGTGAGCTCCTCTTGCAACTTAGGTCGGGGAACAAACATTTCCCCGGCAGGAGAAAGTCATGCTTTTGTGCTGTGGTCCGCTGACACGTCTTGCATATCAAGTTCAACATCAATGATATCAGAGTGCAAGTAAAGGGGGTGGCCATCTCACTGCTGTAAAAATGGCCCCTAAAGTGTAGATACTGATGACGCTGCCCCTGTAGCCCAAGTGCAGCCATTGGAGCAGGATCATGTCGCTGGAGGCAGGAAATCATCCTCAAAGGGGGGCAACGGGGAAGGAACTGCCAGTGATCGGTGCCGGAATGCGCAGCGGCCTTGATTTGCGTTGCACCCCTCGACGTGATTGAACTTTGTCATCATCACTTCGCCGTTTCGCAACACTCCCAGTCCGCCGACTGTTGACTCATCTCTACAGCATCGTTCTTTGATATTTCAGCGTAAATACTCTTTGAACAATATTGGTTCGCAAGGCTCTGAAAACCCTCCCCTCAAGTAGCAATGTGGCACAAAATCTACTTCAAGGCCTTTCTTTGCATTGCTCCATCGGCCGCGTGGGTTGTTACGCCGATCATGACCTCTTCAAACATTGAAACGCGACAAGGCGTTGACGAGTTCTACCCCACGGACATCCTTGATGGAGGCACTGCTCCACCAGTCTCCTAGGGAAACGGCAGTGTAAGCAAACACGCCGCTATCGTGGATGCGACAGTGCCGATCGACAGCAGTGGGAACTACACCAACTGCGTGCCGCAGCCGAAAGGCCCAGGGCCCCGTCCGAAGTAAGCCGTCAGAAATCATCACCTTCGGCTCTGTTCTAATGGAAGTCCCTAGGCAGGACACTCCCCGGGCCTTCCAATCCTTCGAGACTTTCCACGAAGCCTCGAACTCGGCACGGATCCCTCGAGGATATGAGCTAGTCGCACAAGACCTGGGTGGTTCTGTCGAGAGTGACAAAGGCTTCCTTTATACCCATCCTCTGAGGCAGTACGACCCCGGAGAGTGCGCCAGACTCTGTGACGATCTTCCGACCTGCGCCGCGTTCAACCTGTATTTTGAAAGAGAGCCCGCGTACTTACCCGATGCTTCGGCCGGCTGCTCCAATCCACCATCGACCACGAGCATCGACTGCGTACTCTGGCATACTCGTCTAGACGAGGATGACGTTGGCAACTTTGGTGAACTGCGGGAGCAGTTTCAGGTCGTAATTACGGGCTCGAACCTCTACAACAAAATCAATGGGACACTGGATCTCGGCCATATGGGCTACAGCGGGCCATGGGTAGGTGTGGACAACGAAGCATCCTTTGCAGTCCCAAACGAGCCCGTAGGCAACTACAGCACGATATTGGACCAGAGGCCTCTGTTTTACAACTCCTACAACTCTTCGTCCACTCTCAATCACTACGACCCTACAATATGTGCCCGTCTCTGCTCCGATATCACAGACCAGAGGGTGCCCGGCATCCCATTCAAAAGCATTGCATACCCGGTCTGCAGCATGTTCGTGGCATACGAACTGAGACATGATGTTCCTCTGGCCATGGTATGCGAACTATACTCTTCTCTGTGGAGCACTAGGTATCAGACTTTGCGGGAGGTGGTGGGACTCCTTGAAGGAGGAATGGAGACCATTCCCTTGCGGCCCACGAGGGTATCTGTGTACCATCGGAACGACTACCTATACCCACCAATATGCGCCATGGAGTATCAATGCGGGAGGGACTTCTATTCTGGCGGTGACTGCTCCGGATGGGGCAAAGGCTTTTGTTGATTTGAGACTTGTGGAGCTTCGTAAAATGTCACAGTCGGACTGTCGATGACCTAGAGCAATAGACGACTTAATATTGGTAATCAATTCTCTTGTGACTACTCTGTGCCCTGATACAATGTGCCTTGCGGTGAACTTTGGACAGTTGCCGCCAGGCCTTGGACCGTTGATGTGGGCTCCGAGATAATTCCCAACAGTGCAAAGTAGCAAATCCAGTAACTCAAAGGGACACCAGGCACGACATGCCATGGAACGTTGCGGTTGCTGTAATTCTTCCCCATGGACTCATCAATCTCTCGTCAGTCTCTGGCCCTTCCTATCGCGCAGCCGGCGCCCTTCCGACCCTTTTGCGACATCTCGCCAGTGTCCCACACCTGATCTGTGTCTCCATGACGCTATAACCGCCTCATCACAGCTCATCAGCGCCCAATCAATTCTTGCCTGCTTCCAACTTCGACGCTCCAGGGCACATGAATCAAGCACCACCCTCCCTCTTCGCATACTCGTCCTCCATCCGCTCCCGGTACAGGCGATCAACCTCACTCTCTGGTTTCTCGCGGTCGCTCACATCCTCGATGCGTCTGCTGCTGTCACGGGACGGGGTGGCACCGCCAAGGCCCCTGTGGGCGGCTCTCTCCGCAGGGACCTCATGCCCCCCGGCATCAAAGTACCGCACCTCTTGTACTGGGGGTGCGTCGGGGTCATTCTGGGTCGTGGTGCGCACCGTAGTTCCGCTTGGATCTGAGCGCCGCTCCTCGGTGTAGGAGTGGGTGGTCGTGCTGCCGTTTCGGGTCTCGCTGGAGGAGAAGGCCGTCGAGGAGAAGCTGAAGGAAGGCATAATTGTCGACTGGAAGTGTTTGGGTAGAGTCGGTCGGGATGCACGGAAAAAGTTGCAGTTATTAAAATAGTTATTGAGTTCGACTTAGTGGATGACAGTAGTGGTTATCTGGCGATGTTGCCTCCCATCAAAGGGTTTTGGTCAAACAAGAGATGAGGTCATCGCTGGGGGTGCACGTGACTCGAAGGCAGGGGTTGAGCTTGACGTCACATCAAGTGCTCCCGATTATAGACTGTCATATGCCACAGATTCCTCAGCGAAATGGCTGGTTTCATTCTGTAGCCATACGGAATGCTTTCCATTAGCGTCAACGTGAAGATACATGCGCAGACCACTAAAGAAAATCAACGGACAGAAACATTGGGATGATATGGCAAACAGTGTGCAAGTGAACATTGCCGCACAATCCGGACAGATGACATTCTGAAGTGTCGAGATGTACTGCTAACATGGAATAGAAGGTTCTCGAAAGCCCGCAGCTATCCTCATCAGTCTGCTGGCCGAGACTATAGTACTAGAGCATGGTATCATCGAAGTCCGCGTGTACCTAAGTAGGTAGGTCTCTGCTAGTAAATTTTCCCCGCCCAATATCTGTACCATTGAAATGAGATCGGATATTCGCACCGCCAAAATGGAGGGTACACCCAAACCCAAGGAATAAACTCCCATGGGACAACCTCCTATTAGACAACCTCCTATGGTTTAACCTCCTATGAGAACCTGAGTACTTTGATCTCCAAGTATGGGTGTACCCTCCGTTTTTGCGGGTGCGAATATCCGGTCTCATTGAAATACCCACGTAATGATCTAGGTGGTACTTTGAGGGGGAGCAGCTACGCCAGTATCGTCAGTTCTGCCAAACCAAGTGCGTCAAAGGAAAGAGTGTATGAAGAGCACCTCGGGAGACGCTATCCAACGACGGATTGAAAGACAGATTGGGATTCACGAAGGATCATCCCGCAAGATACGAACAACCCTACTGATCAGAAGTTCCAAAATCAAAATTTCAATACACCCATATATATCACCACGATTGGTCACCTTGATAGATGATGGAAAGGTAAGAAATTAGTTTATATTGTGAAAGCTTCAAGAGTCAATGTTTAATATGCATCCTCTGGGGGAACCTGGAAGCGACAGCAAGGAAAAACAGATATACCTCGTACAAGGGCTAGTAGAAGCCGCGTTGAAGATCTCTCATGGTCATGGGCCGGTCTAACAAAATAAATTGCGATGTGCTCGTATCTGAGCAAGCCCATGAGCACGGAGAAGCTGCCGTCCTGACTAGCCCACGGCATGGGCGAACCTTAACCAGACCAGTGGTCTTTAGTTGGCTTCATCAACAGGCAGGATGAAGGCTACCAGGGCTGAATCCAAATTAGTTTTCAACGAACTGCACGATACTCGACAAAGCCCACCGCAAACACGCATAAGTTCTTGTCGGCGGATCAGCTAGCACTCTTCTAGAGAATGCTAGCAACAGTACGAATGCACGTCTTGCCACGTCTTACATGCACAGATGACCCAAACCAGTAGCAGAGAGCGCACTCGGGTATAAATGGCAATGGTGTTTGCCAATGGCCCTCCCCCACCTTGTCCAATCCCCTCTTCTCTTCTCAACTAATCTTCCCCCAGTAGGTGAACATGCGTCTTTTCAACGTGACGCAGATTGCTGGGTTGGCAGCGGCGGCTGCCCTCGCCCCCAGTTCTCCCCTTATTACCTCCCTGTCCGTGCAGCCAACAAGCCCTTCGCCCCTTCCTGCTTCTACGGAACTTGCCTTTCCTCATGTGACCCCGACCCGCGGTAACCACACATGGCAGATTGTGGTTCCTGCAGATGACAATTCCACTCACACGGCAATGATCATCAACGTCGACGAGAATTCCTTGCCCACGAGCGTCATCGTCCCTGAACAGGAAGCTGGTATTCTTTTCAAGTGGGCAAGCCTCGGCAGCTTCACACTTGGCAACGAAAGTGTCCCCAGCTGGCCGATTGTCTTCGCCGACTTCGTGAGACACCCGGCCTTCGGGCACCACGAGCACACCGGCGCGCCACATCATGCGCCAGGACGCACCCCTCCACGGCCCAAGCACCCATCCCGACCGTACCCCGCAAGGAAATCGCCAGTCCCCGGGGGTCGTCCCCCATTCGCACGGCCAGCCCCGGGGCGTCGTCCCCCGTTCGCACGGCCAGCCCCAACGGCGCTTCCCCCGTACAGACGGCCAGGCGAGCACTCTCCAGAGCTCTCGGCCCTGCTGAGCCTCTCGACGCAGCCCTTCAACTCGAGCCGCCAGCAGGGCTATGGCTGGGTTCCTATGCCTGATGTCAACCTGACCTCTGGGCCGGAATCGCACCTCAACTACACCGATGAATACGACAATTCTGAGGGTGTTGGCTTGCCCAGATGGCGCTGGGTCCCCGTCCCTGTCGAATTTGTCTCCGATGAGGATGGAGAGTCCGTCCGCCAGCGCAGGTCTGTTGACCGGGATTGGCCTTTTCCTCCCAAGTACAAGGGCGGTGACAAGAAGGGCAACCACACTCGCCTGACTGACTGGTTGCCGTTCCCTCCCAAGCACAAGGGCGGTGACAAGAAGATCAACCGCACTCGCCTTCCTGATTGGCATGAATATCCTCCTAAGTTCAAGGCAGGTGACAAAGGGATCAACCGCGGAGGCCTGACTCACTGGTATCCCGGGTACAAGGGCGGTGATAAAAACAAGACCTTTAAAGAGCTTTTAGATGACTTCAAGCACCGGTTTGGTAACCACACCGCCCATCGCAACTCGACCGCCGCTCATGACAGAACCGCCGGCCAAGTCCTCAGAGATGTTCTGGATCAGCTCAAGGACCGGGCTCACAACCACACGACCCATCGCAACCACACCCACGCTCATGGCAGACCCGCCAGACCGCACACGCTTAAAGACCTTCTAGATGACCTCAAGCACCGGGGTCATAACCACACGACCGATCGCAACCACACCCACGCTCATGGCAGACCCGCCAGACCGCACACGCTCAAAGACCTTCTAGATGACCTCAAGCACCGGGGTCATAACCAAACCACCCATCGCAACTCGACCGGCCACATAGCACCGAGGTCAGACCCGCTCGAGGTTGCTGAGGACGTTACCTCCGTGATAGGCAAGGTTCTCGGCGTGATCTTCAAGATTATCCACGAGGCCGAGGCGCAGCAGGCCGCCCACGCCAACCACCACGCCTGAGAGACGCGTCGCCCGTGGCAGCCTGGGCGACTTCTAGGGGACTTCGACCTGGCATGATCCCAGGGGTTGACTGTCAAATCGGAATGGGGAAGTTCAGACGACAGAGCAAATAGTCTAGCGGCTACAAATGTGGCTTCTATACTTGACTCTGTCGTCTCTGACTTGTTCCGCAAATTGGCTTTGGAGGCCCTGAAAAGTTCCGTTGACATGCCCCGGATCGAGATCTGTGCCGGACCTAAGGCAAGTCTCTACTAAAGCTCTTGCGCTGGAGGCCGGGATGTGGTCCTCTTGACTGCTTAATTGAATTCTGCTTTCTGTTACCGGTTAATGTCTAATGGCTTTGGAAGAGGGGTGCGGTGACGGATTATGAGGGGTTGGAAACATCACAGGTACACGTACGTGATGTGAATGTCGATCACTATTTACACTTAATACTCAAAGAAATGACCAAATAAGATAATGCCGTTCAAATTGTAGTCTTCGGCAACAATATAAGTCTCTTCCTTCCGGGGCAATTCTCGGAATAAAACGGCGCCAACTAGGTATACCCTAGGGTAGTTTCACGGAGTTGTTGTTTCTGTGAGGACCCCACGAGATGCGAATGCCTGTGAACTCCAGAAGTGTGACTTTCTCCAAGTTGCTAATCCGGTTGCTTGACCGTCTTATTAGAACTTATGGCCTGATTTCAGATAATTGGCCTTTATTTTCCTATACTAGTATTGGCTTGGGCCAGATTGCGACATAGCACACGTGCATGGTGGGCTCCTCAAGTGAGGGGCCCTGAGCCGGGCAAACTTAGCACCCACTGTGACATTCCTTCAGTCCTAAGAACTTAAACACATGGGTACTGATTTATAAGAATTACAGTAAAATAGGTGTAACAACCGACTAGCAGAGGGCATAACCGCTATCTGCTGACCGACTGATCTGGCACCTGGCTGCCCCAGGGTGCCCCAGGGTGCCCAATCTGCTCTGACCATCCGACCCAGAGAACATTATTTAACAGCTATGCCATCCGTGGTGTTCACGTGCTGCTCACCATCACGGAGCTCTGACTTGCTGGGATCTTTGATGATCATCCCATCGACAACGTGAGCCTCGGTACGTGGGCCGACATAGTACTTCCTTCCCGCGATGTACCAGTAGACCAACGAGAACAGAAGCACAAATGCCAAGATCACAACGGCGTAGTTCATCTGCGGTTCATCCGAATTTAGCAAGAAAAAGGAAAACAAGCAATGGGGGCCAGGAGAACATCTACTCACAGTATCCGCAGCCACGGGCCTCACGGTAGGGAAGAGGAAGATGACAGACACGAAGGCGGTCCACGAGCAGGCCCAGACGTTGACAAAGAAGCTCGCGGGGCCGAGGTGCCAGGGCCCGCGCTCGAACTTGTTGAACAGGAGCTTGCACAGGATGGGGATGCAGTACGACCAGTCCAGCGCGATGGCGCAGAGGTTGAAGATGGCCGAGATGGTGATGTAGCTGCCCAGGCCGATGAGGTTGATGGCGATGCAGATGACCGTGTACAGCCACACGGCGAGGACGGGGGTGTCGGTGCGCCCCCAGATCCTGTACCACACGCGCGAGCCGGGCAGCATCTCGTCGCGGGAGAAGGCCCAGATGGTGCGGCTGCCCGCCTGCAGGGCGGTGATGCACACAAAGTTCATGATGACGAAGGCCGCGACCGCGAAGAAGATGGCCGCGCGCTTGCCCATGACGTTGTAGTAGATCTGCACGACGGGCTGCTCGATGGCCGAGGCGAGGATGTTCCGGGACGGGTCCTCCGAGGCCAGGTCCAGGGGCCCCATGCAGAAGGCCAGGACGATGGTGAAGAGCCAGCCGACGACGTAGGTGAAGCCCAGGGCCGAGGAGATGGCTGTCGGGACGGTTACGGCTGGGTTTCTTGTTTCTTCGGCGATGCTGCGGGTGTCGGTCAGTCCTGCCATCTTTCTTATGTTGGCCTGGCGCGTGGAATCCATGCGTTTGCCTTGTGAGCTGTGGCCGTGGTGGGGAGGGCACCTACTGCGCTGCGGCATCGTAATCGGTCATGACTGGGTTCAGGAAATGTCAGCATCGAGACCTGCGATGGGCGTCTCACAGTATCATGAACCCGTCAGGGCAGTGGCGAAACTTACCCCATGCTACTGAAAGGAACCCGAACAGGAAGCTGAATCCGGGTGGGTTCCACCCGGAGTCAGGGGTGACCTCGGTGAAGACATAGCTGGCGGTGTTCTTGTCCTTCTGGAGAACGAGGAGCGCAACGCAGCAAGAGAACAGGACTGCTATGTGGATGACAGCGTACGTGCTGGCAATCTTGGACAGCCAGGCGGTGTTCAGGCAGTTTACAAGTGCGTGGAAGATAGACAGAGCGGCCATCACCCCGATGATATGTCCCTGCAATCGGTTAGTTATTGGTGACCCTCCGCGTTATTGCGTACCGGGCACGAGTCTGGACAGATGCAGACGGCATCTTACCTGAGTCGGTGAGTAGGTGAAGTCGGAGCCGATGGCCACGGCAGCCAGCAACATCTGAGAAGCACCATAGCTGGACGAGGCGCTACCGCAGATCTGACCGATGAGGTTTAACCAGCCTAGAAACACACACACCATCAGCGACCTACGAGATGCAAACATCTGGGCGGCGAGACATGAGATATCTGCAAGTCACTCACCATCGATCCACGCAATGACGGGCACCCACTTCTCAGGCGCGAGGTACTTGATGGTGAAGTACATAGCCCCTTCACAAGATCATCACGGTCAGCACGTGCCCTCAAGGAACAACAACAGCACCAGCATACCAGAAGTCGGATAGGCCGAGGCGACCTCTGAGATGGAGAGGGCCAGGCACATGGCGCCGATGCCGGCTATCAGCCAGCACCACACGGCCGACGCGGCGCCGCCGGCGTACAGCGGGTACGAGTACGTGGTCATGACGGTGCCGTAGAGCCCCGAGATGGACAGCGCGAAGCTGAAGGCGGACCACAGGCCGAACTCGCGCTTGAAGACCTGTCCGGCGTCGGCGCGCCCTCGTCAGACCCGGGTTGTTCCTACACAACATCAATGCTCTGTTAAGTTACTCACCGGCTTGTAGCCCATGGCCGCGAGGGCGATGTCGGCATCGCTGGCGTCGATGACCTTCTCCGCCCCTTGGGGGTGGGCGGCTGCGTCCGCGGCGGATATCCCGTCTTTGGAGTCCGCCATGGTCGCGATCTAACAGGCGGCAGGTCTGAGGCGGCGGGTGGGAAGTATCAATCGGCTCGTTGGATGTGTCCAGAGATGTTAGCCGACGGCATAGATGATATTCTAGTCCGTGCCTAGTCGCGTAAGACCAGTTCCCGAGACCGAGACGGGCGTGCTTGAGCGCGCAAGTGGTTGAAAAAAAAAAGTAAAGAGAACTGCAAGCAAGAGCCTCGGTGCGCCAGTAGATCTAGAGGAGGGTGTGGCCCAAAAGATAAGCAACGGCGTAAGCGGGGGGTTCTCACCGGCATTTTAATCAAAATAGGACGCGGCGGGTTGGGAATGTCGCACTTCAAGGGCCCAAGTCCCTGGCAGTGGCTGCCCCTAGCGGCCAGGGCACTCAGGAAGCTAGAGGGCCGACGAACAAGCGGACAGGACGAGCTTGTGTATGTCCGGAAGGATTCGCTCGCTGGCGACCCCATCCTTGCCGTGGTGACAGAGAAGCTGACGGGAGTGCCGGGATAGTCACGCCCGAGTCAATAATTATACAGTATACAGTCCGAATGGTTACATGCGTGCTGCTCTGCTTGGCTTGGCCTGATTTCCATCCACAAGATCCTCACATGCGCCCCCCCCCCCTCCCCAGCTGGAATGCGCCCATGCTGCCAATGCCAATGTTGTGTGATCATGTAAGTTGTCGGGGCGGCGCTTGTTCTTGCGGGGACCCGTACCCAGGGACGCTACACCCGGCCGGCTGGTGAAGCTTGTCCAAGGCTTGACTGTGACTGGCATCTTGGCGGGGCGCTAGAGACGTCTAGACAACGGCCGAGACACAACGACCACGCGCTGCGGTAGTGGGGGCGACGGGGTGGGTGGACAGATCCGGCTAGCTGCTGTCTTCTCGTTGGGTTAGTTGCCCCGGTCAGAGGTACGGAGTAGTGGGTCATCAGCGACGGGTGAATGGGCGGCACATGTGGAAATCCACGGATTCTACACGTGCAGAGTTGTCTGTCGGGGGGCATGACAGGGGACACGAGCATCCTGGCATGCGGTCTCTGGTTGGAGATAAGGGCTGTGCGATGTTCCAATGTTTCAGATAAGCATGTCGAATTCGATGACGGCTCCTTATCAAGACGTCCACTCCCAGTCTCGTCCATTCCGATACCCTGACCTCGGCTGCGGTCTGGACCATGGATGCCCACCTGTGCTGTTGCATCCGGGCCAGCCTCAACACTTGTTCAGCTTTGCCATGAAACAGTCACATCCCGTGGGATAGATCTTCTCCACAATCACATTACTTCACACCTCATAAATAAATTTGTGGAGGTTATGAAAATGCCCCAAAAACATTGACGTTGTCCCGTGGTCATTTGAACACTACATATGTAATATCAACCTAGTCTTCCTGGGCCCTCACCTTCATGGCCTCCATCTTCCTGTCATAGCTGAGAGAGTAGAGGACCTCCTTCATATCATCGTTGCAAGGCTCCGGCTCCTCGCGGAAGAACATCTTGTCCATGAAGACCTCCACGGCCACGCCATCTGCACCCTGCTCAGTGTCGACCTCCTTGCCGGTCGAGTCACGCATCGTCCCACCACTGACCAACATCTCCACGGCCGAGACGACCGTCTCGATCGGGGTGAACAGGTGCTGCGGGTACGTCTCCCACATCCCGGGCCCCATCAGGGGCGTCTTGACGATGCTCGGCAGGACGGCGCCGGTCCTGATGCCGTCTGTCCTCCTCAGCACGGGCGCGATGGAACGCATGAAGTTCAGCACGCCCGCCTTTGCCGCCGCATACCACGGCGTGAACTCCTGTTTATACTACAGCACAATGTCAGCCCACGCCAGCGGTGTCGAGCCACCCGTGTGCTCAAATCCCCAGGGCACGGCGCCTTACCAGCCCCACGATGCTCGACGTCACGACCAGGACGGCACCCCTCCCGCCGGCCGGGTTCGCGCGGAAGTAGTGCTGGGCCAGGTAGCTCGTCGCGATGACGCCCTTGAGGTTGATCTCGACGGACATGTCCCTGGGCTCGGGCGGGGGCCCGGCGGCGGCGGCGACGTCGTGCCTCGCGTAGAAGTCGCCCTTCTCGAGGATGCCCGCGTTGGCGAAGACGAAGTCGAGCCTCGACCCCTCCTGCGTGTAGGTCTCGTGGAACGCCGAGGACAGGGACGCCCACGACGTCACGTCGGCCCTGTGGAAGACCGTGTTGGGCAGGCGGGCGGCCACCGCGCTGCCTGCGTCGGCGTTGAGGTCCAGGATGTGGACCCGCCACCCCTTTGACAGGAGCGCCTCCGTGACGGCCAGCCCGAAGCCCGAGGCCCCGCCGGTGATGATTGCTACTTTTGGGGGGGACATGTTTGAGATGTTAATTGAATGCTAATAGGGACAGACGGCCAGAACGCTGTTGAAGTCATGTGGGTTTATGGTAGATATTTGTGTAGATGCCATCCTCACCACATGCTGTGACATCCACATGATGCCAATGTGTGGCAATTCAATGCCCCAGAACCTCTAGCTTGGAACATGTCTGTGAGGGGTGCTGCGGGTTTACAATCCCGGGTAGCCTCGATTGGCCCCGCGGGGCATTTTGGTGCCAAGCAAGCTGGGAAAGCTCAAGCATGACACTTGCGGGATGGGAAACGTTCTCTGGAAACAGCCTTGGTTGCCCAGTTGGACCAATTGGTGCAGCCAAGTGCTTGGTGCATATGCCAGCTCTCCACAGACTTGGGAATCAAGTGTTGGCCGAATCGTCCTTGCACTGGAAGACATCAAGCCCCATGATGGAAAAGCTTGAGTATTGTAGCTGATACTGGTGGCTGGGCCTACAAAAATGGAATTTTGTATTTGTTACTTTGACTCTGGTGTTTAGGAGCACTCTGCACCTGGGTACTTAAGTACCTAGGTAGGTAGTAAGTGCCAAGGTGGTATGGAGCCGAGTGAAGCCTGAGCTCTGTGGTACCTAGGTACTTAAGCCAAAAGATCACAATATAAGTCACACCAGACTTCGAACGCAGCACTCATAAGAACCACACCAGCAAATTTTGTATCTTTTCTGCAGCAGTGGCTGCTGTCTTTCATCACGAAAGCCCAGAGAATTGTTGGGATGAGAAAGTTGAGAGGAACTCCAGAGCCTTGTTCTCATGTCTTGGCAGCTTTTGCATTAAAGCTTGTGGGTGACTTCTTCACATGTGCAGCATCAAGGCATGGGTTGAGCAGAGCTTTGGGCAATGGAGATGTCTGGAGTGTTCTGCTTGCCATTCCTAACTTCAGGTGCTGAATTACAGCACCAACAGTCAGCTCCAGGACAGACCTCTTGGTCATTTGTGGTTATGTGGACCTAGCAAGGCAGGATTGTGTCATAGTCTCCCTTCAGCCAAGGCAGTTTGAGTTGTCTGTGCTGCCAGTGGCCCTTAAGCACCGTCATGCCCCCTCAATGGCAAGAGGTCAATCCATTTCTTGCAGGGGTGCTGAGTCCAGATACCCAGGTACAAACAGTGCTGTGGTGTGTTGTGGTTCCAATATCCAAACGCCATCTGGTGTACACACCTCTTCTTGCAACAAACGAAAGAGAAAGACAAACACAAAAATCGGAACCAATATTTTTCCGGGCCTGCCTCCTTCCCAAAAAGCCTTGACCTTCAATCTTTTCCCCTCCCCTCCGACTCAACACCTCCATCCCTCGACCACACCCACAACCAACCTCAACCCGTCCCCCTTCCACCCTCACCACCACCTTGCACACCTCCTTGCAGCACAAAGAGTTGTACACTACTTACTGCTGATCAACCCAATCACCAATTGCCCATCATGAGGGTAAGTCTCTGTCCATCCAAACGTCATCGCGGTCCTTGCACGCTGCTGATTGAAGTCATCGCAGTTCTTCCTCATGGTCTGGGGCATACTGCTTGCCCTCCTGGGCGTGGTCTCCGCCACTCCAGCCCCAACACCCGCGACGCCTGACCAGGCAACCCGTGTGATCATCGGCCCTCGTCGCCATGGCTACTCCGACCTTCCTTCCAGCGTCCTTGTGTACAACGCCCGTGAGCCTGCCAATGCGATCCCTCAATGGGTGACAGCGTCCGACCCCACCACTGGCGAGGACGCCATCATCTACAACCGAAACGAGATCTACAACGCCCTCTGGGTAAGTGTTGTCCACCCCCACCGACTTCTCTGGCTTGGTGCTGACCCGCTTTGTTTTTTTTTCACACGCAGCAAGGCTATGAGACGTTGCAGCGCACCCGTGACACGGAGCCTGGAGAGCCGCTCGCCTTTGGAAAGTAGGTTTCCAGAAATCCCAGCCAAATGTGTGATGCGAGCCTGCGGTGTGTGCTGACAGTCCCAGTGTTCTCTACCCCGCTGGCCTCATTCCTGGGCTCTACTACCTGGAAGACACCCACTACGGACGATATGGCGAATCGGTCGAGGTTGACTTGTACATGTGGCCACTGCTGTGGACCAATGGTTACACTGGTAAGTAATCATCGCATCGTCACATCATCGCATCATCACATCGTCCGTCAGGCCTGAGCAGAGAGGCAGCACCTCAAGACTTGGTTCAACTGACAGGCAACAGGACACAACCAGAACCCAGGTGATGACCGTGTTGTATTCAACGCGGACGGCGTCTACCTCGGAGTCATCACCCGTCGCCCCACTGTTTTTTCTCTGACCAGCGGAGGAGGCTACAGGTGGTGCCCCCCGTCAAACGTCCGCGGCCAATGGGTGGCCCAATGGATCGGCGGAACTCGAGGCTGGGACTACACTGGAGTCCCAGGAGACGGTGCTGAGCTGCATTATGTCGCACCCAACCGCTGGAACGTAGCCGACAGCCAGCGAAGCTGGTGGTGAGTAAAAGAAACACATCCATTGCCTTGGCAAACAAGGTCCAAGGTCAGGTTGCAAACGTGCTGACCCCCATCGTTTGCAGGTGGCGTGCGAACCCAGGTGGCCACCCACCGACGGGGAGCCACGACAAGATGTACAACTCGTCGGTCCCTGAGGACTACAACAACCCCCTCGACTTCCCGCCGGCTGACAACTCCACCGGCGTCTGGCAGACCTACGTGCCGCCGAGCAACACCACGGCCAACCTCACCCACGAGTTTGCGCCGTTTGACTGCCAGCTCGCTTTCGAACGCGGGGCTGGAGCCTACCATCAGAGCTGCCAGACCCACTGGGAGCCCGGCTCGACGAGCATGTTGGTCCGAATCACGATCTCGGGCACAGGGTAAGCATGCCAGTATATACACTTTTCCCCGAGATAACCGCTAACAAGAACACAGCCAATCCACCACCGACTGGTGCAGGAACATCATCTACAACATGCACGACCAGGTAAGTTCCCCCCAAGGCCCCTACCCACCGACCGTCAAGAACCCACCCGCACAGTGTCGCAAGTACCCAACTAACGAGCCCTGTGCCCCCCCCCCCACCCCCCAGTGCGGCGACAAGTTCAGCCTCGTCAACCACCAGTACGCATGCGACTACCAGTACCCAGGGACCGCGACCTTCTCCAAGGTGACGGACCCCAAGGATCCGGAGTACCTCAACTTCTACTTCGGCATCGACATGCACTTCTATCTGGCGTGGCCGTGGGCCGCGGCCGACTCGGACCACAAGTGCATGGCCGAGGCCGTCGAGATGTCCAGCTGCCTGAGCGCCGGCGTCAAGTCGCGCAACGGCAAGTGGTGCCGCAGCCTGGACTGGAAGCCGGATACCCCTGTCATGGAGTGGTCGGATGATATGGGCCCTGCCTAAGGGCTTTGGTGGAACTGGAGCTTGGGGGGGATTTGATCTGGGGTGTTTTGACGATAGCTGAGGGGGTGTAGCTGTGTCCCACCCGTAATAGCGTGTCGATTTGGCAGCATGAATGTTGTCGGCAGCTTTGCTGATTGTTAATCGGACTTGAATTTCCATCGTCCTGAATCTTCGTGTCATGGCTTTGTGAGGAGTTCATCCTAACAAGATATACTCTGCCACCCGTCTGGGGTTGTTGTCAGGCGAGGCAGCTCGACAGCAGCCGGTGAGCACATATCTCTTTCTCGACGGCAAAGCCACTCTTCATGGCCTTGAGCATACACCCGTGTCGGCCTCTTGGACGATGACCATGCAGACATGACCTAACAGCCTCCAGACCGACCACCTCACGCTCAAGCCAGCAGGGCACCTACCTACCCGGCAGTGAGCCCATTCACTCACCCACTGACGTGCACGCACAAACGCGCATTCGGAGACAGGATCAAATTTCTTCCCTACCTAGGTGCGCACAAAGGGCATCTCCATTCCGCCTCCAAAATCCACAAATATGAACCTGGAGGCCGGTGCCAGCCCTTGACCTCGAAACCTCGCGTCCGCTTCCTCGAAAGGCCCAAGGCCCCTCTACTCTTCTATCTCCCGACCCAGCCAGCAGGGCTGAGCAACACGTTCAGGGTGGCAGTCCCCGCCTGCTGCCACCTCCTTGGTGTTGGTGCCTTTCTGGACTGGGGATGACGTAGTCCGCCGTCATGTTCTTCCGAGTCTCGGGTGACACCTTCGTTGAGGCCTTATCGACGAGGCCGTCAGCCTCGAGGCAGCTCAAGCGCTGTGAGACGGGTGCCCAAGTTGTCACAGGCCACGCCCTCGTACCTGGAAAAGAGGCCCCAGCAACGGGGACCCTCACAATACCACAAGCAAGGACGCCGTGAGAGCCACACACGCCAGCCACATTTAACGCCTGCGCCAGCCCCAGGGACCGGACGCCCGTCCACAACAAGCCGCCCAGCCCAGGTCTCTCCTCGAAAACAGCCGATCCGGCCTCCCGGCCTCCCAGACAGATAAGGCCATACAACTGAGCGCCCATCCGGCCATGACCAGTCACCGTCACTTATGGTGGCTTCGTCTTGGATCGGCCAGCCACATGACCTGTTCAGGATTCGGGGGTCGAGGCATGCATGTCAGAACGTTTGAAAAGGAAAGAAAAAGGGCCCTACACCTGTGGGATGCGCAATATTACTTGCGTGCTTCTGGAAGTAAAGATTAAGTGCACATGGCGCATCTACCATTAAACTTTGGCCACCAACATTGGAATTCAGACAGAACGGCACTGAGGGCATGTGACCAGAACCTGCCCCCCCCCCCGGGAGTAAACATATCGCTTTCTGTTACTCTTCTTCCTGGGCTTCATCAACAGATCGTCGAACTTTCAAATCCCATACCCCACGATCTATCACGACTTCCGCCGTGACACCCTCGAGCAGCGGCGTGCCCTCCTCGGTGTACCGCAGGAACCATTCCAGCAAGTCCGGAATGGTATCAAACACCTGCGTCTGCCCTACCTCGCAATAGACAAACTTCCAAGTCCAACTCCCATCCTCCTCCTGTACAAATACACAAATCCATTGGCATTCGATTGTCGTGCCTGGCTCCCATCCTAGGGCGATCCTTCCGCCAAAATCACCCTCTAGGTTTGTGTCCTCAGGCGACAATATACGAGAGGAAATAGTGGCATGATCCACCCCACCCTCGCTGGTCCACAAGCTCTTGGGATACATCGTCTGCTCATGGGGCAGCCCCGGGCCGCAGATGCCGGTGACATGTCGACCCAGCACCCGGAACTCCTCCGGGGCCGAGATGATCTCCCTGACGTCCGCGGGGGCCTTCTCCTTCAGCGCGGATTCAAGTGCCTGAAAGAAGGGCTCGACACTGCGGGCGCGCGCCTCCGGGTCGAGATCGCCGCCCACGGTACCATCTAGGCGCAGCCGCGCCGCCAGCTCATCGTAGCGGCCCATGAGCTCGGCCGGCCCGGCCAGGAAGTCCAGCTCGTCCTCCACGAGGTCGGCCACCTGGCCCATCCGTTCCTTGTCCATCTCCTCCTCGGTGAACTCGGCTGCCGTCTCCTCGTCGGCATACCCGGCGCCCACGATGGCGTCGACGAAGACTTGCAGCTCGCGCCTGTTCCGCTCGGCTGTGACTCTGCGGTAGTTGGCCAGCGCGGCCTCGATCTCTTCTGCTGTGGACTTCATGGTGGTGGAGGTTTGTGGCTTACTTGTCGCTGGCTGTGCTGTGTGCTGTGCCAATCATTGATGTCTGTTTGCGCCGGTCGTAAAAAGCTCCTGCTTCATTTCCGCTGCTGCCTGCGGGCATGCCAAGCCGATCTCAGCCTCTGTCTGAGAAAAACGAAGTTGCGCCCCCCCCCCCGGCTAAATTACCCCTGTTCAAAAGTTAAACTAATCTCTTAACTCTCTTTTAAGAGTAATTTTCTTTTAATAACTCTTTTAATACTTAATTTAAAAATATATAAAAAATATATTTATAATCTCTATATAAATATATTTTAAAATATTTATTATAAGCTTATATTATAAAAGGTATAGAGGCTATTAGGTTAATAAAATAAGAAAGTACACAGACCTATTAGTTAGTTTTATTAGTAATTAACCTCTAACTTTAATAATATAAAGACTTTTAATAAAAATTATTTTAAAAATTTATATTTATAAAGATATTTATAAGGATTATAAAAATATTTTTTATATATTTTTAAATTAAGTATAAAGAGAGCTATTAAAAGAAGTGTATTTTAAAAGGGAGTTAAGAGATTGGTTTAACTTTTTGAACAGGGGTTATTTAACCGGGGGGGGGCGCAACTTCGTTTTTCTCAGACAGCTAGAGCCACAATGGCTTAGCACCCAAGAATGATAAGGGTCCTGGTATGTGGGCTTTTTGGAGCATATGAACTAATGGGAAGACTAACAGTAGGTTTTCTTGGTCCAGCCCATCCGGCCCCATATTCCCTAGACGTGGTAGAGTCCGAACCCCTTCACTTTTCGCATGGAGTGGAGACCATGAGAGGCCTGCGAGCTATCATTAACCAAGCCGAATCCACGGAGTACTGCTGGGCGCGCAACATATGTGTGTACAACTGTGCCTAAGCCTTCCCGTGACCAGCCGAAATCGTGTTGCTTCGCTTGCTCGGTGGGGGGGGGGGGGATTCCAGAAATGTTCGAGTAAGAACATTGCGCTTTGCGGCAACATTGAACCGCGACTTAGCGTCTGATTATGCTACAGATGTCCCGTAGTTGTAAAACATCGTGCTGGCCGGTCAGGTCATACCACAAGGTTCACAAAATGGCCCGTCCTATTCCCAGCACATTGGATACCCTGGCATAGTCTTAAGGGAACTTATTTGTTGTTCTATCCCCGCCCCCAACACAATTTGTACATTTGGTTCACACAGGAAGATTATATGCTGCGTGGTGGCCTCCTATGATATTGGCACTGCCGCAGCTGCCTTCATAGGAACTTAAGCAGATAGGCCCTGGGTAAGGAATTTATAAATCGCAAGAACCCAAGAAGAAGGTGTGATGAGAAGATATATCTGATTTTACTGAGTCAAATAACCACCGTCCATTACCAGACACGAGCCATGTACAAAATTACTTCGAGAGCCCAACAGCCAAACAACGCCCTCGGCGATTTCTTCCGGTAATCCGAAACGCTTCATTGGCGTCCAGTCGTTGACCTTGATGAGTGCGTTGTCCCTCATCGCGCCAGGCGCATCCGTGAGCGGCGTCTTGATATACCCCGGGGCGATTGCGTTGCACTTGATCTCGGGGTAGTCGAGAGACGCCGTCCTTGTGAGACCTGCCACTCCGTGTTTGGCGGCCGTGTAGGCGCCTGAGTGGCGCAGCCCGGCGATGGCTGATAGCGAGGCGATGTTCACGATCGCCCCGCGCTGTAAGGGTGCATATGTTCTGGGGCTGTTGTCAGCAAGATGGAATCGAGCCAGGGCTGATGGGGGAACTCGCTTTGGTGAAGCCGGGGGGTCCTGCGTGATCATGTGGTTGATCTCCGCCTTCATGCAGAGGAAGACGCCCGTCATGTTGATGCCCATCATGCGATCCCAGTCCTTCACATCTGTCTCGGCAAGCGGCTTCTTCAGGCCTATTCCAGCGCAGTTGACTGCGTAGTCGAGCCTTCCAAAGGTCTCTGTCGTCTGCTTGATCATATTCGTGACCGAGTCTTCATTTCGGACATCAACATTGATCGTGATGCACTTGAAGTCCTTATTGGTAGCAGTTTCGGTGAGTTCCTTCTGGACCGCTGCAAGGGCGTCTGCATTTATGTCTGCAACTGCAATTCCAGAACATGCATCGCGAGCCAGGAGTCGAACGATGGCACGCCCAATACCGGAGGCGCCTCCTGTTACGAGAGCATACCCGGGAACGCCCAGAGAGGAAACGGGCAGAGTAGATTCCGGTGAAGTCATGGTGTGCTGGGCAGATGATGGAAGGATTATTCATTCAGACTCTACGTTAAACCTACAGCAATAGGCATAACTCACGGCCTTTAAATCCCCATGAGGGTATAGGAATTAATTGCATAATAGCAACTATCAAACGCCACACGTTATCCCACTCGTAGCCGAGGAAGGGAGTCGGAACTCCATGCCACCTGGGCAGTTGATAATCCTCCCGGAAATACAATGCCGTCATAGCCCATCCGACCCACAAATTACCGACCATACTGCTGCCATCCCGACCGCGCCAACGCGGAGACTGCCTGCGGTGTCTAGGTACCTACGTAGCCGGCATGATGCAGACATGGACCTCCTCGCTGCAGCACCAGTGCCAGAAAAACCTTGCAACGGAAGACTCCAGAGTTTTCTTTTGGTCGTTTCACTGGTCAAAACATGGTCTATAATCTTATGTAGAATTCAAGGACAATGTTACGAAAGAATGCAGCGAATACTCCTAAGCTCAAGCTTATCGGACTTCTAGCACCTTTCCTCCCAAGTACGTGTTCATCCCGGATACAAGCATCAACAACAACCCTATCCACATCCACAGCGAAGTGTTTCTCAGGCTTCGGACAGCCCTCTGCAGGACCCAAGTCGGACTTCCACCTTGCAGTGCGAAGTCCCGCCAGCGGGGAAAGAATGTCGCTCGCCAGAACGAAGAAGCCATTCCGGGCCAGGAGGCAGAATTACGACCCGCAGAATTCATGTACCAATTAATACAGCCGGAATTGAAAACGGTCTTCGCGAGCGTCTTGTCTAGCTCCGTGACGAAGTGCGTTTCGGCTTCTTCTTTAACCTCCATGACATCTGCGTAGTCGTCGATGACGGTCTTGAAGAGGGTCTTTGCCAGGTATTCAACCTGAACCTCCACAGCATAGATGACAGAGTTGAATGCCGGGAAGGTGTTTGGCCCGAAGAGGATGCCGAAGTTGGGGAAGTTGTGCACGAAGGTCCCCATGTAGGCCTGCGCCCCTCTGTCGGACTCCCACTGGTCCTTGATCGCGACTCCGGTCTTGCCGACGATATTCATGGGGGCCAAGAAATTCGTTACCTGGAAACCGGTCGCCAGGATAATGATGTCGAAGTCTTCCTCGTATCCGCTCGCGCTGATAATTCCAGTCTTGGTGATCTGTTGAATCCCCTCCGTTATTAATTCCACATTGTCGAGGTGGAGCGATGAAAGATAGTTCGGGTCGAAGATGCGCCTCTTGCAGCCGAGCGCAAAATCGGGCACCAATACATCGTGATACTTCTGTGGCGCTTGAGAGTATATGTACTTTTTGGCATTCTCCTCGATCATCTTGCGAGTCCTGACCTCTTTGGGCGTCGACCCATAAGATGCAGCAAGGCTATCGGTGTCCAAAAATGTCTTGAGTCGGTAATACCGCTGCCAAAGAGGTATGTAACGAAAGCAGAAGCGTTCGAATGGGCTGAACCGGTGATTCGGCCGTGGGTGGTACCATTGTCGGCCTCGTGCGAATCTACATTGGCGTGTTAGTCTTGGGGCGTTCTTTAATTGGGTGGACGCCCATACGTACTGCGTGAGTTTGGAGACCTCCTTGGCGATGGACGGCACAACCTGCGCGGCGCTGCAACCGTTGCCAATGACGGCGACTCTCTGACCCCTGTAATCGCAACTGTGGTCCCATTGTGCTGTATGGAATACTTTGCCGCCGAAGGACTCTAATCCGGGGAACTTGACATCCCTAGGAATGGCAAAGCCTCCGACAGCTGTGAGGAGTATCTTGCAAGTTCTAGTGAACTTTTCTTTGGTCCTCGTGTCCATGAAGCTGACCTGCCATAGAGACTGTTCTGGCTGCCACGTCGCGCCGGTGCACTCTAAGTTGAGTCTGAAATGTGGTCGCAACGAAAACTTGTCCACGGTGTCTTCGATGTCTGGGGGATGCGTCAGGTACTCTGAACCCGTCCTTGGAATGGCAAGACCTACACTGGAGTATTTCCGTTTGATCACACAGCTCTTCACTCCAATCCGGATTCAGGTTGAAGGAGAAAGAATAGAGGTGGATGGGCACGTCAGACCCACTTGATCCTGGTCAGCTAGCTGCTCAAGATCAGGGGTTCTTTTCTTGTTTCTCTTTTGGCTTACCATCCCGGGTACGTGTTGGCTTTCCATGTACCTCCAATGGACTCACGTTTTTCGAAGACCTAGATACACTGTCAGGCACAATTCTCATGATTTGAAAGCCCACACATACCTCAAATTCCGTGTATCCTAGCCTACATCTTAGTGTGTGGGCCATTGCGATACCCGACACGCCAGCGCCGATGATGATGGTGTTCTTGGCAGCCATCGCGGGGACGAAACAAACACCAACGTCGGTACAGCTAATAGGTGCAGAATATGGTGAGCCCGTGGCTGAGGGAAGATCGCTAAAAGTATCTGCGTCCGAAATGACGGGGTCTAAGTACTGTAGTCAATGATCTGACAAAGCTCACTCAAATCAACAAGGTGATGTGGGCTGTCCAGGCCGGGTGTAAAAGGTGGCATAGCACGCTGCGGCAGGAAGTCACAACACCAACGGCCGTCAAATGCAAATGACATACAGCAGTCTTATCCAGGTTCAGCTGTTCCACAAATCTCCCACCAGGTGCTGTTCTATATTCCATGGGAGGTTATACCACAGGAGATCGCCACCTCGCACTTGCATCAACGACTTCCACTAGGCCAAGAACTGTGGAGGAGGAGGAGGTTGTGTCGCAGCGGGGCGCAGACGGAAATCGAATCCCGCGCGCCGCCACACTAGAGCAGCCATGATTTTGGAAATGTGTTTACGCGCGGAGCACGATGACGTCCCATGGCCGTGGAATCACCTTTCCCGCTCGATGGACTGTTTGACTTGATCAAGTTCACCAATTGAGTCCCACGACCCCAGATCCGCCATGGCTTTCCCAGGATCGGGGGTGTCTGCCACGCGGGCAAAATCGTGTGCGACACCAGTTCAACGTCCCCCAGGCCCACCCCCGGATCTACCCCGGATTCTCGCTGGTCGGGTTCCATCAGGACGCAAGACTCTAGGTCGAATTTTAATGAAAACGTATTACTCGCCAGTTCTGATACATTTAGAACTCGTTCTCCTACGACCTTCCACGTTGCATTTTGGGCATCCCATCTGAACCTCACTGTCCCAAAACTTCTGCGGTATCCCTTATACGATGTATTTCAAGTATGCCCAAGGGCGTTTAAGCAGCCGGCTTACCTACCGGCTGATGTCAATGAGTTGTGCTTTGGTAAGCTCAGCTACGAATAGCAGAAAACGCAAGCTGACGTCTGCAGGCTTTTACTCTTTATGGGTATGATGCTGGAGTGTTGGGCGGAGTACAGAACACGAAGCCTTTCCTAGACGCAATTGGTGTACGATAATCCACCCAAGCGAACAGCCAGAGGAGGTAGCTGACATCACAACAGAATCCCCAGCGGCCATTCGATATACCTATGGTCGCTTCCTCCTATGTGCTGGCAGCTACGGTCGTATCCGTATTGGTGTTTTTCATCGGCATGCCACTCGGTCGGCGCGGCTGCATATTGATGGGTGATGGCCTTGTCGTAATTGGGTCTGCTATTCAGGCCACTGCCTTCTCCATGCCCCATATCATTGTTGGCAGAGTCATCTGCGTAAGCTGTCTACATGTCGTTTGCTCCCGCAGAGTCACCTCACCTGCTAACTTTCCCAGGGCTTCGGAATCGGCGTGAGCACAACTAACCCCCATGGTGTCATGGCTTTCACTGACAGACTCTAGTTCATATCAAGTACAGTACCAACATACATGGTCAGTGCTTCGGCTACTCGAGGTTTCCTTATGTATCATCGCTGACCAAATTCAGGCTGAGATGGGGACCGACGCAGCCCAACGTGGACCAGAGGTGGCGAAACAATGTGCATGGTTGATATCAGGTATCGCTGTCGCTTACTGGGTACGTTTGAATACGCAAAACGCGGCTGGAACAAACTGCAGCATACTGATCGGTTTTCAGATTGACTTTGGCACGACTAGATCAGACAGCCAGGCGTCTTGGAGATTCCCGATCGCATTCCAATCAGTCTTCGCCATCATCTCGGGCCTGTTCCTCCTTTTCCTCCCGGACACTCCACGATGGTACTACGCTCGAGAGAGGATCGAAGAAGGTGATATTGTTCTGGCACTTCTTAACGACCAACCAGTCGATCACCCGAACGTGCAAGAGCAGAAAAAAGATATCCTGCGAAGCATTCAAATGGAAGCGGAGGACGAGAACAAGTTTAGTCTCATCTGCTTAGTGTGGGATAACACGGAGCTGCGGGTCGGGCGACGAATTCGCACAGGATTCTTACTTCTGTCGATTCAGCAGATGATGGGTATGCTTGACACACTTCTCCCTCGGGCAGAGCCTGAATACTGACACGGAAGAAGGCATCAATATGCTCGTCTACTTCAGCACTCGCATATTTGCCAATATCGGGCTGACTTCATTCATGTCGCAGCTACTTGCTGCTGTCATGAACACATGCTTTGCCCTCGGCACATACTGTAAGTCACAAGAGCCAGTGTCGTCCCCAGCTATTAACATGGTCGCCAGTTACGCCCGGAACAATCGAGACATTTGGCAGACGTAGGATCATGCTTTGGTCCGCTGTGGTGATTTTCATCTGCATGTTAATCTTCACCATTATGATTGCCCTGCCAAACCCCACACTTGCAACACAGTGGACGGCGATTGTGTTCATCATCATCTATAACCTTGCATTAGGCTATGGATGGGTTGGCATCCCATGGTTATATGGTCCAGAGGTACAAACACAATTTCTCAAATCCCACATGTGATATTCGACTGACATGTATATCAGATTGCACCGCTCCGATATCGCCACATGGCTGGGGCTGCTGCGTCCCTGGGAGAGTGGCTTTTCTCCTTCGTCACCGTATTTGCTGGCGGAATTGGAGCCGAAGTAGCTGGTTGGCGAATCTGGTAAGCATCACTGTTGGCCTGTTACGGGCCCCCCTATCTTTGGTATTTCGGGATGTTCTTGGATGCAATGCTTTCGAATCCATATTAGCTAACATCACCACCAAAGGATCTGGCAGATAATATTTTGCGTCGTGGCTGTGCTCTTCGTATACTTCTGCTGCCCTGAGGTATGTTGTCCAGTATCTATTGCGAACTCGACTTTCACACACTGACAATGAAATAGACCAAAGGAAAAACCCTGGAAGAGATTGACGAATTATTTGCCAAGCGTGGCGCTTACCATGACGCAGGAGTCGATGAAAAGGTACTAGAGAGCAGCAATCATACAAGCGACGTTTCGCATATGGAGAACTCGATTGAACGCGAACTCAAGATGCAAAAGGGCTGAGGGGTTAGTTGGTATGACTCGGAGTTCAAATCTGGTTACGGGAAATGAGGGACTAGTAGAATGTAGTCTAGTTACAGGTCGGCCTGGTTTCAATGTTGCTTCTTCGTTCTTGTCTCGCATCTGAGAATCGTATAAATATCGAACAGAATTGTTTTTGGGATTATTGTGGAATCCTTGATGACTGGCTCAAGCCTCTCTCAGTAACACCGAAGACCATTGCGCAGTCAAGGCTTGCTTGTACGTGTGGGCCGGTGCCTCTTCGTATACAGACTGCTTCCGGTAAAAATGTAAGCAATCTCCAGATGGCAGGGATGCTCAGATTCGGCATGGATCAAGCGCGCCCGATATCTGGCCCACAAGTTGATCAAGCACATCGACCGCCCTGCTAACCTGGGTGTCGTCATCGATTGTGATAGGTCGATGTGTCAGATGCACGGAAGAACCCATCAATGAGCATGTACCCCAGATTCCCGGGCCCACACCACTGCACATGCAGATCCCCCAGTCTCCATGTATTACGCTAAAGTAGCCTTCCCCGCAGAGGAGCGGAAGTGTCCTTATCCTGCGTTCTGTATTTCCGCTGGAGGGATCTCTGTCCCCCCGGTTGCTGATGTGGATCCCGGCACCATCCGCACCCTGAGTACGCACCCTGAGTACAGCTTTTGAGTTCGGAACTGATTTGAGCGCACATAACACACCTGCAGCCATGGACGGGAAAGGCGGAAAGAAGCATGTAACGAGTGCTTGCACACACTGCCGCCGGAGGTCAGTCCAGCCCGGGTCTGGTCTTGGGTATCACTTCATACTGACAAGAACCTGTGCGTGTGCTGTAGGAAAATCAAGGTAGGTTAAGAGACGTCATACCAGACGTGCCCGCTTGTTTATGCTTTCCACTTGAGCGCTGATCCAGGATCTCTCAGTGTAACGGCGAGACACCTTGCTCCCATTGTCAATTGAGCAACCAGCCTTGCATCTATAATGCTGCCGATGACAAGCGGAGGTATGGATCGCCAAGAAATGACCCAGGACAGGTGTGCTGATGCCACGTCAAAGAACACCAGGACGGGCAACACATGCCTTACGTGCCCGGCTCTCACAACTGGAGAAGACCTTACAAGCAAACAATATCGAGCTTCCTCCGCCGACACCCGAGGACCATGCCAATCATGACCAAAAGCGAACGCGAAGAGATTCTGCCAGGAGCGTGTCGTCGAGCCATAGCAGTGGCACTTCTCCACAGACGACGGATGGCCCTACAGCCCCTTTAAGTTGCCTCCGCGAACCCGAACAGCCAAAGGCAATCTCACCAATTCAACCCAACAACAAGGCTTCCCTATCAACCGTCTCGAATCCGTGCTCAACAAATGAGCACATGTCAGCGCAGCCAAACCAGGAGCTCGAACCCCCTGCCGACAGTCAAATCAACGCAGAGAATTTCGGAACGTACAGAAACTTCAACGAGGCCGTGTCACTACATGTAGATTCCTCACCAAGTCCCAGGCTAACGAATTATGGTGTAATCAGTCAGCCCGAGCCAGCAGAACAAGACAACATAACCAACTCGCTGTCAGCACGGATGGGCTCACTCCAGATTGCCGAAGACGGCCAGCTGCGGTATTATGGCCCCACCTCAAATTTGCACCTCTACCACGCTGGCCTCCACTCTTCATCACGGTCTACCATCCGTCACGTCGCGACAGAAGGTACACAAGTCCTCGCCCGAGCTGGGTTGGACCACCCAGTTGCCCCCGATGTCGAACGCCACCTAGCAGATCTGTATTTCGCCTGGGAGGATCCGTCGATACATGTTGTGGACGAAGAGATCTTTTTCTTAGAGAGACAGAAATGGAGGTCTGGACATACCAACACGCCATATTATTCTGAGACCCTGAATAGTGCCATGCAAGTATCATTATCCCGGACAGCCTTGAAGACCCCAGATGATGTACTAATTATCACGGGCAGCTGTGCAATTGGAGCAAGTCTTGCCACCAGAGAGCGAGAAACAGGGCAGATACCAAGTCCCGAGTTCTTTTCTGCAAGAGCCAAAGCGCTGCTCGATGTTGAGATGGACAGCCCTAGTGTTGCCACCGTTCAGGCACTGGTCATCATGAGTGCTACGGAGGCGGCTTTCACCCGGGATGCTCGAGGATGGCTATACAGTGGTAGGTTCGCTCGCAGCCAGAGAGAGGTCACGGCGCTAATGGTATGCCTAGGTATGGCTGTGCGACTCAGTGCTGATCTAGGACTCCACCTTGACGTGATCGAGGAGTACCGCAATGGGATGCTGAGTCAGAGGGATTTCGATGTGCGAAGGACTACTTTCTGGGGCGTCTTTATACACGACAAGTACGGTACTCTGCCCATGATTCAGAACGTGACTAACTGGGTGCTAGTATGTGGAGCATGTACGTGGGAAGGCCGTGGGGCATCAGCATACGCGACATTTCCGTTTCACGGCCCGTGAGAGAGCTGGACGATATCAGACGCAAAATGTGGAAGCCATATCCCTCCACCGATTCCAACATCCAGCTTCCTAGCACCGGCTTCTTGGATCCGCTTGAGTCGTGTACAGACGCTAATATCACCTTGTGTGAATTTATGAGACGTATCAATAGGACATTGTGAGCTCACCATGTCGCTGCGAGCTTCAGCCACTTGACATTAACCTGTGAATAGGTACGCCGGGCGGAAGGCAGGAGTGGACTATTTAGTCCGCTTCTTGAGAGAGATGCGACAAGAATTTGCCACCTGGAAAATCGGCTTACATCCAGGTCTACACATTGACCCACTGAAGACCGACTCGCCATATCTCCCACACGTGATGCAACTGCAGTTTGTCCTACCTATTCTACCTATTGATTTTGACCTCGCCCTCCGCAGACATACCCACTAACGGCTTCTAATAGCATGCAATTCTATGCGGTACTCATATTTCTCCTGCGACCGTACTTCTCTCGCGACCTTTTACGTCTAACTCAGGCTATGCCATCTCAAGACGACCGCATTGCCGTTGCATCAGTCCGCACGGAATGTATTTCGGCCGCGCACAACATGGCGGATGTATTGCGATGCTACAAAAAACAGTACACACTCAAGTACACAAACGTCCAGATCGTGCACCTGATATTCACAGCTTCCCTGGTCCACGTCTACAATGCATGCACATGCAGTCCAAACGAGTCACAAGAAGCTCTCGACGACCTACAGTTCTGTTCCGAAGCGCTGGGCGAGATAGGCGAATATTACGGAAACGCCACGAGAGCTCTCGACGTCGTCATCCTCGTGAAGAGGGAGTGGCAGAAGCTCGCAGCCGTTCGAACCGCGACCAACGGTCAGAAAAGGGTGCGTCTGGCGGGCCAAGGGTTGGACGGCCAGGACGATGGAGGCAGCTCGAGACTGGCCAAGAAACGGGGCTCGTTGTCCGTCTTTGACGCTTCCAATCCGCCTCGCTTCACCACCCCTACCAACTTTGAGACTTTCCGCACGACAGCGGATAGCAACTTGAATGCATCGTTGGGCCAATTTCCGAGAGAAGGTGGGGACATGTATGATGCTTGGCATTTTCTGAACTGGGCGGAGATAGACTCAGACCTACTGGCTGGGGTAGATTCGACTTCACAAGCGATGGAAGGTGGCGTTTCTAGCATTCTGGATGGAGAGGAGGCTGGCGGGTTCACACTTCCCTGAACATGGTTAGCTAGGTATACAGAATCCAGGGGCGCCCTGCTTGGAACCTGGAGCATCCCATAAGATCAGTCGGCTCTAACTGAAGCACCGCTATGTTCTAGATAGTGATACAGTGCTAGGTCATTGCTGTGGCGTTTTTGGTCATTTTACACGCGGAAATACAGCTCCCGGCGCCAAGAATTCAGCCACTGGGGCTGGAGTGATGCGTAAGTCATTCTCATCGGTGTCTACCCTAGGTACTCAATAATACACACACTTGGTGAACATGTCCGGCCCCATATCTGATTCATTTTTCTCTCACCGTATATCAATGCAAATAATGGAAACAAGTGCCTTTGCTGGTAAACCAATCACTCATACCCCTCATACAGTGTCCAGCCATCTCCGTGCTTGGGTAGCTGGGCCCTCAACGCTGCTGATGTGCATATAAACAGATTGTAGTCCTTCGCATTAGCCTGATATCCGTCACCGTATATGCCTCCCCCCTGCCAGTTCACCACTGGCACATCGACGGCGGACAGCTCATGCCACAGGAAACGGTCGGTGGGCTCCTTATCGCGGTTGGTGCACCAGGGGTTGATATAGGCACCGAGAACTTTGTTCTCCTCTGAGGTGCTGCTCACGTCGAATCCAAGCTCTGCAGACCGGCGCTCCAGGTCCTCCTTGTAGTAGGGGTTGTGGCTGTTCTTCGCCTCCTGCCACAGGATCCAGCTGGGCCGTATCTGCAGCTTGTCATACTGCATGCGGTAGTCGGCGACGATGCAGGCGTGCGCCACCTGCAGGCGCATCGAGGGGCACATTTCCGCGAGCTCCTCAAGGGTCTCGCGCTGGGGCCAGAGCGGGTACCAGATCAGGTATGGCCGCGCCAGGTCGAAGACGGAGGAGAGGTCGTTGTTCATGATGAACCTTGCGCTGATGGCGGCGCCGATCTCGGGCCATATGGACGCCGCGCTCGTGATGGACTTGAACTCGAGGGACCACCACTTGGCGAAGGTCGTGTTGTGATAGATGCCCCTGATTACACATTGGGCTTCGTCTGGGATCATTTCAGGGCGCCGGAGCCGCACATATCGATCCACGTTGCCCTCGTAGGCAGCCATCAATATGAGGACGTCCTTGTTCATTGTGGGTAGATCGAGCGGGAGAGGCGAGTAAAGCAGCGGGACCTCGTGCTCGGCAAGTGGTGGATCATGCTGAGCAGCAGTATCATGGTCGTCGACACCACGGTCCTCAGTGATGTCAAATACAGAGCGCTTCAAGTATTGGCCCCTCACATCCTGCCGGACTTCGAGCGCTGATTTCACCGCAGCGTCACAGTTTATAAAGGCGCCCTTGCGAGGATTGTCCAAGTTGACCTTCAGTGAATAATCGTCCATGACGCTGTAACGAACGAATCGTTGGGTTATGTCCTCGAAGATCTCCAAGCTTGCGGGACCAGCCTCACGTGCCTCCTCTGCGATGGAAACGTCTGGCAGCAGATCCAGTTCCCGGTACAACTCGACGTACCCAGCAACAGCACATGTTCGCCCAACGTGGTATTTCATGTTTGGGTATTGTTGAACAAGTCGCCTGCAGGTGTCTTCGGAAGGAACGTCTGGATGCCATATGCAGTAAGGGATATGCTTCGCCCGCATCTGGTTGGGTACCTCGTTACTCATGATAAGACGTGCATTTCTTGCACGCGCTATTGTGTCGTGTTGATTGGCAGCAGCAGCTACCTCGGCAGACCTGGCGAAGCCAATGTGATATCGTATTCCTCTCACCGTGCATTCCATGACCTTACACTTCCAGAAGGAAGCCTTCGGAATTTTGAGTCCATGGATGGCCTCCAGAAGGTCGTCGACGGTGGGTTCGGGCAAGTCGTCCTCGCTATCACCAGAGTCCGAGGATGTGAAGGAAGACATTGTTCCTAATCAGAAATTGAACAACAGAGTATATATTTCCCAAAAAAATAAAATAAAAGAAATTAGGACACGGGTGGAAATATTTAGATTCCTATGCACGCCGAGCAGAATAACCTTTCATTTTTGGTGCCGGGGAATGAGAAGAGTCATCGGTTACGCGGACGGCCCAATGCCCTTTTTCTGTTTAGCCCCGAATCCATCGGTTGCAAACGTGACTCTAATGAAAAAAAAACCAAGGTAAGATTAACTTAGCTGGCGGCCGTTGGTTCCATGCATTGCACGCTACAGCCAGGTTCAGGGAGTGAGTTAGCGTCATCTGTGTCATCGCCGAATTTGGCCCACTGCTCATCGATGCCAGCACTGTTCAAAATCGAGTCTTAGAACCTGTTCGAAACCACGAATGTGTGGGTGACAGGCAAGGCTTGAAGCTCTCGTGTGCTCTCCTAGAATCGCTCACGAGGGCGGACATCCCCCATGATGCTGTCGTATGCCCCAGGCCCGATTGCGGGAGAGGTAGGTATTGCCTGGGCCGTCGTCAACGAAATGTCAAAAGCCAATAAGCATGAATATGTGCCCAAGCCCGCTTCAAGTAGATCGTTTTGAAATCAGTAACCTTTGCATTTAGTCACCTATGCTATTCTTCAACCACACTGCATCGTGATAATGATGTTGATGATTTAATTGGGCACTGCTGTCTTCTCCAATCATACCCAACTGACGTCTCCTCTGACCGCATCACCAGTATACCCGCGAGTTTGTGTCGGCATTGGTTGGTAAACAAAATTTTGCAGCTCTAAATCCGTACGTATTCCGACATGTTCAATCCCAGGCGGACAAACACCACTGGCACAGGCGTCGTTGTATTGCTCGACAACTGTAGTCTTCTTGATTGCCATATTGGACTTCTCCGTCGACCGCTCAGTGTTGTAGTCCTCATACTGCCCGCTTCCACTGCGAAGGGGTTTCTTATACATGACTTGGTCGTAGAGGGGCTTTAGAGCGGGCAGGCTTCCACACACTATGTTAATGAAAACCTCTGCACCCGCCCAACCATAAAGCGGTACTATCTGCCAACTGATGTCGGTTCGAAGGGCAAGAGTGTTGGACAAAGTTGTTTTCACGATGCCAAATACTCCAGAACTGTTGCATCGAGAAGTCGTCAGTTCACCAGTCAATCTAGCGACGGTACTGGCTGAGGTAGCAGCCGGATGCAGGTGGACATAGTTGCTTGACTTACAGGACACCCGCCCCCAATAGCCCAGCCAGAGCCGTTTTCTTTCTCAAAGACATACTTAGTCCACGAAGGATAGTAAGGGGTAGCAAGGCCAAGGCGAAATCCAAGAATGCACTGTATGCGCCACCGAACGTCGCATAACCGGCCTGGATGGAGGGGTCCCAGCACTTCGCGCCAGGGACTGGCTCCCACAGAGCCCGAGGGGGATCACACTGAACAAATGTGAGAATGCTAGCGACGGCCATGCTGGCCGTGAACAAGACCATGTTCACGTGCAGAAACAACTTGGACCACTTCGCGTATGGTCCCAATATCCTCAAAAGAAGAAATGAGATGGAAAGTTTGACAGCAGCGAGATTCATGATACTGAACGGCTGGGGAATCCAGTTCCATTTCGCGACTTGGAGTATGTCGTCCGGTGTCAATGCATCTGCGTGTCGGCCCAAGCCGTAGTGGACCAGCACAGAAGAGCAAGCTAATGCAGCATAAAATAGGAACTAGGGTTACAAAATCAGCAAGATATTTGGGGTTAGTGGAGAGGATCATTGATGCCAGAACTTGGCTGCCCGAATTGGGAGCCTGTGTCCAACATATTAGACGTTCAAGTTGTGGGGGCAGCTCACCAGCGCCAAGAGCATCAGCCAATCTTCAATGAGTACGGCTCTCATTGAGTATCGCGTATACATTCGGAGACCGACAATAACTGTCGCGATTCCGGCCTCTGTCCACCAAAGAGCCAGAAGCATCGGCCCTTTGTCCTGGCCGCTTATATTGCCGGGTGATGCCATCGTAACGAGAATTGGCCGTGAAGCCACAGGCGATCACAACACAAAGTACAGACTAGCAACGGGACAAAGATGAAATCAAGACGGCCCTGTGGTTCGAGGTTCTTCAATCATAGATGAAGGACATCGGTGCAACTTATTACACACTTCCATCCTGGCCAAATTTCCCAGCACAACCCGAATCTCACCACAGAGCTGTCATTTCATGCTCTGAAATCCTACTGGTGCCTCAGGATCACCATAAACCAACAGATGCAGACAAATGTGGGTCTGACAGTGTCATCATGGTGTGGTTGGTTGTTACGTTCATCGAGAACAGGCAGCAAGTCTGTGCCCACCTGGGAAGACAGTCGCCTAAGCGAGCTTTAATTAGACCAAGCCAGCATTCGAGGCAGGGGTCCACGAGTCATCCTTGTGGTCGATGAACAAAGGATCCGATGTGTAGTATGCAATCTGGAGATTGTGGATTCTCCCAACCCGGTGGAATGACTGTTGGTGCATTTTTTTCTATTGATGTGGATCTTGCTGCTGAACTTTGGTTGCCGTGACGCCTGTGGCCTGGCTTTGACAGTGGGCCCGTCCCTGCCGAGGCAGACAGAGATATCGGGGCACCGGTCCTGTTGGTATTCCCAGGATGATACCGAGAGTGGGAACCATAACTCTTTCGGTCGTTTTTTCTCCCCGAAGATTGGCATACTTATTCCGGGCCACAGGCGATGCGTGTCCCATCTTGCCACTGAACTCTCCCTTTCCCCTTCAGCAACAACGATCTGAGTACCAATTATAAACATGGCGTCCCAAGACATTAACGGACTGCTCGAGCAGCTCGAGTCAGTTGCAGCTTCACCTCCACAAGATCCGGAACTGCAGCTACGCCTCTACAGTGCCGCTCAGAAACTTAGCCTGGCTGTGGAAGCTCCACTGGACACGGTCTATAGGGTGATCTACTCTGTAAGAGGCAGATTCTAATGGCATCGTTGAGTTATAATTGACATGGAGAATCTTTCCAGCCCATGCTTCTAAGCAGTGCTCAGACCGCAACGTATATGAAGATTTTCAGCACGCTTACAGAGAAAGGGACACCATGTACAGTGGAAGAGCTAGCCGAGCCCACAGGGGCGGACGTAGTCTTCACCGGTGCGTAGCCATCAACAATATTGATCCAAGCCGCAGCCAGCTCATTAGTCGACGTCCCACGCTCACATTACTTTCTCGACAGCTCGTATTCTCAGATTTCTTGCATCCCATAGCTTGATATCGGAAGTTGCGGAAGACACCTTTGAGGCCAACAGGCTCACAAGGACCTTAAGCGTAAATGCTCATCGCGCAGGGATGAATCAAACGTAAGTCAACAAAGCCTCAAGAACAATGTTTGGGTGTTCCTAGCCGACTCACAAATTCCCGCCCAAGCTTTCAAACCATCGCCCCGGCCGTCATCAAAGCCCCCGACTTTTTCAGGGACACCGAATTCCGAAACCCGGACAATAACGTCAAGACCCCCTTCCAGATCGTTAATAACACAGACCGGCCGGCATTCGAGTGGGCACACGAGCACCGCCCCGAGCTCATCGCCGAATTCGGCCTGTGGATGACTGCGCTACGTGGACAGCAGACTTGGTTGGACGTGCTCGACTTCGAGTCTCTCATCAAAGGCAGCGGGGCAGAGGCCGCCGCCATCACACCCGAAACGCCAGTTTTCGTTGATGTTGGCGGGGGGATCGGAAGCCAGTGTGCCATTCTCAAGTCCAAATTACCGAATCTGCCCGGGCGCGTGATCCTGCAGGACCTTCCCGCCGTCATAGAACATGCGCTTCCCACAGAGGGCGTGGAGGTTACCGCCCATAACTTCTGGACCGAGCAGCCAGTCAAAGGTTTGAACCACCCGAAAACAGCAATTCGATTTTGAGCCACGTCACTGACCAGTCTCGAAAATAAATAGGAGCAAGGGCTTATTACTTCCGGACCATTCTCCATGACTATCCCGATGAGAAGTGTCTGGCCATCCTGGAAAACACCGTCGCTGCTATGGGGCCAGACTCTTTCATCCTGATCGACGATATCATCATTCCAGACAAAGGAGCGCACGCGCGTACGACGGAGATGGACTACATTATGATGACAACCTTGGCCGCTATGGAGCGGACACGGAAGCAGTGGGATAACTTGCTCTCTGCTGCTGGCTTGGAGGTGGTCCAAAGACTAACTTACCTGGATGACACAGCCGAGAGCATCCAGGTGGTCATACCAAAGGGTCGGAAGGAAGCTTGAACGAGACCCTGCTCGCCCCCCTCCCTCCAACTCAACATTGAAGATTTCCCGTGATACACACGGGTAATGGAAACGTAGCCGGATCATACTGGTGGATCGTATAAAAAGGGCGGGCCAGCTACCATTGAGTTCTGTTCTCCGAGAAAATGTCTTTGGGGGTAAATATTATCCTGGGCTTAGGCACAGCGGCCCCTCGTCCATAGCGGCGATACCATTAGATGTGACTGGTTTCAGCTGGAACAAATTGAAAGATCTTCCGGCGGTTCCATTGCCAAGTTGTTGTCTGTCGATGGCAGCCCCTGGGAGATTGGAGGAAAGGAAAACCTTGACCCGTGAGTCGAGAAATAAAGACTTTCGCGATTCACACTGATGACGCTGGGCCTACAAGTGAATGCGTCACGAGATCACAAATATGCATTCAGCGTAGTTTAGTGCTACCTGAGGGTAAGAGGGCGCGTAGTCATAGGGCGGAGTCACAATTGCAATGTCTCAACGACCACGATGTACCCTGACAGACGTAACCTTGCGCGAGGCGAACCCGGGTAAAGCCTCCGCATGATGCACACCTATCTTGCATGAGATCGGGGTTCCTGCTGTTGGAATCGTTACCCCGCTAGCGGTTCGAATTCGCATTGCAATGCATTCTGAGCTATGCCTTCGCTCCGTGTCTGCTTGAGTTCCATGCGAACAGGTCAGACCGTGCGGCTTCCCGTTTGACCATTTCGGAAGCTCAATTTGACGGGTTTCAGAAACCTATTACGACCTCAGCAGTCTTCGTACATGCGAAAGACCACGCGCATCAGGTGTGAAACCCTGTCCGTTGACGGGCGCAGGCCACAAGTCCCGGTCTCACATACACAAGTTCAAGAAAATACCATTGTCAGACAAGCCATGAATCATTCTTCAAGCTCAGAGTCATCCTCTTCACCCTCCGCGTCCGTATCCAACTCCTCCTGCCCCTCGTCCTGCCCCTCGTCCTGCCCGGCCGCCGAAGCCGAGGCCGAGGCTTTCGGGTCGGCTGCGAACTTGACCTGTGGCTCGTGGTTGCACCGTTGTTGTGAGGGCAGCTCGGCATGTTTCACAACAAAGGCCCCGCTCCCGGCGACGAGCTCCTGCAATATGAACCTCAGCGGGCAGTCCTTCCGGCGCGGCGCCATCTTCTTCCTCGGCCTCTTCGCCGGCGCCGAAGGACCAGCACCATCAGGCTGTTGCGTCTGTCCTAACTGAACCTGGCCCGCCTGCGCGGCATTGGCATCCGGGAGGACGAACGCATGGAACCCCATCGCCCTCGCCCTTTCCGCCTCGGCCTCGGCGCCTTCACGCCGCAGGGCGAGGTCCCTGGACCTCCCGCCCAGGGAGCAGCTGATCATCATCTTGACCTTGGTGCCGGACAGCTTGCTGCGGTAGATGTTGACCTTGTAGCCGTGGGCCTGGGTCCAGCGGTTGACCTCCTGCATGAGCTGCCGGTTGTCCCTCTTGGCGCCGTACGCGCCGCCGTTGCAGAAGATGGTGCCCTCGGGCGGCGGCCGCTGCAGGCCCCAGCCCTCCGCCTCGGGGACGCCCGCGCTGCCGTTCCTGGCGCGCGTGATGGGCGGGATGTTGGCGTCGAAGTCGTAGTCCTCCACGGCCTCCTTGAGCGCGTACTTTAGGGTCGCATTCTCGGTCTTCAGCAGCGCCACCAGCTGGTTTGCGCTGTCCAGGGCGTCGCGCAGCTGGTTGATGTCGTCCTGGAACTGCTTCGTGAGCAGCACGGCCAGGTCTGCCTTGGCGCTGGCAATCTCTGCTTGCGTTGGCGGCATTCTTCCCACTGCTCAGGGGGTTTGTCGTTCCATCCGGCTCTCTGATTGCCTCACAATTCCCACAGGAGAACGAAGAATCTTCGGGAAAAGCGGCACGGGTATTGGTTCTAAGCGAAGGAGAAGGTAAAGATGGCCAAAGCACAACGAAAAATAAGAATATCAGACCAAGCCAAGTGAGCATCGGTAGACGTCGAAGCACGGGCCACAATGACTCGAACGCGTCGCGAATGGCCCGTGCGCTATTTGACCGCAGGGTTAGGTGGCAAGGTGGTACAAGCTTCGCCCGGGTGCTTTTAACGACGTCATTTCTGGGTTTATCTTTTGTATAAGATTCAACATATCTATATAGATACTGCAGAACGTATCACAATTACTTATCAGAGATGGAAGAAGACTGCATAGGTTTGGTAAGTTATTTGTTTCTCAAAAGCTGGCATATGAGTGAAGATCCACAAGGCAGCCATCATATAAAACATCCAGACAGCAAGCAGAATCGCAGCTAGTAACACTTGAATTTTTTAGCACTTATATCAGATTAAGCATGCGGGTTGGTGATACTGACTTGGCACGAATTCGATACTTTGTTGGGTGATATAGACTTTCAAGTGCGCTCAGACGTCACTTGCCCATCGTTGAGGCAGATTCGGCGAATGTGTCTGCCTGCCGGTTCTCTTTCCACTCTCCCAACAGTGAGTTGTTGGATTCGGAGAGAAGCTGATACATACCGGACAGATGATCCTCTAACCAAACAACGGATTTAGTGTCCATGCGCCCTTCCGTGTGCAATTTTTTCGCGTTCGTAACAGCCAAGGGCCTGATCATCCTCGCGGCCCTGGCCGATGCCTGCTCCCTCAAGATGTCGAGGTCTCACCATCTTTGCGGCCCGGACTGGAGACCAGTGGGCAATACCAATGCCACACGTGCCGTTGTCACGGACCTCACTATCAACTTCTGCACTTTGCCTGAGGCAGAAGCTGAATTCGCCCGGGACTCATCGGTTTCAAAATGGCGGCGGATCAACAAAGATCTTTACCTACACTCGACCCCGCAGAACGCCGTGGCTTGGCTGCTGGTAGCTGAGGCACAGGAGGGAGAACTGAAGAGTGACGACCTGGTCGTAACAGACATCAGGACTGGAGAAATTTGCCCGTGCGACAAGCACGACGGCTCTAGTTCTTCAGAAAAATATCCTACTGCTACCCTCAAGACCACAACGACTCGGAAATCGTGGGAGAGCCGGCCCGGTGGCATCCAAGTGGCGAGAACAAAGTACAGCGACATTATTCACCACGGCCAGTGCAAGGGCGATTCCCAGGCTCAGTCCCCGGCTGCCCTCCCTGTGACTGGCGTCGATGTTCTCTTTGGCGTAGATGCTGTCGACCCACGACCGCACTGGACGCTCCTGGAACACCCGCTTCAACTGCCCGACGTCAAGCCAGACGTGCCCGTCCCGAGACTGACAGTACAACACTCCCCGTCCAACAAAGATCCGCGCGAACCCGTGACGCCCCCATGGGAGCCCCTTCGGGCCAGGGAGGATGGAACTTTCAAGATTGTCCAAATTTCCGACACGCACATGGTAACAGGCCCCGGCGTGTGTGATGACGCCGTCGACGCCAATGGTAAACCTCTACCGCGACAGGTGGCCGACCCGCTCTCCATAGCCTTCCTCGGCGGGATCCTCGATCTCGAGAAGCCTGACCTGGTCATCCTGACGGGCGACCAGCTGCATCACGACATACCGGACAGCCAGTCCGCGCTTCTTAAAGTGGTTAGTCCACTAATTGCTCGCCAAATTCCGTTTGCTGCTGTCTTCGGTAACCATGATTCAGAGGGTGCATATGCCTTATCGCGTAAGTCGGTCAGGTTGTTTGTTTATTTAGGGAGTATCATTTTCTTTCCTTTTTTGGGAGGTTGGGGGGGGGGGTGGCGGCTTGGGGAACGTATACAATATCTTCAGTTATCTGTCAGGAACCCGTCGCTGATCAACCATAATGTTCAGGCGAGGCGCAGATGTCGATTCTGGAGGACCTGCCGTTCAGTCTTTGCCAGCCTGGACCAGACGACGTTGAAGGCGTAGGCAACTACTACCTCTCGGTGCTCCCCCATTCCGGCAATGAGGGGTCCGGGTCTGAAGCCGGCGTGGCGACTTTGTACTTGGTCGACTCTCACGGCCAGATACCAAGCGACGTTAAGAACCCGGACTACGACGCCATTCAGCAGAGTCAGATCGACTGGTTCACAAACACGTCGCAGTCGCTGCGAAGGGCGCGCATGGGAGGTAGATCTGAGAATAGGGACGGCCCCCCTCACTTGTCTCTTGTTTTCATCCATATCCCACTTCCCGAGTATGAGGACGATAAACTCGTCACAACGGGAGGGCTTCGAAGAGAACCGACTGAGGGCCCAAGCTTCAACTCACACTTCTATGACGCTCTGTCCGAGGAGGGCGTCTTGGCTGTAAGCTGTGGCCATGACCATGTCAACGATTTCTGCGGTGTACTTCCCGGGGAGTCAAATGGTGATCAGTCCTCGGCTGCTCAGCTCGGTCCCTGGTTGTGCTACGGGGGTGGGAGCGGGTTCGGAGGGTACTGCTCATATGGCGAAAACCGTTATTACCGGCGGGCACGTGTCTGGGAGCTGGAAACGGGGAAAGGGGGCATAAAAACCTGGAAAAGGGTCGAATATACTCCGGACAGGGTTGATGAGCTGCTGCTGGTCGAAGGAGGCAGTGTGGTCGACCCACGAGCGTCTCTGGACACACGCAAAGGACCATTTAGGACGGTTGGTCAAGCCGAGTTATGAGCCAGCTCCACCATGCCGGTGTTGAAATACTATAAGCCTTGGTACACTTGGAATTCTGACCCGCTGTCCCTTTCGCAATTTTAGTAGCTGCTTGACTAACTCACTTTATATTGGCCCAAAGTAGACTTTGACGAGAATTGGACAACCTCGGATATTCGCAAGATGCTTAAGTATCCAGGTCACTGGCTCTTAAGCGTTTACCACTGTAATGCATGTCTTAGGCCGTACACGGAATGGAAGCAAAACTAGTTAGGATTTCTAAGTTTTTATGGGATTTAACACTTGGGGTTTAAAAAGTGGGTATGTTTTGGTATGTTTGCACCAAAAGGTGGTGTGGTGAGAAGGGGAGATGGTGAAATCTGGGCCACCCACGTTGATGCCTACCCTAGGGCACTCGTTAGGGTGATGCCGACCAATGAATAGGGCCCCGAACTGTCCGCGGATCATCCGGGCGCATCCTTCAACGATCCTCCCCTCCCTTTGTGTAGATCGCATCTAGTGGCGTTGCGGGCTTCTCCAAAACCATGTAGCAGGGCATTCCATCAACCGGGTCAACTAATCATGCAAGGTCGTTTGTTCCCTTATCTATTGAACGTCCCTTCGTGCCACCCTATGTTTTCTACTCAAGTCTGCATCTGTGTCTTGGTTGGTGCATTGTTAGCCTGCTGCTCCTGTCCTCTGTAGGTACAATTCCCCAGGTCATCACGCACCAGATCCCGACAGTCTCTCATCATGGCCACCCATCATCAAAGCCATGCGGAGAACACGCCCTTAGATACTTCTTTCAACGTGGTGGCCGTGTCACTGTCACGGGCAGCCACCCAAATGATGCACTCGCGGCCGACCTTGACAGCCATTGTCCGATCGCCCTCGAAAGCACCGCTGACTCTCACCCCCGAGAACGGGATTGAGGGGCACAAGTCTGCGGTACACGACGCTCAAGTCTACGCCTTTTTCTCAAAGCACTATGACTTCTGGACCTCCCGACTAAATATCCAACGGTCAACGTGGGACTGGGCGTTTTGGGGAGAGAACCTGACACTGGACGTGCCGGAAGGTGTGGACGAAAGGAACATCATGCTGGGGGACCGTTGGGTGTTCTCAAGCCAGTCTGCAGATGCAAACGGCCGGAACACATCTGGCGAGAACGCAGATCTCCACGATGAGTCGTCCAGCGGACCAGTCATCCTCGAAGTATGCGGCGGGCGGAGCCCTTGCTCGCGGCTGGCGTGGCGATGCGGACAACCGGCCAGCTGGCTGGTCGAGGTCGCAAAAACCGGATTCTGCGGCGTCTATCTCAAGGTCATTCAAGGAGGTTCGATCGCAGCTGGCGACAAGGCAACTGTTATCCCGACCGAGAGCAAAGAGACGGTTCCAGCCGCGACCATCGCCCAGTGTTTATTCGCACCCCTTACAGACCCCACCACACGAACCATGGCGGAGCGCATTCTCCGCGTCGGAGGCCTACAGAACATGAACAGGAAGACAGTGTCACGCAGGCTGGCGATGATCGAAGACAGCGAGGCGGCGGGCCGGAACCGGTGGCGTGGATGGCGGGCGCTCAAGGTAATCAGAGTTGTCGATGAGACCGCGTCTGTGAAGTCCTTCTATCTTGCCCCAGCAGACGACAAGCCATTGGCGGATTACGTCCCGGGACAGTTCCTCACTTTCAAGCTCCCCTCCGGCCAGATTCGCTGTTGGTCTATTTCTTCGTGGACGCCGTCCAGCACGACCTCGGTCCCCCCATTATACCGAATTACTGTCAAAAGAGGTGCATCTTGCTCGCTTTACCTTCACTCCAAAGTACGTGCTGGTGACACTCTAATGGCACGCTCTCCATCTGGGACTTTTGTGCCTGATTGGGCAGAGGCATTCCCCCATCGTCAGCTCTACATTTGCGCTGGAATCGGCCTGACGCCAATCCTCAATATGATCCAAGCTCATTTCGTCCATCCAACACTAAGCAAGACCCCGGCTGTCTTGATATATGTCACTCAAAACAGTGGAACGGACGTCCCATTGATGAAGACCGAGATTCCAACTTCTCCATACCTTCGTGTCATCAAGTTCTACACCGCACCGAAACACGATGTGGATGTCCAAGGCAGAGACTATGATCACGTGGGCCGGCCTACCCTAGACATCTTGTCTGCCGTGCTGCAGGAGCCGTACCACATTGATCCGTTGGGAGTGACACCCATCGAATTGCAAGGTAACACGTCCAACTCTTACATATGTGGGCCGGAAGGCTTCATCGAAAACATGAAAGCATACCTCGACCAGTGCAAGGTTGCAACCAAGGACATTCACTACGAAACCTTCACGTACGGCCCATCTGATGGCAATGACCCGGCAAGCATGGACGGCTTAGATCTGCCGCACAAGGCGAATGTGCGCTTTCGGGGAAAGGAATGCACATGGGATAAGGCTGATGGTCTTTCACTTTTGGAGTTCATGGAACAAGAGGGGCAAGGCGATAATCCTGAATCAGCCTGTCGATCGGGTGAGTGTGGGACTTGTGAGGTCCGGATCCTGAATGGAGAAGCTCTTGTATCGAAGACCGCTGGCAAGGAGGCAAGAGAGGCTACTGGAAAGTCCGGGACCATGATCAGATCTTGCTGCTCCTTTCCAGCAAGTAATGTCCTAGAGCTCGAGTTTTAACAATAATTATGTGTACACATAAGGGTTGGCCCCCAGCTGCAGACGCGTTCGTGGTCAGTGTTGCCCATTGGCGCGCAATCAAAATCCAGGTCGACCACTGTTAATGCCAAGGTGAGGGTACGCCTACCTATGGGCTGCAATGATTACTCAGCTAAATGAGGCCATAGTGGCACCTGGGAGCTATGGGAGTGCTGAGGTAGACCATAATATAATAAGAATAATACTGGTGTTTGTTCTTACTCTATTTGACTCCCCATTGCAACCGTTCTCTAGGCCCCATTTTCAGTATCCGTAAAATGAAATTATAAACAGCATGTATCAAAGCCTTAGCCTTATAGGCACCTGTTATGAACCAACACGTTGGCACCAAGGGGGCCCGTTTGGCTGACCCCGGCACCACCGACCGCAATGCCACGACGATAGGACATAGTCTACACACTAGAGTGCGAGGTGGGGTACTCCAACGTAGGATTATGTAACGAGCTCTGCTGCAGCAGCTTAAAATAGCTGGAACCAACATGAGCCAACCTGAACCAAGCCTGACCCGATTCTCGAAGCATCTATTCGCCCTGTCAACATCGCAGTTCAAATGGAAAACTCGACTCCTATCCTCTTCCCGTCCTGAACATCATATTCCGACTCAATTTGTCTCCAACAACGTCTTGTGACGTCAACTCAGATTGGTCTTCAGCCCCAAGTCTGGTCGAGTTCTCGCTTCATCGCTTGATCAAATTTCAAGTATCCTCCTTCTTCAGAAACTGCAATTTTGTCATGGGCTTCTTCAACCACTGCGAGCCGAATCGGCGATTCAACTCCTATACCGGCGAGACCTTCCCTAGAGGCCCCACGACATGGCACACCATCGACTGGGATCAGCGACGGTACATATCGACGACTGTCCGTGAGGAGGTTGATTTCGTCGATGGCGCCGACGAAGTTGAGGAACGTGTCATACAATCGTTATCTAAAATGGTCGATCAGCTTTCCGCCGATGTCCTGGTTGTGAACTTCTCAATCGAGGGCGATTTGATCTCGACCTCATCCGACACCAAATACGACACTGCCGCAATCCCACTTTATTCTCCTGTTGATATGATCCCAGAGAAGTACCGGGACGGATATGTATCAAGATCTGACCTCATTGAGGTTGACAGACTGTCCCCGTGTGTGGATCTCGTCACCTACAGGGACCAGCATGGTTCAAGAGCCGTGTTCAAATATCAGTTCCACCACGATCAGGCACTAAGGAATTGGCATGAGATGAATTGTTGGATGAGACTCAGTGGACATCCAAATATCGTGCCATTTGATCGCATAGTCACAGACCACCAAGAAGTCCCGAGCCATGGCCCTGTCCACGTTGTGGTTGGCTTTACATCAGTCTTTGTTCCGGGATCGACTTTACAGGATAACCCCTCACGCCTTTGTAAACTCAAGCACCTGGAGCAGCTTCTGAAGGTTGTCGATGACCTGAATCTCAAGTTTGGCATTGTACACCATGACCTAGCTCCTCGCAACGTCTTGATCGACCCTAGTACAGACACTTTGCAGCTTTTCGACTTCAGCTCTTCTGCGAGACTTGGATGGAGGGGTGAGTCCAAAGGTCAGGTGATATTCACTAATGTTGGCACCTTCAAAGCCGACCTCAAGGGTGTCATCGCCACGATATACGAGGTGATTACCCAGGACACAAAGCTCGCAGAACAGATCCTCCAGGGCGCAGACATCTCGACGCTCCAGGAAAAGGAATGGATTAAACATCCTGATATAAATCTCGATGCGGATGTGACACACTATCGACAGAGGCTTGATAGGTGGCTGCAGTGGCGGAATCAGCCAGAAAACTTGATCTCGCACTATACGCAGGCACCTAGCTACATTGAGTGGCCACAGCCCTGGCGACCGGAAATGCCGTTTCTGGACCAGGAAGGCAACTTGATTGGAGAATCTATGCCAAGCACCTGCATGTCGCGGGCTGCACAAAGGGCCCTTGGTCTCAAGTTCGTCGAGTGGGAGCGGCCTGCCCACAACAAGATCCCACCCGGTTTCTGTGTGCTCGGGGATGGGAGGCTGGTTATGCAGACAGAATTAGACGGAAACGTTTGACGCTATTTTCAGATTCGGTCCCTTTTATACATCCTGCTCGCCACGGTTTTCATCGAATTCAATGCAACGCGCTTTTCTGGGTAGTGGTGGTCACAGCTAGTTCTAGAGGATGCAATGAGAGAAGAAGCGAGACTACACACTCACTGCCTGAATACACTTTTCTGTCCCACGAGTGAGAAGTACAAGCATTACCCCTTAATTTTAACACCGCACGTGATTCTTACTAAGGCTGTGATCACGAAGGGAAGTCAGTATGGTGTGGCAAACAGATAGGGGGCGCTATACCTCTTTCGGAGTTCTTTTTTAAACACTTGGAGCATCCTGTATTTAAACATGCTTATATTGAGACTTGGTATATACCTCTCACCCCACTACAATTTCCACGTTATTACTAACTATTTCTAGTAAAGATCTATATACTTTCTAAGGCTTATACTAAGAAAAAATTAGTGTATACACTAATCTAAATAGGTTAGTATAGCTAAAATTAGTTTTTAAATTAACCTTTTAACCTAGCTAATAGAAGACCCTTTAGATCTAAAGAATACCCTTATATAAAGTTACTTTTCGCTTCCATGTGTAGTAGCTTGGTATAGAAGTACCTTTATACTGACTTGGACCACACTGACTTCCCTCTGTGATCACAGCCTTAGGCAGCTGCACCTACGGTCGACTAGGTCTCCGAACCGGTAAGCGTGGCCATTGAGAATGCACTACCAGCCTTGACTGCAAGGAAGTGGGCTCGAGAGCTTCCTTGTAGACTCGTCAGCTGAACCCGTCCTCAGAAGCTAATGACTAAGCGAAAGCACCCTTTATTTAAAGGCCGCCCTGTCCCTGGAGATATCCTTCCGATGGTCGTGCGACAAGGAACCACTAACAGATCATCGCTTCCTCTCACCACCTCATAAATCTTCTTAATAGATCGCATGCTAGTGATACCACCTCAACATCATCTGTAAGCCGCGAGGGGGCACAAAATCAAACGATCCTATCCAAAGTCTTGGACAGCGGCAGACGAAACTTGTTCAAATATTTCAGTGGCCTTTTATTTTTTGGGTGAGTACCTATGCTGTAAGATGTCCCTGACACTGCTACGTTACTGAAATGGCTCTTCTCTTAGTCTCGCTGCGGAATCTGTTTACTTGTATTGGCTCAAGGCCGGATTAGATCGAATTCCTAACGACCCTTTCGATATCCGGTTTGGGTCCGAGATTAGCGCCAATAGCCCCAACGTCTGGAGCGAAGAACGCCAGCTATTTCTGCGTAACGTTCTGCCGGTACCGGTCCATTCTCATAACGATTACGAGCGCCGCATTCCTCTCTTCGAGGCACTCGGGTCCGGGTGCATAAGCGTTGAGGCCGATGTCCACTTGAAAGACAATGATCTCCTGGTCGGGCACTCTGACGCAAGCCTACGCAGAGACGTCACGCTACGCTCTTTGTATTTGGAGCCACTACAACGCATCTTGGAAGCTCAGAATGTGGCGACTAGTTCTCGACGCGGCGTTTTCAACCTCGCCCCTGAGCAGACTCTGGTTCTCCTCGTGGACTTTAAAAGCACAGGGCCTGAAGCTTTTGCAGAGATGCACGCCCAACTAGAACCATTGCGAGACCTTGATTTCCTCACCTACTGGGACGGTACGACTCAAATAACGAGGCCCCTTACCGTCGTAGCATCAGGAAACACCAACTTTGACTCTGTGCTTGCCCTGAACGAGACCCACAGGGACATATTTTGGGATGCCAAGCTTGAAGTGTTGGCCGCCGCCGATGACAACCCAGATAAAGATTCACCCACGTTCAAGTTCAATCAGTCGAACTCTTACTATGCCTCGACAGAGTTTAGGAACGCCATGATTTACGCCTACGACCGCGATACCGACACACCCCCTACGCAACTAGAACAAGCAAGAGTAAGAGGCTTGCTGACACGATATTGGGACACCCCAGCAGAGCCTCCAAACTTGAGGGAGGTTGTATGGAGGGTATTGGTTGACGCTGGCGTCGGCGTTCTGAACGTGGATGATCTGGCTGCTGTGAGAGCAAGGGCCAAGGGGGTGGGAAGCATTGGAAAGGACACCACCCGTCCCTTGATTAAGTTTTAGATGCACTGTGAAACATCAGCAGTTTATGATAATTTCTGTGTCCAGAGGTTTGAACTCCTTATCAATGAAGACACCTTACGATCCACTTCAGAAAGTTGAGCTGTGACACGTCACCGTCGGTTCTGGGGTGAGAGGTTGGGTTTGAGGTGGGAGATGTGGAACTGCCCAGGTGGCCGGGGTCGGGGTCGGGGTCTTCTTGAATAAATCCGTATTAGGCTCGCATTTGAGCGTATCATGGCGGTCCTTTCTGTAAAGCTACTAGTAATGAAATTCCTGCTGACCTCTGCTGTTCCCTGCCGTAGAGACCGCTTCCGAGCGAGGTGTGTACCTAAGTATTGCTTGCTCCTGATAGCTGCTTCGCTTGGGAGGCCAAGTCTCAATACAAGCCATTGTCATCATCGTTGTATGTTTTAGTTTAAAACCCTGGCCCTCACAGTGATTATCACAGTATCATGGACCATATTCGTCTTCGGGGTATATGCTAATCAAGAACAAAACCAGATAGCCCATGCCGCCGCAAAGCCATTTCGTTCTCAGAGGCCAGAAGCAATTCCGTAGATCCACTAGACCTTAGGCGATGTCATTCCAGCGTATCCCCAAACAGCAAGCATCCCGGAGGTGACAAGGCGGAACACCGCGTTGCGACGTTCGCCCTCCTTCCAAACCACATACAGGTCTACCAACGCACAGTACGCAGCTGTCACAGCCGTAACCAAATCTACCAACTCCAGCTGGTTGCGTGAGTAGAACAAGAACACCAGGAGGCCGATAACAGTACCGCGAGCCTGGCCAACGACCATGACGGGGGCAGCCGCTGGCGCATTGGCTATTCGAGCTGGGAAGCCAAACTCGCGCATCGCCCCGGGAGCGTCGAAGGCTGGCCACATACCACCGAAGGTCATTGTTGTGGCCACACTAGAGAATGGAAGGGAGAGTATTAGCAGCTACAGTATGGTCCTGATGGGCCTTGGACACATACATGAGGCCCGGGATGTGACGGAGCGAAAACCCCTCAAACATGACTGCGTCTGTCTATCGAAAGGCTGCTTAATTGGAGTGGCCGTGTCTTTTGGGAATTGTGTTCGCTTTTTTGTGGAAGGGTGCAGGACTTTGAGAGAAGGGAAGAGAGAGGTGAGACGTCGTGGAATGGCAAAGGTCTGGGGCTCGCTGCTGACTCGGTGACATATCATGGCTCAAGTCAACTGTTGTGTGACCCACGCAATTACGTAGCATGAAGAGCAGCTTGCAGCCAACAGAGCAACCTGCAGAGCTTTCGCATCTTGACTGTACTCCCATTTGGTACCTGTCACATGGATCATTTGATCCACATTGGCCGTGTGCAAACACGAAGATGCCCAGGTGGGTCGGACCGACGTGGTGGGTGTTGGTTCAGGCATCTCGGAAGCAGAGCCCCTGATTACCTAGGTAGTGCTGTGGGGGTGACATCAAGTGCTTGCCATACCGTTAGACCACCAAACCCTTGGGTGCCGGTCCTGGTTCGTTCTCATCCCATTACTTCTGTAAAGGACATTGCGCCGAATTCAGCATTGAATACCTGCACTGGAAGGTGGCACGGCAGAATTGATATCGCCTGAGAAATTTGATGAGGGGATCCACCAGTCTGATGGGATGTGGTAGAGACCCGTATGCACCTACCAGAATTGGGGGTTGATCCGCGACTGGGCATGCTCGTTGGTGACCAGTTGACTGCCAACCAACAAGTGCATTTTGATACGGCTATGTGGGGCACCATTCAAATGTTCATCACTTTCCAGGGCCAGCCTGTATTGTATTTCAACGATGGTGTCAGTGTTGATTCTGTGGTTGCCATCTGACAGTACTTTTCCTCTTTTCTAAATGCTTTCCAGCACAAGAATTCATGGCAACGCCCAGAATCTATGCAGAGGCCACTGGCAGCTCTGCCGGAGTCTGATGTGGCTGTCGCCACGGGCACCTACTCCTTCGTGCGGTCTTTCGGACTTTTTTGGGGGGTGACAATAGCCTCGGTGGCTTTCAATGGGCAGGTAAATGCGCACCTTCATACAGTCTCTGACCCAAGTGTCCGGGAGCTATTAGAAGGCGGCGGTGCCTACACATACGCAGCCGAAGGCTCCAAGGGAAGTACCGCATTACCCGAAAGCGCAAGGGGCGAGGTGCTGGCTGTGTACGTGAACGCACTTAGAGCGATATGGCTGATTTGTGTTGGGCTGTCATGCCTGGGGTTCTTAGCTACCTTCGCAGAGAGGTCAATCAAGCTACGAAAGGACCAGGAGACGGAGTTCGGCCTGGTTGACAACGAAGCATCGAGGGACGGGAAACGTGAGTCGTCGGTTTAGCTGAGATGGTAGGACCTGGAGTACCTAGGTACTGGGGATTGATATGGGGAGCGAGATCGGAATGTCAAGTTTAATGTAGCCGACACGTATCGTTGCTCATTGATACGCTCAAGTATTTGCAGACATTGTTCGGGAATTACTGCCCAAGTGGTTTCGTTCTTGGGTCTCATACATCCTGAGGTCCCGGAGGTGTACAGTCCGTTCAACAGTGATAAATCCTCCAAAGCCCTGCGTTTAGGAAGACACACGATGCCAAAATCGGTGTAAAAAGACTTCGCTATTCGGGAATGAATGCCCATTTGTGTGCCTATGCCGACCAGCTCCATGCCCCATTGCACGTGTGCGACCTTGCATGCGCCTATCATAGGCGACCCGGCATGGACCATTAGTCGCCATGAATTTCAAACCTCTGACTTGTCGTGTTCTCCGACAAAATAAGCCACTCCTCGAAATGCGCGTTCAGCTCAGCCATGCTCTGCACCTGCTCCCTCTCCAAAGTCTGATGCTCATCCGGAATGAAAGGAGGTGGCGTGGGGCGTGCCTGCAAGGCCACGGAGATTCCAGTTCGGTGGATGTGACTGAGGTGATTGTCAGGGACAGCGCCGATGGTCCATGGTGGACGTGTCACGGTCAATCGGCAGCGGGTGGATTGGCAGTATGTTGCGACGGCATCTTCTTGTGCTTGATACAAACTCTTGTCAAAGACTCCCCGTTGGTCGCACTCGAAGGCTGGAACGACTTTCGAGCCCAGGTGGGAACCATCTAGATACCCGTGGTGTCTCAAGGCTGTCTGGAGGACGAACCGCTTGATTTTGAAACCTGAGTCACGCAGAACCCATAGAAACGTTCTGAGCATACACTCTAGCCTGATATTAGCAGTCGAGACAACAAATATCATTTTCAGAAATTCTTGTTGTGTGTGACTTACCGTTGATATTATTGATCTCGTCGACATTGTACCGAAGGCTTGAAGTTTGATCCGTGGGTAAGGGCTGTATGGACAAGAAGTAGAACACATAGTCTCTGGACGTAGATTTGATGTCAGCTTAGGCAAGTCTCGCGGGATAGGAGTGAGGAAGGTCGCACAAGCTATGCTTGTCCTCGGCTAGCTTGTCGAAATCGATTGAAGGAATAAATTCTGCTGCGCCCAAAAAGTCCATGTGTTCAACCTTGGCCGCGTTTGCGCCGAGATCAGGAAGCAGTGAGGGCGGTGGCGGCAATCGAGTGACACAGTACACCTTCTTCCATCGTTCAGACGAAGCAAGAACCTTCACCATGTGAAATATAGTCTCAGACACTCCGGTGGCTCCGGTGACAAGGGCTGTCCGGCCGTGATGCTGCGGTGCCGTGTGGGATACTGATGGTGATCCGCTCCGCGTGCCATCTGAATTGACGAGATCAATGGGTTCCGCCCCCATGGCAGATCCTTCTCGATTCTCCATCCTGGACCGGTCGTCTCATGAGCAGCACTTGAGATAAGTGTGGTCAAAATTGAGGATACTTAGGTATGTTTGGCTGCTTGTTGACCGCAATCTGACGAGTTCTGAGAACTGGGAGAAGACGTCCAAGGAAAGCTCAACGGCGAGACTGTGCTTTATTGCTAACAGCTTTGGTCCCTTAGCAATGAGGCTGGCTTCTAGGAGATATAAAGTGGTGTATGGTTTACATTCCTTGAAACGCGATAAGAACCGCATTCAAGCTTTCTTTTTTCCTGATGTCTCGTCCCAAGCCGATCAAGTCGTTTGTGAAACTGTCTGTTATTTCAACATGAAACTGTACCTAATCTAACAAAAAGATCATTATTAGGTAAGAATTTGTCTTTCAATGATCTCAAAGGTTGGGTCGAGATGGATGGTACGTCTGCCTATATTTAGGTGGAGGGAGACATCTATGCAAACACTACCAAGGGACCTTGGTGCACTTAGCCCATTGACACCTTGGGCAATCTTTCACAAGAGTCTCCGACACAGGTCTCACTAACTGGACACTAAAAGAAATTGTTGGGGCGCCATGTAGATACAGATCCTCCTACAGGGTGTATCACACACGGTTGAAATGAATTTGATACCAACGTAGACGTCTCCAGCAACGTGGCTCTGTATTGATAGGCCTGTCAATAATTCCTCACTTCTTTCTTCTGCCGTTCTTCACTTAGTTACATCACTACAGTTGTCTTTGTCCAGATACCTACCGTTGACTGCGAGAGCCCGCAAGATCTCCTGTGGCGAAGGCATACCGATCTGTGACGATAGAGCTCCAGGACAGCCATCGATATCGCAAGCGACGGGTACACATGAATTGGATACAAGGGCACGCAATCACACTTAATTCTCGGAAACTAGATGCCTTCTAGGGAAAGTGGTTTCTGACGGCCATGACCGGCTCTGGGATTACATTAAGCAGTGTCATGCGTTCTTGGCCAGACGAAGCTGCAACGATAAGTTAAGACAGGGTAGACAACGAAAAGTTCAGTGGAGCTCTGGGACTATTTTGAAGGTATCTCTGCTAGGTGGGGGAATTTTATGAGTAGCCCGTGGTTGGGTATTACATGAGTACTTTAACGTCCGTCTTTGTGTTAGGGGGCACTTTCTATGTAAAAGAACCGGCCCATACATCCTGCTCTAATGGCAAACAAGAGGTTAGGACAACATAATACAAGGACAATGTGAGAAACTGGTATGACTAGATTACTACCACGATGTAAAAAGCATGCCAGTTACCTAGGTAGGTAGCGCAAGGGGGGGTCGAACCCACGCCTTCTGTGGTTCTTAAACCTCTGTTAAAGGCACGGCACGTGCCTCACAGGCGACAACACCAAAGCCTTGACGGCCACGATCAAGTTGTCAGACTGAGCTCTGAATGTAGAAAAAGGTAGAGTAAGCATTTGATTGAGCTTGGATGGCACGAACACAAAGCTCAAAGAAGGAAAAAAGGCGAGCAAGAAGCATACACGGCCCCGCCCCTCCAAAAACAAACACCACAAAAAAAAACACCCCCGAGGGTCAAAAAGACCCTCCCGAAGGAGTCAGAAAACGAACTCTACGGAACCTGTGCTGTTTTACTGGTTACCCCCAGGGGTCGAACGTGGGATCCTCGGGCCACAGAGACACCTACCCGTCCGCCCTCCCATTGCCGGAGGTAAAAGACCCTTCAGGAAGACCCAAAGTCAGAAACCACCTTCGCCTTTTGCAGACCATTATCATAAAATCGGTGATTCTCTGGTTGCCGACGCGGCTTGAACCCAGGGTTTACGGCAGAGAGACCCGCAAGTCAAGCGCCCACCCGAATCGGCCACCACGCCGGATAATTCGCACTGGAAGTTGGTTGTTGATATGGGAGTGTGGCCTGCTAGCGCGAGGGCAGGGACATCGGATGAAGGGGGGGGACTGGGGGGTGAATGGGCACCGCGGGCGTTTGTTTGTTTGTCTGTTTGGACTCTGGGTTGAGAGTCACTCTCGCTCTGCCTTGACGTGTCTCGCTCAGCTGCTCGATCAGCCACTCACTCATCAAAGAGCAGTAAGTGGTTTCGCTTCTACACCCCATACAAAACATATGTGGCGCCTTCATCATACACGAGCAACGGGTGGTAACAATCAAGACCCAGCGTGGGCACGTCGCCTCACTCACTCACCACACAGCTCACTCATCGCACAGCAGCAAGCGATCAAGATTCTCCACGACGTCGTCGTCTATCAGTTCTCAATGGTATGGAATCTGCCGTACTTCTATTGGTATAATCTATCCTGACACTCAAGCGCTCTAGAACCCCGATAGCAATCCCTTCAGTTCGTCTTCAAGTCAACCACCCCTCGACCCCTCAACCTCGACCCCCCACGAAACGCAGACCTCACACCTTAAACCTAAACCCATGAGCAGCCGCCGCCCCAGGGGCAGCATTGATAGCCCCGGGGACATAGACGCCCCTCTCGAGCTTCCCGTTGAGCCGCACAAGCATGACGCGCAGCACGGTCGCCGCGCAGATGGCGACAAACGACGTGGCGCTGTTGACGACAAACGCGACGGTGTAGGCGGGGGCGGCGCGGTTGGGGTACATGTAGCTGGCGTAGATGCTGCTCGAGTTGGACACCGCATTAATAAAGGCCAGGGCGGCGGCGCGCTTGGCGGGCGGGCGCGGGATGGTGTTGCTGATCCAGGCGAGGGCGACGACGTAGCCCGAGTAGACCGAGGGGACCATGAGGCACATGCTGACGTAGCGCGGCGCCAGGGACGAGGTCGTCGCGGCGAGCACGAACGAGGCCACCGCGCAGAGCAGCGGGACCGTGACGTGCAGGTAGCGCTCGCCCGTGCGGTCGGCGTGCAGCGCGTTGGCGTAGGTGGCCGCGACGGCGAGGACGTAGGGCGGCGCCGTGAGGAGGAGCGAGTAGACGTTGCTGTAGCCCAGGGTCTTGACGACGGCGGGGAAGAAGTTGGTCACGGAGCCCGAGGAGACGATGCAGAAGAGGAGGATCATCTGTAAGCGACATGGGTTGAGTTGGTCAGCATTATATCGATGGGCTCGTCGACACCTGGGGGCCGACTTCTTACCAGCACATAAGTCTTGACGTCCACAAAGGCCAGCCTGGCGCCCTGCCAGAAGCTCTGGTGCTCGCTGTCGACCCAGTCGTCCTCGCCAATGTCCTCCTCGAGCCTCCACACGGCCAGCTGCCTCTCCTCCTCGGACAGCCACATCGTGGTCCGGGGGAAGTTGGGCAGGACGAAGAAGGCGCCGAACGCGACGACGACCGTGACCACGCCCTCGATGATGAATAGCCACTTCCAGGCCCGGAACCCCCTCAGGCCGTCCATGTTCCCCGTGATGCCGGCCGAGATGAGCCCGGAGAAGGCGCCCGAGATGAGGGCGCCGCTATACAGCACCGACGTCCTGAAGCCCAGCTCCTTGCGGGTGTACCAGCATGAGAGGTAGTAGAGACATCCTGGCCGGCGTTAGATGGTCGGTCATGCTCATAAAAGAAGTGGGGGGACCTTGGAAGAAGTGGATCACATCACATCACATACCCGGGAAATAAGCAGCCTCCACAAACCCCAAAAAGAACCTCACCGTCAGCAGCCCGGCGGCATTGTGGCAGGCGGCAGTGGCCGCCGAGATGACGCCCCAGACGATCATGCACGCCGGCAGGTACAGCGCCGGCTTGCCGAGCTTGTTGAGGAAGAGGTTGGAGGGGATCTGCATCAGCAGGTAGCCCACGAACAGGATGGACACGGCCGTCTCGTACTCGGTCGAGGACAGCCCGAGGTCCTCCTCCAGGCCCGCGAGCTTGGCGGCCGCGATGTTGTTCCTGTTGGCGGTCAGCTGGGGCTGGCGGCGGCGGCACCTCCTTCTTTTGTCAGATGCTGGTGGAGTGGGTGGGTTTGTGTGGGCGGGTTTGTGGGCCCACATCTACACCCACACTGCTTCTCGTCACTCACTCCCCCGCGGGGGAGTGAGGAAAAAGATGGGGCTCGAGTCTGGGGGAAAGTGGGCCCTGTGATCCTGTGCGCGGGGGAAGGACAACAACTTGAACTGGAGTGGACAAACCTGTCGATATAGTTGAGGATATACATGAGGATGATTGCGGGCATCAGCCTCAGGTCGATCTTCCTCTTGAGCTTGGCCTCGAGCTCCAGCCTGTCCTCCATCGACATGTTGAGCAGGAACTCTGGCGGCTGCAGGCCCCGTCGGACGCCGCTGCCGGCCCCGGTCTGCGGTGGAACATCATCAGTCTGGGCCGAGAGGACCTTGGTGTCGTCGTCGTCCACCACGTTGCCGCTGCCACTGCCGCTGCCGCTGCCGCTGCCGTTCCCTCTCTCCGGATCGCGCCTGAGGTCTTCCACCTGCTCGGTGACTGAGTCACCCTTGTCGGACATGTTGGGCGTGCAGAGATAAATGGGTTGGTGTGTCTGCTGTCTGGCTGAGGAAATGTGCCCGACAGAATGAGCTGGAAATGCTGGTCTAGACCAATAAATGCAAGGGAGAAGAACCAGATGCTGCCGCTCGCGCGTGTCAAGTCAAAAGAAACGACGTGGTGAGCTGCATATTTATCATCACCTTATCGCGGGACGTCACAACCCACTCGCTCGCGTGTTGACCAGGGAAAGCTCCAACTCCAACGTAGCAGTCGCAAATGCCCAGCCTGCCCCTAGTCAGCCCCCCGCACAAGCTTCCGCGTCGGACTGCCGCTATAGGATATGCCGCCCCAAGCCATGGCTCCGAGAGCCGGGTACTCTTAGTCGGCCGTTGCCGCCACCTGCAGTGCTACGGGCTAAGCTTTTCCGGCCGTTGGGGCCCTCAGAAATACCTGGCATCGAGAGTGGTCTGGGCAAAGAGGTCTCGGTCAAATTCATATGACGGTGTACTTGTGCGGTAGAGGAATGACTTGCCTCCAATTCATGTGCCCTCATCTCCCAGTATCTCAGCAGAGCATATCACTCGTCTCCAGCGACAGAACTGTGGTGTAAAATGTGGTCCCTGAACAGACTCTTCCAAAGTCTGCTACCCCGTCGTCCCCAAGTAAGCGACCCTTACCCGGGGCAATCGGCCTCTGATTCCGGATAAGCTTACCCAGCAATCTACAACGGCCCGAAGTGGTACATGCATGAAGACGAACCATATCATACCACCCACGAGTCGTTGCACGACCATTACAGAGACAAACAGGCTCGAATGCCGGGACCTGGAGACACTAGCCTCTAGCGACGTCTAGTTCTTCAAGTACACAGGTACACAGGTAAATATAAATATGCGATCTGTAGTTTTGTGGGGCGGATACCTGCAGCCATTAAACACAACAGTCCTAGAACCTACCCTGGGGTAAGTTCCACTGGCATTGCTCAAGTGCGATTTGACACACTCGCTAACATAGTAGTCAGTTCAACACTTTCGCTACGTCTTTAATAGATCACAGACTACCAACACAACTAATTCCTGCCATACTTGAGAAACTGAAAACACAAACTAGATCCTCTAGTACAATTACACACTAAATAATACCTCAATCAAGCAGGATGACACCCAGGAACCCGCCCCCCCCCCCCCCCCAGCCAAGTCCTATGGCAACTCATGAGGCCCACCCACCCCGTACCGCGACGAGTCCGTATCATGCACCTCTACAGGCGACCGCTGCGGCACGTACTCGTCCGGGCGCCGCCACCACCACCGTGCCTGCTGCTCCCCGGCCAGCTCGTTAGGGCCTAGCTTCTGCTCCGCGGGAGAGGCCGGGGGGCGTTGAGCGTGCCCTCCAGCCCCAGCCCCGGCCGGGCCGGTGCCTCCTCCTCCGCCGCCACTGGCATCTGGCCGCTGCTTCCTGATGATACCCCGGCGGTACAGGAGCCACGTGCCCAGGGCGATGAGGATGGCCGCGAGGAGGGCCGCGATGGCGATCCCGGCCGCCGCGCCCGCGGAGAGGCCGCCGCCGGATGGGGAGCTGGTGCTGGTGCTGGTGCTGGGTCCTGTTGTTGTTGATGATGATGATTGGCCGCCGTTGATCGTGCTGACACCTGATGTCTGCATGTCAGGTGTGCGTTTTCGGTCAGTTTCAACTTCCACTTGTTGATACAGCGCCTCTCTGTATGAAAGGGAAGGGGGGGGTGAAGCGTACCGAGTCCGGAGGTGAGATGGCGACCCCGAGCGCCCACAGCCTCTGGCCCTCGTCATACGTCGTCGTCCAGAGGAAGAGCTCCCGCGTGCTCAGCAGCGTGGTCGTGTACGTGCTCGTGAAGTTGGACGTCGTCCAGGTGCCCGAGGCCGGCGGGCTGTCGCCCGTGGGGGCCGGGGCTGCACCCGTAGGCTGCGCCGGGTTCCTGAAGTAGGTCGCGGTGGCCGTGAGCTCCGTCGAGTACGGGTACATTGCCGTGACGCAGGCCGCCGTCCAGGACCAGAAGGACCTGTACTCGCACGAGTACGGGGAGTCGCTGGTGAGCTGGTGAGTAAGGACTTGATCGTCAGGGAGGGGGGGCCGGAAAGGGCAGGCAGGGTAGAAGAAGAAGTGTGCGGTAGGTTTGGTCAAGGCCACAGCAGAGGCTCTTGACCAGGTACGAGGGCGGGCTGTGCTGAGTAACTAACTACTCACCCGGTAGCCCGAGGACAGCAGAGGGTCGACCATGACGACGAGTAGTAGTTCGTCGTGCACGCGGGCGTGAAGCCGTTGGGACATGAGCTCGCGGTGTACAGGTGTCCCAGTGTCGGGGTGAAGTCTGGCGGATAGCACGACGAGGTCTGGTCCGGAGACCCCAGCACGGCCATCCCCCATACACTGTCGGCCCAGACCCAGTTATCACCCCTGTCTTGACAACCCGATGAAGCTGGCTTCCACCCGGCCGGTATCGTATTCGTGGCGAGGGCCATGTTGATGCCGTGCGTCGAAGGGGGCCACACAATCGAAGTCAGCGCTCGCTCCCAGGCTAAATAGCTACTTACATACGCAGTCTGAATCTTCTTTAACGTGACCAACAAACACAAACAGGGTTGACCTGAACAGAGAAGAAAGAGACCAGGGAGAGCTGCTTGTGCGGGGCCCCAATGATATACGAACGAGTGGTAATAATACCACTTCTTGGCCTGGCCCTCTCACTGCTACATCACGACCGCCTCGGCACCATCGATGACGATGTGATTGGTGGCCGTCGGGCTGTCCTGCAGCCAACATCTCTGGTAGCGCCTCGTCGTTATCGGCACGTCAGGCTCTCTCTTCCCGGGCAGGAAAATGCAGTAACAGACTGGAAGGCAATGCACAGGATGCGAAACAACTAGTATCAAGGTTGCAGGCTCCGATTCCATCCCGTGCCCACCTACCAGGCCGTTACATTCCCAGCAGGGGTCGTCAAACCAGCTCATGAACTATTTACCATGCGTTGCGGCTTAAGCTTCGCTCCTGCAGTACTGTCCTAGACGGACGCCAAAGAAGCCGGTGGTATTGATAGATGTCGTCCGCCGAGCGTGGGTCCGGGCGGAAGAGTCCGCCATGTGGGATGCCCGTGGAGTCCTCAAGCGGGACTCAGCCTTATTATCGTGTACTTGGGTAGGTACCTAAAAACTCAGGCAGGTAGATACCTAGGGTATCGCAGCATGCAGGAGCTCCCAATCTCACACAAAGGGCCAACCGCGACGGCCAGGGGCGCGCAGCACGAAGCGCCTGCTGTAACCGGGAGCCCATCGGGACCCACGGCCTGTTTCCGAGGCCTTATCTAGTGGAAATACGTTTGAATTTCCAAAGACGTCTTCTCAGCATGCTCTTGTTTCCATTCAAAAAGCACGAAAGACGAAGGAAAGGCTTGTTTGTGTGTGCCTGCGGCTCTGCCTCGATGATGGGGTTCTAAGGCTTATTAGCCGTTGGGCCCGCGCGGCGATTTCCCATGCGGCTGGCGGCACGGCACGCGGCAAGCGCGTACACTACACAATCTGGCGCACGGCGCGTGCCTGAGTCGCTCGGCTGCCCTGAGCTGGGCGATCCTTGGTACAAAGATAGCCGGCCGATCTAGCTCGGCGAAAGCTTGTCTGCCGGGTGTGGTGGTTCGTGAGCGGGGAACTTAGTAGCTAGCATCAATATGAGATTCAAGGTCCACCCACGCGCTCGACACACTGATGAAGAGTATCGTCCTCGAGGCCCGGCACACACCCCGACTTCTTGCTCAACACTCTATTATGCAAGTACAATAGATATACACTATAACTACCTCCTCGCCTTAACCCATCCATCCATCTCAAAACTGCTACCCCGCCGACTTGGGCCCTCCCTGCCCCAACCCAACTCAGCCATAGTCGGCCGATGCGCGATGCCAGATCAGCCAGCCAGCCCCACCAACAACACCCCCGCATGTGGATGCATAATAATTAACATGTTCAACTCCTTTAAATGGATTCCTACCCAGCATCCATCGTCATAATACATGGCCTACAACTCGGCCCCTCGCTCCCGGTCTTGTCGCCAATAAGTCCGCCCGTCTGTCTACTGAGCTCCGGTCCGCGCCCTCGCGTCGCGTGGGCGGACTGGCTGGCTGGCCGGCCGCATGCCATTTCTTGTCTCTCGTTTCATGATAACCCGCTCCAGGAGGGCTTTGATGTCGTCGTTTATCTCATCGTACATGCCTTCTTTCTCTCCTTAGTAGGTAGGTTGTAGGTAAATAGGTAGGGACCAGCGACCTCCCGCGCCTCTATTCAGCGGTCGAATCAATGCGTGATGACCCGCATGGCCTGGAGCATGATGCCAAACATGAGGCCCCTCGCCACCTCCTCGATCTGCAGGCAGTCAAAGATACGCCCCAGCGCCTCGTTGGTGGCGTTCTGCCCCATGACGCCCGACAGCGCGGCGGGCACCCCGCTCTGGATGAGGAGGCGGCGGGCCTTCTCCCGCAGCTTCTCCTTCTCCTCCTGGCTGGACTCTGGCGGCCAGGCCTTGAGCTCCTCCTCCGTGGGCAGCGTGTTCTCCCGCAGCTTCCTGAGGTGCGCGGCGATGCCCTCGTCGGACGAGTTGGCCTCGATGACCGAGTCCTGGATCATCTTCTGGATGGAGACCAGCGAGGGGTTGCCTGGCCGGAGCAGGAAGGACTTGGCCGCGGCGAGCAGCGTGCGGCGGAAGTTCCAGGCCGACGACAGCGAGTAGAGCTCGTTGATGATGGCAAACACCAGCTCTACGGCCACCCTTGTCTCCTGTTCCGAGATCTTGGTGTGCGTGCGTGTTGGTCTGGGTTGCCGGAGTGCTCCGTTGGGTGTCCTCTTGGCCTGCGTGCTCAAATCCAAGATGTTCTCCTGCGACCGAGACATTCGGGTGCTGACGGGGGAGCCCCAGTCATCGGGCATCGCGTCCGGGGGTGGAGGAAGCCGGAGTGCGTCCAGGCTCAATGTTGACGGGGATTTGAGAGGTGATCGAAGAGGTGCGATGCTGGACGCTCGGCTATTAGCCTTGCTGCTCATCGCGCTTGGTGAAATCCTGTCCCAGCGGTCTAGTCGTGCAGCCTGCGATGCGTCGCCATCTGGTTCGCCCTGTGACTGATAGCTAGGGCGACGTTCCATGGGAGGCATCTTGCCGGGTTGTGTTGATACAATCGAGGACCGCTGACTGTCCAAACTGTCCCTGGACTTCCGAGCACCATTCATCGTGTTGACCGTAAGAGTGGTGTCTGCCCTGGGTGGCGTGGACACAGACAGCCGGTTTGCGCTGACGGTAGCTCCGGCATCAGGCAGAGACTGGGTAGTCGGCTTCCTCGACAATCCGAAATTGCCAAAGACGCCCGTGACACCACCAGCGATCGCCTTACCGCCCTCTGCGACTCCCTTTGGCGCACTGGTCAAAGCTCCAAAGACATTTTTGCCAAAGTTCTCAACGGCTTGGAATCCACCCTTAGACTCCGTTCGGGTGTGACCCTGATCCTTGTCCAAGAACCTCTTCATCCCTTCACTCTCTGCAAGTGCCTTATACCAGCACGCGTCGCGAAGGTAACGCTCCAGCTCACCACGCAGAGACTCACGAGTATGAAGCTTGAATTGTGGCAGCTCTTTGTGCTGTTCGGTAAACGCCGTGATGCCCGAAATCGTTGCTATCCTGCGCAGAACCTCATGGAGCTTCTCAAAGTCGATATACTGTCTCACAATCATCCACCCCGAGTATTGCGAAGACGACGGCTCGATCTGAATGAGATAATCCCACGTGGGCTTGGTCCGGATGCGATTTTTGTCGACGGTTCCATCATCATATATCGTAATCTTGGCGTTGTGCAGGGTGAGTGGCGCAGGTTGTTTCGCTTCTGCATCGCTCTGGTCGCTGTCATCCTGGGCCGGGGGAACGATCTGTTCAAAGCTGGTGAATGACTGCTGGTGTCCATGCTGGGCGGTCGATTTCTGGTTGCCAGAGTCAACGCTCTGGGGTGTCGGCGGAAACTCCTTGCCTGGGCGCTCTTCACTCGAGGTTGAAGCAGCCTTCTCGGGCGCCGGAACTCCCGAGACACTGGGAGCTGGGGTATTCGCTGCGTCTGGTGCAGCTTGCGATACAGCCGCAGGCTTCGGTTCGATATCAAGATCATTGGCGTTTCGCTGTAGGGCATCCGCCAGCCTCTGAGGGACCTCTTCTTTGGTGGGAGTCTCCGGCACCTTACCCTCCTGGAACGCGCGAAAGTCCTTAGACCTGCGCGCATCTTCATCCAGGAGCATCTTGTTCATCCGCTTCATCTCCTCCAACACCTCCATTTCTTCGTCCGCCCTGCTCAGCTTCTTCTTGTGGGCAGGCTCCCGGCGGCGAGCCTTCTCCATGTCGAGCGAGTTGCGGTTTCCTTTTGTCAGTCCGACATTTCCGACATTCCCGTCCATGTCTGCGAACACGGCACTGTTTGCCTCGGGCCCTGTCTGCATGCCGACATCGATGGCCTGGTTAAAGTCGGGCTCTCCGGCCTCGAGCAGATAGACGATCCAGCCGTTGATCCACTCGGCCTTGGAACATGTCTGCAGCGACATTTCCAGAATCACGCCAGCGAGGATCTCGCGCAGGAACGTCCTCGCGGGGTCGCAGTCGTGCGTGGGTCTGTCGAGAAACCCGAGCAAGTCTTCGGCCACGGCCTTGAACTTGGAAGCCTGGTGCCGTTGACTCAGCAGGTGCGACAGGTTGGAGTCGGGATTCGAGGCAAGGTAATTGTAGACGGCGTCGGCAGCGGTCATGGTGGAGTCTGGGGGGAGGTCGGCGAAGGCTTGCGACAGCTCGGAGAAGAAGACGATGACAATGGAGGAGGTGTTGGTCAGGAAGTCGAGGAAGCTGTCGGCTGGTCTCTTCTTTCCGAGGTAGTTCCCGACCGAGACGAGGAACGAGGTCAAGACCCTGCGACAGGAAAGGGGGAATGACCTGTCGGACGGGACGATCGGATCGTACCACCACTTCACATAGTCCCTGATGACAGCATCGACGAGACCGTTGAGCGCATCTTGGGTCTCAGGCTGGAAATCAGCAAAGCTCTGGGCCAGGAATATGGCCTCATCTTCCTCGGTGTCCTTGCGAACTGCGTCAACGTCCCTCAGGCTATTCTTCTCGCCCAGCAGTCTTGCGACGATGTCGACGCCCGTCTCGCCACGCACAGCCCTGGCATAATCGGGATTCGAGGCTTCCCAGTGTACGTACAGCGCCACGCCTCCGAACGCGCCGATAAGGAGAAGGCCGATCTGGCCGAGGACGAAGTATGTAACGGCAGCCAAGCCGACAGCAATGCCGGCTAGGGTGCCGGGCGTGGCGGTGGAGAGGAACTGGAAGATGCGAGTCGTGACATCGTCTTCGGGCTTGGGCTTTGAGGAAGTCGGGGCGGTGGTGGAGGCTGTTGTCGGAGAATTTGGATCTATCTTATCGTCGAGGGCCATAGTGTCGGCAGTTGAGCGAGAGGGTGCATCACCGGCAGTCATGACAAGAGGCTTGTCCTCATTGCAGGGATCGTGGTGGACCTGGGGAGTGTGCTTCAGGTGGCCCGGAGCATTTGCTCGTCGAGTCGTCGGTGAGGATCCGACACGAATGTGGAGGGCAAAAAGGCAAGCGCGGGTGCAGGAAGAAAGGTGGAAAAGGGCCGCGGGTCGACAGCAAAGGGAGGGCCACGTGTCGGCGTGTGTTGGCAGGCAGTGTCGAATAAGTAACTAGGTACTTTGGTATACTCCGTATTCGACAATACACCAGACACAGATCAGATCAACAGCAGTCCAAAGAGAGAAAGACGATGCGCTGCCGGTCAGGGAATGTTTCGCAGGGCTCATGAGCAGGTCAATCAGGACGAACCCCTGGCAGGAGTCGATGTTTCGACGCTGCAATCCGCCTGCCAAAAGCGTCCGTGCTATTTCGGGAATTAGCGCCCCCAGTTTCTGCCAAGATTGCCTCAAAGCATGCGGTCATTTCTGAGAAAGTCTATTCCGCTGCCGCTCCTCATTGACCGTGCAGGGGCATGCTCTACTCCTAACCCTGACCTCTCCTTATGTACTCCGTACCTGGCTAATCTCCTTGATAGCGATAAGCCAGAGCGGACAAGTGCAGCTGCCAGTTGGACGCGACCTTCTTCGAGTCGACGCGTCGAACCAACCGAAGCTCATGCGGGAGCTGTCAAACAGATTACTGTGTACGGCTCACTCTGCCCGGCCCAACAAAGCAAACAAGGTGCCCATCGAACCCAACTCAAGCCCTCGAGTGCTCGACCCGACTTTCCCTTCTCCCCACAACGACATTCGTCGCATCGCATCGACCTTTTTCCCTGTCACAATTCTTCGAGCCAATCCGCTGACGTCATCACGTCCCTTCAACTCCGTCAAAATGGTCAAGCGCAAGTCTAGCTTCGTCGCGAGCGACAACTCCAGCGGCGACGAGCAGCCGGCAAAGACATCCAAGAAGGCCAAGCAGGAGACCAAAAAGGGCTCCAGCTCTAAAAATGGGGCAAATGTCGACAGTGAAGGAAACACCTTCTTCGAGGTCAGCCACCCTCTCACTCATGTCCACTCCACAATGCTCTAAGATGATACTGACATTGTATGCCCACCATGAAGCTCTCCGGAAAGAGGCGCGCTGTCGTCCAGCAGTTCCAAGGAAAGTGGTTTGTGAACCTCAGAGAATACTACGAGGACAAGTCGGGCGAGATGAAGCCCACAAAGAAGGTAAGTGGTGCACAATGCCAATGCCCTTCTCCTACGATACTGGTTCATGCTGACGCATATGCTAGGGAATTATGCTCAACGTCGAGCAATATCAAGCCCTCGTGGGTGCCGTGCCCGCCATCACCAAGGAGCTGGGCAAGCATGGCGTCAAGGTTGCCGGCCAGGGCGGCGATGCTGTGGAGGACGATGCCGAGGAAGAGGATGAGAAGCCGGCCAAGTCAAAAAAGAAGGAGTCCAAATCCAAGAAGGCCAACATCGAGGCCACCAGCGACGAGGAAGAGGACGATGAGTAGGGGCTCTGCTATTTTGAGCTCGCCAGTCTGTGTGTGTAGGCTGTGACGGGGTTCACGATTGGTCTATGCGGGGCGTTCAACGGGAATTGTATTTGCTTGGCTTCAAAATGAACGCAGTGAGGACTTCAATCTTCATGCGAAAAGAAAATATGGGATACAACCAGATGCACCCTATATTCCTGTCCATCCTCTCAACTGAGTCAGGCCAGCCACCTGTGGCACCAAGGCGCTGTTGTTGACCAGGACAGAGTGCAAGTAGGCGTCTCCAACGAAGGTCATGGTATCGAACAACGAGCGCCTGCGTACTTCCCTGGGGGCCTTCTTCTTATTCACAAAAGCACCTAGGCACACAACGCAATCGCTTGAGAGTCCGGGACACAAACAAGTGTATCCAAAATCAAAGCTCAACCTGTGTGTGAACGGCTGTTACTACGACGGCGCCTTCTGCTTAGCTGCTTCAACCCGCGCCTCCGTCTTGCTCCAGAACCAATCCGCATCATCGGCGACACGTTGACTCCAACCATCCAGCGGCCCCACAGCCTCAATATGTTTCTGCCCCCCCTGCAGAATAGGGACGCACGAGTCCGCCGAAGTAAAGTTGGTAGCATTGTTAGGGCCCGTCAGCTCCAGGAGCTGCCGCGAGCTGGCCGCAAAGATGACCCTTCCGATGTTCGCCCAGTACGTCGTCCCTGCACACATCGCACACGGCTCCCAGGTGGTGTACATGGTGCACTGCCAGAGGTAACCTGGGGGGAATTGGTCCGCGGCTGACAAGGCGAGGGTGGATTCGGCATGTCTGACGTAGGAGACGTTGTGCTGCTTCAGGAGGACCGTCTCGTGGTCCGGCGCGACGAGGATGCAGGCGAATGGTGGTTTTTTGTGTTGCGTCATGCAGGCGTTCTGGAGCTCAAGCGCAATACCCATATTCTGGGGTCGTCATTAGAATTTGAGTTGTTGTGTCTGGCGTGGCCGTAGCTTATCGGGGCCCAATTCTTGTCGCCTGGGAAACTCACTCTGTCAATTTGCTCCTGTGTGGGAGCCGTTCGTGGTGGAAACCATTCCTCGATGAGGTTATCGCCAGTCCCCATGATTAATTAAATCCCGCGATACGTTTCTTCTTCTACTGCCGATTCTTTGATAAGGAGACAGTCGGCAACCCAGGCATCTCCGCCGGGGAAGATCGATTTATAGACCAGTCGGCTCATCTTCCATTCCGGGCCCGGCTATCGGCAGACCCCGATAGTGATTACTCCCCGCTCCGTTACTTGCCCCGACCTCGGGACGGGGTTTCTCTTTCTTCTACGGCTGTATTTGATTCTAGACTTCGCGTAACCCCAAACAATTTCAGCTGATGCTGTTGAATTGGTAAATATTCGCCTTTGTTTGCAAATGGACCCATTTGCGTAGTGGGAAAAGACGTACTGTATTCTCTTTCCACTGTTATTGGCACTGTATTTCTTCAGACGCTGGGTCTTGAGCGTTTACCACTGTATGAAGGCGCCACGTACATTTTACATGTATGGGGATTAAAAACGAAACCACACTTGCGTAGTGGGATGTGTGCTTGCACTTGAACTTTACAAGCTGGATTATTTCGGAGTTACAGCTGAAGAAAATCCTCAATTTGGGCAATATTTTAGACAATTCTTCACGTTGCTCGATGTAGAGAACTTTGGAAAGGAGCCAAAAGAGTTGGAAAGAGATATCAAACCGCATACAGGGCTCAACCTTTCCAAAAAAAAAAAAATCGCAACGTCCGCCATGATGCGAATGTTGTGAACACCATCCTCAACATTATGCCGTTGTCCCTGTCAACTCGTTAACAACGGAACTTATCACGTATTATGTTCTCTCTGCCCTGTTATTGGCATTTTACGTTTTAAACGCTGGGTCTTGAGTGTTTACCGCTGGATGAAAGCGCCATGTACGTCTTCGGACGTACGCGGAATAGAAGCGAAACCACCTGCAGATACTACAACAGGTCACGCTACCTACGGGAGGTTGTCCTGTGGGGCTCAGGTTTGTCCCCTGGTTTTCACAGTTGCAGGTGCGAACCTCTGACCTGTTCGGTTATGCAGCCTGTACGAGAAAGTCGAATGCAGGCTGGCCAACTAGCATTCGATGTGGTGGTACCTAAGAGGGGCGTCTCATACCTTCTAGCGCTGGTTCAACCCCGAGTGAAGATTTAAACTACGAGACTGCTCGTTCGAGTTATCGATTTCAGTGCTCGCTATGGTATGGTATAAATATCTTTGGGATGACCAGAACCTGGCAGAAACGCTTCAAGATGGGCTCCTATCGTCTGAGGGAGCCAGACGGTAAGATGAACAGTAACCTCATTCACTATTAGTGCAGCTGGATGACGAATATCCACCAGCTCCGGTCACACCAACCCAACTCGACACAATCCTGGTAAACTGCCTCCAATCGGGCCACACAGTGAGAAGGCAACTAATGCAGGTCGCACTTCGAAGTCGATCACTCTGAAAGCACAATTGTGCTGACATGACTACTAAAATCTTGGATATTTGATTGAAAGCGATGTGCCACAGTCAGCCTGTTAATGCTGCCATGACACTTGTTTAAAATCGGGGAAATGTTCATTTTTGATGCGGCTTTCTATGACCATAGCACACCATTGTCCCAGGCACCTCTTAAGACTTCTTCGAATCAAAGCACACCTATCCTCAGTGCGTTTTCATAAGTCAAACATTTTCCTGGCTCTCAGTTTTCGTTCCGTGGCCGTAAACCAAGCCACAATCATGAGTCGTATGCGTAGACGTGCGAGACAGACAGTGACTTGTTGGAATTGTGTAAGTGGTCCCAGTTTTCTGTGCAACACCCATCATACATATCGCCTGACGGCTATCATCCTTTGAGACATTTTTAGCCACTAACCCTCGGCGTCAGTGCTATTGTGGCATGGGGATCATGTTGCTAGGCACCACCACTCATTGCGTCACCTGTGATCGAGCTATGTGTGGTTTCTGTCAAGTATACAAGCAAAGCATCTGCGAGAGAGTGGGACCGCGACGCCGTCCGACGGCCCAGGGCCCTGTGCTACTTCACAGATTAGAGCAGCCCCGGCAGGCAAACACGATAAGTTTCAAAATACAGACGGAGCATTCAATGAATGCACTGACACAATCATCTGCCTATAAGCCTAGAATCATTGACAGTGGCCGGCTGAAATATCGTCCTGGGCTCGAGACCAGACCAGAGCATGTTGTGCTTCTCCGGTGCTTGAACTTGACGGGCGCAAAAGATGAACCCTGGAAAGCTATTTCGACTGGTGAAACGCAGTCATCACCAGGAGAATTCACCCCCGGATCTGAGTCATCCGATCTCTGGCAAGAGGATGACGACGACATAGGCTTGCCCGCCAAGTGCGACACAATCGCACATGGCTTAAGCGAGGGTTTTGACGACCTTTTCCAGATGTGGCTTTTAAGCCCCCGGGACAACAATGATGGACAAAGAGCCCCGTCACCTTCAGGCCCGCAGCGCAATGCCAAGGATACTGGGAAGCGTGCAGAACCGAGACGTAAGCGACCTGATAATTCAGATGAGCAGGACGAGGATGCGAGCCCCGGACGGTCTGGGGCAGTCGGAAGGAAACGTCGGAAAATGATGCCTCTGGACACGCAGCTGGCCTGTCCGTATTTCAAAAAGGATCCTCGGCGGCATAGAGCTTGTTGTGGTTATGGGGGCCAAAAGCTGAGTTATGTCAAGCAACACCTTAGCAGGAACCACACCATCTCGCTTTACTGTCCTGTGTGTATCATTTATTTCCCTAACGAGCGGCTACGCGACGAACACATCAGAGCTAGGACTTGCGAGCCGCTTGAAAACCCGCAGGTACCGGAGGGAATAACGATGGAGCAGAGGATTTGGCTGAGTAGGCGCGGCCCCCCACATCTCAGCGAAGAACAGCACTGGTTACGAATATTCCAGCATTTGTTTCCTGGGCACCCTCTGCCGCAATCGGTATACAACGACACGACTTTCTCCGAGGAGTTTCTTGATTTCAGAGACTTTATCAGTGGGCCTGCAGGACTCGATATGCTATTGAGCAAAGTACGCGAAAGCCCGTGCTGGACAGCCGAGCATGAGACGCTCTTTGGGCCAGACATCGGGGAGGGACTCGGGCAATTGTATTGGCTTTGGGCGGCCGCAAGGCAGGGCGAGTCCAACCGAGCCGGAGCCGTTGAAGTCCCTTCACACGAGTCTCAGGACACGTTGTCTCCAGTCTTGGACGGAGCTTCCCATCAGTCTGGCATGCAGCTCGGAGAGGAGCTTGTTACTGGCGGGCAAAGCTTCGATATGTTCATACCTGTGCCAAGGGAAACGGAGTCCCCAACATTGCCCGCACCTCAAAATGAGCTGGCAAGGGTCGTGGATGGACGAGAACAGCTCATCTACGAAGCCACGCAACTTGACGCAACGACCATAAACACGGAGAATGAACAAGAGCACCCGAATGTGGATAAAAAAGAGGAACTGGACGAAGGTTGGCAGTCTTCGAGCATAGCATTGACTCATATCCCCCAAGGTCAGCCACGGACGAGCTTGACAAGGATTGACCAGCCAGACACTGAGCCGCCGGATATACCAGAGCTTGGAGACGACGCGCAAGGCGCCGTCTCCTTATCAGATTTCCGACCCGAATTTCTCAACGACGGATTTCAGGGAAATACCGGTTGGAACTTCTCTTCAACCTTCGAATTGGATGACGCAGGGTATTTACTAGGTCATCTCGGAGCCCCGCGTGAAGATGCTATTTTGAACGACGTCGCCGAGGCCTATACAGGAACGACGGTAATGACGGATGAAGAAGCAACAGCCATTATTGCGGATCTTGATGACTGTTTAGGATTGGCACAACCGCCCAAGTAAGCCTTGGCTGGTAAGGGCGATCGGAAGCATCTACAGTGGAGAGCACGAAATATTCACAGGAATTTCAATGTTAATTCACGGTTGACGGCTGCATGACCTTCCATCGAATCGTTACTGTCTTCGTCCAGTGGGTTCAACCTTGATCAGCGGTCAATCCTTGTCTCAGGAGAAGCAGCGAATTGGCTGCTCGACCGCGCCAAGCATAATTACAGGACCAACTTAGAAGAGTTGTGACAGAGTTTTAGGTGCGTCTTCCCATAGCTAGGCCGCTGAAGCAAAATGCACCCGAAGTTGGGCGCAGTAGCGGGCCAGGAGCACCTTGGCACTGTGTCTGTTACGCCTGCCCCGTCCATCATTCAGGCATAAGTCCAGCAGCCAGGCTGCTGGACAGTGTGGGTGGGACCAGTTGCGTGTTTCCTCCGTTTTCGTACGTGCGAATCTCTGCATTCTTGTTTATTAACAATCAATCCACAGCCCCCCCCCCCCCAAAAAAAAAAACAGATTAAGGATGGTGTTAAAAGAAATTCCCAAGCCCGGGGATCGACGCCGGAATCTCCTCGTCCCGTACTCGGGCACGCTTCCGCGCAGTAGGCATCCATGTGTGTCACTAGGAATATTACCATTTTACCATTCCCTTTGGTACAGACAAGACGTGAGCGCACTTGTTGGGTACGAAGGACTGAAATGCAGTTCTGCCACTATCCTACACATACGGTACGTAGGTGCCAGTGAGGTTGGTTCCATTGTGACCACATGCAGCTTCTTCTAAACTATCACTAGCTAACTCGTCTACAGAACTTGTGCGCTTCATCATCCAACTTCATCACTAGCCCTGCAATGGTGCGAGTCTCACCGGGCAGCGCGGTGCCGAATTAATGCTGGCGGCCAGAAAGCAGGTCCTTGGTGCAGTCTGCGGGAACCTTGATGTCTGCTAGAGGGAGTTCGCCGTCGACGGTGGAGATTTGGACCGGTTTGAATGCACCTAAAACTCGGCGGTTTCTTATTGTCAGCCCCCACGAAAGGTCATGGGTCGGCTGAGTGCGGTGCGGAACAGAAAAGTAAGAAACCCGACCCTCTCTCACCTCCCCCCCCCCACACACACCTCTCCAAGGATGACTTCCTCCACATAATCTAGATGCGAGAAGATGGTAAATAGATTGAGGCCTTGAATTGTTTTGGGTCGCTGGTAGGAGGGGGAGCAAGATCACTGAGAGGGTCCGCACCTTGACAGGATGACAACACATCGTCTGTGATGAGAGGACACAGCTAGCAACCCGTACCGGTGATGGTTCACTACACCAGAGAACGCGTGGATAGGCTCGGTCCATAACTGAGACGATTTTTTCGATGATGAAATTATGAAAACTCAGCGCGCCGTGTTAGGGAGACAACGAGATGAGGACATCGATAGCCTTGCCGTTCAAGTGAAAGCCGCAGGCGATGGGAAACGAAGTCGCCTTCTCCGACCTGACCTATTGATCACAGACGAAGAGATGAGGCCGGAAGGATCATGAACAGTCTGAGCAGAAAAGAGGAGAAGAATGGAATTGAGTCAACAAGTTATCCGAGCGAAGGCTCTTCACATCACCGCACCTTCCTCTGTGAGTAGGCTTGATGCAATCGCGCCATATTCAACCGGCTCTTTCCTTTGCGTTTCTTGGTCGAACGTATCACAATGACACTTCTAAGCATTGCAAGTTGTCGGGCAGGAACAGGGCGCGGGAAGGGTGCAGCAGTTTAAGAGTGCACACCAGCCAGCGGCGCCTTGCTCCAGAGGAGAGGAAGGCACGCCCTCGCCTATCTCCCGCCAGCCAGCCAGAAGGGGGCGAAGAGGACGAAGAGGAGTATCTCACGGAGGAGATTTAATGGAAGAGGTGTGTCTTGAAAATTGTACGTGTACATAGTATAAAAAGGTGAGCCAATTTGATTTTGAGTAGGCCATATTGAACGCCGAAGCTGTGCACTCTTCCTGCACTCTGCACTCCTTCGCGCTCCTTCACGCTCCATGCACCGTTCCCATTTTGAGCCTCTCCCAGAATTGAGCCGCTTCCCGTTTAGAACTATTAAAACGCTGCTCCAGTACGGGCACATTTTAGCAATATACATGTTCCAAGGTTGCTAGCTTGGTGCGGTCACGGTTTATGAACACCGTATTACGCCCGTATCAAGGCCAACATGAATTTTGAACACTAATTATACATTTGAAGGTTTCACAAGTGCTCCTATAACAATAGGAGTACTTAGCGAGTACGGAAATGTATACTGCCACGCATTGAAGCAAACCTGGTCATGAAATGGTTGTCCCATTGGCAGGTCTTGTTTGTAAGCCTCTAGCCGTCGGAACCTCCCCTCTGGTAGACTTCAAGACTTCCACCAGAATTCTTTTCCTCCTGCTCTTCCCTCAGTCACATCATGTCTTGTCAGAGAGAAGACCGGAGTAGTAATGAATCTAGACCTGGAGGCTGCTAGTACGAGATTATAGAAGGCGAGGGTTTACTGTCCGAGCACTTTCAATAATCACGTACGCCAAGTAGGTCAAATACACCAAGCAAAGCATATTAAGTCTATCAAGTGTATCACGGTACTGCCCCCTTAGCTAAAGGCTATAGTACGTATAACTACCTAATTACTATTCGGTAGTTAGAAAAGGTACCGTAAGGCTTGCCGACTAGATTCCAATTAGGACCTATGAGGCTGTCAATACAGTACGGCTAATAAACTAATCACGAAAGCAGCAGCGCCAACCACATCACAAGTATTACACAGGAACACCGGGCAGACCGCCGCATTTCAGCTGTCTCTCCGTGGCCTGGCCTCATCGTAGAATTCATTCGCTGGTCCAGATCATATCGGGAGGCTTTCTCCTAATTTTCCGGGTGGTAAATACGGTTTGCTATAACCTGGTGAGTGATACCTGCTCCAGTAGGTGTGTAGGACGTCTAGTTGCCCAGGTGAGGACTCACCGAACGTTCGGATCTCCGCGCGTATTGCGTTCTTGGCGCGGCAGCATGCCTCCGCTCAAGCCCCGGGGTCCCAAGCCACATAACCAAATAACCAAGGAACGATCAGATTCATTCATCATAAAAGACAACAAGCCCCTGCTAGCAGACGTGAACTTATGAGCATTTAATCATGCTAAGGAAATGCCCAGACAGAGGAATGGCTTGTCCGGGTGAATTCATGGCGTGCTGCGGGGAGTGGATATGCTCGGTGTAAAGCGCGCCGTATACACGCGACGGTGTGTCTTGGCGATCATCAGGGGTCCTGTTTATGTATAAATGGCCGATGTTACGATTCGAGGGCCCTAGCCGCCTCCCGTGGCCCGAGAAGCCAGCTCTTGCGCTCTCCAGGCTAATCCGGTACCGCCATGTTGCCATTCCAGCTCCTGAGCCTCACCGCCGTGTGGGCCGCCACCTCTTCGGCACGCTACATTGTGCCAGGCGGGCGATGGCGAGACACGGATGGCAACCTTGCCAATGCGCACGCGGGTAACGTGGTTCACGACCCGGCGAGTGGGAAGTTCTACTGGTTTGGAGAGTATAAACTCGAGGGCCAGGTGGAGGGTGGTGGTGTGTCCGTCTACAGCTCCGACGACCTGGCTACATGGACGCACCATGGTCTTGCTCTCGCTCCCATCGAAGGTGACCCCATCCTCGGTCTCGACAAGATCATCCAGCGGCCCAAGGTAGTCTACAGCGAGGTCACTAATAAGTACCACATGTTGTGGCACGCGGACAACTCGACCTACGGCCTTCTGCTGCAGGGCCTGGCCCAGTCCGACAACATTGCAGGACCCTACGAATTTGTCTCGGCGACCAAGCCCCTCGGTAACTGGTCTCAGGACTATGGACTGTTCACCGACTACAAGGACGGCCGATCCTACGCGCTGTACTCGAACGGTGACACCGTCGAGGGACGGGACGACTACATCACCTCCTACAACGACGCCATCACGGACCTCGATGAGGTAGTGTACCGCTTCAACAAGTTCGACCTCGAGGCACCAGGAATCGTGCAGACAGACGACAGCTACTACATACTCATGAGCCACAAGACAGGCTACCGGCCCAACGACGTGGTGGCCTTCCGCGCCGACGACCTCGCCGGCCCATGGAGCCAGCCCTTCAACGTGGCCCCTCCCGACACGCGCACCTACAACAGCCAGAGCGGCTTCATCCTGCGCATCAACGGCACGAAGAAGGTGACCAACCTGTACCTCGGCGACCAGTGGGACAGCAACTCGCTGTGGGAGAGCCGGTACATATGGCTGCCGATCGAGATCGACGACGAGAAGAAGTCGCTCGAGGTGGTCTGGAACGACGTGTACGACCTGGACGTTGTGACAGGCGAGTGGAGCCCCGTCGAGGGGACGCCGTACTACGCGCACGACGCCGAGACGACGGGCGACGCGTTCCTGCAGGAAGCCACCTTCGCCAGCGGCGGCCTCATCGCCACGGGCATCTACGGCAATGAATCCAAGGTAACCTTCAGCGGGATCGAGGGCACGGGGGAGCCGCAGTGGGTGTCTTTCTACTACCAGAACACCGACGACATGGGCTTCGGGAACCAGCCGGGCGGCACCCCGGACCGCATCGGCGGCAAGTGGCAGCTCCGTCGCATCGCCAGCGTGGTGGTCAATGGGGACACGGAGAACCTCCAGACCCTGTTCCAGAGGGACACGAACAAGGGCGTCATCCTGTCGACGCCTCTACAGCTGACCCTAGAGAAGGGAAGCAACAACACCATCACCATTGGTGGACTGTACAACGGCTTCGACTACAAGGGTGCTGACATTGATCGGTTGGTGGTGTACCCGCCCGAGAAGTCTAGCAACTTGACGGCAAGCGCAGCACGCCCAAGTTTCTAGGTTCGTGTTTCAAACATGATATATCCTTCTAATTGTATATATGCTAGTGTTTTGATGGATTGGGTTGTAGATAGAAATCTCGAAATGCATCCTCATCTGCTTCAAATGTTTTGTCACCTCAATCATCAGTACCGGTGCTGTGAATCGATCTATCGACGCCACTTTAATGATGCCCAATAAAAAGTCGCCACGAGATTAGGCAGTGCAGCTTTCAGCTTGCCACTGGCCAGTATATGGCAATGTGGCAATTCGTCCTACCCTACCTAGGTACAGAAGTTGGGCGCCTGCAGGCTGATCTGACTTTCCCTGGGAACGACTAATGTACAGCACACTGGCATTTCGCGACAAACAGATCCGCGTGCCGTCCTTGAGAGGTGTGAAGAGGAGAAAGGGTACCCAGGGATGATCGAACAAACGGGATTGCTGCCTAATTATGATCTGTTCTATTTTCCTTCCATTTATTTACATCTGACTCGGAATATCCTGTCTCTTTTCATATGTACCACCATTGCTTGGCCACATGTGCAGGTTGCACGAGGCGGCTGATGCTGACGCACAAAAGGTGGCTCATCAGGCTGCAGTTGCGGGGTTCGACTTTTCCCTCATCTCCCGAAGTCAAACTCTAGGGCTCTTGACGTCCATCCGTTTCAAAGCGTGATTTTATGGATAAATCGTGTAGCTGAGTACTGAACTTAGTCTAGAAGCCTGGTCATCCACCATGGATCCATTCAGTGCCATCGGCCTCGCCGGTAACATTGTCGGGTTCCTCGACTTTGGCTTCAAGCTTCTCGCCAAGGCCAGAGAAATCCAAGCTTCAAGTAGTGGCGCGGCCGCTGCGAATGAAAGCCTAGTTTCCCTCACACAGCGCTTTCAGCAGGTGACTGCGAGCCTGCGAGCGCAGAAGGTCACAGGTGCTGCGGCCGGAGAGGAGCTTGCCATCCAGGAACTGGCGGCTGAATGCGATGGTGTGGCCATCGAGCTCCTAGAGCTGGTCCACGGTCTGCGAGCTCGAACTCCAAGGTCTAAACGCGAGAGCCTGCGCGCCGCCTTTCGGGAGTGGCGCAAAGGGGATCAGAAAGATGAGTTAGCGCTCAGGTTGGACAGTTGCCGGTCGCACCTACACTTGCAACTAACCAGCCTGATGAGGTAAGTGAAAATAGAAATTCCGATCATATTTGAATGCCTACCGGGCTATCCTTTGTGAAACCTCCCTCCTGACCAGAAGCAAAGGTCAGAGACCCTTTCTCGGCTCGATACGCTCATCACCTTCGGCAAAGCAAGTCAGAGCGAGTTAAACTCTTTGAACAGGAATGTGGAACATCTTCGGCTCATAGACAAAAACTCATCTATCACCTCTGATGCGCTGAAGCAGATTCACTCTCTGCTCTCCCTAACCGATACGGCGGTACTACGAGTTCGGCAGGTCCGCGTTCTTGAATCTCTACGCTTCGAGCTCATGAATGAACGGTTCGAAGACGTCGAAGAAGCACACGAAAGCACGTTTGACTGGATATTCGACAGCGATGCTGTCGGGGTAACAGGGAGTTCTTTTACAAGTAGCCAAGATTCATTCGCCACGACAGACTCGTCCAGCAGCGAAGATCACGATCAAGTCGGAAGAGATGCTGGTGCCTGGCAGGAGTCAAGGGGTCGACACCGCACCTCACCTACGGACAACGATAGTCCAGGGACTGCGCGGTCCAGGGGCTCGTCTCAAGATGATGGATGGATCGGGTCTCCTCAGGCACACTCGGCCACACTGAGCATTGGGCATGATTGTGGCAGCACCGGAAAGAATGTGTCGATGGACGATACAGGCGACTCAGTCAGCCATGAAGATGACGAGTGCTCATCGATCGCGAGCTATATCGACTTTGAGCACGTGACTTCCGCCGATCAGATGTCCACCTTTTCGGCGAGCCAAATATCTCAGTCACCCAGTCCATCACCACCTATTCCGGCACGTCAGCCAGGGCCGTTCTCGCCTTCTCGCTCCAAGGACGTCCCCGATGAGTTATGGCGAGTGATGAAAAAGGCTCGTGATGACTTCATCGCCTGGCTGGAACACGACCACGGAATCTTTCACATCTCCGGGAAACCGGGATCGGGCAAATCCACGCTCATGAAATACCTCTACAAACACAACAGGACCATGAATCATCTAAGGACTTGGGCAGGCGACGAGAATCTCTCAATTGGGGATTCTTTTTCTGGCGACCCGGCTCGACACTCCAGAAGAGCATCAGGGGGCTGGTTCGTGGCTTGTTGCACGCCGTGTTAGCAGAGGCATCGGATCTGATCCCAGTGGTGTTTCCCGCACAATGGGAAGAGTCTATGTTCAACGACAAAATCCACATCGGGCATCACGAATGCCAACAAGGATTCAACCTTATCACGTCAACAAATCTTAACTTGAAAAACCGCAAGTTCGCCTTCTTTATCGATGGCCTCGACGAGTTCGACGGAAACCACTCAGATCTGATTCGTCAACTTTTTGATTGGGTCACAAACGCCCGGAATGTCAAGCTCTGCGTCTCGAGCCGCGACTGGGCTGTGTTCCGAGAGGCCTTCCAGGACTGTCCTCGATTCAACCTCCATCAGCTTACCCGTTCCGATATGCAAAAGGTAGTCAGGGACCGATTCCAGCAATTAAATATTGATGGCCTTGGCAGCGAGACCACCGAGTCGGCTCGGAAGCGACAAGCCCACTTGCTGCAGGATGACGTCGTGGAAAAGTCAGATGGTGTTTTTCTCTGGCTTTCTATTGTCCTTCGCCATCTTGAAGAGGGCGTTATCAATGGAGATAATATGCAAGACTTGATCAACATAACCGATTCTCTTCCAACCGAGTTGGAACCGATGTTTCAGAATCTCCTGGACTCGATCCCTCGCTCAAACCTGAAGCTGGCCTTAGCGATGTTGTCTTTCGCCTTGTTCACCAATAAGCACGTCAAGTTTTGCCATTTGATGCAGTTCTCCTTTGTGGAGGACTACGTGGCCAACAAGGAGTTTGCTATGTTAATGCAGCCCACTCGCGCCAGCCTGATGTCTACCTCCGAGACCATGACTCGCCTAAGAAAGGCAAGGCGGAGAGTATACGGTGTGTGCAAGGGATTCCTTGAATTACGTCAATCCTATACTGGGAACCGACCACGGAGTGTCCAAATCAACGACATGGTGGGAGAGTGGGTTCGATTCAATCATCGTTCCATTGTTGAGTTCTTGGAAAGCGAATACTTCTTAGAGAGGCGAGATCTTATCCTCCCGAATTTTAACTCCTGGGATGCGTACTTGCAAACATATCTCGGGTTCCTGAGCAACGTCAATCTTCCTGAATTCTATTTCGTTCCAAAATCCAGAAGCCAGTACCCAGACAGGAGGTTACACTTCCTCAATAAAGGATTGGGCCTGAACACGGAGGGCAAGATTCACGATCCTCTATATCTCCTCATGGCAGGTATAGAAGTAACAGACATTCCATCACCATCGTTTAAAGCGGATCTGGTTACAATGATGCTTCTTTATCTTGACCTCCGCACAAACACGGACTCCTTGCGCTTTTGCGACTTCCTGTGCCGAGTCCGCAGAGTAATTTGCGATTTGCGAATGCACACTGCTTCCATGCGTCTCTTTCCTGCTTTTAACGACTATATACGGTGCAATGCCTCAGAACTGGTGGTTTTACTTGCGGCCGGGATGGGTCTGCAGGAGTACATACTTCACGAACAGGATCTGCCATCCGCCATCATCGAGCGTTGTATCAGAATTTGTCTATCAAATTTCCATGTTCGGGACTCGGGGTTGGAACAGTTGACAGGAATTGAAGATGGCATAGAACGCTTGTTTCAAACACTCGGGACACTTTTCGATCGTGGTGGCACTCCGGATCTTCAGATGTTTGCAGGGTACCCTCCGTTCCACACTTTCCTGAGCACAGCATGTATCTGGAGCTTTTTGGGGATCCGAGAGCCACCAGGTCTGCGAATCATTGCCTTTATGCTCTACCATGGGTCTAGCCCAGAATTTTCCATAGCAGTCAGCCGGAAGTCGCTCAAAGTTTCGAATTCGGAAATTTCCTTGGCTGGAAACTTGGTTCAATCAAGGGCCCTCTATTACAAGGCATCCTTCCGTTCAAATACCTACGCACCAAGACAAGGGGCGGAAGGAAGCGAAACACGCACGGCGTTGGACCCAGGAAAGTTGCTCGAATGGGCAGAGCTAAGCTGCCTGATATGTGGATGGCCGAACACCCGGAATGGAACAAAGCCAGGAAGACCTGAATTGGGGCCATTATCACTAAGTGATCAGCCCCAGAAAAGTCGGCACAGACTCTTGCTACAGGTACCAGAGCACATCCGAGAGACCCTTGATCAGCTCAACCGACGTTTGGATCTGCGAACATTGGTTTCCGTATGGTTTCCCCATCAAGCAGAGAATCTTCAAAAGGTCATTGACTGGATCTTAGAGATTGGTGCTCCTCTCAACATGGAGCAGCGTTTGCAACTGAAGCAGGAATTCGGAGACCTTCTACGACCATATTTTGATCAGGCCCATCCACAGTTCCCCGGCTGGCATCCTGGAACTTCCGCCAGGTTAAGCCCAGATATGTCGTCACAAACATCGGAACCTGATGGTGGACTTTTCTCTGGTTTCAAGTTTCATCTACAGCATCTCTATCCGGAGCGCCTGAATAGGAATCCTAACTACGAGCCACCAGAGTCACTGCCTGTTGAACAAAGCTAGGGTATTTTGCAATGAGTTGCTACCCAACATCTCTCTACTCGTAATACCTATCGTCGATTCTGCCAAAAATACAGCATGATTGTACCTAAATAGAAGGTTCAATAAAATCTTCAGTGTTGTCTCAGAATCGATGTGAGACTCGAGAGGAACAGTTATCACTCCACTTCTGCTGGACCTTTCAGTCATCAAATCGAGTTCTCATCACCTGTGTGTGTTGATATGAAGCCAAGACCAAACACACCCGATCAGCCTAAATTTGCTATACAAATGTCGAAATAGCTCATTGAATCGTATGATAGGCGATTCCAGCCGCAAAAAAAGATGATTGAAAATTCAACTAACAAATACCTATGCATTAATATCAACAACTGCGTCCCACCAACTCCGGACACCTGAGCACATGTGCACGTAAGCTCCGTCAAATTCTCAATGATCATGGTAATCATCATCATGCCCCCAGCCCCTGGCACAATTTACTCTTGGAACAGACGGCCCTGCTAAGGAACTGTATACTCCCGCTGCTGAGAAGCTCCAGCACCTGCAGATTTGCCTCAAACTCCCGCGTTAGGAAGTTACGAATCTCGATGGCCACGAGCGAGTCAAGCGGATAATGCGACAGGCTACGCGTGACGTCGAGGTCAGCCTCCTCCAGCATCAGCAGCGCCGCGATCTTGTGCACCAGCCCCCTGCAGATGACGTCCTCTGCCTCTACCGTGCTCTGTGCCGCCTTGAGCATCGCGTTGAAGGAGAGCGACGCGGCGCCGTTCGCGGCCGAGCTCCGACCCTCTTCCTCCTCCTTCTGCTTGATCAACGACTCGGCCTCCTCGCGGAGGTGCTTAAACTTGGAGTCTGCGGTCCAGAACGGTAGCTTGGTCCTATCTGGTGGGATTCGCACGCCTGTCACGACTTGGTGGTTGCAGGCTGAGGTGCGCCCTTCGATGGCTGCGCTCAGCAGGGCGAGGACCTCGGCTTCGTACATGGTGCTTTCTGCGCCAAGGTTTCTGGCGACCTCGGCTGCCCTGTCGGCCCCGTCGCTTTCACCATCCCCTGCTTCAGCCAAGTATCCCGCGTCTGCGACAGCTGTCAGGTCCAAGGAGACCGCAGGCAGCCCTTGTGATACGCGGTACTGGATGAAGCTATCTAGGAACGTGTTCGCTGCGGCGTAAGCTGCTTGGCCACGGTTGCCGACGATGCCGGCTGTTGATGAGATGGCGACGAAGAAGTCCAATGACTTGCCGGCGGTGGCATGATGGAGGTTCCATGCACCCTGCACCTTGGACTCGATGACTGACATATAGTCGGCGAATTCCATCTTTTCGAAAAGGACATCCTGTAGATTTGACTGTCAGTCGTGGTCTCGCGCCGTGTCAACGATAGGAACCAGATTGGAATGGCTTACCTTGAGTACCATAGAGCCGTGGATAACACCTCTTACTGGGGGCAGATCACTCATGCCAGTTCGGAACAGAGCCTCGACGCTGGCCTTCTCCGCTATGTCACAGCGTCGCAGGAGCACATTGGCGCCTGCCGTTTCTCTCAGCTCGTTCATAAGATCCTTGACCTTTCCGGAAGCAGAAGCACTTCGAGAAACCAGAACGATGTTCCTGGCCCCGTTTGCTACCATCCATCGAGTCATGCTGCGGCCCAGACCTCCAGTACCTCCAATAAGGACATAGGTTGCATCGGGTTGAATGTGAGACTTCAACGGATTTGTGCGTTGTGTTGCCTGGAGTTTTGATTAGCAGGGTTAAACATACCTAGGTAGCTAAAGGACCAAGGAGGGGACGTACCAGAATCTTGCAGTTAGCGTCCACCGTGACCACGGTCTTTTCCGGTTGCTGTCCAGTGTGAACCCGTCTGAAAATCTCTTCGATTTCAGATAATGGCATGGTCTTGACCATAGGGAGAGAACGCAGCTTTCCGTTGCCAACCAAGCCTCCGACCTTGGCGATCACGTTGTTGAGGACGTCGGGTCTCTCGGCAGCCAGCTCGAAAATGTCAAGGCTGATATACGAGGTATTCGAACGGGAGTTGTTCACTGGACTGAAAGCGTTGACTCCCTCCGTCGTCCTGCCCGCACGAACATCGACCATGCAGCCGAAGGGAGCCACGCAGGACCACAAGTCTTGAGCGACTTGCGTGTTACTCCCTGAACTGCTTGAGGAGCCTCTCACCGATATGACCGCGTCGACGCCCTTAGAACGCTCCTGACCTCCACAACATTGCACCATTGCGGAAAGATTACCCCTGCGAGGGGAGAGAAAGATGCGGCCCTGTGCGATCCCGAAATCGCTGCTCACAGCCTTCATCTGTTCCTCGGACTCAACAGCTAGGTAAATCTTGCCTGTGGAGCCGAGCAGCAATTGCGAAAGAGCAATGGCAGCATGACCCACAGATATGCAATCAGAAGAGTCATCATATTGCACAAGCACGCTCTGACCTTCCGTCACCCGAGCCTGATTCACCACAGCGTGGTAAGCAGTACAGTACGCCAGTGGCATAGCAGCAGCTTGCTCGAAAGACAAAGTCTCCGGTATATGAATCACGGAGGCAGTTGATGAGCGGGCAAGTGTCCTGTACATTCCGCCGTGTTGGCTTCCAGGAACAGGGAGTGCCAGGGCGGCGACGCGTTGGCCCGGCTTGAAGGTGGTTGAGCTGGCACCCACGCGAGTGACGATTCCTGCTGCTTCGGCTCCAAGGTGGACATCGCTGGAGCTTAGATCGCGGCTCAGATCTGAGGAATTCGTACCGATGGCCTTGACTTCAAACTCGATCTCCCCCGGTAGGAGTGGCAGAGTGTGATCATTGTCTTCTTCAAAATATAGGCATGTCGCAGAGGTCTTTGACAAGGCGTCATAATTGAGCTTTAGGTACCGGTCTTCCCTGCCGAAGCACTGGAGCTCCGGTATGGTGGGGTCCAGCTTTTGCTGAACGTAGCTGTTCATGTCCTCGTCGTTCTTGATCCGAGGGGTGAGAACTGTGCCATTACGAGTCACAAATTCCAGCTCACGAATGTCCTGGCTGTCCGAAGTGCAATCTTCTGCGGCTGCGAAGACGTAACCAAGCACTGAGAGGATTGATCTCATGGCTTGTGGTTCGTCGCTGCTGTCAAGGTCTAGTGTTGCGAATGGTAGCAGTGTCTCGGAGCGAATAGTTCTGCTCAGGCCGGTCACCATCCCAGAGTCCGGCTGGCTGGCTCCGTTAGTCACCCAAAGGACACCATGGGGCGGCTTTGTGTCAGAGTCACCGAGTAAGGCACTCTTCAGCTGCTGGAACTGATCCTCTGTTGGCGTTGTGAGGAATGGTTTGTCGATCTCATCAAGGACGATGACGATCTTTCCCGCGCAGTCAACCTCGCCCAGAGCACCGGTTTGGGCGTGGGACGACGTTGCTTCGTGCAAAGCTCCAGCCAGTATTTGAGCCAGGCCTCGCTGGTAGGTTGAAGTTCCTTTGACGATGACAACTTCCGGCTCGAGCTTGGTCAAAGACGAGATGTTGGAACACTTGTTCTCCACCGTCTCCCACTCAATTTTGTAGCAGAGCTCCCGAGGAGCCGGAATAGCGTTGCTGTCTTCCTGCGCCACTCCACCAGAGACAGGAGAAACTTTAAGATCATCGATCTGAATGAAGCATCCGAAGCTCGAGGTCCCGCCGTCATCATGGCTAAGAGCCAGTGATGCCACAATGGATGCCTTGGTTGCTCGAGGCTGCTCTCCCTTGCTCAGTGCAGGGAAGTCTGCTTTGCAGCATGATTTCATTGTTGTAGATGGGCCCCTAGCGACTGCCACTGCCTCACTTAAAATCTTTAATCCGCCAATTGACGAGGGCAGGTAGACAGTTGCATCGTTACCACGACCTGCTCCGTTCGCAAGAGCAACTGGCCAGTACGACTGTATAATGGCTTCAAGTATGTTTGGCTGGATTATCTCGCAAGAAGAGTGCTCGCTTGGCATGTCATGTGTAACATCGATGGCTGTAATACTGGCTGTGGAGCATCGCATCGACGCGTTGGAGCTGTTGATACCCTGGAATGCCGGACCGTAAGAGACGCCAAGGTCTGAAAGTTGGGCATACATTGACTCGCCCTGGAGCGCAATCTGAGTGTCGCCATTTGAGAGGTCTGCATCGATCTCGCGTCTCAAAGATGAGCTCGGGTCACTTGTGCTCTTCTCCCGAGACGCCTCAAGTTGTGCAGCAGCCAAGCCGACGCAGTGTTTTGTCCATCCAGAATTCTGCACCCAAGAGCATACCTGGAACTCAATCCAGGCCTCAGGGTCGCGAGGGTCGGAAGGCCTCAGCGTGATTGTCATTTCCACATCGGAATCACCACCAGAGAAAACGAGGGGCTTGAGGACCTCGAGGTTCTTGAGTTCAAACTCGGTTACTTGATCACGAACATCTTTCTTCTGACACCATTTGGACAGAGCCTCCAGAGCCATGGCCGCATAGCCCGAGATGGGAAAGATTGTCACCGACTGGATGTTGTGGTGACGGAGCCAGGGGAGGTCGTCCAACCGGACGACGTTCCTCCAGGTAGGCTCCAAATCATTGGAGTAGATTGCCTCGAGCCCAATGAGGTCGTTCCGAGGCGAGGAGCCACGGTGCCTGTGTGCTTCCGCGATCCGTGGCTCGTGCCAAAACTTGTGCTGGTGGTTGAAGGGATAGATTGGAAGATCCGTAAGCAAAGATGGCAGCTTGCCGTTACCGCCAAAGTGGTCGTGGCTCGGGAAGTTGATGGCCTCCATGTTGACAAAGACGCCGCGCATGAATAGACTACCGGCCAGGTCTAAGGCCGTCTGGACTGCATTCTTCCCTCTTGATAGCGCCGAGCTGTAGGGCAGCTTGGAGAAATCACGGCTTGAACAATTCCCACTGTCCCCGTTGGTAGTTGTGGCTGCAGCCTTGAGAATCTGCTTGATCGGTCCCTGCAAAGCAGAATGCGGCCCCAGCTCGACCAGCATGTCCAAATCCGCCTCCTTGATCATGTGGTCCAGTGCCTCGGAGAACCGAACCGGGTTTGTCAGGTTGTGAACCCAGTACTCGGCGTGAGCGCATTCCAGGCCGTCAACTCTGTGGCCGTGTAGTGAAGAGAAGAACTGTGCTGGCTCGTTGCTGTTATCCTGGGAGCCCTGTTCCATCTTCCTGACAATGGAATCTCGATATTCGTCGGCTATCGTATCCATGTGGTGACAGTGGTATGCAGTGTCTACCTGCAGTCGTCGACAGAACATGTCGGGGTACTGTGACTTGAGCTCGTCTTCAAATGCAGTGAGGGCCGTGGAGTCACCCGAGATTGTTAGACTCGACGGACTGTTGTAGCATGCTACGGAGACTTTGCCCTCGACGTCGACGTTACCGGCGAGGTCATCGATGAGGGGCTGAATAGCGGCAGGAGAGCCTCCCACTGCAGTCATGGCTCCATTCAGGCCGGAGTGCCTCTTTTTCATTACAGGCACTAGACGACCCCGGTGGTAGGCCACGGCCATGGCCGACTCGAAGGAGAGAAGACCGGCCGCGTAGGCAGCTCCAATTTCACCGCTTGAGTGTCCGACCACGGCAACCGGCTCAATGTTCCAGGAGCGCAGCAAGTCGACAAGGGCAAGTTGCACCGCGGTGCATGAAGGCTGACTGATGTGGGCCTCCCCGACCTTTGTGTTCTTTGCATCTCTCTCCAGAAGCTCATGGCTAAGGGACCAGTCCGATCGGAGCTGGCGGAGGCACTCGTTGGCGCGATTGATGGCTGTCGCGTAGACGGGGTATTGATGATAGAGCTCACGGCCCATTGCGTGCCATTGGGCACCCTGGCCAGTGAAAATGAATCCTAGTCTGGGTTTCTCGGCGGACTGTTTGCAGGGAATGACCTTGTCGCTGTTGATGCTTTCGATCAGGTCGAATGAGCTGTCTGTAGCAATAGCAGCTCTCCATTGGAGTAATGAGCGTCGCTGACCAAGAGTGTACGCAAAATTCTCCATGAGGTCTTTTTGGAAGATTTCTGGTCTTTGCTCCAAGTACACCACCATTCTCTTCATGACTGATAGAAGTGACGCCTTGTCACTGGCTGACATAACGAACAACTTGGTGTTGCTTGGGTTGACTGGTTGGACTACATCCGTTTTTGGTGTCCGCGTGGTTGTAAATAGGCGTAACATGGATTGTGTCTCTTGTTGCGGTGGTTCCTGGTTTGGCTTGGGAGGCTGAGGCTTGTGGATGGACGGCGCCTTGCCCAAGACAACGTGTGCATTGGTTCCACCAAAGCCGAAGTTGTTTACGCTGATGTATTTCTTCGACTTTGGCCATGGCTGCTGGCGCTTGAGGACTTTCAGGTTCCACTCCTTCCACGGAATCTTTTCATTTGGTTCCTTGAAGTCGTGGTTGGGGAGCAGGAAACCTCTTTCAAGCATCATAACGGCCTTGATTACGGCGGCTATGCCCGATGCGGCCTCCAAATGGCCGATATTGGACTTGACGGACCCTATGTAGAGTGGGTCACGAGCTGTCCTGCCCTGGCCAAGTGCATTGTGGATGGCGGTAGCCTCAATTGGGTCACCAACCTTCGTACCAGTGCCCTATTATGGTCAGCATCTTCTTTGGTTCTATAGGATCTGGTAGTCCCTAGATGGGTAGTTCCACAATATCGGGATGGTAGTCCCGGCACCATGTTTTGGAGAAGCACTTACATGGCACTCAACGAAACCACAGTCACCCGGCGAGATGCCGGCATCTCTGTAAACCTTGTTGATGAGACGCTCTAGCATTCCTGAGTTAGCACTTGACTTGACAGCTGACACCATAAGGTCAGGTCCTGGTTTCTTACCTTGCGCCGTGCCGTTGGGCATGGTGATTCCTGGTGTCTTGCCATCCTGGTTGACACCCGAGCCATGAATAACAGCCCTGATGACATCGTTATTCCTCAGAGCCTCGTCCAGGGGTTTCAAGACGATCACACCGCAGCCTTCACCTCGACCAAATCCAGTACCACGGCCATCAAACGCGATGGATCGCCCTGAATCGGAGAGCAGACGACTCGAAGAGAAAGATGACCAGAACTCGGGTAGCATGTTGAGGTGACAGCTCCCAACAATGGCATGCTTGGACTCGCCCGCACGCATACTCTGGCATGCGAGATGCAGTGCGACAAGACTGGCTGAGCATGCTGTGTCGGCAGTGAAACTCGGCCCACGCAGGTCGAAGAAATGTGAGATCCTATTAGACTGCATCGCTTGAGCGCAACCGGTGGCTTGGTGCATAGGCATGGAGTCAATATCTCGTGCCAACTGGTGCTCGTACTCAGCCAGGCTGCCGCCAACGAACACGCCAACATCCTGGCCGACGATGGAGTGCTTCGGGATGCCGCCATTCTCTAGGGCTTCGAACGTGCATTCGAGAAGCAGTCGCTGTTGGGGGTCCATTGAAATGGCCTCCTTCTCTGTCAGCCCAAAGAAGGGGGCATCCATCGACTTGAGGTCGACATGTGTGAGAAAGTTGCCGCCCTTGGCATGGTATGAGCCCAATTTCCCTGCATTGGGGTGGTAGTAGGCATCATGGCTGAAGCGGTCCTTGGGAATGGGCCCGAAGCCCGTTCTGGCGCGGGAGCACAACTCCCAGAACTCTGCAGGACTTGATACATTTCCAGGCAGTCGACAGGCCATGCCCACGATGGCAATGGGGGCCTGTTTTTGTGGGGGTGTTGGCTGGGGATGTGTGCCGTTCAGGCCGGTGGTGTGCCCACGTGCATGCCCATTTGCGGATTGTTGCTGCCAAGGGTGCCCATCAAAGGGATAGTCCCCTGAACCGTAGAAGTCGGATGGTGGAGTGACCATGATCGGACTGTCGGTGGTAGGAGATGAGTCCGTCGTCGAACAAGAGTTGCCAACAGCGGACGCCATGATGAGCTCTGAATTACTATATTAGTCGACGCAGAACCAGCATTGTCCAGATGTATGAGAGAAGAAAATAGCGAGGAATGGCAAGTTCGGAGATTGAGATAAAGTGCTGGGGAATGACAGTCTGCAGATGCGAGATATGTGCGTACAATCGATGAGTAGAAGTTGATTCCGCTGGGCCTGTGAATTACCCGTGTACAGCGGTCAACCTATCGAGGCTTGGCAGGAGATTGTAAGACAGAGGGTTTGACCTAAGGAGATCGGGAGAGTATCAAATTGGGATCCACTCCGTCCATGGTTCTCGCCACTCACTGCCACTGACAACGTTCCCGCCAATACACGGCCTCAAATCCCGTTTCTCATGTTCTTCTTCCTATGTTTCCTAATGTTCTAGAGTACGCGCTATATTAGGGGCCATAAGCTAGTACTAGCCTGGAAGTCGAAGCGCACCTTTGAATCGAGGAGCCGGGCATCTGTGTGTATCGAACATTGTGGCGTCCATGCATCGATCCTTGAGTTCCCGGACGGATTATCCAAACAGTATGGGGCAGCGATAACGTTTGCATGACACTATGATTGTCACCTTTCATCTTGTCCTGGTCTGACGCGCAAACAGTCGAGCCATCATCCAAACAAAATGCCAAGGGTTTCGATTGATGTTAGGTAATGTTGAAGCACGGGCCGGGCGCGGCCCAAGCTGGAACGCCAGGGCTGTGCTAAGACGGGGAGCGGATTCAGGGGCATCAATGTAAAATCGGCTTAGAAGAATGGCTTGCACATGAGATTTGTCGGTCAGATGAATTGTCTCGGGCACTGCAGCACCAGTGTTGCATTGTTGCACAAGCCGAATGCCATTGCCCATGAGACTTGCTCTGTCCAATGGCTTCCAAAGTTGATTGGACTCGTGTCTTCGGGTGAGATCCTGAGATGTCAGTTGTGCAGTGTGCTTAATTTCAGACGGTGGAGGCGTTGATTCTCAGGGGCACACAACTCCACGGATGGCGTGCTGCTCTTCCGGCTGAGCTCGTAGTCAGAAGTTGATAGAAGACGTGCGGTCCCTTCACTCCAGTAGTTACCTCTCCACTTTATGATTCAAACTGGTCAACCTGCTTCATATCCGCTCCCTGCTTTCTATAAACAGAGCGCTGGCGCCGGCGCTACTTTTTGAATATTTTCATCACTTCTTTAGACGATTCTCAAAATTAATAGAGTCAAGATGAGGTTTCTTTGTCTGCCTGGCGCATATGGTAGCGCTGATGTAAGTCCAATCCGTTGAAGAAAGCGCAAAAGAACGCGTGCCAGCAAAAGAACCTGTGCTAATTCCAGTTCCAGAAATTTCAAGTCCAACTAGGTATGATACTATGGTAGCCTCCATTGGAGAACTTCGCCTGTTAACACGCTATATTCGTCCTGATCAGCTCCCTTACTGAAGGAACTGACCGATGATGGCACCGCCTCCTTCTACTTTTGCCATGGTCCATGCAAGGCAGTCCCACCCCCTGGCTTTGAGGACTACTTTGGCCATCCACCATATTACCGGTTCATTGAGCCGGATGAGAAGCCAGACGCGCCTCGGATTATCAAGAAGGCCAAGAAGGACGATGTACTGTCCCGCATCCGCGAATTCCCGTCCTGGTGTGAGACCCCTGAAGACACGATGCGAGAGTTGATGCGCGAAGGTCTTGCAACATCCCACAGAAGCACAGACCGCGCGATCAAGTACCTCACAGAAGTCATGGCCAAACACGGTCCGTTTGATGGCATCATCGGTTACTCAGAAGGTGCAACTGTTGCTGCGACTATGCTTCTTCACGAGCAGAGGCTATTCCGCAAAGTTGGACTGGAGCCAATGTTCAAGTATGCCATTTTTTTCGCTGGCTGGCCACCTGTCGATCCGATCACGCACCACCTGGTCTTATCGGACGAAAGTGAAGACAGGATAGATATCCCCACTCTGCACATTGGTAAGTCCCCAGATTTCCCACCAGACAGACCTGTTTCATATTTTCGTCTAATCAGTCCGGCAGTGGGGTCTCTGGATCCGTATATTGACGGCTCAATGGCCTTGTACAATGTCTGTGACGCCGACACTGCCTATCTTTTTGACCACGCCAAAGGACACACACTTCCACGCGACAGGGAGACAAACAGAGAGATCGGGGACATTGTGAGAGAGGCCATTGAAGAGATGAGGGATGGCGGCCTTCTACCATGACCAGTCGCAAGTTTTTCCTCTTTCAGAACTTGGATCATAATTAGATAGAAGCCATCATGTACTGCACATATATAACTTGCGAAAATTACATTAATTATGGCATCAGCGACTCTCTCCACGGCTGAGACATGACATTCCGTGGCGCAACACGTGTGTGAATGCAACATTGAACTCTTTCGAAATTGTGTGGCCTCGAAAAAGTATCTTCGATTCTTCACTTGTCTTACCTCCATATAGCGCGAGTCGTGTCCCCGCCGCGAGTGGACCTGGACCCCGACAGTCAATAACACCACTTTCCCTAAGCGGATGGGGGCCGGGGTCTTGATAGGTGAAAGCATATCTTCGGAAATGGAGATCAATATGATCACCAGGCGATCAACTATATTTAGATAACTTTATTTATTAAAAATGTGGCATTTGTCTTGCCGGGATTCATGTCGATAATATGACGCCGAAGGCACGATTACTGGGTTTGAATCTGCCAGCCTATCGCAACGCAACGCCCAGTGTTTACAGTTCCTTTTTCAGCGCGCCGTAGCTAAGGCCGACCACGCTCCTTTCGTTTTGACCAGTGCTCATGGAGGGGCTCAGCTGTTCGATGTATGGCTTGTACCTGCATGACTGAAAAACCAATTTGCCGTTCCAGATTGGAAATGCCTTCTTCAATACGATTACGATGTTTGGAGCGCGACCGTGCCAAGAGCGAGGCTGGCTGGCAAACGCCTAAGGGCTCAGAAGGCCCGTTCGCCACGTTTCATCACAAACACCCGGGTTCGAGCGTTACCTTCCCCACGGGACGCTACTCGCCCACAAGGCGGCAGCGGCAGACTGAAAAACAAATCACGAAACAAACAGCCACCTCCCTCCTAGCGCTTCCCCTGGACCCCAACCAGGACCTGGCATGGTTTCGGATGCGTCTCCGGGATCAGGCACGGGACATCTGGAACATCAGACGATCGCTATGGCACCTGCCAATACCAGATAATGCAGCATTCACATGCTCAGCGCTTGCAGAAGTGGCTGCCTCTGTTCAACTCGGTCTCGCCTCTCGAATGTGCCTTGCCGTCCAAAACGGGCAGCGCCGTGATCCGGTTTGAGCACAGCCTACTCTTTTGCCACGACTGAAGTGCCGGCACATTTTGTGCGTGCCGTAATTGATCGAGCAGACTACTACCACAGAGCCGGGGTCTGAGTGATCGAGGAACATCTGATGTTGACTTGTACTGTTAATCGCAGCGTGGCAGACTGAAGCCATCATGACTTCCAACTCGCCAAACACGCCGGCCGCAGCGCCGGCAGATACCCGCGTGTTCGGTATCACTATCCAACAGAAACACATGACAGCTGCTTTTAATTTTGCTGTATGATGGTTCCAATTTTACCCCGACGACCAGGCTCCGAAAGCTGACTGAAACAGAGAATCTTCTCTTACGCAACAACATGGGACAAGTTTGTATTGCTGCTGTCGATGGGGGCTGCAGCCCTGTCGGGGTTGTCTATGCCATTACTGTTCCTTCTCTTCGGTATGATCGAGACGCCATGCATCGTAGCATTCACGATGATCTTCAGAACACGACAGCTTACACGCTTATACGCAGGAAAATTGACAGAGGAGTTCACGGGCTTTTTCCGGCAGGGTGCTGATGAGACTGAAGCAGTCTTCACCAACACCGTCAATAAATACGTGTAAGTGGCGATTTTTAGTCCTTGTAGTCATCATATAGCTGATACCCCCCAAAAGTCTGTACATTGTGTACATATTCATCGCCAAGATGTGTCTTTTGTACATCGCGAATGTAAGTCGCAGCACCAAATCTTTAAGCTGCACATGATAGCGGTACTGACACTCTCGGGAAAGCTTGGCCTCCGGACAACGAGTCTACGGATATCATCCGCGATCAGACTGGCCTACCTCAAAGCCCTCTTTCACCTTCCCATATCTACACTAGACATGATTCCACCGGGGCAAACTGCAGCCATCGTCACAATGACAGCCAATTCTCTGCAGGCCGGTATCTCCGAGAGGTTGGGCAATCTGTGCTCCAGTCTTTCAGTAGTCGTTACGGGTCTGATACTGTCGCTCGTCTTTGACTGGGCCCTCACCATGGTCGTTGGTTTGGGTTTGGTCCTAGTGGTTCTTGTGTACACGTTTGCCACTGGTGCTGTGGCCAGCAAGATGGCCGATATCCAGAACACCGATATCCAGTCTGCTTCCGTGGCCACTGATGCGTTGACCTCCATTAAGATGTTGGTTGCCTGTGGAGCGGAATCAAAACTGCTGAATCGTTATTCGGAAGTGGTCGACAAGACTCGGCGAATTGGTGCTCAGATGGCATGTTTGTTGGGTGTGCAGCACGGGCTCAGTAAGTGCATTGTCTACCAAGCCAACAAGCCAGTTCTCCTGCCTCCAAATTTGCCGGTTTACTGATGACTGGAAATTATTGAAGTCTACTTGATCATCAACATGTGAGGACCTCTTCTCCAGCCTGTCTTAAGGCTCTCATTTGAATTACGAATTTTATGCTAACCCAGCCGCGTATTGATAAAGCACATTCGCCTTTTCCTTCTGGGTTGCGCTTGAGATGTATCAATATCAGCTTCTGGGCGCAAGCGGCCCCCAGTCCGTGATAGTGTATGTTTGATCCCCTTGTCAAGTTTACGCAATCTGAGCTAATTGGCCTCACCAAGTGTCCTTCTCTGCGTGATGACCATCGCCTCATCAGTGGGCCAGATCACAGGTCCATTGACGGCGGCCTCACAAGCAGGAGAGGCCTGTGCAATATTTCACACCATCATCGATGCACCCAAAACGACATACGGCACAGATGTGATTGGGGATGCCGGTGCTGAAGACATCGTGCTGCACAATGTCCATTTTACCTATGCATCCAGACCCGATGTCAAAATCCTGGATGACTTGTGTCTTTCCTTTCCCGCTGGTAAGATGACTGCTATTGTCGGCCCGTCCGGCTCAGGCAAGAGCACCATCGTTGGAATTCTACAGCGATGGTACGAGTTCAATGGAGATCCAGTTGCCAATCCCACAGTAAGACAAGCATTCGAGTTGATTCTTCGCTCCATGATTCTGCCGGTATATTTCAAGTGTTAATCCCTTCACAGGTTCTCTGGTTTCGGCATGGAATTGTCGCAATCGGTAAACGGTTACTCTCCGAGCTTGACATAAAGTGGTGGCGAAATCAAATTGGCCTTGTCCAACAAGACACCATACTCTTCAATACAACCATTCACAAGAATGTCGAGTACGGGCTGCTTGGAACACCGTGGGAAAATGCAAGCGATCACAAAAAAGCAATGATGATCCGAGCGGCATGCAAAGATGCCTTCGCAGATGAGTTCATTTCGAGGCTTCCAGACGTATGTATACCCGTTTTTTTCCATGACTCGGTGCATCTTCGATCAGCTAATAATCACACACGGACAGGGCTATGATACCATGGTTGGGCAGTCTGGGCTCAAGCTCAGCGGTGGCCAACGCCAGCGCATCGCCATTGCACGCGCCATCGTGAAACGGCCCAATATCCTCATCTTGGACGAGGCAACGTCGGCGATTGACGTCCACAGCGAGCAGATAGTGCAGGCAGCGCTCGATCGTGCAAGCCAAGGTCGCACTACTATAGTAATAGCCCACCGCTTGGCAACCATCCAAAAGGCCGACAATATCGTGGTCCTGCGCGGAGGTCGTGTCGTGCAACAGGGAAACCATGAAGACCTGATGCGCAATAAGGATGGGCCCTATCATGCTCTTGCGACGACCCAATCCGTCAGCACGGGAGATGGTGCAGCACCCGAGAAGGCGCCCATTGAAAGCGAAGACACCCTTCCCCCACCACCACCATTGGAGCAGCTGGAAGATGTTGCCGATGCATCTTATTTCGAGGAGAAAATTGAAGACCCGCGGCCACGGTGGAAACACGAGCCTGTGAGCAGTGTGTCAGACGAGTTCAGTGACGTTGATTGCTCCGAAGGGACTCTTCTCAATGATGCAGATATTGAAGAAGGTTCAAGACCAATCGTGATCCAGAAACCAGAAGACAGCCGGCTTGGTAGCTTCGGCACACTATTATACGAGCAGCGAGCCAAATGGATACCGTACACCTTGGTAGCCTTGGGAGCAGTCGGCGCAGGTTGTGAGCATTTACTTAGCACCATCATCTCAGCCTTGCTTGCATAAACACACGAGTCCGACTGACTGCTGCAATAAATATAGCAACTACGCCATTCCAAGCCTACATTTTCGCCAAACTAATATCCCTGTTTTCACTGTGGGGATATAGCTTGTCAGCACTCACCAACTACTGGTGTGCCATCTTCGTTTATCTTGGAGCGATTGCCGGCTTGAGCCACCTTGTACTCGTTTGGTCAACAACTTCTGTTGGATTTGTGAGTCTCTTGTCCTACTCTGTTCTACGAGCTCTAGTGGACTTTAGAAATATGTGTTAATCGCCGCACTCAACTACGACTCTGGCGGCGAGGAATGTCCATTGCTGATCGATGTCAACACAGGCAATCACCCGTACATACCGCAAGGAATATTTTGGCAACATCCTCAAGAAACCAATGTCCTTTTTTGACAACAGCCAAGAAAATTCAATTGGCGCCTTGGTGGGTCGCATCGCAGCTGACCCTTTCCACCTTCAGCAACTCCTGGGAGCCAACATGGCAGCCATGCTTGTCTCACTCATCAACGTGCTGGGCTGCGTAGGCATATCCCTTGCCTTCGGGTGGAAGTTGGCACTTGCAGCCTTCGGTACATCAATGCCTGTTATCATTTTTGCCACAGTCTACCGCATACGCCATGAGCGCAAATTGGATGCCATGGGGGCCATCGTGTTCGCCGAGAGCGCCGCGTTCGCAGCCGAGAGTATTGCAGCCATGCGTACCGTTTCAAGCTTGACGATGGAGGAGAGTGTGTGCAATCGCTACGATAATGTCCTCCGGAAGCATGTGAAGGATGCTTTTCGTGAGGGCGTTCTGTCAATATGGCTTTTCTCTTTTAGTGACAGCATCGCATTGCTTTGTATGGCATTCGTTCTCTGGTGAGTAGGGCCACGTCCCGGATGAGGCTTATGGGCACGTGAAATGGGATTCTAACAAATGTCAACTGCAGGTTGGGAACACGACTCTTGGCATCACATGAGTACACGCCATTTCAATACAGTAAGCACGCACTTTGCATCCCCACGCGGCCCGAGGCTGACCTCTTTCCAGTTCTTGTTTATAACGCCGTAGTACAAGTGAGTCTGGTGACCAATGGACCCTGTGATTAAAAGGTACTAACATTGCTTCGCCCAGGGCGCTTTGGCTACTGGAGCATGGCTGAGCTTTGGACCAAGTAAGAATGCTCCGATACCAACTTCACTTGTACAAAAACGCTAAGATGTTTCCCACTGTGTAGATATCGCCGCAGCAACAGCGGCTGCCGACCGGGTACTGGCAGCCCGGGAAGATCACGACGACGATGATTTCCCGACGTTTGACGCAATCAGCGGAAATGATGACTCTGCTGAAGAATCAGAGAAAGGCATCGCGTTCGACTTCAGGAACGTCTGGTTCAGCTACCCAACACGGCCAGAAGTTGCAGTTCTGAAAGGCTTGGATCTTCAGGTTAGAAGAGGTGAGGTCGCGGCGATTGTGGGATCGTCCGGGTCTGGCAAGACCACGGTCATCTCGCTCATCGAGAGATTTTACAGAGCCCAATCCGGATACGTGCGATACAACGGAAGGCATATTGATGAGTTGGACCTGGCATCCTACAGGTCAGACATGTCTCTCGTCGCACAAGAGCCTTGCCTCTTCAGCGGCTCTATCCGGGAGAACATCATGCTTGGCGTCGTTCGACACGACCAAGACGACGAGGACCAGATCGGCGATGATGATCGCATGCATGCAGCCGCCCGCGCTGCTGGGATCCATGATTTCGTGGTGTCTCTACCAGAGGGCTACGAGACTGACATCGGCACCGCCGGTGTGGCGCTGTCTGGGGGCCAGAAGCAACGCGTTTCTATTGCACGTGCCCTGGTCCGCAATCCTAGCGTACTGCTTCTAGATGAAGCGACCAGCAGCTTGGATAGTGAGACAGAACGCATGATCCAGGAGGTATTCTATTCCGAGAGAGGAAAGAGGACCATTCTCATGATTGCGCACCGCCTGGCGACCGTCCAAAACGCCGATGTCATTTTTGTGATGAACGATGGCGTCGTGGTGGAGAAGGGGAGTCATGCGAGCTTGATAAGCCAGCGCGGGCTGTATTATCAAATGGTGAGTCTCACCCACTGTGGTGGAAATTGTGCATTGGATGTGTGCTAACTACGAGGCAGTGCCAGTCTCAAGCTTTAGACAAATAGCCGAAGCAGAGACACATGATTTTATTGGCCCCAACAAACATAGATTTTAATTCATTGGTACCAATTGTAGTGGTTCAGCGCCTGGCAGCGTTGTTCGGCTGCTGATACCCACTCGGTACTTATTATTCTAGCGCGCTATGAAGCTCTGCCAGAATTCTAGACACGTTCAAGATATCGAAACCATACACCATAGTACCTAGGTATGGTGATGAGCACCGCGGAAATAGAAAATCGTCAGCCCACATGCCCCGCACTGTCCCCCAGCGTGACGGGGATGGTCCTCTGATATTTGAATTTACCGATCTTCAAGTTCGCCCCGCAGAACAGCCCAACAAGGTTCTTGATTGCGATTTATAGCACCTGAATTTTGACTTGCCGACTCCCGCCTGAAAGACGAAGTGAACATTGATCCAGTGCCAGTGGTGGGGAAGTATTCACGGCTTCACCTTGGCAGCTTGGCTCTGCCATGCCGAGCTGAAAATGCAAGAGCAACTTTCCACACGCAGAACAAATAAAACTGGGGGAACTGTTGGAAGGATCATTCTGTATGGAGAACATACTTCAGTGTGAGATTACAATATGTAATAGAGACACTGGACTACAATGGAGTACTAGTCATGCCTACCGTACGTCCCACCACATATCGAACTATGTTATTTCCTAGTGTGGTATTGGTGAGCAAAGAAGTGGAAGAAGAATCGGGCCCTCGGTAGTATATGCTGCGTCATACCGAACAAACCGTTTATCGTTTCTCATGACGCTCATGGGCCAGAAGACTCAATCGGTCTTAAAAACATGCATCCGATAATCCTTGTTACTATATCGCCTGCCTTAGCTTTATTCCCAGGGATTCGGGAATCCATCTCTACGGGAATACGCGCGAGGATGAATTTTCTCGCACTCATCTCGGAGAAGCAAGCGTCTCAGGAGAAGCACCGTCGCAGACACCACTTTTGCGGCGTTCAAAATTGACTTTGTAGTATCTCCACCTTCTCAGGCTCCAGAGAGGATATCGGACTTCTCGGCCAGTAGGAGCACATTCGGCTTCCCCAGAGCCCATGCCAACTCTAGAACACTCGGCGAAATGGCGTCCGCCACGGTGTCAGGTGTCACGAGAGCCTCAATACGAGATTGGGCGGGAGCCCGCCACTGCGCCCGCAGCGGAGATTCCCAGCCGGTCGACTCCAGTGTTTGTGGCGCGAACGGGCGTGCGCACGGCGCAGGAAGTTCCCCGAGGCTCTCTCAAAGCGTAAAGCGCCAGCTTGGAAGGGAATCCTTTATGCAACCGGTACCACATAAAGCGCTTGGAAGAACAGGGGAGCAAGATGAGTGTTGGTGGCATTGTCAGCCTATGCACTGACTCGGGCTCGCCTTGGCGTGCTGCCGTCAAAAGGGATTGGGGAGTGACAGCTGGCTGAAACATGCAGGTACTGCATGCTGCCCTGTGGCACAGCTGTGTGGGAACTGAATGCTGGGGGGCGAGCTGTCACTAGTTCCTTAAAATGTGGTTCGAGGTACGGTACGGGCCACAATATTCCTAATTTGGACAATAGTATGGGTCCATGGGATGCGAGGGTCGTTTTCCGGCGTACCGTAATGTGGGGCATAGGGCCTGAGCTTATTGGGCGCGCCGGTAATGAGGCTTGACATGTCAGATGTCACTCACGATGCCTTCACCTGGTTCGGTTCCAAGGTTGGTAGGGCCGGCGATGGCAGATAGAGATGGTTTAGAACCAGAGGCTAAGCCTTAGGGGGCGGGCTGGATCTGTTCCGCAGGATGATGGCTCATTATATAAGGCGTAGCTGGATTCCATCAGGATTCTCATTCATGTCCTCCAACCATCACAGTCTTTTCAATCCTTCCTCATTCGTTTTACACTCCTTGAGACAAAGGCCTGCTCGCCGGTTCATCACTCTAGCCAATCTTTGTCAGTCTCGAAATCCCTGACGGAAATCACTGTGGTATCGTAGTTGACTAACTCCAGAAGTTGAGCAGGCCATGAAGCTCACATCCAACATCGCCCTGGCCACCTTGGCCGCCCAGGCCTCGGCGCTGGTGCAGCTCGAAGTCCGCTACAGTGACACAATGATCCCCGTCGGAGACCTCGACATCTTCGCTGCCACCTACCAGGCCATTTACGCCGAGAAGGGCAACCAGCGCTCCGTCATGACCGACCGCACCTTCCAGACCTTCGACAACCAATGCAAGCCGGCCGAGGAACCCAATCCGGACCTCGATGTCCAAGTGAAGATCAACGGTGCATGTCAGTATCCCTTTCACCTGTTCCGGATCCCCGTCTTTCATGTTTTGGAATGTTTTAGAATGCAGCACTTGAGGATCCGTGGCAGAACTAACGTCGCCATTAGGGGGCCGTACTCCCGGACTGAAGGACAACGAGATGCGGGAGGGCCTTGTCGCCGCCATGTGGGAGGTTATTCAGCGCGTATCAAACCCCACTGGTTACGAGGTCTGGAGCGATTGCCGTGGCTTCACGTGGCAAGAGAGTGTTAAGTATACACCTGACGCTGCTTGTGGCCCCAAGAGCTCGCGAAGCTGTAAAGATCAATGCCCCGCAGCGGTGCAGTGCATGAAGCACGCGTGGGGCCACTCGGTGCCCTCGTCGATGCGCGTCACTGCCTACATCGATGACAGGCTGCAGCCCGATGACTTGATTATCGAGTTTGGTTCGCGCGCCAGGTCCCACGGCGGCGGCTGTGGCATGATAGGGGATATTGCTGGCGAGCTTGCTGGCTATGTCATTCCTGTTGTCGGCGGCCTTTTCGCCAAGGGTATCTCCCTCGGTTGCAGCAACTAGATGGAAGATTTGATGGATATGGGGGCTTTGACTTGACCATCATAGAAGACCTGAAGCGCGAGGCTTGTTCCTGTACAATTAATAGCTCGCACAAAGCACCTAATACAAGTAGTTGGGCATTTCCCAGCCTGATTATCAATACTTCACTTGAGCACAATCAATCCAACGCGTCGCACTTCACCATCTGTCAAAAAAAGAAAAAGCACCTGGGCATACAACTCATTGCTCCCGATTCTTCCCAATTTTGTTGATATCCCCGGCCTGTCTTCAAGGCTGGCTATTAAAAATGCCGATCATTAGCAGGGGGGGGGGGGTGGATTGTCGTTGTGGTGATTCAGAAAATCTTTCTGTTACTACTCTAAAGCCCCCTTGGTGCACATGTGAAATTCAAGACCCTGAAGATGTCACTGAAACCGGGCAGCTTCACTTGCCTGTGGTCCGCAAACTAGCCGGGCCTCTATTCCACTTCCAGCCCATTAACGCCGTTTCATAATTACCAAGGTTCGCATTGACGATGACCTCATAGCACGAACCCTGCTATCACGCTCGTCATTACACATCCATTAAGTTGTGGAAATTCCTCCTTTTCCATTTCTCTCCTCATCAACCCAAGCCCAGAAATACAAAAAGCCCGATTGGTATATCCCAAGACTACATAACCCTACAACGTTCCTAAGCGCTATCCCTGCCATGGATAAAATCAAAGATTTACTGTCAGTTAGACCCTTGTTAACATATGCAGGATCCCTCGTTTTAATGATTCGTTAGGTCGCCTCATTCGAGGAAGGACAATGAACATAATGAGCAAATAGAGGCCACTGAAGCCCAACGATCGACAGCTGAAGCCACAGTAAAGAGCCCTCTTGCAGAAGGACATCTGAATGATAAAGCAAGCGGATCAGAGGTAAAAATCTCGGCCCCGGCGGAGCTCACTGGCTTGACCGGGCAGTACATTGTTGGAAAGGACGACAGTGTGGTGGCGGATCAGTAAGAAACACTTGCACAAATACTAAAACGCCCGAAAGCATAAATGTGCAACTAATGAGATATTAGAGAACGTCAGAAGCACGGCACTGCTAATGGCCTTGCTTCTGCAACTATGGCTTCTGGAGCGGTAGGAGATCAGAATCCGCTGTCGTAGTTTGGTATATAGGGGGTAGTTCCTAATCAAGCGGTGTTAGCCACGTTCTTCTGTACTTTTTATACGCAATACAGTCCCCTGTTAGGTTATTATGAGGGTGTAAACCTAGGACTTCTTATTAACTCAGGTTTTACTATTATCTCTTTCTATATTCCACACTACTAGTAGTTTCAAGTTGGTCATTGTAGGACTTTTGCAGTCAGAGCCCAGTGTTCGAGGATACACAAGTATAAATTTCACTCAGCACCTTACTATAGTTATTTGATCGACCTTCACGTTGTCTTAAGCATCGCAAACTTGCAAAATGAATCATATGTTAATAAATTTGCGGTCTTGAACTGAGCAGACGAGCTGCATCCAGATTGTCGATGACGGCATAATTGACGTAAGTGCAGGTGCCCGAGATATGACCAGTGGAACTCGTTGCACTCGACCTTTTCTGGCACCGCATGGTATTATCTGAATTCATGTGGCAATGCACAGCTCTGAATCGGGGTGCAGAGCCAAGTGAACATGTAAAGGTACACCGACCCACCTGGCTACTTAGCCCAGTGGCCGGAAAGCGAGGTTCGGATCCCCCGAGCGTTGTCATACGGGCTCCGCGGCTCCCCACCGGAAGACGAGAGCCCTGGAAAACTAGACTCTGTATCCCTATTGATTTAAGTAATGCGCCTCACAAAGGCAATACGTCAAATGGGCCTTTTAAGCTTCAGCAATATTCACATAGTATCTTTTCTCATAAGGGACTAATTTGCCCAATTGCCCTGAGTACACTACACATTGTTCTCGGCCATTTTCTTCCTTTCAACAGCATGTCTGATTTCCCGAAGCTTGAGCCGGCTTTTACAGCCCGCCTCTTCCCCCGCGAACAATTCGACGTTGGTTCGTTCTCATTCCTTGACCTTGATGCAAAGTGAAATTCTGGTTGACAGTGGCATCTCCAGGGAAGGTTTCTGAGGGAAGCACGCTAAACGTCGTGGTAGGCTCATCAACGCTGCTCCGTAAGGCGTGCTTGTTTTTAATCCGTTTTCATTGTTCTAGACAATTTCGCATGGCACACTCGTCAGCGAACCAGAGTTCTCGATACCGCTTGATTCAGAATTCGCCTTCGGTTCTGATTACGTACGTATCGAGCCTGCTGGAACCCACGTACGAATCAACGTTAATTCCATCTTGAAGTAAGTTTTAGACGAATATTCTGGACACCTTTGAGTATCAAGAATACCACCGAGACCGTCATGAATTCTTACTTGTCTGTTGACTGGAAATTCAGAAACAAAGATGGCGCACTCTTGTCCTATTCATACAAAGGAATCGTCGAGATCGACCCGGATTTCATGCTAATTTTTGCCAACGACCCCCAAGCCCGCACTACATCGTACGGCAAGGCCCTCTCGCTCGTCAACTTCGAGAGCGGGGACGAAAGGTTCAAGGGATTGGAGCACAGCATTTTCGTGGGGAGTGCTCATTTTGTGACACTAGGAGGGGGGAAATATTTTATTGAGACCAAGATTAGCAGAGTCATTGGGTGACGACACGGCCGCACTGCTCAGTGATACCTAATGTAGCCGCTGTTATCATTGATGTGTGTTGAACTATTTAATGGATGTAACTATTCTGAATAATTCTTTCTTTATGGCTATCTAGTGAGACACTCGCCAATTGGTTCCCATGGTAGACAATGGATTTCTTTGATAAACAATCAATCCCATCTCAGAACCCCTTGTGTATTACAACCCCGCGGGAAGCCTACCGACTGCTGCCGGTTCCGAGGTCTATGCTTGGGCAGGCTCCGCGGGCCCGTTCACTTCCGGTTCTGCAGGTCTAGTGGGTATTCAGTTAGACCAATTGATTCCCTATTATCTTGATATTTTCATCCAATAAATGCAAAAATACTGAGACGGGTTCTTCAGGCTCAGATCGGATACTATACTCTGCTGAAAACCGGCACACGTCGAGTAGCCCCAATTCATACATCACTGCCCTGTGTAACGATATCAGGTCTGTTGTTGAGTGGGATTACAACCCGGCGTGGATATTGTCACTTGTTCCTGCATTTCTGTGCAAGTTCCCAAATATTCAAGCAGCTATGGCGGCATGTTTCACTCGTCTTGTTCGATTCAAAGATCCCCTTGGTCAAATATTCTATGGTGAGGCTCCAGAAGGCGACGTCCTCGATGGTCACACGGTGCCTACCTACAATGGATCCAAGCCTTGGGATCCCAATCTAAAGCTGACTGGCCAGACGGCCGAGGTGGCTGAGGTACGAGATTAATTACACACCAGCAACATACCTAGGTACCTAGGTAGTCTAGGATAGCAAAGCTACTTCGGTAGCGAGGCGACAGGGAATATGATCGGGCTAATACTCTCGCGTAGGTCTTATGCCCCGTACCGTATACACCAATCATCTATGGAATCGGCTTCAATTACAAGAGCCATATCACCGAAACCAAAATGGCGCTACCTTCGCACCCGACCGTGTTCAGCAAGCCCCCCGACGCCCTCAACGGGCCATTCTCCCATGTGGTCATCAACCCTTCCTGCCCGAACCTGGACTACGAGGGCGAGCTAGTCATTGTGGTGGGCCAGGACTGCAAGAACCTGGCTAGCCGGGAGGAGGCTGTTGACAAGATCCTGGGCTACACTGTGGGCAACGATGTCAGCAGCCGCTGGTGGCAGATGCCGCAGCAGGGCGGCAGCACTGGTTTTGCCAAGGGGTTCGATGGCTTCGCGCCGATCGGACCCGTGATCGCTGCGCCTAAGGCGGTTGGCGGGCACGACGACGACGGGATCAAAAGCCAGACGATGATAACAAGGGTTAATGGCGAGGAGAGGCAGCGGGCGAGGATGGACGATTTGTTGTTTGATGCGGCCGCTCTGCTCATGCATCTGTCAACTGCAGTCACTGTGCGTGCTGGGACACTGATTATGACCGGTACGCCTAGTGGTGTTGGATTTTTCATGAAGCCCCAAACGTGGTTGGAAAAGGGTGATGTTGTTGAGGTCAGTATTTCTGGGATCGGCACTATTCGGAACAAGTTCGAGTAGCAGTATTTGAGAAACTTCAGGAGATTCCGTTGCACTGCTATCAATTTTATTATCCAAAGGCACCGCACATCAAACCTCTTCCTGTGTACCACACGCGACTCTGCTCTAACATTGAAGCCCCTATCCAAGTCCCCTGTCCATTTAATGCTCGACACCTTCAGTCTTGCCGATTCGCCCACTCCCCTGGCTGCATGTAGCTAGGTATATGCGCATGGCAGTCCCCAACCATTCCAAGCCAAGTAAGCGGGAGATGATAGAACATAATAACAGCAGCGCAACACATGCCAATCACGGCAAAAGTTCTGACAGCGGTATGAAGCCTCTCATCCCACGCCTCGTATCCCCTCTCCACAGGTGAAACGCCATTATCCAGCCACTTGATCCGCATAGCTGTGTGCACCACACCAAGGCTCGCGACGAACGCAGACTCGTAAATGGGGAACTGGTGCACCTCCCCTTGGAACAGGGTAAGCGGCCCGTATGTCTTGGTGTACCCAAATACGTGGGTCAATCTGATCGCTGAGTTCTCAATGACGAAGTCGGCGACGAACTCGATAAGCCAGACAAGCCCAAGCACACCAGCGTTGGTCAGGCTAGGAAACCTGCGGCGAATGGGTTTTGCCAACCACGTCCCGAGAAGGCCGAATCCTTCGCAAAAGTAGACATACATGGCTGGCCCGATGAGGAGGTCTTCGGCGTAGCGGGTGGCGGCCTTGGGCGATTGAAATGGTATGAAGCGAATCCACACCCCTCTGTTGACTCCGTGCGCGTTAAACATGAACAGGTACTCCTTTAGGTTCAACAGGCCATCGGCGCCCCAGGCGACGAACCCCCCGATGACCGACATGCCGTCCATGTCGAGCCGGCTCGCCTCGTCTGTCTTCTTGAAGCGGCGGAGGTACGGGAATGCAGGTACGAGGAGACAGAACCAGACCAGCAACAGCAAAACTGCCAAGTTGAGCGCCTCGAATATGCGGAATCCCACAAGCCGCCACGTTGCTATCTTGTCCGGTCCAAGGATTGGCGCTGGCTTGAATTCGGTCGGCGATGCAAACCAGCGAATCAGCGCTTGCACCCATATGACTGTGCAGACGACCCCGAAGGTGGCCCAGGCGCTGGCCGACCCGTCGCGGGCCTGGAGTCTGGCCTTGCCGCTGGTATCACTTTCCCTGAGGAGGGGGCTGTTCTCGCTGACATTGCCGTTCTCTAGACGCCGGTTGTTAATGAAAGATGCCATATTGGAGGTTTCAATACTGCTATCCAATTGTTTTCAGCTCATTGTGGCCTATTCGACGAGAATCACACGTCGCTCAGCTTTATGGTTTTCAAGTCGGTCGTTATGAAGACCCCTTTTTCTCCGCGGGGCAGGCCATTTCGTTCCGCGGGCTCAGTTCCCACGAGGAACCTGGGCACGTGGCCAAGTCGTCCACGGCCCTAGGAACCTTGCAAGGCTGTTTGAATGCAACATCCGCTGAGTCGATCTGAGAAATCGGATTATAAATTCAATTTGTAACACAGAAAGTGCTCTAGGGGTGGAGAAGGAGGGCCGCTGCCACGTTTCATGACGATACTCGGTATACTCGACTAATTTAGGACCGTACGTTGTTAAGTATTGGATCGCGATTTTAATTAAAGCTATTCAGTGGGCAACGTCTTGAGGAGTCAATGTACCCATGTAAGGTCAACATGAATGCATTAGGCGGCCCCGAGGAAGATATTGGCAACGAGTCATCGTCATCGCTGACACTCCCCGCCTCCATCAATTAGAAAGTCCAGATCGTCATCTTCCGTCTGGCTATCGCTGGTGCCCATCCCAAACGACGCAAAGTGTGGAAGAGGCGGCATAGCCGCTCCATACCAGTCTTCTCGCAGGTCAATACTTGCGTTCCCCGAACTGAAGTCAATACCAGTTCCCTGATGCGGAGAGCATTCTGGTATTAGCACTGGCATCTAGTCCAACATGAAGATGGGCTGTGAGAAGAGAACGTTGCCATGTCAATGAAAGCTTACCTCAGGTGCAAGGGTAGACATCTGCTGTAGCAGCATATCCTGGCCATTCATAAAACCGCCGTAGAGACCGCCGTCCTGTACGATCTGCGGTGCCTGTTGAGGTTGCACAAATCGATGATGGCCCTGTCTGAGATGCTGCCGATGCTTCTCAGGCGCTCCCGCAGTGGACGACTGCCGGTTCTTCTCCGCTGTCGCTGCCTCGACGGCTTGTCGTGCATAGGCTGCAATTTCCCTTGGGAACGGGAAGACATGCTCAGAAGAGGAGATAAACTGCAGGTACCCAAAGTGTCCCACAACCACATCAAGAAGTGACAGGTCACTCGCCACCGAGGATGCGAGCGGGTTCTTGAGAATGTAGACAAAGAGATTGATCATCCCGACCAACGGAAAAAAGAACGTGAGCCACAACGGCATTGCCGACGTGATCTCGAGGCCCTGAACGGCTAGAATAATCTGTCGCGAGGCCTCGGCCACCGCCTTAGTACTCTGTTCTACCTGCGCTTGTATATGTGGGTTGGTAATATTCAAAGCACGGCCGTCCTGTCTTTGCTGTTTTGGCTGTTTCTGCTGAAGGTCCGGCCTGTTCCAGGGATAACAGAAGACCCCATGGATAGCGATGACAGAAGAATGGTAGCAGAAGTGAAGGAATAGGATATGTGACGTTTGTGTTTCTGGCCGCCGTGGGCGGTCTAGGTGTTTGAAAAACGGCGGCGACGATAAGTATTCCGGATGCAGTGAATTCCGCCAGTCATCGAGGCGCTTCTCGAGGGCCTGTACGTGAGTCATGGTGGTCTCGAGGGAGTCTCGCATGGCCTTTGCAGATATCAGCTGCTTGGAGATGGCGGACGATATCTGCGCATGCTTTATCGTAGCCCTGACAAAGTCTATGTTGGCGCTGTGTGGGCGGCTGTTGCCTGGCCCCATTGCCGTGGTGTCGGGTATAGGGCAGTTGACATAGTCTTCATCGATTGCCTACATACTTAGCATAGGAACATTCTGCTATCATGAGAAAGTGCCACAAGATGGCACATAGAGAAAGAGTGGTGCACTTACCGATGGGCGGCCTGATCTGTAGGCGACGTGCTTTTCGTATGCATACAGGACCCACCACAGCCATTGACGAGACAAAGCCTCTTCTGAATGCGGTCTGCTTGGTTCCGGGCAACCAAGGTGCAGACCCTTGGATTGGGCCAACCTAGTCGCATTGGACAGAAGCATGTATTCAAGTGCCGGACTTCCTAGTGCCTCGGCATAGAAAGCCTGTGGGAATGTCGTTAGCACTGCATGCACTCACATCCGGGTGGCCAGAAGACCACTCCGTTTTTGGTGGGGGTGGGGGGGGGGGGGACAGCAGACCATTAGGACTAAAGCCCGAACAGATATCACTTCCGCGCGACCGTATATGAGATCAGTGTGTACTGCTAGAGCATTTTCGAAGTATTGCCACGATCGTGTTCTTGATTCGACGAACGCAGCAGGGCTGGCTTCTTGAGACAGCGATACGCGACAGCCCAGGGCGTATATTGTGTTCCGAAGCGCATACCAAGCTTTTCCTTGCCCGAGCGAGGATGGTTGGTAAGCTGGTGACCTGCCTTGGAAGTGGGTTCGAAGCTGTGCCTCGAATTCCGCCCGGTCCAGGATACCGAACACGGAATCAGCACAAGTCTCAAAGTAAGCTGTGCATCATTAGTTCCTTTTCTTCTGCGCTATTCGAGTCTCAGTCTCAATGGCGTAATTCTCAAGTCACCTCACCTTTAGTCCATTTGAATGCCGTCTGTTTGTCGGGCTCAGTGGTGCGTGTGGAGTGAAATATTCTCTCCAGCCGCTCGTTGCGCTTCATATCCATGGAGAGCCGTCTCGCACTGGCACCAAAGCCAGGCTTTCCAATCTGATGCGACACCCACTCGACACCCGGAGGCGAACATATTGAAATATGATAGGCAGAGTCCTCCGACTCTTCCAGGTATGGTCAGCAAAACTCATATTGCCTAGTGGGGTTATTTTACAATGTAGCCATACCGTGGTCACCGTCACCTTCGCGAGGGCGGCCTTCTGGGTCCTGCAGGAAACGTCAGCGTGTCACGATCGATAGTGTGCTGTTCCATCGCAAAATCGTATGAGGGCATGAGGGAGGGTACGTGGAGGAGAACTACCTCGTCGCAAGGTGCATCGGCAAATCCAGGTCCATCTGGAGCAGTTGTACTTGGTGGTGTCACTAATTCTGAGGGCTGGGCTAGGATATGAGCTTTCATCCTGTCTTGGAGGCTGCTACTTCCCGTTGGCTCATGATGCTCTTGCTGTATGGTCTGATTCGACCAGTCAAGATCGAGTAAACCGGATGATTCAACATGACTAGAGGCCGGAGTCGAGACCATCGCGGTAGCATGAGGAAGAGTTCGGCCTGTCTTGCAAGGTCCTGAAGCCGCTGAGTCTGAAGTAAAGATGGCCGGAGGCTCAATATCAAGATTCGGCGAAGATAAGAGATCTTGGTAACTGGCGACAGCTGAGTTGGGCAGGGGCGGTTGCTGCCGAGGCGACGAGGGTACGATTGGGCTAATACCATAAACCGATGCTTCATTTTGTCCAGTTATCGCGTCGACTCGAACCTCTATGCTATCGTCTTGGACAGAGGGGCAATTCTGCTCGGGATCCTGGCGCCATTGCGATTTCTCCGCGTCGCCGCCCACTGGCGTCCTCGACTCTTGTGGTGAAGGGTCTGTTGGCGCTGCACTTTGTTCTTGCTGAGGCACATGGTTTCGTGAGGCGACAACGCCGCTATCGATTTGATTTGGCTGCCGAGGTTCAGTTACAGTTTGAGCGAGATGCTGATCCTGAGCCAAGGCTGGCATTTGCTGGGTAGCAGCTCTCAACATCATCTCCATCCGCGCGAGCTGATGTTCAACCTGTTGTTCCCGCTCCTCCAGCTTTCTCTTTCGCGAGCGACGCTGCGCTTCTGGGTAGACACAGTCCTCATTGTGGTCCTTTGCGCATCCGATGTCAGCCAGAGAGTGAAAGACAGCGGGATCCATGTTGCGCTGACCATACAGGTACCACAAGGGTGAGAGCCACTGCCTGTGAGAGTAGGGTTTGAGTCAGTGGCAGACCGCGAGTTTGTCCCAAGGGATGGTCTATGTACACACATTTGGCCTTCTTCAACCGGCAGTAGTTGCAGGCCAACAGGCATTTTGTGACTTCGCGACGATCAGACATGGTGTAGTCTCTAGCAGTCAGCAAGATGTCATTACGGCTCTTTCAAGATACTGGCAAATTATTGATGTCCAGAATGGTTGTTATGGAGTCGTTCACATTGGTCCTTGGCTAGAGTTTCGTGTGAGGAGATTTGCGGGGTGGACCGGGGTATCCGAGCCTGCCAGCCCCTTGTCACTTGCAGCTTGGCGCAGATACTTGTTGGTAATTGCCCACTTCAGCACGTTATACGACGGGCTAGGCATCACAACGTTGGGAACAAGTACTTGCCACTACCTGAAACCCGGTACTAAAATCCTCTGATGCTTGCCGGACGAGCCGGTGGATGGCGTGCAACCTGCCTTCACTTATTGATTACACGACACATTCCGCATCCAGGACATCATAGGCGGAGCAGATTTCAAATTGGAAACAGGGCGACAAGACATCGGAAATTCGAAACTGTGTTGCCCTCCAACTACCTAGATACAATACAAGAGATACTTTGTGGACAGTCCAACGCAACACGTATCTCACTCAAAGGAGTAAGAAGCCGAGGCTGGCAAAGCCTAATGTCACCCACGTGTCCAAGCGCTGTCGTAGTGCGAACATCCTTGTTACCCACTCGTGTCATGCCATCCACAAAATCCGGGGTAATGGGGAAGGTGCATCAACGGGAGGAGCCGCTGGCCCAATTTAGGATCTTCATTCAGATCGGCATCAGCTGGACTATAATTGGGCCGGACATTTGGATCTTTCTGCTCCGGCTTCCGGATGACTAAGTCGCATCTCTCTCTTCCCCTGGATACCAAACCGGTAACTTCATCCGTTTATGCCTTGGTACTGAGAGGCTGCATTGACGCGTGTCCAGGGGAGAAACAGTGTAACGTCAGGATCTCCCATTAAATAAAATACTTCAATACGCATTAGTAGCAGAGAGATCGAAGCATGCTAAGCAATCAATTTTTTGGTTTATGCTCTGCTGTTATACGTGTCGTATTAGGCTCAAGTGCCCATAGCAGGAGAATCACCGAGACGTATTGCCCTGAGTAATATTTTTCCTGGTCAAAATCAACATGGCTGGGTCCCGTCCGCTCATCAGCGCCATTGTGATCGGCGCCGGGTTCGCTGGGCTATCGGCTTCTATAGAATTGGCGAAAAGAGGTGTCAAGGTGATCGTTTTCGAGTCTGCACCAGACATGAAAAGACAAGGTATGCATTTTTGCTCAGAATTTCCTGTCTAGGCATGATGAGATCTTTTCGCCTTATCCCCGTGCTGACTCTCTGAAGGGGACGTGATTCAGATAGGAGCAAACGCAACGCGTCTGATGGAGTCATGGGGCAATGTACTGGAGGACGTCAAGAACACCTCAACCACACCGGAGACTCTGGACATTATGAATAAAGGTGGAAAAGTACTTCTGAAGCAGAACCTTCATAAGGAATACGATGGATACCCAAATGCTTATGGCAAGCGCGCCCTTATCCAGGCTAAACTCTATGAATACGCCATGTCCCTTGGCGTCGAAGTCCGTCTAGGCTCCCCTGCGGTCGATGTCTTTGAGACAGGAGATTTTGCGGGATGCTCCGTTGCCGGCCAGACTTTTCAAGCCGACCTTCTCATCGCAGCGGACGGCGTTCACAGCAAGACGAGGAAACACGTCACTGGCTTTGGGGATCGGCCCAAGAAGAGCGGCTTTGCCGTCTATCGGTCGTGGTTTCCGTTAGACGTACTCGCAGGCGACCCTATCACAGCGGAGATCGCGAAGTCGGAAAAAGCCCTGTTCAAGATTTGGATCGCCGAGGACACGCACGCTATTCTCACGACAAACCCAACCCTGCAGTCCGCCACTTTCTTTGTCACGCACAAGGACACAGGCAACATCGAAGAAGACTGGAATCTCCCTGGAGATATTGATGAGATGCTAACCTGCGTTAAAGGGTGGGACCCCCTACTCTCTAAGATCGTACGGCGGATTCCCCCGGAGGTAGTAGTAGACTACAAATTGCTATGGCGCGATCCGGTGTCTCAATGGGTCTCTGATGGTGGCAGAGTTTGCCTTATCGGCGACTCTGCGCATCCTCACTTACCAACGGCCGGTACCGGAGCCGCGCAGGCGATCGAAGATGCTGCCACTATCGGTGTCCTTGTGGACAAGGTGAAGCTGGGCATGGTTGACATTCCTACTGCTTTGAGAGCCTATCACAAACTGAGGTTCGTAACGATATAACCTGTCATACAAATCAGAACCGCCCCTGGCTCCCCTTGACTTTGGAAATCGAGCTACGCAGTAGACTAATAAGCAATGTTCTATTCAGATATGAACGGACAAGCCTGACGCAGCGAATGGGCTGGGAGACACGCCACATGTGGCATCAGACCGACTGGGAGGCGGTCGCCAAGAATCCTGAGATGCTCCGGCTGCCCCAGCCGGCGTGGCTTTTGGGCATCGATGCGGCCAAGTACGCTGAGGAGAACTTTGATGCCGTCGTCCGGCATTTTAACGGCGGCTCTCCATATGCGTCGATGAACGTGCCTCCGGGCCACGTGCACGAGGACTGGACTATCGAGACGATGCTCGCTCATGAGGGAAGGAAGGTGGATGAGAAGTTCTACAAGACAAGGGATTATGGTTCAAGCGAGGCCAACGGCCATTAATGAGCAGACTGAATCAAATATAGGCTTTCTCAAATTCCGCGATGCAATCTTGCTGCACTCTGTCTGTCCCTGGGTCTTGAGCGTTTACCACTCACTGTATGAAGTCGCCACATACATTTTATATGTATGGGGATTAAAAAAACGAAACCACTTGTCTGTCCTTGTTACGACACGTTTACTGCCGCCATCCTCAAGCATTCAATGTTCACCACGGACTGTGTGGATCAAAATCATCCACACAGTCATAGTTACTTGATCCACCGGTTCCTGTGTAAGATGTTATCTTACAGAGTATTGAACAAAACATAAGACTAATAGAACTATGCCAAGACCTAGCTTTCTCCAAAGGAGGCCTTAATGAAATCAGCCTTGAAGTTGCCCTCTGAATCAAGACTCTTCTCCGCTTGCCTCCACTGCTCGACAATGAGCTTCTTCCGCACATCGTCACGTGGTGTAATAATGCATCTGTGCCGGATTTTAGAGTGATTTCTGAGAAATACTGCATGATAGTTTGGAGCATGCAAAGTCGGGATATATTGCATGTGACTTACTTGAAGTCCGCTGGCCGGATAATCAACCCACTCTCGGGTGTAATGGCGTCGCGATCAATCGGCGTCTCTTTCCCGTTGACGTCCCGCTGCCGCTCGATGTTGAAGGCCCACAACATCCGGGAAATGGCCAAGAAAAGGTTTCTCTGCGCGACGTGGAATCCAGGACAGACGCGTCTCCCAGCACCAAAGGTGAAGTGCAGACGCCTTGCAGAGTCCTGGCTGATGGCGTTGTTTTCCGTCAGCGTCAACGACGGGTCTTGGCGGAGGGGGTCGAAGTCACGCGGGTTCGAGTAGCGGTTGTGGTTCAGGCTCCATATCTTCACAATTGTATTAGCCCATCGAGGTTCCACTTCTGATTGTAACGGGAAGACCCCTGTCCATATGCGCTGGTCCTGGCTGCATTAGGTGGGCACGAATACTTACGTTCATCATTACGATCGAACCCTTCGTAATCTTCATGCCGTTGTAAACGTCTTCTTCCCTGGCCGAATGCGGTACAGCGCCACTGATGGGACTCGGGGCCCCTGATTATCAAAAGTTTAGCTGACGTGATATCTGAGGCGTGCTAGCGACTTCAGGAGTAGCAAGTGAGGCTAAACCTACATCTTAATGTTTCCTCAACCACTCCACGGATATAATGAAGACTTGAGCGATCGTCCCATGTTGGTAGTCGCTCATTTCCGATGACCCTTTCAAGTTCTTCCTGGGCTTTTTCTTGCACATGTGGAAAGAGGACCATGGCCTGGTCCCGAATATTGATCAGCTTAGGTAATTCATACCCCGCCATAGACAATTTAGTCGCAGAACTGACCTTAATGAATCCCATGATTGTGTTTGCAGAAGTGTCCCTGTGCAATGAACATGATGTCAGATACAGGTCCACCTCTTCCTGATACTGGGATAGGTTCTCACATGGCTGCTCCGAACCCGTGGGCAGCGTTATTGGCAATTTGGCGTTCGGTCAGTCTGTCATGATCTTTGTCCTCCAACATGTCGCGAATAAAACCTGGAATTGGTCATGACCATCAGCCACCTACAATGATGCAACCTAGGAATTTGCAAAAGATCAGAGGCGCGCGGATGACTCGAAGAGACTGACTAGGATAGGCTTGACCAGTTTCCAAATTGTCCTTGGCACGGTTCAGAAGCTCGTAAAACACGCGATTCTCCAGCTTCTGTAGCTCGTAGAGTTTGTTCTTGCTGGGAAGAAGCCAACGTGGCAGGAAATCGTATACCACCTTCAAGAACGGATAGAAATCAACCAGGTTGAAGTTCAGAGCCTCTGAGGTAACCTCCATCCATTCCAGGAGGTCCTTCACGTATCCAGCTCCTGTACCGGGTGTCCGCCAGCCATACAGTAGAGTTGTCGATATGCTTGCTGTGTACCGTCTCACATGGTCTACCCAATTCTCGGGCCTGACGACTAGATCATGAAGCAGTTGCAAGCTGTCGAACGTCTTGTGTGCGAACCTTTATCAGCCAATATTCAAAGAGGTGCACTGATGACATCAGCAAAAGCATCTGGCATTGAACTCACTTGGTACGGAAGATATCTGTCCGCGGACTTCGCGTTCAGGCGAATATGGTACATTTTTCTTTGTCTTCGCCAAGTCTCATCATTACTGCTCTCACACGTGTCAAATTAGCCAATTCAAGTACATCTCACGCAACGACCAGCCAAATTTGCACCGCGAACAGCACAAATGGGTCTGCCAGTGCTAGGCAGGGGTGGGAGGGAGCATTACTCGCGCATTGCAATATTCAAGTTATCTCCGAAGCTTCGCATATAGAAGTCCGGCCGGCATGAATAGTTGCCTTGCCTCTTTTCTATCAGGTCCCGAACTACAGCAGGGTCGTTCAGGAGGTACAAGTTCTGGCCTCCAAGCTTCATCGTCATAATTGGTCCATCTGCCGTTAGATAATCAGCCCACGCCAAAGGAGCACTCGGAATTGCAGTTTTTGTTCACTAAAGACCCTGCGTCTGGCACATACACTGCTGTGACAGCTTTTGCAAGCCCGTGTGAAAGTTTTTGGTGGGCATCTGCAGCAGATTGCCGATCAATGGCGTCGTCGGAGGTCCCGGGGGAAGATCCTCGGTTCGCATACCATATCGTAAAATCCGCCGCAGCAACAGGACTCCTGCCACGAGGGCGACGCTCCAATAGACGTGCATCATCTGCCAATCTTTTGAAGTTGACGGTAGAAGCATTGTGTTCTAAGTCAAAGAACGACACGTACAAAAGGCACAGAAAACCTGAAGTGTATTCCACTAGGGAGCAATCCCGACGAGCTCTGGGTGCTGCTATCGTTGCAGCTTTACCAACTATCACCGGAGAAGATTGTACGCGTTGTTTTGTTTGTTCCTGCGTTACAGTAGAAAATGAAAACCATGGGTATCCCAGTGAGAACGCCCCGCCTCCCATCCCCTGGGGCCGTCCCCGCCGCGGGGTTGTCAAGACATGTGAACTTCTCCCCGGAAGCCGGGGAGCCTATCCTCGTGTCCCGGTGGATCCGGCCTGCAGGCGATTCTTGACTATGCAACCACAGCCGAGCTGTCAGGGCAAGGGCCCAGGTCCGTTCACCGGTCTACGGGTACTCGTGTTGATTGATCGACCTTCATACATATGTAACTACCTAGGTACCGTTTACTAGTAGTACAGCAATATGTCTTGATGCGATGTCAGGACCTAATGGATACTACAACGATGCCATTCGCTTCAGCAGCCTACCTCGCTCGGCTTCAGTGATCTCGATGATAGGCCTTAGTGCTCGTTGGACAGCCTCTGGCGGCACGGCTGTGCCCTTGCTCGGCTCCCCGTCGTCTCCTGTGCCGGCAGGTGGCGCAATGCCCCACTCCGGAATAATTCGCTTGCTGCCGAGGGAGATTTCAAGGATGGTGCCGCCGGGTATGTCTGGCGACTCAATCGCCTCACTGATTGCGGCAGCCACCGCATCCGCCTTCAGAGAGACCTCGTCTGTGACGCCAAACCGAGCCTTGGTGCTGGGCGTCCAGATGGGCGTCATGACAATGCTAGCTCGAGCAGGTTAGTGACAAACTCGAAGAAGGCCATGATGCACAGCATAGGATGGGACCCACCCGGGACAGATAGCTACGACCTTGACACCCTGAAGCTGCTCGGCGTCTCCCATGCTGCGAGTAAAACCAACAATGGCGTGTTTTGTGGCAGAGTAGATCGGGGCGGCGTAGTGCTTCGTGTAACCAGCTATAGAACCAATGATCGCGACCACCCCATTCTTCTTTCGCCCAAGTAAAGCGCGCATCGCCAGGCGAGTTAACTTGATCTGATAAATGGGTCACGCCACCAGTCAGCGGAGTACTGTGTAGATTCCGGTGGGCCGTGACACGTAGCCCTGGGCCCTGAAAATTGCACATGGCATCTGGAGGAAATGGAGACACTCACCGGATGGTTGACGTTAATGTCGACCGAAGTGTAGCCATCGGCATCTAGAGGCTCTGGGTCTTGCCAGAAATTCGAAAACGGCTTTGATGGGACTTAGTCTAATAAAGACCCAAGCTCATCTGGAGGCAAAGAACTCACAGGCTCAAAGACTCCAGCGGATGCCACGTAGACGCTTGGAACGTCTCTACATTTCTCAAGTGATGTATCAATGATGGCCTGAAGGTCCTTCCAGACGGTCACATTACACGGCAGGAAAATAATGTTTTGATCGGCCTCTACGGCCTTTTTCGCATCCTCTGTAAGGCGTAGATCTGCTATAATCACTTTGCTTGCGCCCCTCTTTCGAGCGAGCAAGGCATAGTTGAGCCCAATGCCTAACCAGACACTCGGATGCTTCAGTCAGTCTGAAAAAAACAAAGATTCATAAAATGAAAAACAAGCGTTATGAGTTCACCATCAAAAATGTGTTTCCAGGTCGAAGATGAAAATAGGCGAGAACATGAGAGCGTGTATACATACCTGATCCGCCTCCTGTTATGGCCACGATTTTACCCTTCACTGGGAAGCCTGAAGACATATTTGTGCGTAAGGTGAAAGATTATTGTCAGAATCACGAGAACTCGTAACCAGAATCGGACTGGTACTTTGCAGGAATCAATTTGGGAACTGGTGGACACATCAAGGCTCTGTGTATTTATCAGGGACAATTATCGGCGGGAGCTTTATAGGATTTCCGAGGGTAGCTGGACTGTCTCTCCGCTCCAGGAAATGTCACCCCTGTCGCGCCAAGTCTCCGGAACATGTCCTGACCTACTCCAACTCAACATTGACATCGTCTTCCTATAGAAGATGCATGACCCCACGTCAGCGCCTGATCGGATATGTCAGATATCGAATGTTAAGTCTGGCCTCATATATCCATTCCCCGAGGACGCACACTGCCAAGGTCCATATCTCAGGCTGACAAATGATCTGACTGAATTCTGTCACTTCTCAAAAACCAGGACCACACCACCTCATCATGGTTTCTGAGACAGGGAAACAGCCCGGTGGCTCAGTGAACCACGAGATCCTTGATGACAACCGTGTATTGATTGTCGGTGGTGGGCCTGTAGGCCTGCTTACTGCTGTGGTTCTCGCTTTCTACGAAGTACCGTCAATAATAGTAGAGAGGAATGCAGATACTACCAGGTGACCTTGCATCCCTTCACCAATTTCTCGGTGTCGTGTTAAAAGGAACGAAGACAGCTAACAGCTATTTTTCGAAAAGATGGCCAAAGATGGACTTGACCAACGTCCGTTCCATGGAGTTATTCCGAAGGTTGGGTCTCGCTGAGGAACTGCGACGCAAAGGGGTTCCTCTAGAAACATCCTACAACGTTCTCATGTCCACTGGGCTGCAACAAGATCGGCCAGTCACCACCTGGGATCACCCGTCCGTTGAGGAGTTCCGCAGGCAAATCACAGCCAAGAATGACGGAACACAGCCTCTCGAGCCATACCAGCGAATATCCCAGGAGGTGTTTGAGGCCTGGATGAAGACCGTTTGTGACGATAATCCACTCATTGACGTTAGATTCGGCTGGAAATTGGAAGCTATCGCCGAGATGCCTGAAGGAGTGATAGCCGAAGTCAGTAGAACTACTGAGTCCGAAAGCAGGCTACATATCTTCAACGCTAAGTACGCCGTGGCTTGCGACGGGGCTTCAAGTCGATGTCGGCGGTCTCTTCAAATACCACTTGATGGCGGTCCAGTGTAAGAAGTTTGCTTGAAAAGACAGCCTTCGAAGTGAGACGAGTAACAAAATGACTAACAAATGACGGCATCGTGTAGGCCAGCACTCTTCCTTCTCATTCACTTCAAATCGGGGGACGTTTCCCGTCTTTTCAGACAAGGCCACTTCTGGCATCTCTTCATTCTGAAAAACGGCGAGTTCGGCGGAGCAGCAATATCGCAAGATTCGAAAGAGGTAAGCCGCCATCAACAAGTCATTCAACAAAACATCATTGATAGATTGCCTTCAGATCTTTACTATACACTTCCCAATACCACCAGGAGTTGATCCATCAACGATATCCTCAGAGGAAGCCGTCTACACCCTTCTTGGCGGGATACATGGCCCTTTCAAGATCAACATCGACGAAATCCTGGTCCGCTCGACCTATCGCCCCAGCATCGCCGTAGCACGCAGCTTCTCCGGCCCAGAAATGCGCGTCTTTCTCGCGGGCGACGCAGCCCACCAGAACATCCCCACTGGGGGGTACGGTATGAACACTGGGCTGGGCGATGGGTATGACATTGGCTGGAAATTAGCGGCCGTAGTTCACGGGTGGGGCCACCCACGAGGTCTGCTGGCATCCTACGAGGCCGAGCGTCGCCCTGTCGCCATCACCAATGTCGAGAGGTCTGGTGTCCACATGGCTGTACACATGGAGGCTGTTGCACGGCTTGCTGGAGGCGGTGCCCAGAAGCTCGGTCAGGAGGACTCGGAGGAGGGGAAAGAACTGAGGGAGTGGATTCACAGACATTACCAAGAAAATAATGGAGAGAACACGGATTTTGGTGTGGAGATGGGATACCGGTACAAGTCGGATATCATTCCCAGAACCCTGGACGACAGAAAGGAGGATGAACCGGCTTGGGACCCTCACGTCTACCACCCTACTACTTGGCCCGGAGGTCGTCCACCGCACGTCTTTCTAAATGACGGGTCTGCTATCTTTGATCATTTTGGCCCTTGGTTTACATTGGTCGAGTTCCTGGATCATCAGGTCCACCCTGAGCGAGGCAGCCAGCACCTGGTGGAGGCAGCCAGTGGCTTAGCCGTTCCTTTACGCCACATCCACCTCCGCAACGAAGATCATGCCGCCCAGATTTGGGAGAAATCACTGGTCCTTGTTCGACCCGATGGCCACGTTGTATGGAGGGGAGACAGCGTAAGGGATCCATCACTAGCACGCGAGATCATCGAAACGGCTGTCGGGTACCATGCTGCAATTCCCAGCCAGCGCGGTCATAGTCCGGGCAAAATCCCGGCTGTTTTCACCTCAACAAGTAATACCACAACGCAAGTCAGTGGCTACGAGCTGGACAACATGGGAGATTTCCAGAAGTGATCACAACATAGTACTCTATATTTCCCGAACTACGTATGCATTGAATGTTTATTGTCTTCGATGAAATAGCAGATATCTGTACGTGGTATGAAAGCAGTTCGTCTTCATGTAATGTCATAACTTCGAAGCCCGGTTGCGGATGGACACTGCGTATGCGACATGTAGGATGCCAAAAAGCGCAAACATGCACCCAGCGCCTTGAACAATACACACATCGGCTTCTCAAAAAGTATTCAAACAAAACATGACATTGCATACTGTATCTCTGACTGAAAAGTGTTTAAATCTAGAAGCACGATGTGCGCACGCATTATTCAGCGATTGCATGTGGTCTCCCCGTCATCGCGCAGTTTGGAATGTCTTCTTCCTCGACCACTTCACCCCAGCTTCCTTGGCTGTCAACCATTCGCTTTCGACAATCTCGGCATGTCTCTCGCTTCTCGGCTCCAAGATGGCTTTGAATTTGACTGGAGTATGGATGAACCCTGGTTGAGACTTGACCACGGGTTCTACCTCCTCACCATTGGGTCCCTTTGCTTTTTTGATATTAAAAGCCCACAGAGTCCGTGCCATATTGATGAAAAGTGAATTCTGGGCCAGGTGAAGTCCTGTGCATATGCGCCGGCCGGAGCCGTATGCATAGTGATCGCGCTGGTTGGCGTCGGCCAGGTTGACGCACTCAGCTGTTGTGTGTGGATCCGAGAGATAGCGGCTAGGGTCGTAGACATGTGCATTATCCCACCTTGCCTCGTCATAATGTATTGCCCTAAACAGCGTGTCAGAATCGGGCCCCCTCTGAGCCATCTAAAGCGATTCGTAGACGAAAATATAGATGAAAGTGGGTTGTCTGGAGACAGTGTACTCACCACCAGTTGATGACAACAGCGCTTCCCTTCGGGATGAAGTAGCCCTCATACCAGTCATCCTCGGTGACACTGTGGGGCATGCCAGGTTTAGTGATTGGCCACCACCGTAGTGTTTCCTTGACCATGGCCCTTATGTACGGCAGCTTATCCTCGTCGTCAAAGTTGGGCATCCTATCCGGACCCACGACGCGGTCCAGCTCTTCCTGCGCGCATCTCGCAACATCTGGGAAAAGCTGGCAGGCCATTACCCATGCGTTGATGACAGTCGACGTCGACTCGCTGCCCGCCTCGACGAGTGACCCGGCTGCGTACGCCGCCAGCTCATCACTGATCGCGTGCTTCTCAGGACTTTGCTGGATGCGCTCGTAGACATCACGAATAAAACAGTCCGGCGCGGTTCCATTCTTGACTTTGGCGACAAGGTCAAGGTACAAGTCCAAGTACACCTTGCGGTCGAACTCGAACCACCCCCGCCCAATCCTCCACCAGTCTTGCACCATCCTTGATGGGAGCTTGGCCAGCACGGGGAATGCGTCAACAAGCCACGCCCCGGGCTCTGCCATCTGGCTGAAGTGCTCCAAAACCTTGTAGATTCGTGAAATGACGGGGTCACTCCAGTCGGCAACGCGGTGGCCATAAGTAGCGGTCATAATTGCGCTAGTAGAGTAACGTCTGTTGATGTCGAAGAAAGCCTCATCATTCTCGGCATGCAGCAATTCGTACAGCACCTGTTTTGACTCCATGTCCTGAATAGGCTTGTACGTCGCAGAGGTGGTGATGCTGAGGGCTGCCTGGCTGATAGAACGCAGCCGCCGCCAGACGTCGCCGTAAGGCATGAAGATGATTCGGTTCCGGTTCGATGTCGCTTCGAAGGCCATGGGCATCCGGGCACGGTCTGAATACTTGGACCCTCGCTTGTCCATCAATTCCTTGGCAACCACCGGACTATTGATGTAGATCCAGTCCGATGCACCCATACGGAGATACATGATAGGCCCGTATTCTTTTGCCCATTTTGAAACAATTTGTGGGATTTTATCAGCATCAGAGAAAGCGAGCAAGTTTCCTATAAGTGGGTATCCCTTAGGACCAGGCGGCAGGAACTTGCGTCTCTTGTCATACGCGAAGCGGTGCACGACTAGAGCTGAAATCAAAAACAGCTATTAAGCAGTCACAAGTTAGCCCTACTATGTATGCCCAGAGATACTTGATTTGGTACTGACGACGATCAATATAGGAGCACTCGAGAGATTATCGGAAAGAAATGTAAGGAAGTGGTTGATACTGGTCAGCGATGTGGATGCCATGGTGAAGCAATTGAAGGAGATAGGCGCTTCTGCGTGATTGGTGGTCATAGAGATAGACTACCTAGGTACCATACAATATTTAAAGCAAGCAGGTGACGACATGGCGCCATGCCGTGTGGTTGCACGTTATACCTCTTCGCGTCTCCTCGGCTCAATTCAATTCCGGCGTCATTCCGCGCGGAAGGTTATCGTACCGGATAAGATGACATGAAACTTTTCTTGGGCAGAGAGCATGTTGCACTCAAAGGATTGTACCGTGTAGGTGGCGGAGGTGGGAGTCGAAAGCCCGCGGAAGTCGGCTTTTCCAGCGCTGCAACCTCGTACTGCTCATCCAATGTTGTCTGGAGTCTGTCAAGTCCAGCCATGCAGGATCATCAATTTGCGAAGATTTAATAAGGCTCAATGCCTTGTTGTTTCGCTGTCAACCGTATGTATCGTTCATGTTCATCATTCCTGTCTCTGACAGTACTCAAGCACAGCAACCGAATACACCTTGTTTGAAAGCACGATATCGACATGTTCTTTCCGGCCACAACAAGCCGTCCTCCGGCGGACATGGTGATGCCGTACAAGACGCAGGTCGTCTTCACCTTTTTGGCCGATTTTCCCGCCATCCCCTACTTGATCTTCGCTCTCCGAAAGTGCCTCAAAAGTGGAGACCCGGCACCACTTCTCATGTTCATCGGTGGTTTCTTCGCGTCCTCGTTTGAAGCCATCGTTGACGTTGCGGGCGGCTGCTTCTTCCCCCGTGAAGGTCAAATCATTGGCTACGAGTGGTTTGGCCGCCCTGTTCCAGTCTTTGTGCCGCTGAACTATGGTTGGTTCGTTGGCGGGATGGGGTACTGGGCCCTGACGCTGCTCCGAAACCCAACCACCACTCGCAGGGACCTCTGGACGCTCTGGGCCAAGTTCATCGTGATCAATCTGATCCTGGAATACCCGCCCCTTTATTTTGGCATATACACATACTATGGCAACCAACCCTTCCAAGTTCTCGGTTTCCCACTTTGGTTTCCCTGCCTCAATGCCATCTCACCTATTGTTGCGGCCACTATCACCCACTTGATTAGTCCCCACCTGACTGGATGGACACGGTATGTTATGGTCACGACAACAGCATCGTCATATGGGTTGTCTCATGCGGCGTTTGGATTTCCGCTGTGGATTGCCCTAAGCACCGGCAAGGGCCTCGCCGTGACTTATCCAGCTGGGGTTATCACTTTCGTGCTTCTAGCCACGGGGGTCTGGATTATGTCACTGTCACTGCCTGAGAAGCGCTCGGTCCGACTGGAAAGCAGTGCTCGCGTTGCAGGCACGAAGGGGTAGTCTGGGGAAACACTCGAGTTACAGGTAAACAAAATGAGTTGCGGAATAGGGTTGCCCGGATTGATAGTGAACATGGAGTGGTAGCAAATAAAATTTCAATGCGTTGAATAGCTGCTTGAATCGGCGTCGTGTCTCTCAGTTCAACATGCGCCAGATATGCCTTGATCAACTCCCACATAGAGTAATAGAAATCGAGAAAGTTCCGTAACTATGACCGGACCTGCTAAATTCCGGCATCCGAAGCCTCGGTTGGACACATCAGGCTTGGAATGTGCATGTACAAAGTGAGAAGAGCTTTTAAGACATGATGTGGACTGGGATTTTAAATACATCTTACATCATTCTTCTACTGACCCTTTGAGGCTGGAGGTCTTTTCTCACAAGAACACCCTTTCACTATTTACTCAAAGGTTCAATCCAAACACAGCATAGACCAGCGACATGGCACCAAAGGACGTGCCACGGATGCTATGGCAGCCATTGCCCTCTTCAGCGAAGAATATCAAAGACTTGACCGAAGTCATAAATGCTCAGTACGGCACAAACATAAACGACTACATGTCCCTCTGTCAATGGTCTGTCAATGAGAAGACCTCGCCGCTTTTTTGGTTGGCGCTTTTCAAATTCTTGGGGATCAAGTCAGATCGACCACCTCAAAGAACTTTTGATGTCGACGTAAGTGCGAGAAGCCGTTTGGCCACAGACTTTCCAACACTCAACGCTTGATTAGCGGTCAATTGACATCTCTTTGCACAACGCCAGGCCAATCTCCCTCCTCCAATGTACCCACCACCCAAGTTCTTCCCCGAAATCAGAATGAACATCGCCGAGAACATATTCGCCAACTATCGCTCTGGGTCCACAATTCTGCACGTTGCCTCCGAGAGAGAACCGGATGTGCGAGACGTGACATGGGACGAATTGCACGCCGACGTGACGCGCGTCTCGAGCGCCATGGTGGCGTACGGCGTGCAGGTCGGCGACCGGGTCGCGGCTGTGCTTTCCAACCGTCCGGAGACCGTCGTGTGCTGCCTCGCCGCCCTGTCGCTTGGTGCTATCTGGTCCAGTTCGTCGCCCGATATGGGCGTGGATGGGATCCTCAGCCGCCTGACACAGATCCGGCCGAAGATGGTTTTTTGCGAGCGCGATATCGTATACAACGGTAGGAGCGTGCAACTCCTTGCCAAGCACCGGACGTGGGCAGAGGCGCTGGCAAAGACGGCCCCGGAGCTCACGGCCGTTGTTGTCATTGGAGAGATGGGGGCGACAGACGAGCCAGCGCCCAGACGAACGCAGTCCACCACAGGTCCAAGCAGCCCCTATCGCATATTCATGTCGTGGGATTCTTTTATACGCCAAGGGGCACGCAACAGGCAGCTCACGTTCGAGCAGTTGCCATTCAGTCATCCTGGCTTCATTGTCTACTCGTCGGGAACGACGGGGCCCCCAAAGTGTATCGTCCACGCGGCTGGTGGGCTCCTCATGTCGGCCTCCAAGGATGCATTTCTAAGCTACGATGTGCACCGAGGCGATACGCTTCTCCAATACACAACAACGGCATGGGTCATGTGGGCACTGGTCTTCGTCTCTCTTTCGTTCGGGGGAAAGGTCGTGCTCTATGATGGTTCCCCGATGGTGCCAGACCCTCTGGTCTTGCTCAGATTGGTGGAGAAGTTACGCGTCAACGTGTTCGGAACATCCGCCAAGTTTCTCTCCCTTCTGCGGGACCAGAAAATAAGCCCAAGAGAGCAACTAGATCTATCTAGTCTGCGCACAGTCGTCTCCACCGGTAGCACCCTCACGGCCGACGTTGCGGAATGGTTTTATGATTTTGGATTCCCGCAGCATGTATTTCTCAACTCCACATGCGGTGGCACTGATCTGGCATGCTCGCTCATCTCCGGCGCACCCTCCTTGCCCCTGTATGCGGGTGAGATCCAGGCCCCGTGCCTCGGCATGGCTGTTGACCTGTATGATGTCGACGACGAACGCGGCCTGTCTGTCCAGGGTACCGGAGAGCCTGGGGAGATGGTATGCAAACAACCTTGGCCAAGCGAGCCTGCGTTTTTCTGGGACGACCCATCTGGCGGAAAGTACAAGGATTCGTACTTTACCAAATACGCTGCCAGATTACATGTGCGACCACTTCATGGGCATGGGCAACTCGAAGAGTACCGAATTTGGAGCCAGGGAGACTTCGTGTCAAGAAACCCTGCCAGGGGAGGCTTTCTGACACATGGCAGATCTGACGGGGTGTTGAATCCCGGAGGAGTGCGCTTCGGGTCTGCTGAAATCTACAACGTTGTCGAGAAGGATGCTGCCGTCGCCGATAGTGTCTGCGTCGGCCAGAGAAGGGATGGCGACGCAGATGAGTCGGTGATTCTTTTTGTCGTGATGGCCAAGGGACAAAATTTCACTCATGCCGTCGCCAGGAGGCTTCGTGATGAGATCCGGTCAAAGCTAAGCCCTCGCCACGTCCCTAAATATGTCTTCGAAATACGCGACATCCCATACACAGCAAACGGGAAAAAGGTGGAGGTCTTGGTCAAGAAGGTAGTGAGCGGAAAGAACGTGAAGATCAGCCCGACGATTGCCAACCCAGAGTCTGTCGAGGCCTTCCGACAATTTGTGCAGGTCGAGGATGTTAATGAGAGGCAGGAACATGCATGGAACAGCAGAGCATCTCACTTGTAGATGGAAGTTGATCCATCGAAATCGTCTTGCCATCAACCCACAAAATACTCCTGAAACTACTACTACTGCATTTGCTCCAGTTCGTACCCTATAACGCAACAACATCGCTGGTATGAGTTTGAATGTCCAGGTTCAACAAGTGATTGGGTGAACAGGTCTTTCTTATAGACACCTTGCTTTACGATGGCTGTGATTGATTGAGTGAAGACAAGAAATCGAACCAGTACAATGAAACGTATCCGTACCAGTCAGAAATCACGTAGATACAAGTGTCATTTAATTAAATTGTTGTCCATACTGCCTACTTTTGACCTCATCTAATGCAGCGACTACTCATGAATATCTGGGGACAAAGGGGGGGTGGGGTAGCTGTGGTAAAACAAGCCCGTATCTCCTAACATCCACGAGACCTCAATTTGCTTCGCAATCAAGCCTACATACAGGTTTTGCGCTGGTGTAAGTGAATTCATAAGATGATATCGCCACTGCCTCATGTCTGTCAGCCACCGGGGGGGGGGTTCAGAGAGACGAGTGTGAGGGCTGTATGGCACAACCAAATCATCTGCTGGCTGTTTCCCCCCCCTCCCCCCAGGCTGACCAATTTCGCGATTGCTCCAGCTACCCTCGTAGGCACTGAAAGTTGCCCCCGGTGGACAGCCCTCCGGCCGGGCCCGTGTAATTCTTGCTCCGCGGAGGTCGGGGCTGGACACCCGCCAATCGGAACGGCTGCTCAGCATGCACCCGCGGCTTATCTCAGGCTCAGCCATGGAGCGCAGTGAGATAACAGTGATCACTATGTCAGTGTTCGGGCGTACCCAGCTCGTCTGTGGTGTCGTGAGGATCCATGGTGATGCATGATTTGATACCTTGTCTTGGTGTGAAGAAACAATGGGTTACAACACTGAATCAACCGAGTGGCCGACGGCAGCAGAAGCGCCCCAGGTTGTCAGAGACTTGATCGACAGGTTTTATAATCTCCTTGACGACGAAAGACCAGAAGTAGGCGATATCCTTGCCAACGAAATATTCACACCTAACGCGGTGGCGTATTTTGGAGGACAGCCTTCCACGGGATCAGCGGGTATGACTTTGGTTTCAGAAGCACGCCAGATGATGATTGAGCTGAGGCGGTACTGACCCTCAAAACAGCTATCCGAATCTCCCGCACACATGCATGGAAGGCCATCGCGAGTCGAAAGCACACCGTGAGGAAGGTATACGCGTGCAGCTCAGACGCCAGTGATCTTCTTTTTATAGCCCACGTTGCCATGGGATTGCGCAACGGAAAAGAGGTCGATGGTGAATTTTGCGGTCGACTTACTATTGCAGGCGCTCAAGGGTCGAATCCGAGGCTTACTCTTTACCAGGTTTGGGGGGTGCGTTATCAGTTTCATCGCCAACATGTGAGGTTGGAGTAGCTGACACTGGTACAGGATACATCAGCCTTGGTAAAGGCATTGCAATCATGAAAATCTCAACAATCTTGGATCACAATTAGGTTTACTATCTAAGCATGCAGAGGCGAAAGAGACTCCGTGCTTATCTATTTCAGCGACATTACAAAGACTAAAAATTGAAAAGGCTGTTTATCTTGATGAAATAAATTCTATGATATTCTACTCTGCCTGAAATATTGCCTTCGCACCCTGTAGATGAGCAATCTGTACCGTATGTGTCGTGCTTTGCAAGCCAACTGAGATGTGGAAAGGCCATTCCAATCCGGAAAACTTCCCTTCGGAGCCGACACGCTTTATCCCTAGTTAGTCCCGGAACAGCTTACAAAAGCGTCCGGTAGAACTCGAAACAAATATCGACACAGTCCATCATCGGTATATGCAATAGTTACCAGACAAATTGGAGACTGCTGATACAACTGAGCGTACCTTTTTCTCCGCCAGGAGTCGTAATTCACACCACTTCAGGCCCACATAAATGCCCCACGAAAGACCCTTAGTTGAAAAAGCACTACCGATCAAAATGGTCACAAACGGCTCAGCCAATACTACTGTGAAATCCCCCGCGGGCTTGGCGCACCTGGTATTGCAAACATCTCAGTTCAAACCAATGGTGGCATTCTACAAAGCATTCTTAGGCGCCCACGCAAGCTACGAGAATGAAATTCTCTGCTTCCTAACATACGACGATGAGCACCACCGCATCGCCATCGGTCATGTCCCAGGCACGACCCCCAAGGCTCCGCAATCGGCAGGGCTCGCGCACATGGCGTTCTCATTCGAGACACTTGACGATCTCCTCCTCGCCTATCAGCAGCGTAAGGCCCGCGGGATCCTGCCATTCTGGTGTGTAAACCATGGACCTACGACGAGCATCTACTACCAAGACCCCGACGGCAATCAGATCGAGACCCAGGTGGACAACTTCGCGACGGCCGAGGATGCAACGGCGTTCATGATGTCTCCGGAATTCGCCGAAAATCCAATCGGGGCGGACTTTGTGCCCGAAGAGCTGATCGAGAAGGTGGCAAAGGGGGAGGATCGGAGGACTTTGGCGAAAAGGCCTAATGTAGGGCCGAGGGGCATCGAGGGATTGCCGCTTCCGCCCGAGCCTGACGTTCGAGACAGCTATGATCTTATCGATCCTGTATCCTAAGGGGCTGGGAAAGCTATATGGTGACGAGGGGCTGGCTGGCGGATGCATACGATTTTTTGAATGCTATAACTGCTTCCAAAGTTAGGTAATGGCGTGTCCGGTACATGGGGCGCCGTCGTCGATTGAGAAGCTTCATACCGTAATACAGGTTCTTCGAGGAACTCGCAAACGATCGCAAGGTGTAAGTGCATGAAGCATCACCTCTAATATCAATGGATCTCATGATTATTCGTAAATTACCAAGAAACTGGATTTTTCTTCTGATCAATTCGAAGCTGAATGTCACATGAATATGACATAGTGGTATTGAACAGCACGGCACAGTGTAGCGGGTTCCGCGGCCCGGATGGATAGCTACGGAGCCCGCTCATATACATGTGTATCTATCCATACGCCATGCCGCAGATCACATATATCTTAACAGCCAAAGGTGTGTTAGCTTCTGACTTGCAATCAATTGGTTTATCATCGCCGATTTAAATAGGCTCGTGACTACAAGTCTACCCGCTGGTGCAATACACAACAAAGACACGCGGACATCATGGCAACAAATGACGGCTGGCAGAAAGAGGTGTGTTCACTTGATCGTCTCACACCGACAGAGAAATAACACTTTCATACTGACGATTCTCGTATAGACGGACTGGAGCACGGTTGAGGCTCTGCACGAGAACCTGAGTGGTGGGCCGACGAAGGCAAGACCATGACTCGACCTTGTGATCGCACCACGCAAGACCCTTTTTGCTGACCCTCTGCTTTCGGCGTGTCAGTATCACAACCCTACTCTTCTCCATGTAGAACAGGAAATCCTCGACTGGTACAAGACATTCGGCAACTTCCTCAACGTGGTCGCACACACGGACCCAGCGGCTGGGAAGAGGTTCTTCGAGCTCGAGGACTACACCATCTGGGACCTCATGGGAAACCTAAAGCGGGGCAACCTCGGCCCTCATTACGATCACATCACCCCGTACCTCGGCAAGACGAACCAGTCCTTCAAGAATGTCGAGATCGTTGCCGTGACCCCAGACTTTGGGTATATCACCTCTATGCAGCGCGTGCATGGGACCGCAACTGATGGAAGCCCGTATGACATGACCTTCCGTGCCACGAGTCTGGTGAGGAAGGTCGGCGCAGACGGGGAATGGAAGTTGATTCACGAGCACTACTCTTTCCCTGTGGATATGGCAACCAAGGTGGCGGATTTCACTAGCTCACAAGCACTCTCCGAGAATGTGGAGTTTCAGAAAAAGGCATAGAGGACATCTTCCAGAATTCAATATTATCTTAGGTATCCCGACAGTAGAACATCAGGCGGGACCAGAGTTATTGTGTTGTAGATGACAAGTGCTTGTGGATGGATATATCGATTCCAGCCCCAAGCACTCATTTCAAACATTCGGCATTGCCATCTGCTGGAACCATTGCGCCGTCGACTCTTCACTATAAGATTCAATGAGATCAAAGTGATCCATCCCAGGCCTGTCTATCTTCCTCCCTCAGCCGTACTTCTTACAAGACTCAGTACCTAGGTATACTACACGGACTGGCGGTCATTGGTGACGGCCCGAGGGGCCAGGATAGGTCCATGCTGTAGTACCGAAGGCATCCATAAATTTGCTACTACATCCAATGGCGCATCTTGAAGTAAATAAGTCGATTGTCACCGCTATTTCTACACAAGGCTTGCGAGTCAAGGCCGGCTACCTCGGTATCTACCTGATTTACCTAGGTACGTAGACCCCTGCCAAGCCTGAGCCGCCACCAGTCATAGATCTTGTCAAATTCATCACCGATTTTTCAAAAATGGTGCCACTAAAGAGTAATATACTATCGTGAACTTAGCAGGAAAGGCTGCCGTCCGTGTTGCCGATGACGGAGTCTGCCAGGTACACGTTAGAAGCCAAAGAGCTTGAGAGCAAGAATTCAGACGAAGTTCAAGGTTAAACTTACTCAGAATGAAGACATCATAATACTCATCAGGATCGCTGGCAACACACGGGCCGTAACAGCCAAAGTTCTCGCCAAAGTGCTCGTCGCCGCCGTAGAAGGTGTTGTTGCAGCCGGTGACGGAGTCGGTGAAGCCCCCAGACGGTGGGAAGATGAACCTGCAGTCGACGGCGGACCAGCCGAGGCAGTTGTTGAGGTTCAGTTCGGACCAATTGGTGTTCTGGTCAATGGTCTTGCAGGTGGCGGTGAGGATCGGCGAGCGGCCCTTGACGCCGTTGAGGTCTCGCAGGGTAAAGTTGGAGCAGGTCTGCAGGAAGCCTTCGGTGGCGTGGGCGGAGCCGCTGTGGAAGAGGGAGATGATGGTGATGATGATGGAAGTGGCCTTCATCTTGGCGACTGATCTTGAAGACCGAGTCGTGGAGTTTTGGTGTTGTGTTCTGCGGAAAAAGTGCAACTGGAATGGTGGGGTTGAGATGTGGAATGTATATTCAGCTTACAACGTTGTTGGTGGAAGGTGCAGGGAGTACTTTAATTAACTTCACACAGATCCTTCCTATCTTGGCATTTAGCCCTATTCATCCGGGCCAGTCACTGCCTGTACTACCTATGTACTTGCTCAATTGGGACAAAAAAAAAGGAAAACAGTCGAGAGCAGAGTGTCACAGACCAGAGTGATCGTGAGATTTCTAGCGACTGCCAAAAACAATGTGACTGCAGGTGAAGCTGCCAGCTTTTGTGTCTGCAAAGTGCCGTAGATTTCAACCTCGTTGCAGTAACTGAACTCCAGGACTTTCACCTGCAGTCAACAAGCTCCAACCGAACAAAATACCAAGCTTAGTACTCGAGGCTCACACTTCCCACACACAATCTGTTTGAACAAGAAAAAAGACGCAAATCATCACCATGCGAATGATTCTCAACCTCATGCTGCTCAGCCTCGGCTTTGCTCATCTGGGCCAGGCCGAGGACGGCAGATGCGTATGTACCCCCTTGCATCTGTCCATCTGTTTTGGCCACAAGAGAAACGTCTCGAATCATTTCATGCCCTATCTTGATCGTCTTTCGTTCCACCGGACTGCCACTAACCGTTGAGTCTGTAGTGTTTACCGGAGTGTAGAACGTGCAGCTTCGAGGCTCGCGGTGGAGGAGGTGGAGGACACCGGTGCCAAGGCCCGATCGTATGTGGTTATTCCCTTGCCCATATCGCAACACCGCCATCCAAAACCCTTAAATGTCCATTTGAAAATGTACCTGCATAAATGATCCCGATCTTTAGATTTGCTAACTGGATTTTAACAGTTCTACAACTGCTGCTCCGAGTCAGCCATTGCCAAGGTGAACCTCGCCGCCAAGAACTAAGACTCGTTCAAGGCAGTCGACTAGAAAATTGAGATGCGTTGTATTAGGTGGCACCGGTGGCTGCGATGGTCATAAATCGGCTTGCAAGTGGGTTTCAACTGGTCCGTGAACAACTTGAACAACCCTACAGAGTCTTGTTCTGGCCTCAAGGAAAGGCTGGGCTGCTAGTATCGTCGTGTAGCAGATCGCCGCAAGCAACGAACGTTTAACAACCAACTCGTCGAAGCCAAGAGTGAACTCCTCGTCTCCCAGTGTTTGCTGCCCCCTCATGTTTGAGATCTGTACAGGGACCTGCCAATATTCGTAAAATAATAGCTAGGGTATTGAGGGTTGCCCCGTTATATGAACGGCCCAAGGCAGTTGCTGTTACGTCAGGGCGTTTGGACCGTTGAACTATTGTAGCATGAGCTCAGTCCTATTAACAACACTTTTTACGGGTATAGACGTCTTGGCTCATCATACACTCGCCTTTGGAGTGGCTCCCAGTTGAGACGACTCAAGCAACAAAAAGCTAAGAGAGCCTTTGGGGGCGCCGCAGTGGAAGGTCCCAGCTAGATTTGAGTTTACAAATCTACACAGTCAGACAGCTAGAAAAGATACAATTTTGAGTCTTTTGGTAGCAAAAAATGGTTTCGGCTTGAGCAGTTTGGAATTCTTAGTCTGATACCTAGGTACAGGGATAGACAAGTTCCAGATGGGACAGGCCCTATCTGCCGCTTTCAAGTTCCCGCCGCTAGCAGGACCTTGACATGGAGTTGCCACATCCAGACTGTCGGTACATGCCTCAAAGGCATTGTTAATTATAATCCAGCTTGGCGTCCAACATAGGAATTGCGAGACCTGCCAGGCAGATTGAAGATCGAAAAGCTTACATGTGTACTGCTCCCAAGCCAGTGAGCCAGACGGGTGTGGCTGTGCAGCACCAACCCAACCGGGCCAAAATCTCAGCCTCGCACTCTATAGAGACATTTTGTTCAAGTCCGCAATCCCGCAGCTTTCCTCTCGTCGTTCTGGAGTACACCATCGCCAACCGGCCAATGTCCGTCCAGCATAACACTGGCTGCCCAGGTGGTCTTCAATAATGGTAGCCGATTTCGCTTCACTCTGCCTCGACGGCCAAAGCATTTTCTCGGCCCCCTGTTGTGGACATCTACAGCTGACGAGTCTGGTTTCCTTATGGCCCCGTGTGATCCCATTGAAGGTTGGATCATCTCTCGCCCTTCCGTGCCATTGATACTGAGAGGGATCACGGCGAGACATCCACCACACTTCTGATTGACCCACCACCGCTCTGGGCATGCGGCTGCGCTCAATCGAGCCGTTCGATGCCATGCAATGGGGTCGAGTTGGGGTCGCTGGGGGACCGGTTCGATCTTGGCAGTCAGCACACCGCGGCCATAATGTAAGAACGCCAGCCCGGCAGCCTTGGCGGACCATCCACCGCCAACCGACCCGACCACCTGGGCAGCCGCGGGACATGCTGGAATCACAACCAGGAGGGTTACAAAAGCAGGCCATAAGCTGGGCTGCCTGGCCTCAAAAAAAAAAAAACCTGCGGCTAGGCTACTAGAATCGGGACAACCATGTGTCTACCACCGACCCCTGGGAAACGAGACCGGCCGGAAAGTGGACCGGCCAGGGCCCATTTGTAGGCCAGCCGCCAGCCGATTTGGAGGAGTGACGACTTGGGCAAAAGACCGAAACAATGACCACAACAAGCCGTCACGCAGCAGGGAGGCTCATGCGTTATATGCGAAGGTGATGAGCACATATAAGAGCTAGTTGCAACCAGATGAGGACTTTTGATCAGTTATTCAATCTCATTAGCATCTCTCTGCATCTGGACCATTTGACTCCCTTGCCGACTTGATTCTCTAATTGCCTAGGCACCTGGTTATCTCCAGGTTCTAACGGTCAGCCGACTGGAAAGAAAGTTTTCTGCTCTGGATCCCATATTATATAACCCACTCTCGCTCTCCCAAACTCCGGTTTCAGCATGCCGCGCCCCTTCATGGCGGGCCTTGAGCTCGTGGCCATCCAAGACTCCACCACAGGCCTCGACCACGCGTTGGCCTCTTTGTCCGCCTTCCTCAACAGTAACTCCGTATATCTTGACGCTTTCGTTCAAGAGACGAAGAACTTCGTCCGCGGCACCTATGATGCTTTAGAGATACTCGTACCTTTCCACATAGGGACCCGTCCCTCGCCCGGGGTCACGACCACAGAGGTGTGTGCTACCTGACACGCTTGGGCACCTTGGGACCATTAATAGTATTTGCTAACCTATAAAATAGTTAACCGATCTTGAATCTGGCATAAATGTCCTCGAATTTCCTCACGCCGGTCAGGACCTCGAAGACAATCATCTCGAGCACGCCGATGGCTCGGAAGACGTTCAACTGGCCACCATGGGCGAACAACTGGAACATGTGGAGGAACTCTCTTCTCACCCCTATCAAGCTCTCATGCAGATGTTAGTTCGCTTCTTCGGACCTCTATCCCTGATAGTGGTCCCTGGTCTCGTTCTTGCGGTCATAACGGGGCATTTGTCATGGGACGTAGCCCTCTGCGGCGCCTTGGCTACTGTTCTCACTGCACAGTTTCCTCGCAAGTCTTCATAAATACGAATCAAACATTATTACAGGTCTTTTGAGGCTGTCGCATCCAGAAAGGACTTTTGACGTGATTTAAAGGAGTTTTGTCAGCAATCTGGTTCATTTTGTCGCATCCCCATTGATACTGTACTGTTTATCTTTGGTCTACTCGGCGTCTGTAGCTTTGGTATTTCGAAGTCCTGCCAACAAACTAGTACCCAAGGGTCATGTATGGCTATGAAGGAAAATGGAAGGTTCCACAGAAATTCAATATTCCACAGCCTCTCTCGATAATTTGAATAATCTCTCCGTGATAGTCAGCCCCACGGGCATTGCCATGCAGCCCAGTGCGTTTCGGTTTCCGTCCGCTGTCTTTGCTACGAGGGGTCCAACTCGGATTCTTTCCATTCGGGTCCCCCGGGAAGCTATGTCCATTACGATGATCCTTCCCTGCAAGAGGTAGAAGAGCGGGCCTGATAGTCGGGAGACATATGTTGATGACGCCCAGGTTGGGCTCAAGGACCGAGTATACGGCAACATCTGAAGCATAGTAGGTGATGTTCTTCATGTCCCAGTTTACAAATGAGACTTCTCAGAGTAGCGATATCACGTATATTATGCGTAACAACATAATGATTGAGCATTGCCCGGCAAGTTTAGTAGCATCACATGGACTTACAAAGCAGATCCTGGATGTCAGGAGCCGGGGACTGCCAGCTACTCACCAATCATGGTATCGAGGCGATTCTTGATCTCCCCGGCGTTGGCGAGAACCTGCAGGACCACCTCGACTGTGGCGTTGCATATGAAGCTGTTGACGACTTGGAAACTCCGGACAATATGGTGACACAAGAGCCCGAGGCCGATGCCAGGCAGGCCATGCAGGAGTATGCAACAAGCCGTTCAGGACCCCTGACAAGCGTCGGCATCGAAAACTATGCCTATCTTGTCATATTGGACAGAGTGTCCGCGGAAAGCCTTGGCTACAAGAGACTCGGCAAGCTTCTCGACGACACCGCACTCGCCGCGTCGGATATCCGGGCTACAGCACTCCACTCAGTCGTTCAAAAAGCTCTGCTGGATCCCAAAGAACCATCGGCGGTGCACATGACGATGAGAAGCCAGAACCCCCATCCCGTCGACCTGGAGTGGTCCCCAGGCTCCCCAACCGGCCCAGTACCGGGCAAGTTCGTCACCCTCGCCACCGTGCTCTCTCAGCCGCTGTCGCTGGGCACCACGCACATCCAGAGCAGCAACCCCGCAGACGAACTGCTCGTTGACCCGGCCTACCTCTCGCACCCCGTCGACGCCGAAATATTCGGCGCGCACATGCTGCAGGTCGAGCAGATCGCGGCATCCGAGCCCCTCTCGAGTGCATTCTTGAAGCAGCCGCTGAGGCGTCGCGACCCGGCGTCGAACTTCGGGGGTGATTTGCGCGCGGCGGAGCGGTTCGCGCGCACGTCGAGAATGTCGATGTGGCACCCCGTGGGGACATGCGCGATGCTTCCGCTGGAGCGGAGGGGCGTCGTGGATGGTGAGTTGAGGGTGCACGGCGTCGAGGGCCTGCGCGTCGTGGATGCGAGTATCATGCCGCTGATATGTAATGCGAACTTGCAGGCCATAGTCTACGGCGTGGCAGAGCGTGCTGCGGAGCTGATAAAGGAGACTTGGGGAGCATGAATGCGAGAGATAAGAAAAGACAGCGGCCGCCTGGGGCAAAGCTTTGGAAGGCTGCTACGATTCAGTTCAAATAGCTGAACGAATATTAGTCTTGAATACGGAATATCGCGCCCCAGGATATAGCTGGCATGCCTCATTCATTAGCAGGCGACCCCTCCAATTATACAAAGTATGTCATTTGAGTTTGTCACACTGGTAACTTTGAAGGCTGTACTACATATGTAGTTTGTTCCACCTGGGCACCTTCTTTGCGTCGCCCCCTACAGCGTCTTCTCTACCACCTACAAAGGACCATTAACTAGTGACCATACAGGGACGTGACCGTAGACGACGTCTTTGGCGAGGTTTGACAGTAAGCGCGCTCAAAATAACATCGCATCGAGTCTCTGTCGTTAATCATAATCCTGCGTGAGGCGGGGAGCGTACCTAGGTATATGTTCAAATGTCACAATGTAGTTAATATGTGGACCTTTTAAAGTAGGAATCATGACAGGCCACAGTTGAAATGAACTGGGTTATCGGAGTCTGTATAATACTTTGGAAAGCTTAGCCTTCTCGCTACGGTCGCCAGTACTTTTACAGGTGTTCACTTCCCTCTTTCAACCAGCGAGAGTGAGGGATTTGCCGGGCCACGTACCGGCGATTTGTTGGTGCAATCTTGAAGGGGCATCTTCTTTATTCAGCATGGTGCCAGGCCCACTTCTTATGGTCGACTTTCTCAATCTCGACCTCCAATTCACTGATTGGAGGCCGATGCATCGTTTCCTGTACTTTCCTGGTCAGGTTATATTCGTAAATGAACTTGGGCTGCCTCCTCTGAGAGTACAGCGGACCCACTCCCATCTTGGTGTGTTCTTGAGGCGAACCCCACCCTCCTCCGGGGAAGATCGCTATCTCTCGCACATCCTCTGTTGGATACCCTCATTGAATATTGACTGCACTACCAGGCGATGTTTCCGTGAAAGAATTTTCATGCCCACGGACCTGACTTTGACAAACTCAGCTCGTATTCCTCATATCGTGCCGCGATTGTTCCAGTTCTTGGATGCTACCTAGGTGGTATTTGGTGTCTCTTTCTAACCTCACTGCATTTTCCGATGATGATGTTCAATACCACCACCTGTATCAATTCCGCGACGTTCTAACCACTGTTTATTATGGTAAATGTGCACCAAGCCGGAGGACTCCCCTTTAAGTACAGATAGATGCCCGTCGACCGAGGCCTACAAGGGCTGCGTTGACATGTGGTTGATTCATTGTCTGCCATAGAACCGAGTCAAAATTTTGGTAAAAAAAAGCATATAAGCCTTCCTGCCTTGTAACCTGTTCATGTGATTGCATTGGAGGCATCGGGCCAAGTTTCAGATGCAAAAGAGGCTTTTCTGTTGCACGGAGGACAACCCTGGGGTTTGTGTAGTGACGTCAGAATTGGGCTTGAATATTGCTAATACACAGAATATCATGTACTCGGAATGAAGCATCTAATGATTTAGGGTAGGATGCGGTCAAGTGGATGTTGTGGTGTGGAGAGGGTTAGGGACCACGTTACACGGGGCAGTTTGGGTGACTGCGTGTAAGCTGGAGACCAGTTGACATCAAGTGAAGCTCCATGTGTGAAATGCCAATTCAAAACATCCTGGTGTACGGATGGTAGGGAAATTTACGTAGCGGAGGAGAACTCAGACCACTAGGTTGGGTAGTGGCTGCAGCAATCTAGTGACATTAGGCAAGGTCAGCATGGTGTCGTGTGATGTGACTGGGCTGCGTGTGGTGCTGTGTTTGGGTATATATGTATGTACCTAGGCCTGTATGTAAAAGGTTGATATTGGGAATCGTACTTGTTGTGCCCAACGTGATGATGGCCTGGGGTTTCAATCTTGTCGAGATCTTGCAGAGTGTATATCCAAGAATGCCAGAAGAGGGGTGGATCATCATGAGGTTGGTGTGCAGAAGAAGCTTTTAGAGAGCGGCAATGCCTACCCCGCGTTGTCAGCAATTCTGCCCATAGCTCCTGCAGGAGGGCATGAAAACGTTCGGTCTCGGTCCATTCTACATTACGGACCAACCCGGGGTTCAGGGACGGGATACCACACTCGGAGAAGTTTAAGTTACACTCAACATGTACAGCAATACTTGCATCTTTGCGGTTGCCGTCGTTGTTACAGGCGGTATCAACTACTTGAGTATGCCTAGTGGGGGAAGTCGTGCGACCTTCCACACCTGGGCAATGACATCTCACGCCAGACGCATCTGTCGCGTGCGCGGGTCGATCCCCGGGCGTCTGTGTCCCTACACATGTTTAGCGGTCAAAATGGCCAGTACTATAAAGAGATACGCCGTGGGACACTTCCTGTGTCTTCTTTTTCATATTCTCTCCATCTCACTAAGTTACTAGTAAAGCCCGCTGGGACCTCTAGTTCATCCACCCATTAGTATGACCACCGATGTGCCCACCGAAGACCATGCCCCATACTCTGACCGTGGCTGGTCCTCCGTGCTGCAACCCGGTGGACTCAGTCTCCTCAACCAAGGTCGACTACACCTGGGTTTCCTAATCCAAGGACGGATCCAGGCGCTAGTCGACACGTATAATAGCATCCAGGATGCTACGACACGCTATATACACTATGCCCACACCCGAACTGCGATCCCAGCAGAGCCGGAGGTGCACGCTACCTACCCATCCCAGATGCTAGAACAAACATCGACCAGCAACCACTAACCAACTAACTAGTCAATGGACCTTGAGTCTCAGTCTTTCAATCAGCAAAGACGAAGCGCGGATACTGTCGAAACGCCTGCCACCACGCTGCGGGACACCATCCCCATCCACACCGACACCAATCCTTTCACCGCAGAGGCTGACGGCCCAGAGGCTGCGAGTCAAACAGCCACACTGAGAGACGATCGTTCTAATGAGGCAGCTCTTCCTCAGCCCAGGCGTTCGTGGATGTCGGTGTTGAGGCTTGTTGTCGTCGTTCTGTTGCTGCTCATGGCGCCAGGCCTGATTCTCGGCATCGTGACCAGGCAGGTGGCATGGGGCATTGCAATCTCGGGCACCTTCGCCCCAGCTGTCGTTTTCTTTGGGGGCCTTTATTATCACCACAACAGGTGAGGTGTGGGTTGTCTTTGAGAACGTGAGCGGCGACGGGTTGGTGTTGTGACTCGATGGATCGTCAGTCGTCAATCGGGCCCTGTCCCCTTCGTCTTGTTTTTCTTCATACACTCTCCCTTGTCTGCCATCACCTCCTATCCTGATCCCATCCATTGATGTTTTCTTACCCTGTATTCTTGTGTCAGCATATTCCTAGCGTACATTCACAGAGAAAAGCATTCCGGTACCTCAAGACCGTGTCGTACCATCGCGATGTGGTCCCAAACAAACTTGAAGGCCATTGCACAACGCTGTCGAGCACTCAAGTAGGTCCCCAAGGGTTGGCAAGGCCATCGTCCAATCATTCCCATTTGTCTAAACTTGCAAAGCAGCATCCTCTCTCGCGGCGTGACTACCCTTCCTCCACCCAGAAGTGTGATCCTCCACCTCCAAATGCCTCTTGGCCTCGCCGACGTTGCCCCACCCACCACCACCAGGCGTGTTGATAATGATCCTGTCCCCAGCCTTCATAGGCGCGCTGTTCTTAGCCCCCAGGTTAATATGCCTCTCCTCATACTCAACGTCCTCCTCCTCCTCCTTGTCCACCTCACCACCACCAACCCCACTGCCAGCCTTCAGCCGCCGCAGCTGCTTCTCCCAGCTGGCCTTCTCCACCTTGCGCACCCACACGTTCAGCCCACAGGCAGCATCCTCGCCGCCCGCCATGCCATAGGGGTGATACACGCGCCTCTCAGAGAGGATAGACACCTGCACGGGGATCCGGAACTCGATGTCCCTCACCACGCCGTCGCCGCCGCGGTGCTGGCCCTTACCGCCAGACCCCTCGCGGATGCTGAACTCGCGCAGCAGCACGGGGTACCGCCGCTCAAACACCTCGCTGTCGGTGATGCGCGTGTTGGTCATGTGCGTGTGCACGCCGCTCGTGCCGTCCCAGTGGGGGCCCGCGCCGGACCCGCCGGCGATGGTCTCGTAGTAGCCGAAGCCGCGCACGGCGTCGCGCCCCGCCTCGTTGCCGCCGAACCCGAACGTCAGGTTGTTGCAGTCGCCCTGGGAGGCGGCGCAGGCCTCGAAGGCCTTGAAGATGACGTCCGTCACGCGCTGGCTGGTCAGGACGTTGCCGCCGACCACGGCGGCGTGGTCCGAGGGGGAGAGGAGGGACTTGGGCGGGATCTTGACGTGGATTGGTTTCAGGCAGCCTTGGTTCAGGGGGATGTCCTCGGAGATGAGGCAGCGGAGGCAGTAGATTATGGCGCTGGGTTTGGATGTTAGTTTGGGGCGGGTGTGGGATGTTGAAGAGTGTAGGGTGGGGTGTGTTCTTACCTGTAACTGACGGCTTCGGGGGCATTGATATTGCCGTATACCTCTGGCCCTGTGCCCTCGAAGTCGAAGACTGCCTCGCCCTTTTCAGGGTCAATGGTGACCTTTAACTTGATTGGGCTGCCATCATCCATGTAGTCCACAGACGACAGGTCCTTGCCCTCGAACTTCTTGCTGACATCCTTCAGCAGTCTCCGCACACACGACTCGGCGTTGTCCTGGATGTTCTTCATGTAGAACATGACAGTGTCTTCACCGTACTCTTCGATGAGATTCTCAATAAGCGAGATACCCTTCTGGTTAGCAGACACCTGCGCTCGCAGGTCATTTATGTTGTCCGCGAGGCAGCGGGTACCACTGCACCCAGGGTACTTGGCCGGCTCGTTGTAGAACAACTCCACCACCCTCTCCTCGTTGAACTTGCCCTCGCTGACAAGCTTCTCGCTCTTGATAGCAGCCCCCTCCTGGAACAGCTCCCGCGAATGGGGGGGCATGCTGCCAGCGGTGATGCCGCCGATGTCGGCATGGTGGGCCCTTGACGCCGCGTAGAAGAGGATGTTCTCTCCCTTCTCATCGAATGCAGGCATCGTGAGCGTCACGTCCGGGAGATGGGTTCCGCCATATGATGGGTGGTTGGAGATGATCACGTCACCCCTCTTCAGCTCGCCCTTCCATATCTCAGCCTGTCGCTTCACACACGTGCCCATCGATCCCAGGTGCACTGGCAAGTGGGGGGCGTTCGCAACAAGGCCTCCTGTAGCGTCAAAGATGGCGCATGAGAAGTCAAGACGCTCCTTGACGTTCGTGCTGACACTCGTCTTTTGCAGAGCCCTGCCCATCTGCTCCGCGATGGCCATGAATCTGTGGCCGAAGATGCTAAGCACGATCGGGTCCACCTCCCGCTTGGACTGGTCCGTACTCTGTGAATCACCCTTGCCAGAGTCGGTCTCGATGTTGACGACCACATGCGTCTGGAGGATGACCGCCTCGGCCTTGGGCGTAACAACGATAGTCTGTGTGCCGTCGGCCAGCATGGCTGGACCTTGGATAACGTCTCCGACTTGGATGTCACCAAGCTTGTAGATGGGCGTCTCCAGTCTGCCACCTTCGAAGTATACTTGAGCACTGGAGTGCTTGCTCTTCCCCGAGACTTCTTGCCTCTTTACCTTCTTGAGTTGCTGGTCCACAGTCTCCTCAGCATATCTGAAACTCTTCCCAATGCCTCTTACTCGCACATCATCGACAATGATGTCTCTGTCGTCTAGTGTGAATCCGAATTCGTACCGATGATGCTTCACAAACGCCTGGTCAAATGCCCACTCTTTGCTGTTGAAATGCTCTTTCGTGTCCTCTTCGCTCGGCTTCACGATCATCAACGCTGACTCCGTGCCGCGGTATCTCATGTTCAAGTACTCCTCGAAAACAATATCCTTGTCGCTGAATCCTTGATCCTGAAGCGCCTTTCGGGACTTCTCCTTGAGCTTCTCCATCTTTTCCTTCAGCTCGCTCACGGTCTTGCCATCGTTGGACCAAACCGCGGAGTCTGGCTCTTGTCGTTCGTCGACCACATCTGCCAAGGCCATTCCGTAGGCCGAAAGTACGGATGAGTACCTGTGGATGAGGATTTGCTTGATGCCGAGAGCGTCCGCGATGGCAACAGCGTGCTGGCCTCCTGCTCCACCAAATGTGGCCAGCCTGTGTTTTGACGAATCATGACCCTTTGCTTCCGTTATTGAGCGGATGGGACGGGTCATGCTCTCATTGGCAACGGTCAAAAACCCGTAGGCCACCTCGTCCACGGACATTTTCTTCCCTGTCTCGTTGTTGACCTGGTCGGCAAGCTCCTGGAGAACCTTCTTGCTTGCCTCAACATCTAGACCCTCGTCTTCGTTCTTGCCAAATATCTTGGGGAAGAATTCTGGCAGCAGCCTGCCCAGGTACAGGTTGGCGTCTGTGACTGTGGCAGGGCCGCCCTTTCGGTAACATGCTGGTCCAGGATGCGCGCCGGCGGATTCAGGACCAACCACAAACAGGCCATTCCTGAAGAACAGCCGGGAGCCACCACCAGCTGCCACGGTGTTGATGTCGAGCTGTGGCGACTGGATGGTAACGCCTGCTGTTGTGGTCTCAAAGGTATGGTCGTATCGGCCTTCTCCGTACCGGGAAACATCGGTGCTCGTCCCTCCCATATCAAAGCCAATAACCGGGATCTTGGTGGCAGGGTCGTACGACGTGATGGCGTAGCCGACAACACCACCCGCAGGGCCAGACAGAATAGCCTTGAGGCCAGTGAACTTCTCAACGTCGACCAAGCCACCATCGCTCTGCATGAACTCACAGCGCGCCCCACGGCTCCCCGACTCGCGCTGGACGCTCTGTGTGCCGAGGCCGCCCTCGAAGCCCTTCTGGAACCCATCGATGTACTTGCGGATGGCGGGCGTCAGGTACGCGTCGGCGCAGACTGAGGTGGCCCTCGAGACCAGCTTGATCATGGGCATGAGCTCGGAACTCAGCGAGATGTGCCGGAACCCAATCTCCCGTGCGATCCTACCCACCACGGCCTCGTGGTCTGGGAACGTATACGCGTGCATCAGACACACCGCTATGCTCTTGATGCCCTTATCGTATATCTCCTGCAGCTGTGTGCGTATTCTCTCCTCCTCCGGCCTCCGTAGTATGCGCACTGCCTCTCCCGACAGACCCATGACCAGGTCCGCCGTCTTCGCCTCTGCGGTCCCAGCCTTGACCTGCGACTTGGTGGCGGACCGCTCTGGGTCCTCGGCGTAGTCCTCGAGTGTAACCCTCTCGTCAATCTCGACGACCTCAGAATATAAAACGTCGGGCTTTCGGATCGCGAGGTCGAAGATCTTGGGGCGCGACTGGTTGCCAATGACGAGGCAGTCCTTGAAGCCCTTGGTGACGACCATGGCGATGGTCTCGCCCTTGCGCTCGAGCAGGGCGTTGGTGGCAACGGTGGTGCCCATGCGGATGGAGTCGATCTTGGAGGTGTCGAGGGGCTCGCCGCGGGGGATCTCGTGGCCCAGGAAGTGCGACATGATCCGCCGGATGCCCTCGAGCGGGGCGTCGGCGTAGTTGGCCGGGTCCTCGGAAAGCAGCTTGATCACGATGTCCTCGCCTGCCATGTTGCCCACGCAGTCGGTGAAGGTGCCGCCGCGGTCGATGGCGATGCGGATGCCCCGCTCGTCCTGGCTGGAACCCATCTTCACGTCTGTGGTGACGGCTGCTTGACCTGGTTGACTGTCTGCTCCGAAATTTCAGATCGTCGAAGAGGTCATGGGCAAAGCAAGATTGAGAGGCGTGGACATGAAACTGTAGCAAAAGTCCAGCGGGCAAGAAAGAGAGTTGACGCAGAGAACATGGTCTCGCGACCCCTCTCACCACGGGAATTATTTAGTATATAATTCGTCATTGTTCGCTCCGATCCCGGGTGATAAGATTAGGGAACCGGAGGGGCCTGCCGGATCGCCCCCACTTTTGTCGGAGTGGATGCCCGAGGCCCTTGGCGCCTGAGCGGACGACTTATAATGACTAAGGATACCGAACACCTCTTATTAGTCAGAGACATTGCAGTCGGTCAAGTTAGCCACAGGCGTTTGTCGAGAAATGTCGTTAAAAAATGTATTGAACAGAATAGTGGAACGACCCGAAAATTATTAAAGATCTATCATCTGATCAGTTAATCGTTTAGGAGAGTTGAAATGTTACCCTTCTTTCAGACGAGGTAGTAACTAATAAAGGCTATGTGGGTTTACTATTAGACGACCTCGGGGCTTTTCCCATCCTTCGACATCATAGTTACCTATGGAGTACTACTATGGAGGCTGTTGAATAGCTACAGCTAAATGATCCCTCAAGTTCTCTGGCACAGTGAGTCGTCTCCTCTATCACTGCCCAGGTGAGGAACCCCTTAATGTTACACAATGACGGCGTGCCAGTGGTGCCACAGCCTTGCCATTCCTGTGCGCAAGTGGGTAACACGGTTGACTCATATGATGCAATCATTCGAGCTGAGTATTTGCAAAGACGGGACCGTATCGAGCTCACTCGATCCTGGAGACAACATTGGAATATCCCCATCGCTTCAGTACCGACCCTTACCTCATGCCACTGGTAATTGTCGACGTCTGTGGAGGATGCGTCTACCAATACTTCAATGCTCTTCTAAACAACTCCGCATACATTATCAGCAAGACCTGCGGTGTGTCATTCGTGACGATCGGTCGTCTTTCATATTCACATGGCGGCACCAACTCCGTATTGCTCTTACCAGCACACTTGGACTTCAAGACAGACACCGCCATCATAATGCATCGATTCATCAATCCTATCATATGAATACTTAGTAGAGAGATCAGAATACTTAGTCATACTATTATCGGTACTAGGCTTCCAAATCTCCGCATGTTGAACAATATTGCACAATTTCTGCAGTGTCTTGACATGAAGGTGCGGGCGCTTGGTTCGAAAAGGCAAGAAATGCACACACTGACATGTCCAAGGGCCACTTGGATTCTCTACATCATCACGTATCAAACCAATCATCAATAACATATAAGTGATGAAAACACATCACCAAGACAGAAGTTCAGTTCTCACTTTTATGTGCGTAAAGTAGTATCTACAGTTTCTGCGGTCAAAATGCTAGACTAAGCCCGGATCTTCTGCACAAATTCAACAGCGGTGTCAACAACTCCTTCAGTCCAGCTTAGATGAGCAGAGTGCCCGGCGGGGCATCTGTAGATGGTGAACTCTCCCGTTTTGGAACCCTGGAGCGCGGCCATTCCTTCTTGGTACTCTTTCGGCAGGGTCATGTCGCCCTCGAGGACAAGGTATGCACATGGGAGGGCCGAGTAGGCGTCATTTGACAGCTTGGTAGCCAGGATGGGCGACGCAGTTAGACCTGGCGTATATTTCTGCGCCGTAGAAGCGTCTACATCATTGAACAGGAACTTCTCAGGCTCGACCAGGGTGCCAAGCCCCGCAGCGCCGTGTTTCTAGTGGGTTTCAACAAATCAGCCATGTATTGACACATGATCATTCCCGTTATCGACAAAGGTGGACCTACGTGAAACGTCATGAATGGAGGCGTGACAAAGTTGCCATCCTTGGGCTGGAAAAACGTGGTGATTGATTCGCCCACAGGGATGACAAAAGCACCCATGTAAAAAATGCCAATGACGCCCCCTGACAATCCCGCCTCTGCACGTTTCTTGGCTTGGAGCTCAGGTCGAGCAACCTCAGTGGCGACCCAGCCGCCAGCAGAGTGGGCAAGGAGCAGCACGTTCTTGCCTGCCTCCACCAGCGGCTTCAAAACCTCCAAGACGACTTCGGCATCCTCCTCGCCCTGTGGATAACCTCCTGCAGGTGGCTCTCGATCAAAATCCGGGTTGTTGACGTCGCCGACATTCAACTTGGCAAGGTCGGCGGTGGGCAGTTGGGGGCAGTAAGCATCAATGCCTCTGGATTTGAAGGCATCAACAAGTGGGGTATAAGGTGCCGGTGTATGGTATGACCCATGGCACAGCACAATAGCCAGATTGGAAGTGGAAGTCGTCATTATTGTGGCAACTGCAAAATTAATAGGATCAGGAATCTGTCTGGTCTGAAAACAAGGAGATCATGGGATGTCTGACATGCAGATGGGCCATGGTGGATCGTGATACTTTATACCACAAGCAGTGCAAGCGTTGTCTAAAGTGCTCCCCTAGTTGCATATATACCAGGGTACGTCCCCTGGGGCTACTCTCGACAGGCAACAGGGGTCAGCAGGGCGTATCATACCCAGAGCTAGTATCCAAAGCAATCATTCTCACCTCCTATATTCAGACCTTATGAATGTCAGCTGAATACATCGAGAGATTCGTCTTCTCTAATATTTCATGTGAGAAAATTCTTAATCAACTCATCTAGTTTTAGATAACTGTAGTAAATTGAACGGCCGTGGCCCTTATAAGCTTAGTCCACGACCCGCTTAAGTAGACCATGTGCGGTCGAGAGCACCCCTTTAGTTGCATTTATATGCACAGAGGTGGATAGGTGCCATTGGACCGCAGCAAGCGTTGTTGTTGGTTCTCAAAATGCAACACAGTGCCATTGTCGATACTGAAGTAGCTACCTAAGTACCCTGCCTTACTAAGTGGGGGCTTTGGCCCCGATGGGGCATTGTACCAAGCTAGCAAGTGTTGTTGGCTCTCAGAATACAACAGTGCCTGCCTAAGTGTGGCTCCGATTATGCAGCAAGAGTTGTTGGCCCTGGAAATGCAACACTGCAGCAACTGGCCTGCCTGCTGAGGGAGGATGTTGCGGCCGGGGAGTTATCTGCTCCACTCCTGTTTATTACTCCTGCCAAGCAGAATTATGTGCACTGTGCATCCTGAGATCATGCGACTCTACCAGGTAGGCAAGGTCAATGACACCGTTGGTTCTGGCGTCCAGGGTGGCGCAGCCTGCCGCCAAGAGGTCCCGAAGTCTCCACAATGAAGGAAGGCATTATCAAGACGCGAGGATTTCTTCCCGTCATCATATTGATAGATAACTGCACAGCAATAGCTGAGGGCTTGGGGTTTCTTGCCCACCAAGCCTACCTAGTCATCTACACCTCGCTCTAGTTCAAGTTTAAGACCACAAAGGAGAGACCAGAAAAGTGTGAGCAGGTCCGATTTGGCCAGCCGAAGTGCATGTGAACCATCGCTGCGGCTAAGAACTCAGATGTCTTGAAGTATTCTAAAGACCTTACCCTATATGGGAGGACTCCGAGTCTTTCTTTGGCGATAAAAGAGTAGGGGGGTTGCAATTTGTGAGTCTAGTTATTTGCAAGCGGTGTCGCTTGTAGACAGATGAATCACATGTGAAGGCGTTGTCAAATTCAAATTGCTTCCATGTGGCTCACTGCGATTGGAATGCTGTTGTCTATAGACCCTTGAAACTTCATGCTATTGTCACCTGGCCGCGACTTCCCAAAGCATCTTCCATCCCACTGCCCTTTCTTCCAAACCTCGTCAGATGCAGCTTGTACATTACAAAACTTTGTTAATATGTCAGCCTATGTTTCCCAACATCCGGTGGTGCCCAGTGCCCTTGTTGCTCTTGGATGCTTGTGAGCGTCCGTCTTCTCATCCGTGAGGCTGTTTGGGCACTATTCAAAGTTTGCCTTCAAACACCAGCGTGATCCAGCTAGAATCTAAGAATTTCTGCTTAGTGTGGGGAGAGATAGTGCAGCCTATCTTCTTGACCTTCTTGGAAGCATGTCTATCTACAAGCTCTGCTTTCATCGCATACGGCCATTTCCCGGCCCCGGATTGGCAGCCGCTGGTGGCCGTCGGGAGCGAAAACCTTCTAGCCTTGTCTGTGCGGCACGAGGCTGAGGCCACATGCCCACATATTGTATTCCGTCTGAACTGTTATTGGCATTGTGCTTTTCAAAGTCTTGGTCTAGAGCGTTTACGAACAACTGTATGAAGACGTTATGTATGTCTTCGAGCCTACGGCGGAATAGAAGCGACACGAGATATCAAGTAGTAGAATATTGTGATCTTAAGACTCCTTGCCAATACAGAGATATTTAATGGTATATACTAAGTAATTATTGGCTTTGTACCTAGGTATACGTGAAGGTATAAGCTGGTAGGTAGTCTAAAGGCCGAGAAGATGAAGAATAGGCAACAGTTCAACAAAGAAATCCAACATGGCCGGAGCCCATTAGCATCCCTTGGCCATGACTTTACACCGAATTTCTCTATATTTACGGTGAACCAACTTTACTGACATCAATTACATGTGGCTCAATAGTGTGTTGCTGATAACTACACACGTGCTCTCGATGACTTCAAGGGCAGTTCGTCCTGAAGTTCTCAGATAGATAGAACATCTCAATCTCATGCCCTGCATCAGGAAAGATCCCTGTGTGCTCGTTCAGTTGTCAACCGTGACAGTGCCCCGGAAGAAACAAAATCCAGGTGGCGGCTGCACACCGCTGGAATAACCTCGGACCATTATGGCAGCTAACATTGAGAATTAGGCTGGAATCCAGAACGCAACCTTCGTCAAGGACCTCGGTCCATTGTGTAAGCGTTTCAATGCAGGCCGTAAGACGTCCCCACGTAGCTGGTGCTTATGTGATCGACGGGCTGATCTCCCGCTCGGGTTGCACCACCTCGGCCAGTTGCATTGATCAAATCCACGACGAAAGTTACCATTTTGAGACATGCAACCGTTGCGATGACTACACGAAAAGCTTCCCAAAATCTCCATAGGGAATATTTCAAAGTTGTGAGGGGCATTGGCAAGCTAGGTGTTGGAGCGTCTCGATACTTAAGTAGCCCTTTCATATCAGTGGGCAGGCGGATTATCTGTTCATCTTGTTGCCTGAACATTCCCGAGTCTTTCATTAAAAAACACCTTGCGTCTTTCTCCCGAAAGCTCGGGGAAATGCAATATGACTGCCCTGGTGGGGAAGTTCCCATGTTGGAGTGTCTCTCCCATCTTATCCGTAGCTCAGAGAGCTGTGGAGTCTATCTGCATGATACTACAGGCCCTAGGAAGTCCTTTCTCGGCATCATTCGGTTGAAACAAAACAACCCCGTTCTCGACACCCTGCAAAGTCCCGAAAGTGCTACCTTCCCCCCGATGGTCGCTTATTGTGCAAAATAGCAAAGAGAGTATGGTGCCTATTCAGTCAATGAAATATCTTCGCAAAGCTTGCCATCATGAACCGTGCAGAATTTGTTTTATTCCATGGTGTTCTATCATAGATGCTAATCATGCGAGCAGAAATGGTAAAAAAGAGATTTATCTGATTGAATTGTTGGTGCCGTGGCATGGCTCTCGCCAAGCGAGTATATCTTCGCTCTAATGTTGAATTATAAACCTCCGTCAGTGTTTATGCCAGACCGTTTCTGAGAGAAACGCAGGATTGGGGGAAAGAAAACACAAGATGATTCAAGAGGCTTGGTGTTTGACCACCAAACCCACGACCAGATTGTTATGTGCCCGGAGCTGATTGGTGACGACCAGCCTTCCGCCGTTGTCCCTGGTTGCTTCTATCATGCCAAGTATTTCGGACATCTCCATCTCGCCCTCGCCGGCTAGCTGGCGCATGCAGAGATCGCGAGCACGCGCTACTGTTTCCACCACGGGGCCGCACGGGCTGCCTGGCTCGGGAAGAAGACGTGTAGTCAAGACAAGCAGGATGCTCCCGTTGACTCTCAGGGGGCCCAGATAACTCTGCAACTCAGACTTGATGATAAAGGTGGAAGAGCCTCCCAGTGACGGTCTCGGAGTTACCGTAGGGAGGTGCAGAATGTATACTGCAGCGTCTTTGACATGTTGAGGCATGCCCGCGGAGCGATAGGTGACACTGAGGCTGGTACCACAGCTTGAGGGGCCGTTGATATTTGCCTGCGGGGGGTCCGGTTCCATGAGCCCGTCGTTGCTGTCCCGGCAAGGGTTGTCATTGGTCCCACTGTACGTTGGGTTCTCGTGCAGCGATGGAGTGGGTTGATCGTCACGGATCTGCACGGTGAGCCGAAGGTTGGGGAACCTCTCTGCAAGGGATCGTGCCATCGACGTAGACTTTGCGTTGACCTACCAGATATGGTCAGCCGACTGTCACAAGTAAACAACAATTAAATCCATGGCAGAACATCCCACCTCCACTATGCAAGCGCTTCCAAGATTGGACCAGTTCAGTCCCGAGATCACTTCCAGCACCTGCTCCTCTTGATGCAAGCCCGCTGCATGGCGTTGGTAAGCGGCCCACTGTCGGCGCAGTTTGGGGCGCTCCTGAAGGGCCGATAGGAACGGGCGCACCGCACCCATGGCAGCCTCGGCAGGACCACCATATGCGGCCCCACGGCGTTGCAGGCTTTTGGGCGACTGTAGAGCAGCCGGTACCACCGACTCGGCCATGAAGACGCTGGCGTCAAGAAGAGACTGGTTTGTGAGGAAATAGGCCGATAGCGGCGTGTGTGCCACAGAGCTCGGCTCCTGCTCCTGGAGGAACCCGCGAGTGGCCAACAAGCGGATCACCCTGCTCAGCTGGCTCACCGGAAACCCTGCCAAGTCGGCCAGATCCTTTGTAGGTATGCTCAGATCGAGGGGGATACATGCGAGAATCTGGGACTCTGCAAGCCACTGGAGACACGCGAGAGTCTCGACCTATGCAACTCGATGCCACGTTTTGTCAGCCACCCTGGGTATCGTTTGACGAAAATGACAGATAAAAAGTGACAAGATGAAGCAAGAGTGGGGGTTTGTAACCTGGGCTGCCAATTCCTGGAGCAAGTCGTCTGGCCCACTGATGAGTGCTTTGATGGAAGCAATGCTTCCCAGTATGTTTGCTTTGGCGTTGGGCATCTCTCGGTTCAGTGCCTCAAATGACTGGCTGGTGTGACCGCTTTTCACCAGGTCCGTCACAGCGTTGGAGAGTTGCTCGGTGTGAGATGCTAGCTGGGCCAGACAATCCATTTTCAATCACGGTTTGCGGCACTGGTTTCCCGTACCAGGGAAAATTCAAATATTGAACAGTTACAGCAACCATTAGCATTGAGAGAGCAGTAAGTGTTCATTAAAGCCGCTATATTTATCTCCCATTCAATAGCTTCAATATGTTCTCAAACCCAACCCGTTGAAATATGACCCGACTCAAATTCCAACGACCTCACTTCCGGTCACGGCAGTTTCTTGACCAGAACTCGAATTTGTCCAATGAGAATGGTTGATTTGCAGCCAATCATTTTCAGATGGGAATCAATCAGTAATAGCCATTTTCATCTGACATCGGCAGCTGCACTATTGGAGCGTGTATTCGTGTGCCGTACTTCAGAGTCGCAAGCCAAGCTGCATACCGACTGTTCGGGACCTCGCTAAGACGCGGTAAATGTTGTGGGATGGACATGCAATTTTGGTCCCCTCCCCCGCTCGGTGGTGGGAGGGTGGCGAGCTGAAAACCATCTCACAAGTGATGCCCTACTGGCCATAGATATGTGTTACTGTAATGGTATCATGTGTTTGAACTAGTACTGCTTACGCTCGAGGATTACTGCCTGGACTGGTATCCCATGGGATATTTGGAGCGGTGTGCCTATCTAGGGATACTCAAGCCTCGGCCCTGAGTTCTTGGGAAGGATTGTCTGGATCTGTCCTGATGCTCAGACTGCGCCCTGAGGAGTAGGTGGTCCTCAATGCAGGCTCAACGTGGAGATCAAACGTCGATCTCCAGAACTTACAATTGTCGCTGGGTACCTAGGTAGATCAAAAATCTAATCTGGAAAAATTGGAATGTATGTCGAATTACAACGGGTAGGTTTAGGCGGACCGGAGTGAGTGTCCTGTAACACAGATCAGGAGGGGGACTTCCCCACGTAGGCAATATGTCCTGCGTTCCACCAGCGCCATCTGCTGCTACATTCATTGTGGCCCCGGACCCCCTTTTGAGTGTATTGTTTTCGAACAGGTTTTTTCTGCATTAATCCCAGCACCCCCATTTGAGTGGCTTTCTGTTGCATGTATACATACCCCAGGGTAGCTAATGAGGTTTCATAGCAACAGAGCGGCCATTTTAGTGGCCTAGGCTGCGAGGGCGGTGAAGAATTGGCAGACGGTATGCCCAGTGGTGGTCAATTTCGAGAGCTTCTCGCATGTAAATCCCTTCCCAAAAAATACTTATTGCTTCAAGGATATATAGGCATCAGAACTTGGCTACATGCACATGTCACAAGTGCAATGCCATCGGTACCAAGATATAAATATGACAAGCGACATTTCGCAGTCCTGGTAAGAATGAGTCCAGATATAACGGTTTCAATTTTCGAAGATCCAGAAGCATCTAGACTTTTCCTTATCACTACAGAGCAAGCACATCGTCAATGGCTGGCGTGAAAGGTGGCGTTCGAACGCCAACCGGCGCCGTGGAGCCCTCTCAAGCAGATATAACGACTAAGATCCGCGATAGTTGTCAAGCCTGCTCCACTTCAAAGGTCAAGTGCCCAAAAGAAAGACCGAGATGTTCCAGGTGCAAAAGCCGAAATACTTCATGCCAATACGTTTTTACACGTCGTCCGGGCCGCAGACGACAACCTCACCGGCAATCCAACGACGGTAAGAGCACAAAAGCCAGCTCTAACTTCGGCAACGAGCATAGCCTAAACCAGGGCCTGAAGTCATTCGTCGGGGCTAGCCTTCTGTCGCCCAACACGACACCCTGTGGCGGAAATCACGACTACCTCGATATGTCCCCACAGAGCTTGAGCATTCCTACCACGCCAGGACCAGACTATTTACTTGCTCGAGAGAACTCGGGCGGGATCCCTGGACCTGGAGACGTCGATATATTCTCCTCGTTGGGAACTTTCAATTGCAATGGCAATGACATGGACTTCATCATGTCCGCGATGGATTCTCCATTCGACCTGCCAATCCTAAACAACGGCGGCATACCACAAACACACAATGATATTGGATCGCTACTTCTACCTCCACAAGGGATCAATATCGATCCTCAAGCGTCAGACGTGTCATCCTCGGTATGCACAATAAGTGCCCCAGCTAAGGTACAAACGCACGCACCCGACATACCGACGATTTCGAATCCGATATTTGAAGAGCCACAGCTTATCGAAACGACTCCGAGTGACTGTGGCTGTCTGACTCAATCTATCGACCTTCTGAGGACACTTTCGGCGCAAGCTGACTTGCGGCCCTATCTATCCACTTCAAGTTCCGAGCCCCAGGAGGCTGCAGTTACCCTCACAGACGGCTTCTGTGAATCGGTGCTCACGGAAAACAGACTGTATTTAGAGACTGTCAACGAGAGGCTCACATGCCGGCGTTGCTCAGGGGACAGCTTCCTGCTCGCCGTGCTCTCGATGACCGTCATGAAGATCCTGGAGCGGTACGCCGCAGCCGCACGAGGGCAGTCCAACGACCGCGGGCGCAACGCCGCCCAGCTTGTCCTCAGCGAACTCCACCGAGTGCAAAGACTGGTGAACCATCTCTCGCCGAAGCTCAGAAAATCCCATGGAGGAACACAAGAGGCACCGATTGACCCAGAGCTGTGGGGCTATCAGGGCATGACACAGTGTTGGGACCGAGGGTCTTCTGCCCCCTTTTCAGTCACAACTTTGGGCCAGATGGACAGCGACGTGCGAAAAGGCCTTGGCGCTTTGTCTTCGGAGATCATCAATGGGCTGAGGGAGAACTGATTGGGTACATACTAGTAGGTGTTTCTGGTTGCGCCATGTTCTAGGCGTGAGAACTCAACCGGACATCTCAGGGAGGTCATTACCAGGAGGATTATTACGTGCAAGGTTTCATTCGGTTCTAAAATCGCCCGGGGATATAGCCTAGTGCTTCAGAAAAACCTCCTCCTTCTTCAAGATCTCAGTACTATGAACCATATCACTCTTGGTGTTGTATCGCGATAAATCAATTTTAGCGGAGAGAACTTTGAATAGGGTACCTAGGTAGTCGGCCTGAGCTCAGGCTGCTACCACTGAACAGTGACAAGAGTCTCTCTCGCTTCAACTTTCATATACAAATTTATTAACTTGGGGCCACGTGCGCGTATTGTATTCTCTCTGTACTGTTATTGGCATTATTTTTGAAACATTGAAGCTGGGTCTGGAGCGTTTACCACTGTATGAAGGCGCCACACAGGTTTACATGTATGGGGATTAAAAACGAAACCACTCTTCGTGATCACGATCGTGCCCTTATTGATATGCTGACGTTGGTGTTGGTGTCAACGACTGCCCTGAGAACCTTGTTAACTCAGGGCCTTTGTTCTTTCCGGTTCAAAGGTTAGGCACGTTCAAATTTAGGCACTGCAGACATGGCCTTTCTTGCATTTCAAGGGCATAAATCCTGCCTTGACCCCGTTCACTTCCTTCATCTCAATCCAGCAGAACAAACCCCAACGCATTGCAAACAGTGACAATGCCCGCTGCTGCTAACATGTGGACGAAGATTTGTGTTGTATCGGTACTCATTGTTGTGTCGGTATTCATTTCCATTACGGTTATTCTCTGCGCCGTATTATATCTCGGTGCACAGCCAACAAACACCAGTCAAATACGAGTGCTCCCATTGCACATCTCGTGGTCACACACTTGAGGGCTGGAACACCGCCAGAAGCAGTCCGCATTGTAAGCTCCACCACGGCACATGAGAGTTGTCCACAAGAGGCTGAGTGCTATTGATAAAGACTGACTCGCTTTTATGATCTGCCAATAGATAACCTCTTTCAAGCAGACTTGTCTCGACCCTCAAACAAAGAGGTCTTACCCGCTTGGCACCAAAGGCGGAATCAACAATAGCCCCGACGACACCAATGCAAGAAATCGCCTGGCCGTTCGGTGTGCACACTAGAATTTTACACTGATGGTAGACCCACCCGGCAGAAGGGAATGAACCCACGGCTTCATTGTCAAGATCAAGAATGCAGTAGACAGAAAATACTTCCTGGAGCAAGATCCAGCCTACAAGGCTTTTGTCAGGCGAGCTATTACTCCTGTCGTCGAGGACTTCCTCACATTGGATTTCACTGATGGGACATTTGTGCAAAGTGAATGCGGAATGGTGGGCAATTTGAGACGGAAAATACCTCCCGAGTTCCCCATGGAATGGGCAGTTTACCAGTCTTGCACACGGGTGGGAATCTGCTGGGTATCTCAATCTGTAGTCTTAGGAGCCGGCGTGTACTGCGGTTGATGATATGAACGTTCCCCATTTCTGGTAGAAGGTAGCTACAGTACAGGAAAACACCTAATCTAGCTGCCCGGAAGCATTTAGTCCCAGAAACGCGTCCAAGACACTTCAGGTCGGCCAGTATCAATGATGCTTTCAGATGTGTGCCAACGCCCGTTGCCACTGCAAATTCCCGCTGAAAACTGCAAACTCAACGCCCACCCAGGAACAGAACCCAGCATCTCATCAAATATACACATGAAGTACCATCCTCCCCGATGTCCGCAACACCCAGCCCCAGTTCGTTCCATCTGCCGCTTGATCAATGCCACCCCTTAAAAATGCCAGCGCTCCGCTTCGACAGCCTCCGTGGGATGGATGGAGGTGAACAACTCCAAGCCCTCCCAAAACGAACCGATCCACTCAGTCCTTTTATCCAGAAACTATTCCCAATGCCTTTCAAGGGATTCTTCCCCTGCAGGTGCATATTTCCCACGTCTTGGGTGTGTGACTCCCATCTTGCCCAAGGTGCCGCGCCGGTATAGAGAGAGGTGCACGGGAGAAGACGGACCAAGAAGCGCACAAGCTGAGTGCCTGGTTCGGAAGTTCCAGTGAGTGTCCCCATCTGCCTTGGGTGGCTATCAGAAAGAAGGAAACTGAGATCAGCTGGCAATCTGGACTTATGCACGGATGACTGAAACTTGATCTCGCATGGTGGCAAAAGTTTGGTTGGACGGGCGGGCTTCGCTTCGTGGTCGGCTTGGAGGTAACTGGCTGGTTGCTTTTGACATGAATGGCCTGCCCCGCGTGTGGACGAGCATACATTGAGGTCTCAGGTATCTGCCATACCCTAGCGTAACTTGGGCGACCGTCAGCAAGGAAACTGGGAGCTTCGGGTCAGGACCCAGGATTCAAATCATGCATAGGCAATTTCCATGCAGACGGTCTTTGCATTTTGCAAGCTATGCAACCATGAGGAGGTACCAAAGTGATTATTGATTCATATCCCTAGCGGAATCATCTACCTAAGGAATAAAAGCAAACGCTGTCACGCTAATGTTCAATCCTCGCCGATGTGGCATCATGATCGTCCATCCACCTCGCTTAGTTTTGAGTGCGTTGGGGGTATCAAATACAGGTTTATAAGCGAGCTCTCATGCAAGGGCAACAGTAGCAGCAAGCCCCAAAGACTATCTGACATATCCCGACGCAGAACCTTATCATTATAATCTTTTGCCAAACCAAACTTCGTTCTCTCTCTTCCATTCGTCAATGTCAATGGCTTGCTCTTGCATAGCTTGGAACCCGTTACTTTGGGACGCGTTACCTTGGGACGCGTTACCTTGGGACGCGTTACCTTGGGACCGGCTACCTTGGGACGCGTTACCTTGGGACCCGCTACCTTGGGACCCGCTACCTTGGGACCCGCTACCTTGGGACCCGCTACCTTGGGACCCGCTACCTTGGGACCCGTTACCCTACTTGGCCTCAGCCTGAGCCTGCCTCTCGATGTCATGCTCGGCGCCGCGCTGCTGGGTCTTGCCGGTGTCGTGCTGCTTCTGGTACTCAGCCTGGGCGGCCGTGTTGCCCGTGATGCCGGCGACGGCGCCGCCCACGGTTCCGGAGACGCGGTCTGCGATGCCGGAGCTGAGGTCCGAGAGCTGGCCCTTAGCTTCCTGCTGCTGGCCCTCGAGGTTCTGCTGGCGGCCCTGGGACTTGAGAGACTGTGTGTTGCGGGCTGATGTCAGTATCTCGCTGCTTTGTTCAATGTTGTTGAAGGTGTTTGGTTGGGGAGGCGGGAATGGGGTTGAGTGCAGGGTGACAGCAAGGGGGGCTTACCTCGGATCCAACGAGGTTGCCGACGGTCTCCTTCGCAGATCCGACCGTCTGGTTGTAGCTGCCGGCGGAGCGGTCGGGGTGGTCGGTGGTGGCGCCCGAGGCGGAGACGGTGGCGCCGGGCAGCTTGATGGAGGCCTTGGAGGCGTCGTGCTCGGCCGAGGCCAGGTCCTTCTTGGCTTCGCCCTTGTCCTGGTCGGCGGAGCTGCCAGTAATGGTTCCTACCGCGGACTGGACGGCGCCGGAGACGCTATCAGCGAGGGCCTGGAGGGTGGAGGTGTTGTCCTTGTCGGCAGACATGATGATGATGGTTGGTTTGTTTGGTGGTGAGTCAAGTTGGTCTGTTAGACGAAAAGATTGAAGTGTCAGGTTCTGGGTGTTGATGTTGATGTGGTTGATTGGGAGATGGATGAGTTGTTGACGTGACGGAGGAAGAGGGCGCAGAGCACCTTCTAATATGTAGTCCAGCCAGCCCTGTCCCTTCCTTTTGTGCCCATGCCCATTCACATGCACATGCACTTACGTACCTGCCTACCCACCGCTCTAGTGCCCCTCCTGCCTAGCAGCTCGTGAGACAATCCGTTCCCAGGAGGAAAGCAGTGGGCGCCCGCCTCCCACGCGGAAGGCGGCAATGACGTCAGTTAGGCCAGCCCTTTCAGCGACCAGGGGGGTGACATCACCACCACCCTCGCACACAAACAACAACACCTCTCACAAAACCGCACCACAGCTTTGCGGCTAGTGGCACGAGGGGCAGCCAACCGCCTGCTCTGGATCCGTCACGCCACCGGCTCGCTCTTTGACAGACACGAGGGCCCCTCCTCCTTCTTTTCCCCACGATGGAACGTGGGCCTTGGCCTGGATCCGTCCGACGCGTATCAGATGCCGCCGTAGTGCAAGACACCTACGTAATCGCGCGGAATGACCGACCGTGGTTTTGATGGGCGTGGGATGGAAGGGGGTACTCCTCTAGCAGATTCTCTCCAAATCACGATGATGCCTCGATACACAGCGAGCCGATTTTGCCATGTGACCGACGCACCATGTCCCCTTCAGCACACCTAACCCAGCGACACTTGACAGCGGGAGCTGCGTAGATCATCTTCCTCACCACCCTTGGCAGTCTGACTAGATATCCCTCCCACCACACCTGCCTTCAACTGCCGGCATAGGTGATTTTAGTTGGATCCATCTCACGGGCGGGTGGTTGTTGTTGGCCCGAGCAAGCAACAAGAGGAGCTCGCCAGATTCCGTCACGAGCACACAAAGACATGTCATCCCAGTCATCCTAGCGCAATACAGACCGACGCGCCAATTTTGTTTGTGGTCGTAGCAAGCCATCGCAAAGTATATTTCCCGTGCTTGTACATAACCCGCCTGCCATACATCAGTCAAGAGTGACGTGCTTGCTTGCTTGCTTTCTCGACCGCTCCCGCTTGTTTCATGAAATTTGCCGTAACGCCGCAAAAGTGAAGTTTGTTGACCGTCGACGAAGATGTCCGTCCGCACGTCCGTCCCACCAAAGTCCCGAACCGTGGTATCTCCCAGTACAATTATTTACGACATCCTGAATGAAAGTAGTTTCCCAACCTGCATCACGAGCGCTTGCTTCGGCAAGCAAGCACCAGGTCGCAGGCCATTAATGCTGGCTCCACTGGATGGTGTTGAGGTCGACACCCTCCTGCACCAGCTCCCAGAGCGGGCTTAGCTCGCGCAGGAAGGTCACCCGCTCCTGCACCGCCTTGAGCACGTAGTCGATCTCGCGCTCTGTCGTGAACCGCCCGATGCCGAACCGGATGCTCGAGTGCGCGCTCTCGTCGCTGTTGCCGAGCGCCCTCAGGACGTAGCTGGGCTCCAGCGACGCCGATGTGCACGCGCTGCCGGATGAGAGGGCGATGTCCTTCAGGGCCATGAGGAGCGACTCGCCCTCGACGTAGGCGAAAGACACGTTGACGCAGCCAGGGTAGAATTGGTTCGCGTCGCCGTTCTGGCTGGTGTGCTCCATGGCGAGGAGGCCCTTGAGCAGCTTGTCTGAGAGGTACTTGATGCGCTTCGTGTCATACTATTTGGCATGTCAGTCTTATCCGCGATCGATCGGATTCGAAAAGTGGTAGACAAAGCGTGCGAAGGGGTACCAAATCAGACAGGGTGCTATTTTCAACATGAGATTCCTTGTCACGGGAATTCAGAAAGCCATGCAAGTACAGCATATCATCAGGTGGTAAGGGGTGAACGGGTTGGCGTGCTCGACACTACTTACCGACATCTCTTCGTAGGCGATACGGCACGCCTCTCCGAAGCCGACGACCAACGGCGGCGCCAGGGTACCGCTCCTCAGTCCTCTCTCCTGACCACCACCGCTGATGATAGGGTCGATTCTGACACGAGGCCGTCTCCGGACGTAACAGGCCCCAATGCCCTTGGGCCCATATATCTTGTGCGACGAAATGGACATCAAGTCAATGTTCATGGCGTTGACATCGAGCGGGATCTTGCCGACGGCCTGCGCGGCATCGGTGTGGAAGAAGACCTTGTTCTCCCGGCAGAGCTTGCCGATCTCCGCGACTGGCTGGATGACCCCGATCTCGTTGTTGACAGTCATGATGCTAACAAGTGCCGTCTCGGGCCTGATGGCGGCCTTGAGCTCATCCATGTTGACCAGACCGTTGTCCATGACTGGCAGGTAGGTGACCTCGAAGCCCTCGTCCTGCAGATGCCTGCAGCTGTCCAGCACGCACTTGTGCTCGGTCTGTGTGGTGATGATGTGCTTCTTCTTGCCAGACCGGCCGAAGAACCTTGCCACTCCCTTGATGCTCATGTTATTACTCTCGGTGGCGCCGCTGGTGAAGATGATCTCCTTGGGGTCGGCACCAATGAGCTTTGCGATGTGCCCTCGCGCATCCTCGACTGCCTTCTCGCTCTCCCAGCCGTAGGCGTGTGTTCGGGAGTGTGGGTTACCGAATACGTTGACATAGAAAGGGAGCATCGCATCGAGCACACGGGGGTCAACCGGCGTGGTGGCTTGCATGTCGAGATATATCGGCCGTTGACCCTCATCCATCAATGTGGCTTCCTTCAGGACCTCTGTTCGGGGTTAGTCTACCATCCGAGGCGAACACCGACAGATCCGAGCCTCTTTCTTACCTGCCATGGGACTGACGAGCATGTTCCCATCCTGCTGCCCGCTCATCGCCAGTCCTGAGTTCTGCAGGGCCGACTTGTCCAGCCGTATGGCAGTCTCAATCTTGGGCTCTGCCACCTGTGCATTGTCTCTCTTAGATTCGGTGACATAGCATCGCCTTGGTGCTGCAGTCGCCTGTGGGAGAGCTGTCGCCACCTGGGGAGTCCGTGACGCCCTTCGCAGGGAGGCTGATAATGATGTTTTCTTGGAGGTCAGGCGGGATGCCTGCCTCAATGCCGATGATCCAATACCGGACATGACGGGCTGTGGGTGTGATGTTTTAGGTAGAGGAGGTGGGCTTGTGGAAAGAAAAAGGATGGAGGGGAGCTCGGAGGTGCTCCATCTGATAATTTTCTCTGCACGGCCGCTTCCTGATGATTCAGTCGGATGGCGGCAATTCCTCGGTGATCGGACCTAAGATCTGATAAACCGAAGCGTGTGAGTGGTTGAAACGGTCGGTTGGGCAAGCAGTGTGGGGTCCACCGTACTGGGCAAGGTCCCACTCTAGCCGTGTTGGTCTTTTCAGCGCCCGCATTGCCTGCATTCGTGTACGGAACATCTGCGAGCTTGTGGGAGAGTTCAGCGAAACCGGCTGCTCGGACCCGCCGACTGCCCACGGGAAGAATTTGTGCGAGGAGAGCTCTCACGGTACTCCGTATACATAGTAATGCGAAATATGGGATGATGCACAACTGCATGCATCGTCATTTGATGTGATTGCCATTTATTTAGACCAGCAAATATTAGAGATTGGCCCTCAGGATTGCACTGGCAAAGGAATGCTACCGAGAGGACCCCATCAAAACGGTACGGTAGCTGCACGGTTGCACGGCACAGCCAGCCAGTCACATGTGCGGTGGCCCGTAGCCAGAGGGTACGTACCTATACGTCGGACAGGAACGAGCTCTTAGTGTACCTAGGTACGGAGTACAGTGGGAAGGCGATGACGCATGTCCGCCTCTGCCACCGCGCCCCACCGTCTGGGCACTGACGTTTTTGGTCGTGGCCGGGGCGTGGCAGTGAAGAGAAGCTGCTGGACGGACGAACAAGAAGACCTGACTGGACTTGGACTGGGCCTGACTTGGCCGAAGTTTGGATGAGGATACCCAGCGTCACCACCAACTCTCAATTACACTCCAGATCCCCTACAGAACACAGATACACCAACTCATCTTTTTTCTGTGCCCCCCCCTGAGACATCTGCGACCACTGCGACCACCTACAGAGCACCGACGCCGTCCCAAGAGACCCGCCAACGCCGCAAGCAACTCGAACCCGACGATCCCGCGCGACCTCGGCTCCGATCTCTTTTCGACGGGACCCTCATCTGACCCGTTCCCTGGACCTGCTCCCGGACTGGCGATGCGCTACGTCCTTGGCCACAGCCCAAGATCCTGAGGAGGGAGCAGCGAGCTGACGGGTGCCGGCACAGCCACATTGCTCGAGTGCCGTCACCACATTCCTTTTTCTGACTGCCGCAAAGTCATCATTTGCAACTTGCAAGACAGCCACCACCAACAACACCAACAAGAAGCATCATCACCTCCGCGGGCCACTCACGCTGCGTCCCCCATTCAACGCACCCACTTCATCCACCGCATCCACCGTACCCACCAGCATCAACACCCTCACTGCGATCGTCACCACCCACAGCAGAACCCCACCACCACAACCACCACCAACCCTACTACGGATCCTACGTACACCTACCACAGTAGACCTCTACCCTCCGCCATCCACCTGATCGCAAAGCCTGCATAGACATAGTGCGAGGCAGGCGCACTAATACCAGCAACAATGAGCTTTCGGGGGTTCTCAAAGAGCATCACGCGGGTCAGTGATGCCCACGACCGACTCACCATTCGCATCCCAGCCCCTTTCCCCCTTCCCCCTTCCCTCAAGTCGCTGACAGGTGCACCCGGTAGGCACCGCAAACGTTCAAGCACAAGTTCAACATTGGAGAACATACCAAGGATGCCGTCTACATCGACTCGGAACGACGCTTCCAGGAGTTGGAGACCGAGACCAAGAAGCTCCACGATGAGAGTAAAAAGTACTTCGAGGCCATCAACACCATGCTGAGCCACCAGATCGAGTTTTCCAAAGCAATAGCCGAGATCTACAAGCCCATCAGCGGCAGGATGTCCGACCCAGACTCGCTGGTCGTCCACGCGAATCCCGAGGGCATCCAGGCATGCGAAGAGTACGAGGCCGTCGTCAAGGACCTGCAGGAAACCCTGGCGCCCGAGTTGGAGATGATAGAGAGCAGGGTCATCCGACCCGCCAACGAGCTGACAGACGTCATCAAGATCATCCGCAAGCAGATCGTAAAGCGAGAGCACAAGAAGCTGGACTACGACAGACACCGGGCGACCCTCAAGAAGCTGCAGGACAAGAAGGACAAGTCGATCAAGGACGAGAAGGCAATGTGGAAGGCCGAGAACGACGTGGAGGCGGCCACCCAGGAGTACAACTACTTCAACGACCTCCTAAAGGACGAGCTGCCAAAGTTGTTCATGCTGGAGGCCGAGTTTATCAAGCCCCTGTTCCAGAGCTTCTACTACATGCAGTTGAACATTTTCTACACGCTCCACGAGCGAATGCAGCGCTGCGACATTGGGTACTTCGACCTGACCCTTGACATCGAGGAGGCCTTCAACCAGAAGCGGGGCGACATCCAAGAGCAGGCCGAGAAGCTGTCCATAGTCAAGTTCAAGTCGACAGGGCAGAGGAGACCGCCCAAGTACCAGCCGAAGCCAACAGCGCTCCTCGAAGGGAACCGACCGGCCGGCCTCCTGACCCAGGGCCCAGCAAGCCCGACGCCCTCGACGTCAACGGCCGCAGCCCCATCAGTACTCAACAACGCGTCGTCCGGTCTGGGCTCCGCGACGCCGGGGCTCGGGTCAGCGACGCCAGGTCTCGCCTCCCCCTCCGCCGTGTCCCCGGCCAAGATGGGATTCCACCAGCGCGCACAGAGCGTGGAGAACCCACCCCCGCCCTACTCGGCCGGGCCGACCTCCCCGCCGCTGACGAGCCCCAAGTCGGCCTCCCTGGCCGCGGCGGTCGCCGCCAAGTCGAAGCCTCCGCCCCCGAAGCCTAAGCCTAGTAGGTTGAGTGCCACGCCGGCGGCCGAGACGGTGACGGCGCTGTATGACTACTCGGCACAGGCAGAAGGGGACCTGAGCTTCCGGGCCGGAGAAGTTATTGAGATTGTCAGCAGGACGCAGAACGAGAATGAGTGGTGGATTGGAAAGCTCCAGGGAAAGCAGGGGCAGTTCCCAGGTCAGTACAACAAGAGTCTCGCCTCACTCTTCAGAGGGGTTCCCAGCGGATTAAGAACTGACATGTGTGTTTTGTTTTAGGCAACTACGTCCAGCTGAATTAAGTGGATGACCCAAATTCCGGGTTGGTTAGAAGCCCTATGTCCGCTCCCCTTCGAGGATATGAAGGGGCTCAGAGCATCGCGGAAGTAATTGGATTGACGGGCGACCGACGGACGAACCAATCGTTTTTGTATGGAGTACAGAAGAGGATAAAGCATACAAGGGTGTCCTTACGCAATACCCCGCAAGTGCAGTTTTGCCTTTTTTTGCCGTGTCTTCTTCTCATTTCTTTTTCTGGTTCCTCGCTGTCAGCGGCGTTTGGTTAAGAGAAGGTGGGAGGGGAAATAAGAAGCATTTTTCATGGTGGTATCTGCTTTAGGCCCGCCCAGCCTGCCAGCCTGCCTACACTCACTCGCTCACTCACTCACTCACTCACTCCACCACTACCCTACTACTCTTGTGATCTTGCTTCGGCTGCCCAGTGTGTGTGGGCGTGGGGGAAAGGTGGGACTTCCTAGTCGTGGGCAGGGCATGGAAGAAGGGGGACGGGGAAGTAGGCGGGCTCGGCGTGTATTGGTCCACCTTGTAGATAGGGCGAGGCGCGATAGGTTGCGCTGGGTGAGGCTCACGTGGGGGAGGATCACCATCACCCTGTCGACCTCCCTATCTAGGTACCTACCTGAGGCACCGAGGACAATCCATTCACGGCGATGTGTTGCCGCAAAGAAACTACCGTCTGCCACCCACACCTCCTCCTTGTTCGCGTATCTGGTCCCTCCCTAGCACCCACCTGCCCACCCTTCCTCGTCCTCACCCCACGACGGGGCGGGTGACAGCCTTATTGTGTCCGTGTGTAGTCGGCCGGTGTAAAGGATCAGCCGAGGAGATTGTCAATATGGGGCAAACTCACCTGCAGGGACGCGGTCGGTGGATGGATGGGGGTGCCAGCGGCCTGGCCTCCCCTCGGGGCTCTCGGGGCCATGGCTCTTTTGGCCCCAGCATTGGCAATAGGCCCAGACCGAGAGCACCGGGCGAAGAAGCGGCACGGGACCTGAAGCCGCTGCCCGTTGGTGGATTCGGCATGCGCCAGCCAGCCCAGGAGGCCTTGATATATCCGCCCCCAAGTTGCGGGGCCAACACATACTATGTAGGTAGGCGCTTTTTCGTGTTGTACATGTGCATGCGTTGCATGCATATACATACACATCCACATCTACATCCACATATATAGCCGGCTTGTGAATGGGGAAGTTGGAGTAGAGCCCTACATACATACAGCCTCGTGACGATGGTGACGGTTTAACACGGCCGCGATGATCGTTGAATTCCTCGGGCTTTAGGGTGGGCTCCCCGGGGGTCCCGTGTCGTTCGTTGGTGATGGGCCGGGGCGCCGGTGGTGAGATTATGTCCGCGGAGGGACACAGAGGTTGCGGCTCCGTGGGTGGGTCAATTGATTGTGATCGTGTAGCTTTACATAATTATCGACACTTTGGAGACCACCAGGTGGTTACCCCGACATCTATCTGGGAAGGGATGTGTGCGTGAAGGTGCAGCAGGGAAGTGTGGTCCTCTGTCTAGTCCTCGGTATCGCGAGCCTTGTTACCGTGGAGATGATCCATCCGCCCATCCATCCGTCAAGACGATCGGACGAACACCTACCCTCCCCACACGCGGACAGAGCATCACACTCGGAGGACATGGGTCGGGAGCTCCTCGCCCACCTGGCAATGGAGAGCCTCAAAGAGTCCGTCGGCACGTTGGTTTTACCCCCCCCCCCCGCATCGGTACCCATCTCACCGCGTCAAAAAACAAAACGCTCGCCCGGGGGGGGGGAGGGTGGTGGTGGCCTGTCAACAAGGTTTCGTCAGAATTCACTTGCAGAGGCACACACACACACACACACACACAAGACGGGCAACGGTTTTTTTGTTGGTAAGCAAGAAGAATTTATTTTTAGCCCCCACCCCAATCACCACAGCCAACACAACCGACAAGCAAAAAACGCACTTTTCCCCTTCCTCCCCGGAGAAAAGAAAAACGTGCCAGATAGATAGATGCCCCGAGAGGGAAAACGGAGGGTGCGCGGACCACCACCAAGGCAGGGCGAGGCGACCTCGGGACACCCCACCCATCTCGGATCAGATAGACATACACACATACATACATACATAAGGCTGCCGGCTGGCTGCCTTACACCCACCCTACAGGGAGCCGGATCCTTCCAAAGGGGTTGGAGGGGGCAGGGGCGCGGCGTGCCGGAGTCAACCTTGCGCCCCCGCACAAATCTGCCTCGTCCCGCCCGGGAAGGGGGAAATAAAAAAAAGAGGAGTGCTTGTCTTGTCTTACACCGGGGGGGGGGGGGCTTGGATGGGGGCCGGGCCCAGAGGGAGGCGTCTCTTATCACACGCTGGCATGGCATGGCATGGCGGCGGCCGACATCACGCATACGGGCAGGCAGGCGGGCAGGCAAGGCAAGGCAAGGCAGGCTGCGTACCGTGCCGTACCCTGATATGGACACCGGGCCGGTGGCAGGGGTGGTGGTGGTGGTGGTGGTGTGTTTCCCGGAGTTATGTGTGTAGATCTTTACTTTACTTTTAGAATACGAAATTTTGGATTGGAATTAGAATTGTCCAGGCGCTTCGTGTTGGGGCTGGGGCCGTTTTTTTTTTTTTTTTTTTTTTTTTTTGAGAGAGAGAGAGAGAGAGATGTTGAGACTCTTGTGCGTCGAGTGGTTGGGGAATTTTCTAGGCGCGGATAATGAATGCTGACGGCATTCGGACGAGGCTTGCGGGAGGGTTGGATCTGGCGTGTTTGTTGCTCTCGGTTATGCCCGAATAAGATTACATGGTGTTATTTCTTGCCATACGACGGCTGCTTGGCCAGCTACCCTTGAATCTTTTCACCGTATACAGTAGGTAAGTACATGGGGGGAAGAGGAGAAAAAAAGACAGAGATAGATAAATGACACGATGATGATGACGAGCATAGCCCGGCGACGGGTAATGAATGACCAGAAGGGTAATCCATCCGGCGAAAAACCATGCTGCTTCCCTGTCCCCCTCGTCAGGTTGGCAACGTCCCTGCTGCACGCCCTGTTCCACTGCATGGCCATCTGTCCTGCTGTCTTGTGCACATCTGAACCATTCATTGATACGGGGCGTGTGTGTGGTAGGTAGGTAGGTAGGTAGGTATGTAGGTATGTAGGGCGGAAGACAGTGGGTGTATGTATGGTATGCCACTGTCTCATCCCCATCCCCATTGCATGATCCCGTGTGTGTGTGTGTGCTAGCCTGCATGTCTTGATCTCCTTCCACTCTGCTGCATCCTCCTCGGGCTTGTGAAGTCTGGAAGGGAGTTGAACCCGACCCCGATCTCCCGCCACATGGCCATCCCCGTGCTCGCCCACTGGCATCCAGGCTGTTGTTGCCTCGTCGGTATTATTGCTGCAGGTTGTAGTTGTGCTTCGCGAGGCTGCTGCTGCTGCTGTGACGAAGACGCGCCGCCGCAGCCCGAGCCGCTGGGCGCCCCATCATCGTCTGCTGCCGGGGCGGAATAATGCGACGAGAACGAGGAGAATGCCTGTCCCGTCGTGCTGAACGAGTCGCCGACACCTGCCCCCCCGGGCATCGGCATTGACCCTGCATCTGCACCTGCACCTGAGTCCGCGGCTGCGTCTCGTTCCGGCGTCCTCGTTCCGTCGAGATCACCAGAAGCACCACCATCACCACTAGCACCACCGTTATCACCTCCATGCCACACGGCTGCAGCATCGGTGGCAGGTGCCTTGCCCTTGCCCTTACCCCCATTCTCCCCACCGGTGACCTCCACGGGCCAGTCAAATGTGGCCTCGGGCGTCCAGCCGGCGCAGTAGTCAGGCTGGTGAGGCGGCGAGGGAACCGACTCGTTATCGTCTGTATCCACCGGTAGCGGCGATGCGGAAACCTGCTGCTGCTGCTTGGCCTTGCCCTTGCCCGCCTCGTCGTGACGCACTGCGTCCTCGCCGACTGCCCCGGGCGTCCAATGATCAATGCCCGCCATGTCCTCATCTTCCCCCTCGTGACCAGATTCGTAGCCACTGTCGCGACGCGCACATTCGTCCCCCCACTCCTTTAAGCCCGGCAGGCGGATGCTGGGGTCGAAGCTGACAAACACGAGCGCCTGCATGCCGCCATCTCGGCCGGGCCCGCCAGCCGTGGAGTAGACGAGCGACCGCTCGTCCCACGCCCCCTTGACGGGTCCAGGATGCCCGGGGGGGTTGACGACACGGCATAGTTCTGCCAGGAGGCCGGAGTCGACGCGTGCGGCCTCAGGCGAGCCGGCTGCCGGTGGCCAGAAAGTAATGTCGTTGCGGGCGCCAGACTCGTACAACCGGGCGGTACGGATCATGTGCGGTTGGGTCAGATCGCTGGCAACGGGGTCCGCTAGGATGGCTGTTGCGGGACGCAGCGTGCGACAACCGGCCCGGAGGCGAAGGCGCCGGGTCGAGTCTTGAGAGCTGTCGCAGTCCGGGTCATCGTCGACCAGGTCAAGGAACGTCTGGCTCGCAGGGTGATAAGAACGTATGAAGCATTTGCTCAGTGTGAACATGAGCGCCGTCGAGGCGTCATCTCCCGTGTGAGTGTTGAAAGGACAGCGGATGCGGGGAGGAGGCGGGCTGGGCGGTAGGTCGTAGTTGGTGTGTGGCCTGACCTCCGGGACGGTGTCGGTGGTCGGGTTAATGATTATGCCACCGCCGACGCTGCTAGACCCTGGGTCTCTGGGGTCACCATCCTCGTCTTCTGAGCCGGCCGCTTGTCCCGGGAAGACCAATGGGGTCGTGTAGTAGTTGCGCCGCCCGGGGCTCCCAGCCAGCCACTCCTTTCGGGACTCGAGCACCTGCAGCTGCTTCGGGTCGCGCTCATCCCGGAGAAGGCGGATGAAGGACCATCGGTCGTCGATCGGCCCCTCCGCATGCTGTCTTCGCCACATCTTATCCTTGACAGACCTCTCGGTCGTCTTGGGTTTGGGCGCTGCGACGGGGAACCTGAAGCAGTGGTAGTGTGAGGTCCAGTCGACCTCGTCGACCTCGAAGCTTGTCTGGTTGGAGAGGCCATAGAACTTGCCATCAATTATCTCGAAGGCGATGGACTGTCCAATGTCGGACCCTACCATGTCTAGGAGGTGAACCTTTTGGTCGAACCAGCGGCCGCCATGGATGTCGTAGCCCATGAGAACCCAACGGCGGAACCCATCGTCGCCGAACTCAGAATGAGTCCCAAAATACAGATAGTTCTGGTCATTTCGAACAAAGATCTTGTAGGTTGTGTCCAGGTTCAGGGTGGTCAACAACTTCTGCTCGCTGACGCTCAAGACGACCAGCCAGCTCTCGACGGCGGGCCTACAGTGGGTGTAGAGGCACGACACGATGCCTTCTGCATAGTGGAGAATCTGAAACTTGTACTTCCGGGCGCCCCTTGACTCGGCGATTGCCTCGTCCAATAGGGCCCTGACCTGTATGATGGTTTCTTGACCGCTAGACTTGTGTAAATCCAGGACTCGCAGGGTTCTGTCTGACATGTGACACAGTGTCCCGTTGACGTAAATCCAAGACTCGGCCACGGCAACGATGGCTGCTGTGAAGGGGGCAGCGGAGCGTATGGCCTGCCGCCTCTTGTACAGCCTCCGCAGAGCGGCGGCATAGTTGCCAGTGGATATTGCTTCTTTGGCCTCGGGGGTTCCAGGTGCCCTTGACTGCGCCACACAACACACTCGTCAGCTAGACTTTTCTTGGTAACCAGGTGACGGTGCTGGCAGGTGGCGACCACAAGCCAGAGCGTCGGACCCCCCGATTGGGCCCGGGAATTCTTGGGGGAAAGGTTTGGATGTCGTTGGACAGGACAGACAGTACCTCTAGGATCGCCCGGCACACCCTGTCCTCCCTGATCAGGTAGCTGAAGCGGGGCGAGAGGCTCAAGTTGAAGACGTCGTCCAGTTCCAACTCTTGTACAATGAGGTGGATAATTTCATATGGGAGTTTGCTGAGCGACATGACCAACCTTCTCTCAGTACCTATACGATCTGGGCCAGCCTGGCCATAGTATCTCTGCCGTATGTCGGGAGTGGGTGCCAGTGGGCCCAGGGTGTAGTCTGGGAGCCCAATGAAGGTGCAAAGACCCAAAGTGTACCTTGAGGAGAGACGTAGTAGGTAGGCGTTTGGCTTTGGGATAGATGCATCGAAAAATGGAGCAGCCTGATATTGAGGGACAGAGAGAGCTTTCATATAGCCATGGAAAGAGGGGGGTTGCATGTGCAGCCAGCCAGCCAGAGCCTTGTCTGCGGTCTGTACCTCTCACACCTCCGTCCTTAGGGCCCCCAACGGTGGGAGTGCTAAGTCTGGCAAATATACTGTCTTGAATTAACGCGAGTTGAAGAGAAATTCAGACATATGATGGTTGTACACAGTACTGGTAGCAATAAATTGGACATTTCGTACAACGACAAGAAGGAATGCACCCAGGACGGTTGGTCTTACTCTTGGGTGAGCTGTGCTGACGGAGAGCAGGTAGGTACCCAAGTACCCAGGTACTCGCTACTCTGTGCGCTAATGAAGGGGCCAGGTACAGGTTCCATGAGTTGGGCTCAATCCACCAACGGTGAGTGCCTCTCTCGTCCCCATCTCGTGGAGAGAATTGGTGCTGAGTCAGTTGAGCCGCACGCTCTGGAACTGATGGAACAAGGAGCTAGGTGGGACATTGCGAAGTTGGATTTGTGAGGCTCTGCTGTGGAGCCAATTCGGCCTTTGAGAAATGTGGTGTGGGCGCTCCAGGGATGATCCTATCCAACAGGCCGCCAAGGCTGGCAAGAATGGGAAGGCTATCATCAGCCTTTGGAGGAAAGGGCGTCTGCCCCGGTACGCAGAAGACGGCGCAGAGTCAGGGCCTCAGAAATAGGCGGGAGAGAGGTCAGCTCTCCAGATGGGGCTTGGGGATGATGAGGGTGTGTTCGGGGGTGGGGCCTTGGGGGTGGGACCTGGGTCGGCAATGTCAGCCAATCACGCTGATCTTCACACATCTGCCTGACCTCGAGTGACCTCGAGTGACCTCTGCAGAGCCGCATACCATCATAGCATTGGCGCGACACCCGGCTGCACCAGTGATTTCCAGGCCCAGCCATTCCTGCCATTGTCGAGTTAGCGTGGTTACTGTGTAGCAGAACCATGCAACCCTCGCCTTCCATCACACTCTCACACTCGCCTAGCTGATGGCAACATCGAATTCTGAGTTAGGTAGGTACGGGGTACACACTCACCGTGGTAGTCAGCCGCTCTGCCGCCCCTTCCACCTTATTTTCTTTAGAGCCGCAAAATCACCCCGCCCCTATTCCTCGTCCATTTCGTTCGTGTTGCCGTGTCGCCTCGAACAGAACAAGTTGCCATCGTGCCAGCACCTGCCACCCTGGTCTTTCCCACCCTCCAGCCCCCTCCCCCCTCAGCTGGCCAGAACATGGCACTGCCGGTCGTCATTGGTGTCAGACCTCATTTCGTTTGTCGCGCAGAGCCTCAATTTTCAGTCAACCTCGAGCCCTGGTCCTTGTTTCTGCTGGGATCCCACGGGAGTCAGACCTCCGCTTGGGAATGTTTGCGTGCCTGTGCCAGGAACTGAGCCTCATGGCCTCTCGACTTTCCACCGCCTGCTTCGTTCCTGGCCCTATTGGTTGCCTCGCCGGTATTTCCCACGATAGAGGGCGACAGCATCCCATCTTGGGTCTTATCAAACAAGCCAAAGAGCCGCGTCAGTCGGTGGCTGGCTGCACACGGAAACAACACGTCGAATTTCGTCCGACATCCACAACTTTCCCCTTCAGCTACGGCCCGAGGCCACCCTACACAAGGCTATGCGACCCCCAACATCGATAGCAGAGTGCAACATGGGGCACGCCCACCGCCTGTGACCTATCATCGTTTTTCAGTGGCACAGCACCTGGAACCGTTCGACACGAGTCCAACATGTGCCCGCCTCGGTGGGAACCACCCGCAATCTAGCGGAGACACAGGGATTTATCCTGTCGGGCAACAGACGGGCCACGAGGGGCCACGAGAGGGTCATCAGCAGGCTCTCGCGGCTTGACAAGACATCGCTGCCGAATCTAGCCCGTTGCAAGGATCATCGGCGCTGGTATGACTGCTCCACCTCGACCTTACCGTCTGCGGATGGCTCTAGGCAGCAACCATTGCCCTTCAGAGCCTCCCCGAACCTACTATCACCGCCACCAACCGGGCCGAGATGGGAAATGATGGGCTGGAGCCATCGTATTGCGGGGAAGAGGCCACTTTCGCTTGCAGACGGTCAGACGACGTTCAACGCGTGCGTCCTGCATTCCATCGCTCACGCTCAGATGGCCAGAATCTGCCTCGCGGGACCGGCAAGATGGAGAACTCAACTAACTTTTCCAGTAGAAAAGTGGGACACGACGACGCTGGGCCACCATCGTGCTGATGGATTCACGCCGTCGATTTCTACAGCCTGCATGTTGGAGCTTCTAGCGGGGTGTCCAGGTCTCGGGGCTGACACCCGGGGGCCGCCATCATCGATTAATCAGTTACTGTGCACCTGCTCAGTCCCACCCTCCATATGCCGACTACGCTGGCAAGTGCAGATTTCTGCGAGCACGATCTGAATGGGAAATTCGGTGCGAACACGAAGGCCTGCCCCGTCCTTGTCTGGCCTAACGGCGTTGAGGAAAAGCCCCGGCTAGAGATACCACGAGCTCCTCAAGGTCCGTTTTCGTCGAGTGACCATCGATAGATATGCCGACACAGTACAAAGTGCGCCTTGGCTCGCGAAAGCACACATATCTCACCTATGACACACACACACACGGCAATTCACGGTGCACGAGCCGGCAGCTTACCACAATGTGTTGATCTGCATGGCATCAGCAATCTAGCCTTCTTGCCGTCATTCATAAACTTTTGTGCACATTGATCTAATCCGAACTTTGAAGGGCTTCCCAGGAGTGACGCACTCCGGCCGTAGAGGCCAGCCTGCCAAATGGTGGTTTCTCCTCGGAAGCCGACTGACTACCAGCAACACTTCCGTCCTGCACAAATTTCTGCAACAGCAATATTCTCGGAGTTGAGCAGACCTTTGGGGGCCCTACCAAGTTTTCAAGCAACTAATGTGTTCCAGGGCCGTACAGCCAGTGTTCTTAGAGCTCAACAGGGCAACTTGGCCTGCACTATGGACACCATTCCCCTCTGCTTCAAGGAAAAGGAGAGCGCCCCCCTCCCCTAGATCTCCCAACTGCAGCCGTGGATGGGGTCAATGCCGCCCTGTTCGCCTCCAGCCGCGGTATACACCGCGGCAGAGACGTCGATGTGGTCAGGACCACAACCCGTACACTTGTCGACAACCTGGGCTGTTACGGTCCCACTCTTGCACCTGATGGTGATTGAGCGAGGCGAGCAGTCGGCCGGCAGCAGCGAGGGCTGGACGGCCACAAACAAACTATCTGTGACGTACTCCTGGCCGCAGGCCGAAAGGGCACCGGCGTTGCTGATCTCCCCTATGGGAGTGATGTAGCCGCTGAAGCTGTCTCGCTCGTTGAACGGCCTTGCCGCTGCCGTGATGGCCAGGGCAGCAAGGTACGTGAGTCCGGAGGTGGCGGTGAGCCTCATTTTGAGGGCTTATGGTTTCACTTGTCTTTCACTCTTCTTGATATGGTAATGACCAGCGCCTGGCTGTCTTGGAAGTGTCCAAACGAACGACTGGCAATGAGAGTATTGGTATCGAGGATGCGTGCTACCGAATCTGTTTGCTTCTCAGGATCGGTAGGCTCGCATCGTGGATATATACTACGGCCTCTCGCCACCAACGTCCATATTATTTGGCGCCATAGGTCATCATCGTGGCTCGAGGCCATGTTCATCTACTCATTCCCTCGTACCACCATGTTCATTTTCGACAGCGTCTGGTCCCTGTCTATTCCGCTGTGTCTTGTTCTGCGACTGCTTGGGGCCCCGCAGATGTTGGGCTGGTGTACTGGGTAAGAGTTGCGTGTGAAGCGCCTCGTCAAGCCATGCAATCAACTAGCGACGTGGCTTTCAGATGCTGCTGGAGGCGGTTTCAGGAGTCAGCCGTTGTCAACTCGACCCCAAGTTCCACCACTGACATGGAATGATGTCCTGACCGCCTGGGGCGGGCCAGCGTCTGTCTGCTTTTTGCCCGCTCACGATGCCCGTCTAGCGGTGTTTTTGAGCTTGAAGCACAAAATCCTTCTATTCGCGCGACACAAGATCTACCCCCGGGCCACCAGTTTGTCTGAGAGGCGAAGAGAGGTAAGCCGCAGTTCGTTTTTAGGCCTGGCTCTGCCTAACCCCGACTGCGGGACGTGATTCTGATCCTGAACTTGGGAGGACAGGCGATGCAGAACCGAACTTGACCGGCCAGCTAAGTAGCTACATTGGGCCGTCATTTTGGGGATATCAAAGGCCAAACCCCCGAGAAAGGAGGTGACTCCTGCTCACGGCGAACCCACACCACCCTATCTTCATGCCGCTGAGATAATCGAGCTTACTGCCGGCGATCTCTTATCTACGGGCCGTCGTATAAGCTTAGTCATGTCAAACCCCGATGAGGCGAAAGCGCGGCGGCTTTCGGCTCGTCAAATCGACGCCCTTGCCCCCCTTTGACTACTACAGCGACGTGCTCACGTGCAATTCTTCCGGCGTGCAGAATAAGCACTTGGTTATTTGTCTCACTTTTTCTCGCTTATCGACGTGAAACCTTGGACCATTGACTGAATTCATGAAATAGCCGGCATGGCGACAGAAGCAAGAGTTGACCTCAATGCACCGTTCACGAGTGACCGTATCCTGGAGGTTCGCTCGGGAAAGTTGAAAAAGTACAAGGGACTCAACATCGAGTCTGGGATTGACAAATCCTTGCTAGATGGGCCCGTGCATGTCAACAGGCTCGGCATAGAAGGTGACGAGCATGATCTTACTTTCCACGGGGGGCCAGACAAGGCTATCCACGGTTGTGAGTTGGGCACTCAAACGTGCTGCTTTTTTACTCTTTCCATGGTCATATTCATTTCGCTTTGCTTCCGCCGTTGGGCACAAAAAGTGTGCTTCCCAATCAATATACAGGTCGCTTTTTTACATACATACATATATGCCCAAACACACCACCAGACGCAGCCCAGTCACATCACACGACACCATGCTGACCTTGCCTAATATCACTAGATTGCTGCAGCCACTACCCAACCTGGCAATCTGAGTTCTCCTCCGCAGCTTCTCGGTTTGTTCCGGGCGGCTTTGGCGAGAACCTGGTCACGCGGTACATGAACGAACGAAATGTTTGCATCGGTGATATCATGACTGTGGGGAGGGCCGGCGCCAATGGTGACGGCAAGGCGGGCGAAGAAGGGTCTGGGCTCCTCCTGCAGGTCAGCCTGCCCCGCCAGCCCTGCTTCAAGCTGAACCACCGCTTCGAGCTCAAGGGCTTCGCGCCCAACACGTGGCGCCTGAGCCGTACAGGCTGGTACTACCGCGTCCTGCGCGAGGGCACCGTCGCCGCCGGCGATGAGATCCGCCTGGTCGAGCGGCCCCACCCGCGCTGGACCATCGAGCGCATCCAGGAGTACCTGCACCGCAACACCACCGACCTCGCCGCCACGGAGGAGCTGGCCGCGATCCCCGAGTTTGGCAAGGAGTGCCACGACGCCTTTGTCGCCAGGGCCGCGAAGCTCAGGGCCAAGGCCAGGCGGGAGCAGGGCTTAGAAGCAGACGAGGAAGAAGGCGACCCGGCCCAGTGGAGGGACTTCCGGATCGCGGAGAAGAAGCCCCAGACGGGCCGGATCACCTCCTTCGTCCTCGAGGCCGTGAACCCCTCGCCCAAGCCCGAGGACGTCGGCTACGGCGCGCACGCCAAGGTCCGCATCGCGGTCCCCGGGCGTGCGGAGCCCCTCGTCCGCGCGTACTCGATCGTGGGCGGCGACAGGAACCGCTTCGAGCTGGGCGTGGCCCTGGAGCCCGAGTCCCGCGGCGCGTCGCGGCACCTGCACCACACCGCGGCGGTGGGGGACGCCGTGCAGGTCGGCCGCATCACGGGGATGAAGGTGGTGACGTCGTGCAGCAGCCACGTGTTCGTCGCCGGCGGGGTGGGGATCACGGCGTTCCTGACGCTCCTCGAGGGGCTGCGGCGGTTCAACTTTGACGCGCAGCTGCACTACGCCGTGCGCAGCGCCGCGGACGACCTCCCCTTTGCGGGGCGCGTGCGGGCCCTGGGCGACGGGGTGGTCACCGTCTACGACGCGTCGGCGGGCCAGCGGCTCAGCATCGCGGGCATCATCGGGGCCATGCCGTGGAACTCGCGCCTTTACTTTTGCGGCCCGCCGCGCATGATGGCCGAGGCGGCGGCGGAGGCGCGCGCCGCGGGGCTGCCCGCGGACGAGGTGCACTTTGAGGCGTTCCAGGCCGGCAGTGCTGGTGAGGACCACGACCACCCCTTTGAGGCTGTCGTTGCGAACCGCGGCGGCGCCGTGGTCCCCGTCGGCGGCGGCGAGACCCTGCTTGAGGCACTGCAGCGCCGGTTCGGCGTGGGTGCGGTCCCTTCTTCGTGTGAGGTGGGGAACTGCGGGACGTGTGTGGTCAGGCTCTGTGCTGGGCAGGTTGAGCACCGCGGCTCTGCGTCTGCTGTGGCGCTTGGGGAGGGGGAGGGGGAGGGGGAGGGGATGCTGAGCTGTGTTAGTCGTGGGGTGGGGAGGATCACCATTGAGATCTGACGGGACGGGACGGGATGGGATTGGGCGGTGGCTTGTGGTTCTTGGTTGTCAGTGTTCGTTCGCCCTGCATGAGCGACTGGCTTGTGGTGCCGACCATGCCCAGGGTGATGATGGTGTTCTGCTACAGGTGGTGACATTGCTTCCGTTGCGAGGCTGCATACATACATGTCACGATCATGTCACCAAGCCGAGGCTCATGGTACATGGTGATGCCGTCTTCCGGGCTCATTCCGTGCGGGCTAGCGATTCATAGTGAGCCACACTGAAGAGGGGATCGTACGTAATTGAGTCCCAATATGCACAAAGGCCGCGTCAAATTATTACATTACTATTACATGCACGCGCGCACAATCTTGGTGTCCTCGAAACACTGTTTCACCCCGGCGCGGAACAGCGGCCTGGGAAATGCCGCGGGGCGTACTGACTGTCCTAGACCTGCGCCAGAATGAGCTGTTTCGGAGCGTATAGGTGGATCGGGATCCAGAGAGCCTGCTGCGCGGTCGTCAGGCTGCATCATGCAATGCGGTGATGGGGGATTGTTGCCTCAAAGTGCGGCTCTGCGATGCAGGCCGCACGTTCGCGACTAGAGGTCGATCAGCGGCACGACCTTGGCGCCCTGTGGCGCCACGTGAACATCACCCCGGAGCCTCGCCGGCTCGTAGTGGGCCGACGTCGGACGTGGGCGGGGTGGTATCAAGTGCGACGTGGATGTTGGGATGTGTCGCACGGGGGAAGCAGGCAGGGCGAGTGAAAGAAATGCCTGTCTCTGTTTTGTGTGAGGTTGAAACAAACCCCATGTGGTCGCACTGCAGCGGCACGGCAGGGGGGCCAGCTTAGCCAGCCACATGTCGAGGCAGGCGTGGCACACGCACGGCAACGCGCGGATCAAGGTTGCCCCCGTCGTGCAGAGAGGGCCATCCAGCGGGTCTCATGACCCTGCAGAGTTCTCAACGTCAGCCTCAGGAGGAGGAGCCCTGGCCGGGGCCGCCGTCCTGCCGCTCTCCCCCACCCCCCAGGCGACGACGACAGCGCCGCTCGCCATCCATACCGCCAGCACCCAGGTGAGCGTGCCCCATCCCGCGCCGTCCATGACATAGCCCGACATCAGGCTGCCCACGGAGCCGCCGAGGGCAAACGACGTGCAGAAGAGCCCGTACCCGAGCCCGTACACGCCCTTTGTCCCGAACACGCCCGGGCTGGCGGCCTCCTCCGCTTGGATGGCGTAGGTGATCTCGGCCATGAGCGGGGTGTTGGCGAAGGTCAGGGTGACGCCGACGGCGGCGAGCAGGGCGCCCAGCAGGACCTTGTGGGCGGTGGTGTTGTCGGCCACGAGGCGCAGGCACGCCAGGGGCGGGACGGAGGCGGCGAAGCCGGCGGCCGAGGGCCAGCGCGCGCCGTAGCGGTCGCTCGCCCAGCCCACCAGGGGCGAGATGAAGCCCGGGATGAAGATGCAGAAGAAGATGAGGCCTGCCGCCGTCGGGGACCAGCCGAACGTGTCCCTGACGAAGAGGGGGAGGACCGTGTCCCACGAGATCCTTGTCGCGGGGGTGGTATCATGGTCAGCAAGGCAACACTGGCTTTCTTTCAGCTGGCATGGAGGAGCGGTGAGCAGCGGATGGGGGAGGAGGGGAGGTGGTATCGGAGGGAAATGGGGAGTGAGCGTGGCGAAATAGAGGATGGCGATGACTCACATTGCGCCGGCCTGGATGATGATTCCAAAATTTGCAGCGAGGAGGCGCCGGGACCTGAGGAGTCGCAGCTTGGGGTGCTTTGCTGTCCTCGCGCTCGCGGCGGTGGACGGCGCCGCTGCTGCTGGTGGTGGCACGGCAGGAGCATCACCGCTGTCGACGGCGAGGGGATCGTCAACATCGCGGCCTGCCTCGCCCGCTTCAGCTCGCTTCTCGTCGCATCTCGGGCTCATTTCGGATGCCTCGGTGGTCTCGGGTGTCTCTGTGGCAGATGAGGACTGCTCAGCTGGCGACGGCGCAGCCCCGCTGGTGTCTGGGTCCGATGGCCGCCTCTCGTCATCGCCGATCCACTGGCTTGCGATTTTCTTTTCTATGAGAACCAGGCGCAGGACAATATCAAGGAATATGCACCCGAAGGCAATATAGTACACAGCGTAGTAGCCCTTGGCGGCAAAGACGGCACCCCCGATGGCAGGGGAGACCAGCAGGCCCATGGACATGGCGATGGCTGAGTATCCCATCGCCTCGCCGATCTTGTCTGGCACGGTGTCTACCATCAGGGCCAGTCCTACAGTCCACACGATAGCAGCACTCAGCCCCTGCAGGATCCTGCCGATGATGAGCAGGGCGATGGTCCTCCCGAGGCAGAGGATGATGGTCGACCCAGCCAGGGAGACCAGACCGATCAGGAGCGGCCACCTCCTCGACGAGGTGTGGTCGGCATAAAGCCCGACCAAGGGGCTGCCGACGAAGAGTGCGATGGTGTAGCATGCCAGCAGGATGGCATTCCAAGTCTGCACCGAGGCCTCGTCAACACCAACCCGGCTAGTCAGGGCGAACGGGATGACGGGGACGATGATGCCGTAGAGGAGGATGTCTGTGAAGATGGCGATGCACACGGTGGCGAGGATGAAGGTGCTCGAGGAGCGAAAGGCGAGGAGGCGGGGCGGCCTCGGGTCTTGCGCCCTCTTCTCGCCCGAGACGAAATGCTCGAGGTATTGGGCGGCCTTGAGGGTCATTGTGCGCCCCCGCCGCCTCGAAATGGCGGCTCACTGGCAGTCGGTCGCTCGATGGGATGGATGGATTTCCTGCACTCAACCACCGTGTGGAGTGTCCGAGTCCTAGAGGCTCATGACATGGGCTCATAAACGAGACATGCCTCCGTCTGCTAAATGTGAAGCTTCAACGATGATAGTAATAAGCCGGCGCAAACATCCTACACTGACGACATTGACCCGGCCCCATGTGATGTGACCGTTTGGGGGCGGGTCCCGCGTTCGGCACCGTCATCTCGGCTCTTGGCGACCGTTTGGAGGATCAGGCCTTGCTACCAGCGCAGGGCCTGCCAGGAGAGTTGAAAGAAAGTCCATGATTGATGATCTGGTGATGTGGTTGCATCTACAAGGAATGTCGTGATACAAAAAGAAATTTCTTTTGGTGTTGAGCGATGTCTCACATTCCGTTGCATTGTCTGACATTCTCACTCATGCGTTACTGTACTCGTCCATGCTCGGTGCCGACTCGGCTGGTGCGGTAAACGGTGCGGCCAGCAGCCGATTAGATAAGGGTGAGGGACCCCAGCAGTAAATTTCTTGACTGACTGCTGTGTCGAGCCGCCTCTGATTCCATCACTGATGGTCCCACGCAGCTGCTATTCATCCGCAACCACGGCCATGCCTTCAATACCAAAGACGATAGGCGAGTTCTCAGTGCTGCCACTGAGCATACCGCCCCTGCCGTCGTTCCCCCACAGCACCACGCACTATGTCTACGCCCGACGGCATGCGCCAAACCGCCCAACCCCCGACGACGACCGAAGCCTCTTCGTGACAAACGTCCCCGTCGACAGCACAGAGCCACACTTCCGCGCGATAATAGCCACCCTGGCCGGAAACGGGAAGTTCGAATCCATAAGGTTCGAGGCAGACAGGAGAGAAAAGCCAGTCTCGCTCGAGCCCGCCCAGGCCGCACGCCTCGCCGCCGCCGCGTCACGGAAGCGAAAGCGCGACGACCCCGAGTCCGACTCCGAAGACGAGGAAGAGCAGGTCGCGCGGCTGCCCCCGACGTGGACAAGGCAGCTACACCAGAGCGGCAGCACGGCCGTCATCGTCCTCGCGGACGAGAAGAGCGTGGACCTCGTGCTCAAGGCCATCGCCAAGGCGCACAAGACCAAGAAGTTCCCCGTCTGGGGCGAGGGCGTCGAGGCCAAGGTGCCCCCGCTGGGCGCGCGCTGGGTCCAGGCGCACGACAAGCTGTCCTTCCCGCCCGCCGACATCCTGCAGCAGTCCGTGGACGTCTTCTTCACCGTGTTCAACCGCAGGGAGAAGGAGGCGGCCGAGCTGGCCAGGCGGATGCGCAACGAGCCCGACGAGGACGGCTTCGTCACCGTCACGAGGGGCGCGAGCCGCGCGGCGCCCGCGCGGAGGGGCGAGGCCGAGGAGGCGCGCCGGAGGATGCTGGAGCGCGAGCAGAAGAAGAAGGACGAGCTGACCAACTTCTACCGCTTCCAGCTGCGCGAGAGGAAGAAGGCCGAGCAGGCCGAGCTGATCAAGAAGTTTGACGAGGACAGGCGCAAGGTCCAGGCCATGACGCAGAAGCGGGGGAAGTTCAGGCCCGAGTCGTGAGGTCGACCTGGTGGGTGGTTGGGGTCCGCCCGCGCCTGAATACATATCTACCTACGTGCCTGGGTATGGACACGAGGCTGGGCGGCCTACGCTTCGCGGCGAGGTGCTACTATTGGCGCCTCCATTCCCTCAAAGACAGTGATTCTATGAGAATGCCATGTAAGCATCTTTCCCTGTGTTTTTCTTCTTCATTTGCCGTCGACCATGATGATCGCCGCGGGGCCAGCAAAGCATCGCAACTCCGTGGGATCCAATACCACGCAGGCAGCGGTGCTGTGACGACGAAAACCGCGTTTAAACAATCTTCTCAACTTGTCTGAAATCCATCACATATACTTGTTTACATGTCTGCGATTCATGTTTCAGGGCAGCGCTGATTGTACGCCATGTCGCAGGACTCAATGCTCATACCATACGGCTTGAGTGGACAGGCAAGTTCGGACTGGAAGCTCACCCTTTCCGTTCGAGTCTATAGAGCAGTTTACAATTGTTAGGTGTGAAGTACACCTTAATTCAGACACCTGTCCCGGAGCCACCTTCGGTTGTGATATATGCCCGTCAAACACTGCCTGTCCCGCCCTGATCTTCATGCCTCATATCACATGCCAGTCCCAAACCAACGTGACAACGCCTTCTTCGCTTCATCTAACTCAAGCGCGTTCTTCCCGGCCGCCCAAGCAACGACGCCATCAGGGCGCACCAGCAAGGCGCGGATGCCCAAATCATCCTTGGCACTTGCGCCGATATAGTCGATCCTGGGGAACCACGCCTCATCCTGGGCAAGGTTTGCAAGTTCGGGCCCGTTCACGTCCTCATGTCCGAGGTCAACAAGCAGGCCACGCCCGGAGCGCATGAGCTCTCCCAGACGGCGAGTCCCGCCGGCCAGCCCCAGCTCAAAGTCAGGGGCGCTGAACCCAGCCATCGGGTGCTGACCCTGTCCCTGCATGTGCCCGCCCCCGCTCATGTCATAGCGGTGAGAGAGGCCCCAGATCCGGTCCATGAAGTACGTCGTGCCGCCAGGCGTGCCGGCCAGGTCCCGCACCAGGCCCGCCAGCGCCCGGCTCGACGCGTCCGGGCGCAGCGTGGCGACCTGGGCGCGCGACCACTCGAGCACGCCGGCGCCGACGGGGTGGCGCTCCCGCGTGTACGTGTCGAGGAACCCCGCCGGCGCGCGGCCCCTGGCGACCCGGCCCAGCTTCCACCCCAGGTTCGCGGCGTCGCCGATGCCCGCGTTGAGCCCCTGCGCCCCCAGCGGGGAGTGGATGTGGGCGCTGTCGCCGGCGAGGAGCACGCGGCCGCGGCGGTACGTGGTGGCCTGCGTGCTGCGGTCGGTCCAGGACGACGCCCTGTGGACCTCCTTGATGCCGAGGTCGCCGTGCCCGACCACGCGCCGCGCGACGGCCTCGAGGTGCTCCCTCGTGACTGGTCTCGAGCGGTCCAGGGCTTTCAGGGAGGCGGCATCGTTGTCCATGCAGATGAAGTGCGTCTGTCCCTCCTTGTCGCCCCTCTGGCTGCCCGCGATGAAGATGCCCCCTCTGGTGCGCCAGAAGCCGTCCTTGACCCTGCCCTGCGGGTCGTCGAACTCGCAGAGCGCCGAGTAGCCCACCAGCTCTGCGTCGGTGCCCGCGAAGTCGAACCCGGCGGCCTTCCGGACCGCACTGTGGCCTCCGTCGCAGCCTACGACGAACCTGCCGCGGTATTCCTTGCCGTCGGACGTGCGCACCGCCACGCCACCGCCGTCGTCGTCGTGGTGGTTGTCGGACAGCCCTACCACCTCTGCTCCCCCCAGCAGTTCTACCCCCTTGCTTCCCTTGAGCCGCTCCCGCAGGGCTCTGGTCACCCGGTCCAGGGTCGTGGGCCCGCCCAGGGCGGACGGCCCGGGCAGCTTGTACTTGAAGCAGTCACTGCCCGTGTCGATCTTGTTCAGGTCGAGCATCATCCCGGCGAAGTGGCCTCCGAACGCGAACCCCCCCTTGGTCTTCTCTTGCAGCTCAACAACGGACGCCACCCGCTTCTCGGCGGCCTTCGGCCCGAAGACACCATCCGTCAAGCCGCGCCTGTGGAAGATCTCGGCCGACGCGGTGTTGAGCCCACGCACGCCCAGGGGGGCAGTGGTCCAGGCCAGCTTCTCCGCGGTGGGCTCGAGCGCGTCCCGCTCGAGGACCAGCACGGATACATCCTCCGGGTCGTCCTGGGTGGCTTGTAGGCCCAGCTCGCAGGCAAGGAAGAGGCCTACGGGGCCGGCGCCTGCGATTATTACGTCGTAGGTCTTTTCGGTGCCCATTTTTGGTAACGAAAACTTGAGTGTCTGGTGGTGCAGGTGGGAACATTGGTAGCTTGTGGAACGGTAGAATCAGATAATGCCAAGAACGCCTTTGGTACCTTTATACATGAACCAATTATTAGCTGGCCGAAGAGGTCGGACATTCTTACAGCTGCTGTCGGAGGATGTACGCCCTCTAGTGACTAATCATGCCGCCCCATGAGCACGAGCTGAGACACCTAGGTAGAGACTACGGGTTCGTCATAAATCCCGAGTTCGTCAAGACTCGTCCGTGTATTCACTACCTTGTGTACCCTGGTGGTGAGCCGTACGCGCCCTTTGCCGGCAAGCTCACGTGCAAAGCAACTAGGAGTCTATTCTAGCACCATCTCGAGATATCAAGCATCGAGTCTTTACATGGTACGTTCCCCCTATTAGGAGTACCCTACGGGGGGTGAACCCAAAGAAAACTTTCTATATTCTAAATACGAGATGTTGGTGTTCTCTGTATTTTGCTTGACCGTGACGTGTTTACTAGTCGACAAGCACTCCCATTTCGTCGTGTCTGCCTACGCAAACATAGGAATCCTATGGTGGACATCCTCTACGCATTGTGAAGGGACCCGTGCAATCAGGGATAGCGCTTACGCGCTACGTCGAATTCCGAGTGGCTATTACGGCCGCTATGCCAGCAAATCCGAGCGTGTCGGACCAACTCGGTGTGGATTACGCTCCGGCGCTTATTACGCTCCTCTTCGGGCGACACCGTAGTCCCAGGATGCACTAAAAACCATCCATACGGGCCCAAAGGTCATCAAATGCTCCGCCAAGCTTTGTAATCTGGACCTTGCGCCCTTTGAACTCAGTGCGTATTCGAAGGAAGGAAGGTAACTGATTCTGTAGTTATTCAGTGGAAGCAATTGTGCCCCCGGCCCCGCTTGGCTACGTAAAGTCCCCAGAGATTTTGGACAGCATGTTGGGGATTTCCATCATCTTGACACACATAGTACTAATAACGAGACGAGACCAAGTTGGAGAACGGTTTTCGTGGACACGCTGCCGCCACCCCCCCCCCCCCCTTCACCAACAGGTTGGTCTCGCGAACCACTTTGGAACTTGGCACAGCATTCACTGAGGGCCGGCTAATCATCTGGTGAGAAGGTCATTTGAATGGTCTTCATCAGTCGCCCTGGTCAAGTTGATCGGCAGCAGCGCGTACCACGAGGTCATGGCGATTGGTGACACTGCCTCAGCTACAACGACAGACTACTCAAGTAGCTAAGATGGACTCCGTTTCGTGTCATTTGCTGAACAATGGTTCATCATAGGAACATTTAATCCATTTCACTTTTCACCTCCCGTGTCGAGGACGACGCAACCTGTAGGGACTTATTTCACTAGGTGTCTGCTACGTACACCCGATCCCGAGAGGGCGACCTACAACAGCTTACACCGGTTTCACGACCGCTTTCACTTGCGCCTTGCCCGCTGGATATCCTAGAGAATGTCTCTGTTTCTTTTTAATGCCGCGGGCGATATGCCGCGGGCTGAATCGGTATGAACAATACCAAACAATGGACGAAATACCGGGAACGTGGGGGCCAAGCTGACGCATCGAGGCTGTTGGTGTGCCGTTCTTTTAACAGGATTTCCGCATACGTATTTTCTCTGCCGTCCTGTCACTACAATAGTCCTAGCCTATCTGACGCCTGGGAATGGGGAGTTCACAAGTCCCGCAGCTGCAGGCCACTTCAGACTGCAGGCAAGCGTGCTCAGTTCTCTTGGTCGAGTGGAAGTAATAAATCTGAGATATTCCCTTTGTTCTACCTACCAACCTCTAATTTTGAAGCTAGTTGTACGTAGGCTGGTGTCATCAAAGTTGTAGAGATAAACTGAGTGCGCCATCGTGCGTCATGTTGGGAAAACCCCAGATATGGGCAGCTTTGGCTGCGCTGCTTCTCTTCATTTCTCGTCCAGTCACATCTTTTAAAAGAGATATCTCTGCGTGGAAAACAACCGAATGTGGCGTAAGTCCTGACTGCTTGCCTGTCTGTCTCATTTTGTTTCATTGTTGAGTTGTACTGATGACCAAGCTTCAGACATTCTGCTACGAGTCTATATGCAATTCTACGGAATACGACGAATGTGCGTGCGACACACACATCCATGATCTCGACGTCTGCATGATGGATGAGTGTCCTACCGCAACAGATTACCACAGCAAGTTGAATCCACACTCTTTGGGGGCCTCTGGCCATCTCTCGGGTCTGTTAAAATTCCCTTGCTGATTTTGACGACCCGATAGTGAATTGGCGAGAGCTCTACTATAAATGCGACCTTCCTCGCCCGGTCTCGACAGTAGATCCCGAGTATACGGTTACGGCTATCATTCTGTTTGTCATACAGACCTTATTCTTTATCCCAAGGGTTGCGACCCGCGCATTTGGCTTGGGCCACTGGTGTAAAGATGACACATCATGTGTCGCTACCTACGTACGCAGACTGAAGTAGTAATACACAAGCAATAGATGCGTTGATGCTAACGACCTTGATCAGGTGCTCCTCATTGCGCAATTCGTGCTCTGCATTCTTCGTCAGTTCCTGGTTCCGCGCCACCTGCTCCTATCCCCACGAAGCTGCTGACTGGTTCCACAGAGGGGGTGATTGGATGCTACGTCCATTTCTGGGACCTAGATTTCGAGAAACTGCCGGGATTCTACAAGGTCAACTTTGCCCGTGCACAGCTCTACGCCATCACCCTGGCCGTCACGAAAATGTCTATCCTCTTCTTTTACCAGCGCATCTTCGACGGTCCGAGAGTCAGGCGAGTCCTCTGGGCAACACAAATCTTCAACATCAGCCTGGCGGTCGCGTACTTCATAGCTCAGTTTCTAGTGTCGCAGCCGCTGTACTGCGAGTGGACTTTTGATCAGGGCGACGAGTGCACCTATCACGACGCCTTCGACGGCTCGGGGGCCTATTCAGCTCTTAATGCGGCCCTGGATCTTTGGATGGTTCTTCTGGCTGCCTTTTTAATTTGGAAACTGCAAATGAAAGTGAATCAGAGGCTGAGTGTAATCGCCGTCTTTGCGACTGGTATCTTGTGAGTTATTTGAGGCCACATCATTGCACTTTGAAGGTGCCTGTCGTCTGTGGCTAACTATCATTATTAGGACATTTTGCTCAGCGCTCTTCCGATTTATTATTTGGCGTCTTTCAGATGAAAGTGAGTTACTCGTTGCATTACTTCAATTGGTATGGTTAAATCCTAATATTCTTTGTAGCTAAAGAGACCACCTTCCCTTCGCTCACCTGGGCCACATACTACGGTGTCTACATTGAACTCACATGCTGCTTCATAATCGCCTGTCTCCCAGCCATACGACAGCTGGTAGATCAGAAGATACTGCCTACGATAAGAAACTACACATCACATGCCCGCACTGGAATCAGAGGTAACAGAGCAGGTACTAATACTGCGGCATCGTCGTCAGGGCTTTGTGATCAGCCAGGTCCGGGAGACCCGGGTCACGAGTAGTGTCTTGGAGCCGGATGCCGGAAAATGTGACGATTGGAATCCAGACAAGGGGCAGTCAAAGACAAGCAGACAGGTATTAATTCGGTGAATCGGGCAACGTATGCATGGATGGTTGGTACTCATGGAAGGGAAACGATCACCTTTGCCAACAGGAGCTCATCGTCACACACTGTTGCTGTCATGAGTCCGGGCAATATCTTTCTACCTAAGCAGACGGCTGGTATTTTATAAGTAGGACACAAAGCGCTTGTTAAAGTTCCAAGTGTTCAGGCACACTGTCGCTTATAGAAGTTAATCAAGACGGGGCCAGGGGACAAAATTCAAAGGCCCATTGACAGAAAGCTTCTGTCTCGATTTCTTACAGCTATGTTTCCTTCGACACTAGAATACAAGGACGGCATACTTCATGTGGATTTTAGACACGAAGTAACACATAGGATAATTGGTGAATAGAAAGAAAGTGTGACCGCTGCAAGAAAGCATTTTCCGATCAGGAGATGTGCTTGATTCTACTTCACAAGAGAGTCCAGGGTATGAACCAAAACTGTGCCAGTGGGAATTCCGGACCTCGTGCAGGCCATTTTCGAAACTGTGGGTAGCTGGGCTTAATTTTCCCCATTATCCTGTCGATGCGCAGGTAGATGCAACTTACCATACACGAAGCAGTCCGAGTCCTAGTCTGAGAGTGTGGAGTGGGGAAGAAGCTCGAGTGACTCGAAAATCTGGGTGAAACATCTCGGACAAGGGCCCTAGATTGATTAGCATCAAGTCCGCATGACGGAACTGTTGGTAACTCGGGACAGGCGGAGTCCCTGTGCCCAGGTGGCAATGTCTTCCACTAAGCTGATTGTAGGTGCAATACCGCAGTATCCTGCACATGTCCTGCAAACAACGTGCAAAACAAATAAGCGCGTTTGGCCGACTAGCACCAACGCCTCTCGCCTGCAGGTCACCTGCCTCTTGTACCATAGGCCAAAGTGACACTTCATTTCACAGCTTGAGCCTGATTTATCCCAAAGCTCTCTTGCCCTTTCGACACTGAAACAACCGTGTTAGCTGCTTCGGCACAGAGCACCGCACACTTGCTACGAGGTCTTCCAGTAGACTACTCAAGGTTTCCAATGAGTTCAGTCGCACCTCTCCAGCACGAGCTGGACCTCGAGCGCCATGCGGGAGAGTTGGCCCCAGACCAGCCGGTGCCAAAACCAGAGCTTGGCTCCGAATTTGAGCTCGATGCCGCCGTCGTCAAAGGTGGGAACAACATCTTTACAGAATCACCAGACCAGCTAATGAAGGGGCTAGCATTACCAATCTCTGGCACCGAGGTGATCTCCGCGCGCGAGTATGGAATGTCGCTTTGGGGCCAAACGGCTCGAATTGATACCAAACTGCCAAACGGTGTCCCAAAGACCTACTTTCTGAAGGTACTAAGTACTTACACAGTCGACCACTCTTACCACCACCACCTCCCCCCAAAAAAAGACACACCACGGCCCCCAATATAGCCATGAGGTAACTCTGACATTCGTTCTCACAGACCGTGTGCCTCGATCAAGCGGGGCGCACTATGATCGAAGGAGAGTTCGAGTCACTCAAGGCACTACACTCCGTATCACCAGACCTTGTGCCTCAGCCCTACGCCTGGGGCAAATTTCATACTAAGTCTCCACCCGATGTCGACACTTACTTCCTCCTGACTGAATTTCGAGGGGTTGGTAAACAACCCCCAAACGCTGTCGAGTTTACGGCCCGGCTTGCAGAGCTCCACAAGAAGTCCGAGTCACCAACCGGCAAGTTTGGCTTCCACATCACCACCTGCCACGCCAAACTGCCCCAGTTCACAGATTGCTGGGAGGATTCCTGGGAAGTTCTCTACCGAAAACAGCTTGAGAACATGATCCGCTTGGACAAGGAGAAGCATGGCGAATGGCAGGAGTTCTCAAGGATCTGCGACCTCATCTTGGATATCGTGATCCCAAGGCTTTTGGAGCCTCTACAGTCGAACGGGCGCACTATCAAGCCGTGTCTTGTGCATGGAGATCTCTGGGACGAGAACACCGCGACCGATATGGACACTGGCGAGCCGTTTATCTTCGACGCTGGCTCGTTCTACGGACACAACGAGTACGAGATCGGCAACTGGCGAGCGGCCAGGCACAGGTTGAGCGACGAGGTGTACGTGCAAAACTACAAGCAAAACTTTCCCGCATCTGAGCCAGGTCAGTCACATGTCATCTAACTCATGTGGTTTTCTACGAATATCATCGACGTCTACTAAACGTTTGGAATACAGAGGACGAGTGGGATGACAGGAACTTGCTGTATTCCTTACGATTTGACCTTGGAACGGCCGTTTTGATTCCGGGTTCTAACATGCGCCAAGTGTGAGTCATCACTGCCCGCAAATCGACCTTCCTCTGTGGACTGACAATTAGTAGCGTGAAGGACAACATGACAGCACTGTGCGCAAGGTTCTGCCCGAAGGAACTTCGTCTCGCCCAGGGACAGGGGCAACTCCCGAGTCTTTTCGACGGAGCTGATGACGTGGATGAGGATGAGGCTGGGGAAGAGGAATAATGTCGTGGCGGTCCATGATTCATGACCTTGGAAAATGCATAAATGTGTACAAAGAGTACCCCAGGGTGACTACAGGCGACTTGCAATGAGCTTTGTTGTTGTAACTGTCGGAGCACTAATTAGCACCCCAATACCCGAGAGAGCCCTGGAGCCAAGCACCGAGAGGCCGCCACGAGCTGTGTACTTCAACGGTCATCATTGTGAATCGGTGACCGCGGTTGTGCTGCCAAATCAATAGCCTATCTTCGGATTGTTGTTAACATTGAATTATGTTGTTGAGTCAGGGTCTGCTGGAAAAGGCCAATTTTGCACTTCGTTAGGTGGTCCATGTTGGGTGAGGACAGCGGCAAATCGCCTGGAGAGAACTTGAATGTCACCTTCTCAAACTATGCATTGATGTTTCAAGACATCCATTAGACATATTCTACTGGTTATTGGTTTTCATTAAGCTGTCCTTGGTTGAAAAGCTCACTTCTCCTCCCAGCACAACTTCCCGTGGCCCAGCTTTTCTACATGTCGCTCTTCAACAGCCTTCATCTCTTGAACGGTCTGTCTTATGCGCTCTTGCGTGCTATCCTTCAACTCCCATTTGTGCCACTCTGCTTCGAATTCGCTCAGCTGCTGTGTCCAAGCCCGCCACTTTTCCAGTGGTGATCCTCCAGGCCTTAAAAACTTATAGTTCTGATGACGCCGTCCCGTTTCCCACTCCTTTTCCAACTCCCTTTGCCACGAACACAATTCTTCATACACGGTGTCTGCAGCGTGTAGGAGCCACTCAGTTGCACTGAAAAGCTCGCAGTCCAGGTCAGGTCTTGTCGTCTGTGGTCTCCCGAGGATGTGACTGATCTCATCGAGTGGAGAGAGCATCCACCACTCGTTGTAACCGCGCCCTAAGAGTCTCGCGGCGAATGAAGTGAGCCTCTGATAATGTATGATATCGTCTTGGAGATCTTGTCCCTGGGTGTGTTTAAAGTCTGGATCTTTTGAATATCATTAGTGAGTTAGGTTTTCAACGAGTCTATTCAGGGCATCCTTACATTGTCGGAATTCCACCATGAACATGTGTATATGTAGCGAGATCAAATCCCCCCAGCTGTATTTTCGTCTCCCATATTTTCCCGACTTTGGCTCGTGCATGCGCCGCTTTCGCAGCTTGATTACAGCATCTACCAGAATATCTTGCCATATGTGGCCATCGGGAATTTGCCTATAAATGTGTACAACCACCTTCGCGAATTGCCACACGATGTATTCCGAGTCACGACCCGAGGTGGTGTAGATGTAGAACACACTGTTTGCTATGGTCTGGGACTTGGCCTGGTGGTCTGATAATTTTGAGCTTCGTATAGTTTCCGTTATTGTTTGGTAGAAGAAGTTGATCTCTGGACTTTCGTTCGGGTCTAGATCTAAATTGTGAATTTGGATTTCCATGGTGGCTCGGTTGATCAGAGGAGCGAAGCCTTTGATCTGGGCTAACTGGTCTCGTCTACTTGATTGTTGCTTTGTAAAATGGTAGTCGAAAGGTTCAAATGTTGGTAGCGTCTGTGAGAGTCGTCAAAGATCCGAAATGCGGAATCCCGTTGATGCTGAGAGGTGGTAAGAACAGACAACTAAGACCGTCGAGAGGTCCTTTTTATAGATACCGTCTGCCGAGCTATAACCTGTTTGTGTGTGGGTTGTCATTGGATTTGCTGAATGAGCAGGGTTGGCTTGTCACTTGCCAAGGAAGTTGCATGCCCAACAGGGCTCCCATTCAGACACAGGAATGTTTGTCAGCGTGAATATCCCCATTCACTTATCGTTACACGAGAGGGTACCTAGGTAGTTATAGTGTCAAGCAGCCTCGTCAGATATATATTCAGTATGCGATATTTGGCTCCCCTACAGAATGGACTACGAGGAAGGGAGATTTGATTCACTGTAAATGCATGACAGCCCTCATATGAAAGTTAAGTATTGATAGTACAGCAGCGGGTTCATTCGATAGCATACATTGATTGCTAAGGACCCTGGCTGCAGCAGTGCAAGCCCCTGTTGTTGGTCAGCCCTACCGTGCTTGTTAGGTCTGTGCCTCTTCAGCAGGGTGCTGAACCCAGCTCAAAGTGCCCCTCAATGCTCCAACAGGCTCGGGGTGAGTAATCTCGAACCATTCTACTTTGGAGAAATAAACGAGTCACTTTAAACAGCTCTTCCATAACGAATGTCTGCACATAAGAAGCAGTTCGCCTCTGAAGACTCCACTCCTATCTCTCGTCGTCATCGCCAACATACAATTCTTGGCAGATGTGAAAGATTTACAGTCATATGTAAAGGAAGAGTTGAATGTTCGCGAGGTCGTGTTGACTCGTGATGAAGAGCGATTTAGCGTCCTTCTCGAGGCACGTGTCGACTGGCCTACTCTGGGAAAGAAGTTGAAGAAGGACGTGCAGGTCATTCGCAAGGCCTCGCCCAAGTTGACGCAGGCTCAACTGAGACAATACATGCAAGAAAATCGGATGGCGATGGAGCGTGTCGATCTAGAAGAGGGTGATCTCAATGTCGTTCGAACATTCGGTGCACGAGAGCCAACCGACCCAGCTAGCCAACCCGGCCCGAAGTGGAAGGCTTCGTTTTCTGAGGAAGCCATCGTCCTCCTTGATCTTGCTCCCAACACTGAACTCCATGGCGAGGGATTGGTGCGTGATATCATCAACAGGGTCCAGAAGATGCGAAAGACAGCCGGTCTGGTCCCGACCGAGGTCCGCATACAGTACGGAATTACCTGCAATCCAGACAATATCGACCTCGACACCCTCATTGCTTCTCAGCAAGCTATCATCAAGAGCTCGCTGCGCGGTCCAATTGAGCCTCTTCCGGCAGCCAATCTGTCTACCCAGTTCTGCATCCTTGAATAGGAAACTTGCATCCGAAAAGTCGTGTTGAAGCTGAGGCTTACTCGCCCCCAATGATCCAGTGCTGCATCGGGCTCTGTTCAATGGGTATTCTTGGCAAAGCGGAGGATGATGATTGTATACGGACAGTTCTCACGACTTGGGCTTCTCAGCTGTAGAGTAATTATAATTATTGTTATTTGTGAGCATGTTCAAGGTGTAGTGTTTGGATCCCTCGACTCTGTGTGTGGTGTAATGCTGTGGTGAAGTGCTGCTGAAACTCGGGAAGCTGGCCGATATTTGATGAGGGAAGATGGTACGGAACTATTTAAGTCTTGCTCGGTAGAACAAAGGCAAGATCAAAACCAAATATAACCTTCTAATCCAATTCAGTCTTGTAAGATTCGTTTTTGAGAATCGCAGATTTGTGTAACCGAGTTTAGAAGTCATGAGCTGGAAGATAAATAACAGACAATATCATCGGCACGTTACCTAGGTAGGTACCTAGATAGTCTAGACAGTTTAGAATTGCGGTGGTCAGTCCTATCCTTAGGCTCAGGGAATTCTGTGCCGCTCTAATTGCGTCTGATGATTCAAAAGGCGATAACTATGAATGCTACTCAGTGTCCACACGGGAGTCAAACATGCCCATAGTCCCCGGGCCGAGGTCAGAATATTTGACAAGTTGTAAAAGCAAACACCGTAGGTCCTGTAAAGCTCGTTGCGTCCTTTCTAAGGAGATCCACCCTCACTTACTCTCCTCTGGATTGACTTGCATAGAATAGTAATTTCCTGAGTGGACCTGAATCCTTAGAGCAACACTGACACTGGCATACCGCCAGAAATGATTCAGGGAATAAACACCTTCCTGGAGCACCAGAACGACCTAACACGCCGCCAGTTGGCTCAGGGTGATTTTAACTGACACTCATCGACACATTTCACCGAGTCTCCGCAGTTTAGAGTAAAATTATTCAGAAGCAAATGGGCTCCGAATGCTTCAACACACACACACACACACACACACACACACACACACACACACACACACACACACACACACAAACACGTACACATATATATACCTAGATATATATAGCACTGTAGGTTGTTCTTCCGGTTCAAATATGTTTCTACACTCGCATCGCCCTTGAAGTCTTCTCACCACCTCAAGCATTGTATATACATGCATTAGGGCCGGCAGTGAGTACATGCTATTCAATATGCCTTCATCAAAATCAAATAGCCATCAAGGCAAAAGGGACTGGCGGCGCAATAATCCCTATGCTCCTCTCTCTGTGCAACGTACGCGTGGGTCAGATTATAATGCACGTGAGCAACGGCCTGCATCCATGTCCCACACAGATGAAAGGATCCCCTACTCTCAGGTTCTCCAGAGTAGCACGCATGTCCCGCGGCCTTCGCACACACAGGAGGCGCCTTCCCCGCCCAAGAGGAAGAGGGAAAAATCAGAAAGCCCACCGACAGATTCTTCGCACGTAAGAAAAATTTTAACTCTAACCTAGCTGGTTCGTTTTGTGGCTCACAAGTCTCCTAGTATACCTTCGACCGGAAGTTTCACAAGAAAGGGAAATTCACACATATACTAGCAAAAGACGCTCGGGCCCAAGTTAAAAACGCCCTGGCTCCCGTCGGTAAGGACTCTGACGGATACCCCTGCCCGTATTTGAATAGAGCAGAACCTGGCGCGCCTGCTTTGGACTTCCAGGCTTCTCCGCCCTGGCAACATACACCTGTGTATGCTGGACGACAGCGACACCTGAACAAACAAGACCCGGCTTATCCGGGTCCTTACAGGGCTGTATACAAGAATGACAACCGGGACATTTTCGACCTCATGTACCACGATTCGCGGAAGCCCTTGTCCTCCAGCGGCCACCATCATTTCAGTTTGGGACATTATCACCCCAGTTCCCGTCATTGAAGTGCATTTCTAATAATTGTTGTCAGTTTTCGAACATGGATTTAGACCGGCGGAGATTTGGCTGGGGGTTGTGAATTGCTGCAACGTCGGGATCTACATCAGTCTGTGAATTAGAAGTTTAAGAATACTGCAGGCTTCCTAATCCAAATCTTAATTCTCTTTCACGGCAAATCGTAGCTTGGAAATCTATTCCATTTAAACATTTCCATAAACACAACAAATCTGCCATAGATTTGGTTATGTGGTTTCGTTTTTTCCCTATACATATAAAATGCACGTGGCGCCTTCATACAGTGGTAAACGCTCAAGACCCAGCCTCTTCTCTTTTTTTTTTAAAAAAAAAAGAAAAAGAAATAACAGTGCAAAGAGAATACAATAAAATAGCACTTGAGATAGTCAAAGACTTCATACAAGCCCTCAGGAAAATGAAGAGGACATTGCTACTTTTGCGATATTATAGCTGGACAAAATGAAACTCGTGATCTTATCTCGGATGGCTTAGATTCATGCCCAATGCCATTATTTCCAACATCTCTCCCGAAGCCTCTCACGCTGACAACCAACACAATGCTCACCACATATATCCATCATGAAGAACCAAACAAAGCCGCAAGCTTATCAAGCCCAACATTCCCCCCGCTAAACACGACACCCACGTCCCACCCCCCAGGCCCGGCCTCCCGCTCGACCATGGCGCGGAACTCCTCGTTGAACAGCACGACGGCGAGCGGCACGGCGGCGCTGGGCTCGACGACGACGCGCATGCGCTCGAGGACGAGCCGCAGCGCCGCCGCGATCTGCGCCTCGGTGACGGCGTACACGGCGCGGACGAGCCCCCGGCCGTGGATGACGGACCACGGCACCGCGCCGACGGGCGTGCGCAGCCCGTCGGCCACCGTCAGCGTCGACACGGCCCCGACGCGCTCGCCCGCCGCCAGCCCGCGCCGGCAGTCGTCGGCGCCCTGGAACGAGGGCTCGGCGCCAAAGACGCGGACACCCGTCCCCTCGCACGACAGCGCCACGCCCGAGAGCATGCCGCCGCCGCCGCAGGGGGTGATGATGGCGTCGAGGCCCTTGTTGTTGTTGTTGTTGTTGCTGCTGTTGCTGTTGCTGTCGCCCTCGTCCTCGGCCATGAGCATGTCGGCGACCTGCTCCTGGAACTCGAGCCCCAGCGTCCCCTGGCCCAGCACGATGTCCGGGTGGTCGTACGGCGGGACCAGCGTGGCGCCCGTCTCGGCCGTGACGCGCGCCGCGACGGCCTCGCGCTCCACCGACGTCGGCCCGCTGAAGACGACGTGGGCGCCGTAGCCCCTCGTCGCGGCGACCTTGCCCGCCGGCGAGATCTCGGGCATGACGATGTGCGCCGGGATGCCGGACTCGCGGGCCGCGAGGGCGAGGGCTGCCGCGTGGTTGCCTTTGGATTTGTCAGTTGGAGGGTTGCTCGTGGTCACAGCCCAGATCATGTATGTTTATATATATATATATATATATATATAAAGACTCACCACTGCTATGCGTGACGACGCCCCTCTCCAGCCCCCCGCCGGCGACCCACCCCTTGTCGGCCTTGAGCCTCTCGACGGCGTGGAACGCGCCCCGGACCTTGAAGGCGCCCACGCGCTGCAGGTTCTCGCACTTGAACCACAGGCGGATGACGGGGCGCGCGGGGGGCTGTGCCCCGTCCTGCTCTCCATACCCCTCCCCCTCCCCCTCCCCCTCTCCCCTCGCCTCCCGGTCCCCGGGCCTGTCCCCCCTCGGCGTCGACGCCAGCCGCGACAGCGTCGAGCTGGTCAGCACGGGCGTGCGGTGGACGTGGGGCCGCACGAGGTCGTGCGCCGCGACGACGGAGGCGCGCGTCAGCGGCGGGCAGGTCTTTGGGTCTGCCATTGTTGTTTGTGGCCTTGGTGGTGGGTGGATTTTCTCTTGTGTCGCCCCTCCTGGTTATGCTGTGGTACTCTGGGTATGTATTGTGTTGTTTGGGGGGTTGATGAGGTGGCGTTTTCCTCCTCCTCCTCTCGATGACTGTGTGTCACGACGGCCGCGGGGACAGACGGGAATGTCGCTCTTTCTTCTTGTCAAGAGAGTAAGGCAGCGAGTCTCCCTCTCAGACAGACCGACAGACAGACAAACAGACAGATAGAGTCGGATTGAAATATGTACGAGGGAAAAGAGTGAACTTGTCTCCGTCTACATGTACATGTGTTTGTGTCTGTCTATGTGTGTAAGCCGCGGCGATGACAAAAGAGGAGGTGGCAAGTATCAATGCAAGTCCACTCAAGTAAACTGGTCGAGGAGAGAGAGAGAGAGATGTCAGGAGTTGGACCGCTGCGAGACTATATAAAACCAACAGCAGATCAACGCGACGACGGAAGCCTACCCTTGACTCGCTCGCATTGCCTCGAACCCCGGCGGCGGTCGCTGCTCGTAGTCGCTGCGGTACAACACAATACGGGCTCGAGGCCGGCAGACGTTGCCGCCATGCATGCATGCATGCTCAATTGCGCGAGCCGCATGAGGGGACGACGGGCGGGACACCCCGGCCGAGACCGGAAGTCGGGGCGGGCACATGGGCGTGCACACATTCACAAACTCGCCCACAATCACATGGGTGCTTGCTTCAATTGGGCATCTGACAATTCGTGAATACCATGATGGTCATTGGGCATCATTGTGTCACAGGTGAGGGGGCCAACGCAAAGACGGATGGGATTGTACAAACCACAATACATACGATTTACTTTTCTCCAGTCCGAAAAAGTTCCAGGAACGAAAAGAGGTATTTTCACGGAGAAAAAAAAATATCAAAATTGGATATAAAATACACAATCCCCAGACTTTTTGTCCCTTGCCCGCGCAAACACGCACGCGCACATTTCCCCGTGACCTAGGAAAGTTTTTCCAGAACCATGTCTAAAAGTAAATAGACAAGCCGAGCTGGCCGGTCGATCATCAACAAGCCCTCGACCGCTCGAGACTCCCCTCCCCTATATTTTGAACTAACAAAGCAGGACGGATGGACAGACAGATGTCATCTTCCACCTTACTTCTGGTTCTCGGGACGCAGGGAGCGGACGGCCTTGCCGGCGCGCCAGATCTCCAGGTTGCGGATCTCCTCCATCTCGGCCTCGTACTTCTCACGGTAGTCGGCCTGGCCGTTGTAGTCGAGGGAGCGCTTGGTCTCGGAGCCGTTGCGGACGGACTCGTACAGGTCGTTGAAGACGGGCTTGAGGGCGTCCTTGAAGCGGGGCGACCAGTCGATGGCGCCGCGGCGGGCGGTGGTGGAGCAGGCCTCGTACATCCAGTCCATGCCGTTGGCGCCGATCAGGGGGTACAGCGACTGCGTGGCCTCCTCGACCGTCTCGTTGAAGGCCTCGCTGGGGGAGTGGCCGTTCTCGCGCAGCACCTCGTACTGCGCCAGGAACATGCCGTGGATGCCGCCCATCAGGCAGCCGCGCTCGCCGTACAGGTCAGAGTACACCTCCTTCTCGAAGGTGGTCTTGTACAGGTACCCCGAGCCGACGGCGACGCCCATGGCGATGGCCTTCTCCTCGGCCTTGCCGGTGACGTCCTGGTAGACGGCGATGGACGAGTTGATGCCGCGGCCCTCGCGGAACAGGGAGCGCACGGTGCGGCCGGAGCCCTTGGGGGCGACGAGGATGACGTCGACATCCGTGGGGACGTCGACCTTGGTCAGGTCCTTGAAGACGGGGGAGAAGCCGTGGGAGAAGTACAGGGTCTGTATGGCAGGGCCGCGCAGGGTTAGCAATCGGGCCGTGTTGTGGTTTGGGAGTGGTCTGGTTAGCTAGCTCGCTGGCTGGGGAAATGACTCGCCTTTCCCTTGGTGATCTGAGGCTTCAGGTGGGGCCAGGTCTCGGACTGGGCAGCATCGGACAGCAGGTTCATGATGATGGTGCCCTTGGAGATGGCCTCGTCGACCTCGAACAGGTTCTTGCCGGGGACCCAGCCATCCTGGATGGCGTCCTTCCAGGACTTGCCGTTCTTTCGGACACCGATGATGACGTTCAGGCCGTTGTCACGGAGGTTGAGGCCCTGGCCGTGGCCCTGGGAGCCGTAGCCGATCAGGGCGAGGGTGTCGTTCTTGAAGTAGTCCTGCCGTTGTCATCAGCAATTTGAGGCCCAGAGGGGGTTCAGGAAAGGGGGGTTGGCGGGTGGGTGACTCACCAGGAGCTTCTCCTTGGGCCAGTCATCGCGCTCTGTCACAGTCAGAAAAACGAGACACCAATGCGTCAATTGAGGCGGGCTCGGGCTCGGGGCTCACCGTAGACGGTCTCCTTGTGGCCGGCAAAGTCCACGGTCTTGACACCACGGATCTGCTGCTGGATGGGGCTGGCCAGAGCAGGGCGGGCGACGGCAGAGGTGCGCGAGGCGGCGTTCAGGGCAGCGACAAAGGTGCGCCTCTGGGCCGTGTTCTTGGTCAATTGACGGGCGGCAGGCCGCAGGGCCGAAGAGAAACCTCTGGCAGACATGTTTGAGGGCTGTTCTGAGTGGAGATGGGGAACACGGGACGGGGAGGGAGGGGGATTGAGAAGCTGGAGAGGAAGTGGTAAAGGAGGAAAGTCGTGGTGTTGACCGGGCGAGCTTGGAAGTTGAAAGCTTATACCGGGGCAGCCAACCCCAGACCAGGGCCAGCAGGGCCAGCAGGGCCAGCAGAGCTCCGATCTGCTCGACTCACCGAATGGTGTTGGACCAATTTTTTTCGTGTCAGCTCCGAGCTCGCTCGCCCTATCTCCCTTGGGGCCCCCGGTGCAGGGGCCCTGCGCCAATGCACCGTGCAGGACAGCCGTACACAGGCCAAACGTCGCTGCGACGGTGGGGACAGGGTCCCGGGCTGTGGGGTCCCAAACGGAGCCAACGGAGCCAACGGAGCCACGGCTCCAGCCCACGCCTCCGTCTGGGGAACAGGCAGACAGGCCTACTTGCCCTGGTCCACCGTCAAGAGTCACCGTCCAGTTAACGACTGCGAAAGGTCACGCCTCTCCCGCCAGTTCTTCTTTGCCATGTCTGCCGCGTGTCACTGTTTCAGTCTCAATTCTCGCTCACTTACGAAGGGATTGCTGCAGGAACAACGTTCAACCCCGATTTGCCAACAATCATGCACTGGCTTTCGAATGAATACCTTGCTCGACCTAGGTAACCTCGACCATCAGTCCCTGCCTGGCCTCGGCTCGACTGGTCTCGTCTATCCTCAAAACCCATCCATCTAATTTGACTGGATCCAAGGGCCAGCACTCAGAGACCCCACCTTACTTAGCATATAGTTTCTAATAAGCGCAAGACTAATTTCCTGGTTTGTTTTGCAGCAATGAGTCGTCGCAAGCAAAGTGCGAGAGACACATCAGCTCAGACATGGAATTGCGGAAGACAAGCCCAGTCAATCAATGGCTCCTGGATATGTCATCGCAACATTGGCTGAGTCGGGTACTTGCTTCTTCAGTGCCAGTGTATATTGTCGGAATCCAAAGTGTCCTCATCAGCAAATTGTAAACACAATCCGGACAAAGGCTTGTGATGATCGCGTCTGTCGATGAAAAGAGTGTGCCCCCATACCCAGCGTCTTACAGAAGTCAGCTTGAGGCTCACGTCCTCCCTGTACACTCGATTCTGCATGGAGCCAAGGGAAGGGTGGTCTTGATAACAACCAACATGCCTGCCTGGGTTTGATATTGTCACATGCCGCAAATCTCTCTCAACATTGTCGGTAAAATCCCCATATCGTAACCTCACCAGGCTGAATTCGCTCAACCAATTCTCACTGCCCCCTTGGAATATACCGTGACAGCACAACGTTTGAACCCGGGCCAGCAGCGCCTAAGACATTCAAGCACTAGGTAGATACCGCGATGACCTCTGCCCATCAACAATGTGAAACCCCCCCACCCGGGTGCCAGACACACTCACCGACAGGAGAATTAACATCGGTAACCAGAGCAGCCAAGCTTCAAGTTCCAGATAGATAAATCAAGACACGCCGCCAGGCAAGAAATCACCCACACCTCCCGTCGAACCAAGCAGCCCGAGCACACGACTGCGGGAGTGACGAGGGCTCGGGCTCGGGCTCTAATAAGCCAGAGCAAGATTCCACCGCACGTAGGCATGGAAAGGATCAACGAGGTGGATGATGGCCGGGAGCCGCAACGTTCTGCGGTGCTGGACCCGTGGGCGAGCCCTGGGATCAGGCAACCGGATAGGTCTCTCAGGGGCTGAATTACCAACGAGCCTCCGCATGAGGCACTTCGATTGCCAGGTAGATAGGTAGTCACGGACACCTCAAGACTTTACTTGCTCACGCAGAGCCCAACAACAGACATTGCTTTCATGCCGTGTGGGAAAGGAAGGCCCGGGAAAACTACAGGATGTATGTAGCCTGTCTGCCGTCGGACCCGAGCCCGTGGGCAATATCCACGCCAGGAGGAGTTCGCTTCACAAAACACATACCGTCCCCACCCCAGTTTGCCCAGAGCACACGTTCTCGATGATTCCGGCCAGGTCGTTCTTCATAATCGTCTTTTTCATGATAATGTCAGTTCTTGTATGTGGTGGTAGAAGAGTAGCAGCCGCTGCCGAGGCCCCCAGCCTCGCACACCTGCACCCCCCATCGTTCTCAGCCCCTCCTTAGTCTATCATGCGCTGTAGTGAGAAATAAAAAAGAAGCAGGAAACCACATCTAGGACGAACCCCCATCTGTCCCCCTGTTGGCCGAAAATGGGCGCCTCGCTGTGATCATGATGTCCTCTCGCGAAACGTTTTTCCTTCCCCCCCACCCCCCTAGGGAGCTGATCTGATATGTCCCAGTTGACGAAGCCCCCCTTTCTTTCGTCCCACCTCTCTCTCTCTCTGTCCCTCCCTTTCTCCCACACGCATGCATACCGCCCGATCCATCCTCGTTGATATGTGTAAACATTCTATAAACCATCGTACGTACGTACCACACACAGCGTGACGACGACGGGTGCACCGAAAACGGGCCCCCAAGCCGAGCACGCTGCCGAACCGAGAGAGGGAGGCAGGCGAACCCAGCCCGTCCGTCCCTCTACCACGCACCAACCCTCATCTTCTTCCTCCTCACCATGTCCTCACCATCCCAGTCGCCCACCCCCTCGCAAATTATCATGCGGTCGACGGCCGCGGCGGCCGCAGCGGCGTCAAGACCCCCGGCCCCGACCCCGGCCCCGGCCCCGGCCCCGGCCCCGGCCCCGTCCCCGGCGGCCCCGAGGAGGGCGACCGCGAAGGGGCGCACAAGCACCTCACTTGAGCACCCGATCAAACGACTCCCCGCGCACGCCGCCGCCCGCCATGCTGGAGCGCACGTTGCGCTTGAACCCCTCGCGGTTGTTGCGCAGGTCCTCGGCGGCGTCCTTGTTGAGCGGGTCGCTCGCGTTGGGCTCGAGGAACAGGAACTGCAGGCCCACGATGACGGCGTTGAGGTTCAGCACGGGCTTCCAGTCCTCGCGCAGGATGTTGAGGCACACCTTGCCCTCGAGGTCGATGTTGGGGTGGTAGATCTTCTGCGCGCAGCGGACCTTTGGCGGCTCGTGCGGGAAGTTCTGGTTGATGTCGAAGTCGAAGGTGAAGCGCCCGCCGCGGTACATGCCCTCGTCGGGCTCGATGGTCAGCACGAACTTGAGGATGTTGTCCGGGTCCGGGAAGTCCGTCTTCATCGTCGTGCCCAGCGACAGCTCCGACAGGTCCTTCTGCACCCGCAGCTGCGCCGCCGTCACCTTCTTCTTCTTGCCGCCCCCCGCCGCGCCCTCGGCCGCGTCCGCCTTCTGCTGCTCCTTCTTGATCGACCATATCTTCAACATCTTGCCCGCCTGTGTGGGTGTCGGGTGGCAGCCCCAGGCCTTGCTCTGCTCGAGGTTTGTTTCTGTGTGGGTCTCGGAGGGGTGTGGTCGGTGGGGTTTTGGTACGTGTGGGAGAGGGATCAGTCGATGTCGGTGAACTCGCGTGTGAGTGTGAATGAGTGGTGTGGAGATTTGGGAGAGTGGTCGTTGTGGTGGGCTTAGATGATGTGCCCTTCGGCGAGGTTGGGAAGTTGAGGAGTTGTTGGCAGTGCTGAATCAACCCGGCCGGGGAAAAAATTCGTCAATGGTGATGTCGGGTAATAAGTTGTCTGATTTCGAGTCACCTGCCTGGAGGGGAGGCCGTTTGCTGGTCAGTGGGTGGCGGGGATCGCGTTGGTGCCTGAGAAGGTCGGAGGCGAGAGTGCCGTCGGGCTTATTACAGTTCCCAGGTTGGCCGAGCGTGGGGTCGTCCGATTAGATAAACTTGTCCACAGCACCCAGCCAAATGGCGTACCTACCACCCGATGTTAAGCTCGCCAAAGCTCGCCAACGTCACCCAAAAACGACGAGCACAAAACAACACACACAGCAGCGTTGGTTTCAAGATTATGCACTTGGGCTATGAAAATCCTCGTCCCGCCTTTAGAGAAGAAAAGAGAAAAAACACTCTCGTAGAACGCCATCGTCAAAATGCTCCAGTTTTCTCGCCACCAAATGTAGTAGTTTGTGTCCATGTCCACAGCCTCGAAAAAGAGGCAGTCACAAGATGCTCCAGATCCCCAGCCTTCCTTCCTCCCTCCTCCCGCCCCTTTGCTCTAAACCGCCAGACCGCGATACGAGAGGCCACTATGTAATAGGCGGGCTGAAAGAAATCTCGCAGAGGGTGGCCCCACATACAAGAACGCAAGGGCCAGCCTGTGACGCCAATTTCTTTTGGCGGGGGGTTTCTCTGCTTTACTATACAACAATTTACCCTTTAACCCAGAATGACTGAGAAAGCAGATTTCGTTTCTCATCGTGTAAATGTGTAAATGCCGCACCAAAAGATGTGTAAGTCTCGCAGTAAAACATGCGCTTACCGTCTGGCAAAGCAGCACATGATACCGGTCTTACCCAAGAACCAGCAGAAACCAATGAAACGAATAATCGACAGGAAGGCAGTAGCGTACAGCAGGACCTTGAAGAACCAGGCGGTACGGGCAGTGGAGTTTGTCTGAGATGAAGAGTTAGCGATGGATGTTCCAAGCATGCAGGTGGGTAGGGTGATGGTGCTGGTGGTAACTTACGCCGATGCCGAGGCCGTTGAAGTTGTCCGAGGTGATGATCACCGCCAAAAGACAGTTGGAGAACAGCCAAGATGCGACCAGACCCGTTCGGAAAGACTTGTAACCGTCCTCCAGGTCGGGCTTGTCGTCCTCGGGCTCCTCCTTGAAGGGAGCAAGCGCACGCCTGACAGTCTGCTCGAACTGGCTGTCGATGTCCTCCTGTGGCTTCTCGACTTCCTCAATGACCGGGCCATCACCCTTGTCGTCCTTGATAATGTTGGCAGATGGGAGCGCCTCGGCCTTGTCGGAACCCTTGGTACCCCAGGAGACATCGTGCCAGTTGTTGAAGGCGTAGACCATGAGAATGTTGATGTAGGTCGACATGAGCAGCAGGTAGTAAGGGTACGAGTGGAACATGTGCCATGGGTCCAGGTACATGAACGAGGCCAGGTAGTACATTCCGTAGATGGTGAACAGGGCAAGCAGCAGCACACCACCGGTGGACTCGCCGCCGAATAAACTCTTGAGGAAGTCGCCAGTGTTGTCCGTGTCAAGGCCAAGACCACCGTGGAAGGCGCGGTAGACCAGGTAGCCAGAGTCGAACAGGATGTAGAGCTGGATGAGACCGAAGACGCAGAAGGAGGCAATGTAGGTGTACCGGGAACCCTTGGGCCTGTTACCCAGGGCCAGAATGAACTGCAGGATGACGAAACCAAGGTAGAGGTACTTCAGGACAGCGTTGAAGTACGGCGTGACGGTGTTTCCGAAGGGCCAGCCAACAGCATCGGCAGCCGCGTTGTCCTGGGCCTGGGGGTTGCCGACCAGGTCCATGATGACGGAGGTGGTGAGCCAGTAGGAGGAGAGGGAGAACCAGGAGAAGACCAAGTTGGCAAAGTTGTACAGTGCCTGGACGTGGAAGAAGAACATGCGGATGATGTTGTGGCCAGACTTGTACATACGGCCAAAGTGCATGGACGAGTACAGACTGGCAGCGAACGAACCGTTGAGCCATCGTCGACGCTGGGAGATGAACTCGGCAGCACCTTCGGGCACGTCAGTCTCACCCTTGGCGGCCTTGATGTAGCTCAAGTGCCACTTCTGGCCGGCCTTGGCGACCAGCTCGAAACAGAGGATACGATCCTCGGCCAAGAACATGTTCTTCTTGAAAATGTTCATGCCGTCGATACCCTTCTTACCGAGAATCTTGGAAAGCGTGTGGTCACCGTGGAAGTACTGCTCCAGGGGCCGGCCCATGATGGCGCGGAAACGGTAAGCCGAGAAGGCACCGGGCAACACACTAACGTAACCGAAGGCGCTCTCCAGGGGCTTGTCCAGAATGTTGGAGATCTTGTACTCGAAGTTCTGGACGGCGACGAGCGGGTTAAGCAGCTTTCGGCCGCCCTTGCCCCTAATGATGGCGTTAGTCCTGCTGCTGGGTCCCAAGGAAACACGGGCACCGCCAGAGGTGAAGAGTGACACTTACAACATGGCGTGAATCTCACCACAAGCACCGCCAAGGTCCTTGTCGTTGTAGAAACCCTCCCACAGGGCGAGCAGCGACCTGGGGCTGGGCTTGGTACCGGCATCGAGCAGGATGCAGACCTCGGGGTTCAGGATGCGGCCGAAGCCGTTGAACAGCCAACGGTGGGAGTTGATCTTCTTGCTGTTCTGGGCCTTGACACAGAAGATCATCTGCACGGGGGGCAGGGTCTGGGGGCTGTCGTCGAGGGGCCGGATGAGCTGCTGGTTGGGGGTGACGGACAGCTGCGTGGTGTACTCGAAGATGTGGGCCACGGTGGGCTCGCCGTTGACGTCCTTCTTGATCACACCGTCCTGGTAGACACCGATGGTGGCCAGGACGTCGAGGGCGTTCTTGTCCGTCTTCCCGATACCGTCAAAGACCATGCAGACGACGATCTTCTGCCAGGCCGGGCCGCCCTTGTTCCAGAAGGTGGACTTCTTGAGGTTGACGATATCGCGGATGTTCTGCATGACGCCGTGCAGGGTTCTGGAGAGGAGGACCTTGTCCTCGTTGTAGTAGGTGATGGCGATACAGAGCTCGGTGTGGCGGTTGTACATGCGAGGCCGCAGGTCGTAGCCGTTCTTGAGGGTGAAGTCGTTGGGGTCGCAGGTCGCGGCGGTGTAGCGCATCTTTGTGAACTCCTCGTTGCCGCCCTCGACGTCGCGGTACTTGGGCTGGATGGCGTTCTTGATGGCGCTGGGCACGGGGTAGTCGATGCTCAGGACGGAGCCCTGGACCAGCTTGACCCTCCTGGTCTTTGAGCGGCCCAGGCCGCCGCCAGAGGGCACCTGCTGGCGGTTGAGCCAGCTGTCCTCGTCGCCGACGGTGGAGGGCGGGTGGCCCGGGTCACCGGTTGGGAACTCTGCGCCGTAGCCGCCGGCACCGCCGTACTCGTTGCTGTAGCCGCCGGCGGGGCCCTGGCCGGGCACGGTGGTGCCGGCATTGGGGGCGTAGGACTCGGTCAAGCTGTATGCGGAGACGGGGCGGGCAGGAGGGCTGGCAGCGCCACCGAGGCGGTCTTGCTCGTACATGGTCGAGCCCTGACTCAGAAGGGATCGCTGTGCTTCGTCGTCCTGCTCGTTCTCAGGAGGCAGGTGGTACTGTGGCGCGTTGAGAATGTTAGAGGCCCGCGGTTACAGTTGCTCGTCAGGATCATCAGGGTCCAAAAGTGGGGGGACGAGGAGGAGGAACCGAGGATCGAGGATCGAGGAATATCAAAGATGGGCAATTCTGTAAAGGGTATCTCTGCAAAGGGTAGGAGGAACAACAACAAGACAGGACAAGGCAGAGCAGGACAAGGGCAGGACACGGCAAGTTAAGGCAAGGATCGCGGGAGGGATTTGAATGTGGTCAAAGTCGAGACGGCAGGGCAAGGCACGGGGAGGGGCAGTGAATTAGAGCTCTGGGAGGTCTGGGAGGTCTGGGAGGGAGGGCAGGGAGGATGGTACGAACGCCTGCTGGGTTTTGGCTGAGGTCCTGCATGCCATGGCTATTGTAGCCATCATTATGGCCGCCGTTGTACGCCATGTTGGCAACCGTCCGGACAGGAGCTGGCTAAGGTGAACTCGGCCGTTTCGATTATTTTAAGCGGGTCGACAGACTGGACCGCTCCACGCTGGGTGTCCGGTAGCAGTCCAAGGGGGGCCCGTTTAAGATGTGAATGGCTGGGATGCGGCAAGCGTTGGATTGCTGGTGATGATGATTGTAATAAGTCGGAAAAGGGGGGACCGGCGATGATGCTGGGATGGGATGAATTTGGATGGGGAAGCTGGTGGTTCGCCTCGCGTGCGTGCGTTAGGACGGACGGGCGGGCGGGTGACGGAAGAGACAAAGGAGCTCCTGGTCTGGTAGCGCTGTCTGTGTCTGGCAGGTTGGCAGGTTGGCAGGTCGGCCTTGCTCTAGCTGGCTGGCTGCTCTGCTCTGGTTGGACTGGGCGAGACTGGCAAAGTCTAAAAAGGAGGCACCCGCTTCTCCACGCCAAGGGCAGGGTGAAGAAAGTGCTTGCAAGGTTGCTGGACAGGCACAACAAGCACAAGCAGAAGCAGGTTTGGGGGGATCGGTGATGTGCAAAACCAAAGAAGTTTTGGGTAGAGAAGCGAAGTGAAATATCTTATTGCTCTGCCGGTCAAGAAGCACCCGAGACAAGCAAGAGCACGGGAGAGGGTGGGCAAGAGGGAGAGAGGGAAAAAAAAAAAAGAAGGAAAAAGGGTCCCCTCCTGGGCTGGGTTGGCTGGTAACTGGGGCTGTTCCTCAAGAGGCCAACAACAAACTACTCTGATGTGGTCTGGCCTGGCAAAGGGGAGGAGTTGGGCAAGGAGTAAAAAAAAGGAGGTCCGCATAAAAGTGACCACTAGGAGAGCACGGCGACTTCACAATTGTGGCTTAGGACAGGGGCGGGTTTGGCAAGGGGTCTGTCCTGATCTCAGCCCGATGGGGCCTGGTGGCCTGTCAATTGCTGTCTGTCTATTCTCAACACTGTAGTCTATTGTACCGTGGTCTCTTCGTCCGATCTGCCGTCTGGCATAAACTCTGTGCCACCACAGGCCACCCCGTCCCATCTCTCAGCTCTGCTAGCTAGCTCTGCCCGTCCTGACGAGTCTGGGGGAAGCCATCCACTGCTACGGAGTAGCTCTCGGGACGAGGGGTGGCATGATGGACCTCAGGCAGGGGCTCCCATCGACGAGGTGCCATCATGACGGGTGAGCCAGGCTAGGAGACAAGGCCGGACACGAACAACGACGTCACCGCCTCCCAGCCTGTAACCTCGGATCACCCCAATCCCTACTTCAGATGCAAAATGCCCCGTCCATACAATGGGTTCAATTGGTGTACTGTAGGTGCAGCCCATGCCGTGCCATGCCGCAATCATGTCCGCAATTACTGTAGTACTGTGCTGTATATACACACGAGCACAGGCCTCTCCTTGTCGCCTGTCCGTCTGGCATAGCATCATTAGGCGAGAGTGGTGATGTGATGTCTTGTTAGATCGAGTCCGTCCAGGAACAGCAAATCCATTCGACGACGATGACAGGTCGAGCTAAGGAGCGGCCCAAACGCCCGGCACTTGGCCTACGACAGCTCCCCCTTTGGGGTTTGGGTCTTGTCCTACCACCGAAACCGTCAGAATCGTTCCTCGAACTGCCTGCCTCCCGGCCGTTGTGTCTTGGGCCCTGGAAGGGGGTGGTGGGTGGTGGTTTAAGCATTCCGCAGGAACACATCACATCACATACACATCACATGCGTCACCTGTTTTGTTCATGTTCATTTTGTGGTTCATCTATGCAATCTGAGGGAAAAGAAAAGCAGGGAAAGGGACTTATATTGAAATCATCTTACCATAACCAGCTTATTTTAGCAGGGCGCATGTCCTATCCTGCCCATCCTCCTCCATTCTAGAACGGCCCCATAGCTTCTGAGATCTTCACCCGCGAAGAAGGACCCTGAGAATATCTATCTCGCCTGTCTATCACCTCGCCGTCAATCACACCATCGCTTCGAGATCACCAGCCAGGCCAGGCCGTCCACACGTTATCATTTATCTACTGTAGGCTGTAGCATGTATGCACGTCTATTATCCCTCCGGCCCCTCAGGTCCCTCCACCCCCTATGGGCCCCCTATTCCGTGCTGATCCCAACTTGAGATCTGGGGATGGGCCCGCCTCCCATCTGCCAATCTCGTTCCGAGGAGCTCGCCGTGGCCCCAGGGATCATATGTCAGTCCGCGCTCGGTTTTCCTGCGAGAGCTTGGCCACCCAGCCAGTAGGGTGCGCAGGGGGGCCCGCCCACCCCGTCAGGGCTGGAGAGCACCCCCCCTTCTGAAACAGCCACCCACCTGCTCCGTACTGTGGTCTCTGGCAAGCATTGCTCGGCTCGTATTTTCCTTGCCCACCTGTAATGAAATAGAATGTTGCCCTCACCGCTCTGCCGGGCCAGGTGGCTGCGGATGGATGGGTGCAGCCCCCTCCCCCCTTCATTCGGTTCAGCTGGCCCCACCGCTGGCACGCGGCCAGCTCACGGCTGTCAACGGGCGACATGACCACACATAATAAGAGGCCAGGTAGAGACACCAACTACGACTCCGTGCCTCGTGGCCGCCGTTGAGAGCACGACCAACGCCTTTGCCGCCCTCGTGCGTGCTGAGGAATAGGCCAGAGAATCCGACCCACCTGCGCGGCTCGCCGCAGGCCCGCCAGAGATTCCCTCCCCCAATTGTCAATCTTGCTGGAATTGTTGCCCTCCAGCACTATTAGGCGCTGAAATGCAGTATTGGAGAGAGGCGACATTTTGGGTCTCCAAAAATAGAAACACCCCAGCGCGCCTCTTTCTGGGTCCCGGGAGGCCTTGTTGGAGGAGGGTGCTCGTGTCGACGCGACCGCCTGCCAGCCTGCTCACATCTCCCGTCGGCAGCCTCCGCCCTATCCCCCATCCGGTAATGACAGACGTGAGGCTGTGCTGCGCCTTGCTCGCTGCTCAGCCAGGGGGCTTGGTTGGCGGTTTGTCTCGACTTTTTTTTTTCTGGGGTTGCCTGCTCCCTAACATTTCCCGCGCCGTCTCAAGGAGGGATACCTTCGCGGTTTGTTATCCATCCACTTCGCCGATTCTCTGCCGACAGCACTCACAGAAGCCAGCCAGGCAGGACGGACGAAAGGGCGTCTTTGTCACAGAAACGTCCATCTGCCGATCGAACGACTCGTGCGCGCGAAAAAGGGCTCACCTCAGCGCATGCAGCGCGATGGATCTCCTCAAGCACGTCGGGATCCAGCGCGCACTCCTGCCTGCTTCAGCCACTGGGGCGGCGGGAACGAGCCTTGCTTGACACGTCCTTGCTCCGCGATCCAGTCTGAACTCTGAACTCAAATCCTTTCGAGAGTTGGGACCTGTTCGATTTGCGGGCCCGGCCAGGGGAGGGCGGCCAACAAGTAAGCCGCAACAAGCAGGACGAGGTGCACATGTGACAAGAGAGCCAGCACTGCCTGCGTTGAGGAGGCCCGGCCCCGATCTTCGCGGCCTTGGAATTGGGGATGGGGGGCATCCCGAGCCCGGGCAGACCGCCGGTCGGCCCTCCTTTCCGGGAATGTTTGTGTTTCGCAACCGGTCTCACGCGATGGTGTGCATAGTTGGTCACAACGCCAGCCACGCCCCGTACTCACTAAGAGCTCCTCGTGTCAGTGTCTCGCCTCGCCCAACCCCTTGCCTCCCTCTTCCGCATTCTTGTCGCTACACAGTCAGGGAGCGGACCGGAATGGACCTCGTGAGAAGGGTTCGTCGCAGAATTCTAATTCGATGGCCATCCCGACCGGGCGGGACCCAACGAGAAACCTAGAGCCTAGGGGCCACAACCGGCTCTGTTGTGACTTTCGGGCTTGTGCTAGTCATTAGAGCGGTGGGCTAGCTACCTCACCCACGTGTCGTGAGTCCAGTAGAGACGGTCAAAGTGCGCCGCGCGTCACGAGGGCGAGGGGACGGCATTGCTGTTGACGTCCAAAAGGTCCATTGGCCCTGTCGGATTGCACGATTTCCGAGCGTGAGCATCGCGCCGTATCAGCCTGCTGCCAAGATGCAACTCACAACGAGCGACTCGACATATGAATAACATGGCGCCTCTGGCATTGGGAAGACCTGAGAAGTCACAAGTTGCCCCGCCGTTGACAACAAACTCTAATGCTAACGAATGGGGATCCCGGCCATCGTAGTGGACAAAGGCCCCGTTTCCCCTCATCTCACTTTTGTCCCTCATACGCCACACCGCGGGAGCCAAGTGATAAACTTCTCGCGTGGGTAGCACAGGAGAGAACGCTCTCGCCTAGGACGACAGCCCTGTGCCCCCATCCGCGACTCTCCCCGGGTCCGCATGACACGAGGACGGAGTGAACTGAGTGATTGACCACCACCAGCGAAGGGAGGCAGGTTGGTGATCGTCACTGCAGGGCAACACAGCACGCGCCGCCTGCACACGACCTTGTGAGCAACCTTCGGAGCACGCAGGGCCGACTGGCCTGCCCCACCACAGGGTGGCTGATCGGGTGGCCCCCCCTCAATCTATCGGCCGTCAGCGATGGGTGTTGGGGGTTGCCATGCTGTGGAAGGGTGACTCGTCATTCTCAAGGTTCGAGGAGGATTCGGCTGTGGTTTCTCTGCGGCTTGAGGATCGCTGGTACGGGCCACTGGGGCACGCATCCGGCTCTTTGCATGATTGTTGTACAGTGCCCAGAGTTGTTAGTATAGTCTCGTCCATGCCGCAGGCCAGATCAATGATGATCGAGGAGGATCACGATACGGACTCCAGGCTCGACAGAGCAGCCCGGATAAATACTCGGGCCGCTTGCAAAACGTCTCTGCATGCATCGTGCACTGTCTGTCGTTAGGCCAGGCTGAAGACAGCGGGCAGCAGTCCCAAGCTTTGCTTTGATTACCAAAGGCAAAAAGGGCGTCCGACCATCAGACGCTGGCGAGGAGCGAGGGTTGGAGTTTGGTTGGTAGGACGAGAGAAATTGAAATTGCAGGGGTCGGCAAGTTCCCAGCATCCAAGAGAGCAAGGAGAGGAGGGCTAAGCCGATTCGAGCAAGGTCCGACTTGGTAGGCGGCGGTACCAGGAGGGGAAGGAAGTAGATAGATTGACGTCGTATGCGGCCATGGAATTAAGAACTTGTCAAGCCCTTGATCCGTCCGTTGGGCCATTTTTTAACGCCTCACCCACGAGTCGTCGATGGGCTTCAGAACAGACAGGGCCATGGCGTTCGCTTGTTGTTCCCCACCCCTTCTGCGGAGAAGATTTCCTTACGAGTGTGCGAGTGCGAATGAAGGGCTCGCCAACCAGAGGCGTAGGCTCTCGGACGGGAGGGGAGGGGCCAGTCGTGGTTTGTATGGGTCCATAGACCCGCTCGGCTGGGGCCAAGGAGTCGTGCCTGAAGCAGGCTTTCAAGGTCTGCAAGGCCGGCTTGGAGCTAAATAGATTGGGGACATAATGGATGCGCTATTGACGCCGTGGTACGTATCGCCCTATCTGCTGACCGACATCACTCACTATTGGATTTGCACGCGGCTGTCGCCTGGCTCTGTTAGCAGCCGTTAAATTGGAACTTAGAAAGGAGGAGGCAAATGCGCGGGAGAGGCGGGCAGTAGTACCACAGTAGCACAGGGGAGCAGGGGCCCAGGGCCTAGAACTCGAGCACTCTCATTCCCGCGTGCCTCCTTGGCTTGCAGGCTTGCAGGCTTGCCGCTTGTCTCTCTGCAGCAGCGGTACATGGCCCGGTTGATCCATTGGTCTCGTCGCCTACCGACCCAATCTATGTCGGATGTCACGCTGGCTGTCGATACTCGCTTCCCTTGCCCTGCTTGCCCGTGCCTTCCCATCCCCCATCCCATCCCATCCCCCATCCCATCCCATCCCACACGAAGCCCCACCTGCCCTGATGATCCGGCCAATCCACTCATACGCCCGCCCCCCCACCCGAGCCAGAGCCAGAGCCAGCCAGAGCCAGCCCATTCCACTCCCCAATTCCACCCATCTCCTCCGCCCGCAATCGATATTCCCGCCCATCTCATCACAATCTCGCGCCCGTACCTACCCATGACCTGACCTGACCTTGACATCTCCCAACCTGGAGACTGATTTCTGACTTCTGCCGTGCTCAAACCCAACTCAAATCTCGTTGACCTGCCACCCTGCCGTGCCGTTCCGTTCTTCGACGATTGTGGCCGATTGTCAAAGCAACGCAACGCCATCGCATCGCATCCAACTCAAAGGACCGAACCGACGGCAGCAACGCAGCAGACAGACAGCACAGGACGGCCAGGCCAGCTGCCGATGGGGCTTTCCACTTTCCACTCAGCATAGACTGACGACGACTCGACTCTCTCTCTCTCTCTTTCTACCTACTTTACATTCTCTTCGTGTTCTATAGGAGCTAGTTCTCCTAGTCGCTCGCTTTACGACCTCGCATTCTCAGCCCGTCCGCTGTTGGCTTTCTCCGCCCTTGAAACAAACTCCCCTTTTACCCGACGACCCCTTTCACGACGATTCCGACCACGAAAAATCATCACTTGGCTTTCACTCGCTCGAATAACACAGACACTCCTTGCCTCTTTTTTTGACGTCCATCTCGTTGTTTCCTCGAGAAATAAGTCTCTCGTCGACGCCACCCCCGACACCAAGTACAAAGTACTGCACCGTGCATGAGCGTGTGCGTGGATCCTATTTAAAGAATAAGCAGCCTCGCCAAGCCCCAGCTGAAAGGAGCCATCCGCCTGGCCCTTGTGGTCGAACCTGTCTGATCCTCGACCCGGATCTGCGGTTACCTTGCTTACCAGTTTGTCGATCTTCTCACAAACAAGTCCAATTGAATCGACGAGGAACAACGTCGACTCGGACCTACTCGTCGAACCCGTCCCTCAGTCCCCTGTCGCACGTCACGATGCCGATCCCAGAAGAAGGTATAGTCGAGATCAACCCACCCTCCGTGCCTTGGCCGCCGAGCGCTCCTGTTGCATGTCATCGTCTCAGTCCGAAGCAGCAGAAGCCTGGCATCGCCAACCAACGACATATTGCTAACCTCGCTTGTTCACAGGCTCGTACCCCAGCCTCTTTGCTCGGCAAAGCGGCTGTGTGCAATGCCAGGAGGGCACGCCGTCATGTCCTAATTGTGAGGATGGAAGGGAGTGCCAAATCTCAGTCCCTCTCGACTGCACCCAATGTCCACAAGCCTACTGCGCCGTTTCGTCCACCCCCTCATCATCGTCAAGTTCGTCAAGTTCCAGTCCAAAAGCCAGCGGTGGGGCCATAGCTGGTGCCGTGATAGGAGGTATTGCCCTGATTGCTCTGGTCGGAGTCGGCACCTACCTCGCATGGAAGCACTGCGTCAAGAACAAGAGGGCGTCGTTCGAGCAAGGGCAGTGGGAGGACGATGGGGAGTATGCTGGGCAGCGCGAGAAGGACTTCAACGCCATGCGGGACGGAAGGGCATCTACGCAAGCCCGCAACTCGATCGCCTCCACCGTCCTGACCCGCGCCTCCAACATCATCCAGATCGCCTACATTCCCGGCGTCACGAACCGGGCAACACCAACGTCACCGACGCTGCTGGTACCCCCAGTACCCCCGATCCCCATTGCTGTCTCCCAGGCCGGCACGCCAAACTCCACCGAGGACCAGCACTTCTTCGTTCCCGGTGACCTTCGCGACTCTATGGCCTCTGGCATGACGGGCTACACCGACCGCACCTCTTTCGCCCGAACTTCCTATGCACCCCGCTCGAGTGTTGCCTCTACCATCTACGGCAAGGCCGGTGTCGTTGTCACCCCGGCACAGACTGGTATGCGTGCGAAGGCTGCCATGGTCAGCGTCAAATCAACCGGCAGCGGTTCTTCCGAAGGATCAGTGCCACCAGTGCCCGCCGTGGACAGGAGCAGGTTCCATGGCCCCGAACCCGCTAGCCCATCTGGCAGCACCTTCAGCATCGGCTCGACGTTCATGAACAACGCCAAGAGTGCAACCGCCGTCCGTGCCCAGGTCGTCCGTGTCGGCAGCAACCTGAAGCAGTCGTCAACGGCGTCCAGTGTAAAGACGACACCGGCGAACGCCGCAGACAGCACCGATGACGAGCGAGAAGACGCCGTCACCGCCCGCTCCGGCATGTCGACACCCAGCACACTGCCACCACCACGGGATGAGCAACAGAGCCCGTTCCGTGATCCAAGCCCCTCGCCACCACCAGCGCCCCGTGCCTCGGGTCTGAGCACCGTTGCTGAGTCGGCGCGGAGGCAGTCACAGGGCCCTCCACGGGGTGTCAGCCCATTCAGTGACCACCACGCGACACAATAAAGTGGGCGATGCTTCCTGCCATGGCTCAGAACCCCTTGATCGGGTCGACGCGAACTAAGCCGAGGCTGCGACACATTTTCATCTATACAGCCGCCCACCACCTATCATCTATCTATCCATCTACCCATCTACCTACATATTCGGAAGGAGGATCTTATACCCATTCATCTGTCCATCTACTACTTCTTATTGTCTTTTATTTTGGTAAACTGGGAGCAGGGATACGCACGACTTTGACAAAGCTCACTGATCAAACGGGAATGGCGGCGGCTATCTTATGCCTTCTATATGGGAGGGTGACTTCTTTGACCCCGGCGTTTTCTGCTATCTTTATATATATCTTGGGAGGAACTCACGAGTACTCCCGCCAAATCAACTACGTTTCCTCGTGAACAGGGAGGCTGAATTTCCCTTGACTCAATTTTATCATGTCATCTTGGATATGAGGTTTTGGCTTTTCGGCACGAATATATGCGGACGGACATACGCGCCTTTCGACTCCCCGCGGGGAGTGGGCCTCCAAAGAAAGAGATGTCGCGGAGGACACTTGGGCACGCGAGGATGGTGGAAGGAGGAGAGGCATATGTACCTTTCTGAGTGAGGTGTGGTCGGGGGTTAGGGACATGAGAGAACGGGGGGGGGTGGGTTGCAGACACTCGGAAGTTCCGTGTCTTGACGTCCTCACTCCCGTCATTACTCGAGCCCCCATGGCCCCACCCCCTTTCGGTCTTCTTGAACTATCATTCTCTGGTATATCTTGAACCTCGGACGGAGAGGGCCGTCCCTTTTTTTTTGTTTTTGATTTCACCCCGCCTTTGTCTGCTGTGCGTGTGGTCTTGGGCGTGAGGGGTAGGTCCGAGGCGGGGCTTGGATAGAGAGAGGTGGCTGGCGGTCTGGATGGCTGATGTGGATAGAGTCGTATATTCAATGTTATGTGATATGACTTGATGTGATGTGACCTGGTCGCGTAACTGAGTGCCCTGACGAGACGAGTTTGATAGACTTTTGGCTGTGTGATAGATGTCTTGTGCTTGAAAGTGGGTGTTTGATTGGATCATGTCCTGGGCCACGGGCGGTCCGCTCCTCGGTTCTTTTATTGTTATTTTTATTACTTGTTTCCCCTTGTCTACATTGCTGTGCGAGCGAGTTGAGAACCCACCCTCTCACCCTCCGTGACGCAACTGCCCTGTTGGTGCTGATTTCTTCTCAGCCTGCTGTGGTTCGTTGCATGTCCCCTCACGTGTCCCTGTTCGTCCGTGTGGGTTGGAGCAGTTAGATAGACCGACAGCTGGGTGTGAGCTCAGGTGAGTATAATACCTGCCTGCCTACTAGACACTATAGGGTGGATAAGTAAGTAGGAAAGTGTCCCCCCCTCTGCTTGAGATTGGAATGAAGCGTGGTCTGGGTGAATGACACATGTATACATATATATATCTAGAGCAAGACAGGAAGGGGGATCCGGGTGGTGTTGGGACGGGGGGCGGTCTCTTTCGCCCTGGATATATGTGTGCCCCTTTTGTACTACGAAATAGAACCTAGGTGGGAGAGGGTGTGTGATGTGGGTCATATACCTTTTTATAAGTGGTATATGTACTCGTTAATACTGTTCCTACTATTACTAGCTTCTTTTTCCTTTCTATTTATTATTGTTTTGGGATTTATTGATTCGGGGTAGTAGGTGGGTGTCATTAGGTTATTGTCTACTAGTAGCTATATATACAGGTATGTGTGTGTGTGTATGCATCTATATCCCTCTGCAGCTCACTGCTAACGATACCTACACCGTTTGTTTTCCTTGTCTGTCTGCCTGTCTGCCTGTCTGCCTGCCTGCGTGCTATCCTTGCCACGTGATTATTCGGCGTTGGGATGTCCTGTCAGATAAATATGTATGTATGTCTTGTTTCGGAGGTGGTGTTGTGGGGGGGGGGGGGGGAGGGGCGAAGGGGCAAATTTCGGACGAACATCCTCACTCCGGGCTCTGCCGGGCGGTGCAAGGCGCGTATCGTATCTAGGTATCTATCTATCTGTCAACTGTATTATGCATCACCGGTCTACTCGCCATTATGCCCGTCTGCTTGCTCAGGTGTTTGTGGCCCCCGGCGCCGGGGGCGGCGGGGGATAGACAGATGATGGTGAAGTCGGGCGGGCCACAAGGACATTAAAGACCCAGGAGGCAGAGGTGATGAGAGAGAGAGGACACATACATCATGTCCCCTCCCCCCCTCTTCGAATTCACATTTGGTTGTTCATCTTCCCCTCGCATACCGGACTTGCCACGTGCGCAATGGATGGATATATATGTGTGTACAAGGGGGGATATCATTATAAGATTCAAAAAAATAAGTACTGAGAAGGCGCAGATATGTGTGGCAAGCAGTATGCCGTAGGCAACAGACAGCTCAGGCCCGTTCAACGCCGCCGGAACCAGCCTTTCCCCGTGATCACATTCACACACACACACACACACGGCGAGACATATTATAACACCTCACTCAACACATCAACACCCCCCGCCACACCCGGAACCCGCCCAGCTAGTTCTTCTTGGCGGGGAAGTGCATCTCCCCCGCGCCCCCGATGACCATCTTGTCAAGGATAGCCCCGATGCCCTTGTTGCGCGCCACCCCGCCATCACCCCCCTCGGCAGCAGCGGTGGAAGCAACGACCCGCTCGATGTCCTCGGCGACGCGGCGCGCCCGCGCGATGAGGACCTCGAGCACGGCGCGGGTGTACGCGAACGACCCCGCGGCCTCCATGTGCGCGACGGCGTAGCGCTTGACCTCGTCGTCGGCGGTGCGCTGGCGCAGGATGTTGAGCAGGCGCAGGTCGGCCGGGTCGGCGCGCACGGCGTGGATGACGGGGAAGCTGAATTTCCCTTCGGTCAGGTCCTCCGCCAGCCCCTTGTTGTCGCTGTACTCTGGGGACCGCAGGTTCTGGTAGTCGTCGCGGATCTGGAAGATGAGGCCGATGAGGTTGATGAGGGGGACGCAGTCGATCGGGGGCTGCGCGGCGGAGGGGGATGACGACGCCCTACACCGCGGGCTCTCGGCCTGCATGAGCTTTATCCCCAGCCTGAAGAGGCCGCCGGTCTTGTTGCCGACCATCTCGAGGTACTCGTCCTCGGTGGGGCAGGTGAGGGTGTCGCGCCAGAAGAGGTCCATGCCCTGGCCGCGGTGGAGGTTGAGCAGCTCGTCGGCGAAGACGGCGACGCAGGTGGGGTTGCCGAGCTTCTGCAGCTCCTCGAGGGCGCAGAAGTAGACGTAGTTTGCCGAGTTGATGGTCTGGGGGACGCCGTAGAGGGCGTGGGCGACGGGGAGGCCGCGGCGCAGCAGGCTGTTGTCCTCGACGTCGTCGATGAGCAGGGAGGCGGTGTGGAGCATGCCGACGACCTTGGTGATGACCTCGATGCTGGCGGGGGGCACGTCGAGCCAGGCGTTGAAGGCGGCGATGAGCTGGGAGCGGAAGTCCTTGCCGCGCTGCTCGTTGAGGTACTCGTAGGGCCCCAGGATGACGCGGTCCTTGTCGGGGGCCCAGGACTTGGGCCCGCCGATGAAGTTGAAGTCGTCGTGGGCGTAGCGCGAGGGGTCGGGCGGGGGCGGGGGCCTCTGGGACATGTTGGCGAGGATGGAGGTCGAGGGGAGCGAGGAGCGGCGCGGGCGCTTTGCGGCGGAGGGGGAGGAGGAGGAGGAGGAGGCGGCGGTGGGCGGGGAGCGGTGGTGGTAGGGCGGGGTGCCGGAGCCGATCCAGTCGGCCTCGGGGACGGGGCGGAGGATGGAGGCTCTCGAGGAGGGCGAGGCGGCGGCTGCTGCTAGGAGGGAGGAGCTGGTGGCGTGTTGGCCTGTGGAGGAGGTGCGTGGCGGGATCGCATTTGGCGACGGGAGGAAGACGCTGCTCGAGCTCGGGTTGGACGGGGTGGTCGGCATGCTTCCGTCTTGTAGGCAGGCGGGTTGGGTGTCGTGTTCGGGAGGAGGCGTGCCAGTGGGCAGAGAAAGGGGGGTAGGTGGTGTGGGGGCCAGGGCGATTTATCGTGTTGGCCCGAGGGATGGATGGATGCCTGGTGTGGGTTGGTGGTACTCGGTAGACTGGTACCGCGGCGTGGTGTTGGTAGCAAAAAGGCCAGGCAGGAAAAGAGGAGTCGTCCGTAAGTACTAGGTCGTATGCGCTAGGAACAAGAGTTGGAATGGCGTGGTGAAGATTGCTGTTGGTCTGCTGCAGTCAGCATGGAGACCTGTCCAAGATCATGGGATTTTCCCAAACAGAATGAGGTCGAGGTTGAGCTCGTGCATATCGTGGGCCTCGCTAAAGCAAGCAGGCAAGCTCGGCTGTGCCGGGATGCTGTCCCTGCAAGGTCTCTCTGCTCGTGCAGGCCAACGCAAGATGCAATGGCTGAGCCTGGATGCTGAGCTGAAGCCTAGCTGGCGGCTGGCTGAGCAGGCTCACATGCTTTTTTCTCGTGTCTCTTCTACACCGATGACGACGGTGGGCCCATCATCACAGGCTGAGAGAGACAGATAGAGAGAGAGAGAGAGAGAGAGAGAGAGAGCTGTTGCTTGCTTGCTTGCGCAGAAGGTTGAACCCTGGAGGTGACGGCGGGGTGCATTGGGTGGTGGGGGTGCAACGAGCTGGAGTGGGGAAAGGCAAGGAGAGGGAAGGGAGCTTGTCAGCTTGTCTGAGCTGGTTGGTGCTTACTTAAGCCAGCGTCATGAATCCGGTTCTGTGGTCTGTGGTCTGTTATGATGGCATTTGGATGACCTGGACAAGAGGTGATTGCTCATAGGTAAGTTTAAACAAAATACGGATATACTGGATTGTATGTATTGTTGAGATTGTTAAAATATCCTCTACTCTACGGTACGGAGTTGTGATCAGACTGGTCGACGCATTGGATATGAAACATGAGGTGGTACTCCCCACGGAACCGAACTCATCCTTTGCCGCCGTTGCTGCTGCTGCTGCGTTGCTGGAGGACAGGAGCTCATAGGGCTACCCTGAGGCTCTGCGCTCTGACTGTGTGATGTTCTCTCTTCCCCTGCAGTCGGCACCCAGACGGTGAAGAGCACAGCACCTCCTAAGCGTGTGCATATGTACCCCTGGGCCGGTGCAGAACCGGTGCAGACTGGTGCAGGCACTGCCAGACAGGCCCGTGGGTCTCCGAGGTTAGTTCAGTCAAGCTCGGGGTCGTTGTGGGGGGGGCTGATGAAGGGGCGGAGGGGCCAACACGTGCAGCTGCGGGCTGGCTGTGTGTGTGTGTGAGTGTGTGTGGATTTGCCAACCTGAAGCACGAGGGCTGTCGAGGCTCCCCTACCAGGAAGAAACACACAGGCCTGACAGCTCCGTCTGTGCATATACGATATGTTTGGGTATGTTTGGGTTGGTATTGTGTGTGGTACGGAGCAGGCTTGTGGGCAAGCTTGGCAAGGATCACTGATGGCCTGTGACTTGGGCCGTCTGGCCGTGGGGGGGATTTCTGATTGATCTGCACGGCCTGCACGGCAGAGGGCAGCAGGCAGGAGGATCCCCCCCAGCTGCCCCCCAGGCCCCCCCAAGCGCCAGGTGCCAGGCAGAGCCCACCCCAAATGGCAGGGCGGTATGCAGGGTGCAGGCGCGTGTAAGCTCGAGGGTAGATGCCTGCAGCTGTCATCACAAACCAGGCGGCTGCCGTGTGTTGTCTCTGTCGAGGTTGCCCAGCCACCTATCGATAGCCGACGGGTGCTCAGAGGGATCGAGATTGTGGTAAATACCTGGGTGGTCGAGTTGACGTCGTTGCTATAGACAGCAGGTTGAAATGCAGCCCTGCTTTTCTCACTCAGGGTCTTACCTGCAGAGGCGTCGGAACCCACAGTGATGCAGTCATGCGCTGCCCTAGCCTGTAGTGTGTTGTTTATTTAGGGCCCAAAACACTGTTGGTCCCCACTCTGCAGCGGGTCCGCCATCATCATCCTCATCCTCATCCCTCCACAATTGACGTATCGAACCCGATCCAGCCCAACTGCCATCGCTCAGCCCTGGCACGGCTGCACGGCTGAACTCTTCAGCTCTGACTGGCGCCTTCGTGAGTTCCTATTTGAGCGAGCCGTCGCCTGGTCGGTCCTGGTTGTTTGTTTGGTTGTTATTCAATCAAGTGCACTCGCTACTTATTAATTCAAATCATCACCACCATTATTCCTCCCCTCGTCGCTGCTGGTCATCCTTTGCGACAGCACAGTACCTCGGCAGATCGTCAGCGGCTTCTGGAACCCTCCGCCACGATCCTTAATCCAAACCCACACCCACATCCAACCCGAAACCCAAGCGAACGGTGCTAATCCGTATTTCCCTGCCCTACCCTCCCCCCCACGATGGAGACCCTCCTCTCTGTCGCATTCGACAACCTGGCCTCCTACGACGGGCCCAAGGTCAAGAAGGGCCTGCGCCAGGTCGAGGGCCTGCTCGCCCAGATCTGCCTGTCAGCACACGCCGCCAACAGGAACAAGGCCAACAACAACGGCAGGCGGTCCCGCTCGGCGTCGCCCACCAGCCCAGACCAAAAACAACAGCCAGTCCAACCACCACCGACATCACCAAAGCAGCAGCAAAAGCCCAGCTTCCCGCTGTCGGACCTCAGCGGCGATGCGGCCTTCCGCGAGTTCTTCAAGCTGCAGGACGGGTTCCAGTGGAACATCGCCACGCGCCTGATCCAGACCCTCGACCGGCTGCTGGCCAAGAGCGACGACGGCAGCATGGACCTGCTGATGCTGAGCGCCCTCGACTCGCTGCAGGGCGTGCTGCTGCTGCACCCCGCCAGCAGGCTGCTGTTTTCCCGCGAGCAGAGCATGAACGTATGTATTGTGTTGTGGTTCTCCCACTCAGACCCCCCCCCCATGTCACACACACACACAAATAAAACTAACCAACATGACCACCACAGCTCCTCCTCGACCTCCTCGAGCCCGTCAACTGCCCCGCCATCCAGGCCGCCACCCTCCTGGTCCTGGTCGTCGCCCTCCTCGAGACCCCGCGCAACACGCGCACCTTTGAGAACCTCGACGGCCTCCTCACCGTCTCGTCCATCTTCAAGTCGCGCTCGACGGCCCGCGACGTCAAGTTCAAGACCATGGAGTTCCTCTACTTCTACCTCATGCCCGAGACGCCCTCCCTGCCGCGCGCCGGCTCCGACGGCCTGCTGCAGCGCAGCCCCAGCAAGCTCGGGCGGGCCTTTGACAACGGCAGGAAGAGGACGGGCTCCGACGAGGACATGGGGGCGCCGGGCGAGGACCAGACCCTCGACCAGCTCGTCAAGCAGGAGATGCTGCGCCGGCACCTGCCCAACGTCGACGAGCTGGTCAAGGACCTGCAGCAGTATGCGCCCTTTGGCGGGGCTGTTGCCTGAGGCTGGCCGGGGTGGTGCGGGATGTGATGTTTGGGCTTCTTTTCTTCTGTCACGGGTGATTTGTTTTTCTCTTTTTTTCCTTTTGGTCGGATCGTCTTTTCAGCGGGCGGCGTTGGGAAATATACATATGAGATACCTGGATAGGGGAAAGGGGGAATGTGGTATTTCTTTTCCACTGTAATATTATTTGTACAACATAAGAGGCTCTGTCAGAAGGGTGAGAGCGGGAGAGATGGCCATGGCCAGTCATTCTTGATTCCAGCAGCAAGGGACAGGAGGCAACATAATCGATGCCACGGCGGCGGAGTTTAATATACATCAGAACAACAGGAACCATCACAATAGATGCCGCGATTTCGCATTGCATTACATACATACATACATACAATCACCCAGCCGGCCCCTTCTTGCCGCCCTGCGCCTGCTGCTGCGCCTGCGCCGCCTGCTCCTCATGGCTCATGGGGCTCGGCGTCCCCAGCTCGCTCGCGCTCAGCTCGCTCCCGGGCGTCCCCAGCGGCCGCGGCGCCCGCGCGTAGTCCGTCCCCGCCCCTACCCCCGCCGGCACGTCGGTCCCGTACAGCTCGAACCGCCCAGCGATGCTGTCCCGGACCGCGGGCGACCCCGCCCCCTGCCTCCTCGCCGAGAGCGACCCGCCGCCGCCATCCTCCGAGCCCCCCTTCTCCCTCGCCACGAGGCTGTCCTCGCCGCCCCCGCCCCCTACGCCCCCGCCCATCTCCACCGCGGAGGTGATATCGCCCGGGCCATGGGGGGCGCCGCCGCCGCCGCCACGCACGCGCCTCGCGTTGTGGTCGCCGCCGTCGTTGGCCCCTCCCCCTGCGCCAAAGAAGTAATTCGGATGTTGTTGGTAGTCCGCGTGCCCCGGGGGCGTGGAATACGGCCCCGAGGCGGCGGCAGCAGGGCCGAAGTAGTCGCGCCCCAGGCCCGGCAGCGGGCCTGCCCCTCCTCCCCCTGCCCCTCCGCCTCCGTAGCCGGCGGACGACGACGCCCCGTCGGCCTCGGACATGTGCGGGCCCGAGCTCGGCCCGTACGCGCGGATCCCGCCGTCGTCGCTCTCGTAGCGGCCCGCGGCCGCGAGGCGGTGGCGGCCGGGCCGTCCACCCCCACCGCCGACGCCGCTGCCCATCTCGTTGGCCGAGGTGGTCGCCGTGCTGCGTGCCCCATGCCGCCGCCGCCGGCGCAGGCAGAACCACGTCGCGCCGCCGATGGCCAGCGCCGCGGCCAGGACGACGCCGACGGCGATGCCGGCCTTTGCGCCCGCGGACAGGCCCCGTGGGGACGACACGACGGAGATGTCGGAGCCGGTCGGCGCGGGCGCCGCGGTGGAGGATGCGGACGTCGCGGGGGCGCACACGGCGCGGGATCCAGAGTCCACGGCGCACGTGTAGCCCGCGCCGCAGCAGCCCGTGGAGGTGGTGGCCGCGCCCGGCCCGCCGACGGAGCAGGTCGAGTCGCCCTGGCGGGAGCAGCCCGAGGGGATCATGGTGGCGAGGGTGGGGCCGGGCAGGGGGCCGCCGGCCGTGGAGGTCGTGGCGCCGCCGCCGCCGAAGTCGAGGCATTGTTTGTTGCTGGCGCAGGCCTGCCCGTAGGCGCAGCAGTTGCCGCCCATGGACTGCGGGCAGAGGTAGTTTGCGCCCGCGCAGGGCCTCCCCACGCATGCGGCGGCCGTGCCTGTCGTCGTTGTTGTGGAGCTGCTGGCGGTGATGGCCTCTGTGATGGTCACCTCGGCGAAGTACGACGCCGTGCCGCAGGTGACGCCGCAGTTTGAGCCCAGGGCGCAGCACTGGACCTGCAGGGTCGAGTTTATTATGCAGTAGTCCGTGTTTGGGCAGCAGAGGGTCGAGTTGAGGTCGGAGCCTGGGGGGTCGGGTGTGGTTAGTATGTATATCGTATATCTGTATGTATGTATGTATGTATGTATGTATGAGGGGCATGTGCTCACATGGGTGCCGGCCATCACCGCAGTCGCCGTCCCTCTTGGCCAGGGAGGCCGGGCGGGCCGCCACGGCGTCGTAGAAGGACTGCTTCATCACGGCCGGCATGGCCCCGAAGTCCTGCCATTGTTGTTGCTGTTGCTGCCGGTCGTGGTGGCCGGCGACGTGGCCGACAAGCAGGCCGAGGCCCGTGAGAGCGAGCCTGAGTCTCATCGTCATGAGAGATGCGTATGTATTCTACTCCTTGCTACTCCCCGCCGAGGTTGTACCATCGGGGGTAGTCCCCGGCTCAGGACACAGGGGGTTGGCTCTGATGGCAGCAGCTCACGACATGACCTCCGTCGCTGGGGAGAGGTATCATCGTCGTGAGTGGTGGGGCCTTTTGTGTGGAGTGGAAAGTCCAAGGAGAGAAAAAAAAAAAAGAGGGAGAAAAGGTTCAAATGAGGACACGACGTGTGAGAGAAAGAAAGGGTCACACAAAAAGATGGAGGGACCCACTCCGGAATACACAACCGGGATGCGACCCCGACGTGCAGGAGAGAGGGTCGACGTCCGGTCGGCGCGGGGCAACTGCTGCTGCTGCTGCTGTGTGAGAGTCGGGAGGCCACCGGATTGGCCTGGACTCAGTGCAATGCAGTGTGGGAGGGGAGACATTGTGACATTGGATCTGAGAAGAAGAGGATGGTCGACTAATAAGCAGCCGAGATGTGGCGCGATATTCCTTCCTTGGGACAGAATCCCATCGCCCCCGGAATTGTCTCTGTGAGATGAGCGCTACGCAAGTCAGGTCAGGTCAGCCCAGACAGGGCAGAGACAGGCAGGCTGGCTGGCAGCATGTATGCCCCTCGCGTGTGCAGGTTGGGAATAGAAGGACGCAGTCCCTCGCCGCCGTGGTGCATTAGCGCCGACCAGGACTGTTCGACCCTCACTCAGCCAGGCGCCTCATCAGCCTGCAGCCCTGGGCAGCTCACCCACACGCCCCCGGCTGTCCCGACACGGCAGGTTGGCCTGCTGCAGTGGCGATCTCCTACCAAGATTGAGGGAGGCATGGCCGACGAGCCGGGTGTACGTGCCCAAGATGCATGCATGTACGTGAGGGCAGATAGGGAGAGGGTTGAAGTCTGTCGTCGAAAACGGGCTGCATGGGCCGAGGTTTAGACGGGTGCTGCGGCAGGGTTCAGGCAGGCAGTCAGTCAGTCAGTCTGGGTTCTCCTCCAAGGTTGGACCCTGCTCCCGAACAGGTCCAGTCGGTGCTGCCTGGTTGGTGCTGCGCTCCAGGGCTTCGATAGTACGCTTACATGTTCCTCCCACACGTGAGATCGGTACGGTCAATTGTTGACCGAGACGAGACAGACTGGCATAATCGACGTGTCATGCGTTCATTCAGACGGCCATGCCAGATGCTCGACTCGGAGTGCTCAATGCTTTGCGGGACTTGTTCTTAGCCCCTAGGCCATGCCACCTTATATTCGAGTACAACAAAGTTGGGACATTTTTTGAAACTAAATCGATCGTATCTGTCCATGGGTCAAGTGCACCAAAGAATTTAGGGTTTCCTGTCATCCAGCATGTACATATGACGGAATCATCTAATTGTTCCTAGGGAGCAATGGAGCATCTACATTAGAATATAGGCCTATTATAGGAGCACTGAGGCTTATTAGTACTTAGAACTCAAGCATTTTATATCCCTATACCTTGTTCTACCCTTTTTATTGATAAGTTCTAGCTACTTAACTCAATTAAAATCCTATAATTCTATCTAATTTAATTAGCTTCAAGCTCCTATATATATATATAATAAATAATAATATATAGTTTATCTATCTAAGTATACTTACTTAAATATACTTTATACTTATATAATTTTTTATTTATCTTCTTTTTATATTACTTAATATTTCTATATAATATAATATTAAGTTTAATTAAAGTAGTGTAATAAATATTATTAATAGATAAAATATTATATAAAGTTAAAATATTAATAATATAAGTGTGGATATTATAAGACTAGGAGTGGGTACTATTTATACTACTATAGAAAATCTAACAAGGCTCTTTTATATTGTAGAAGACTTAGATCGTGAACGAGATTTTTGACTCTAGGGCATAGTAGTGCTCTATTATACTGGTGGTTGTTATGTGAGATGGGGGTGAAATGAGAGTGAGAGTTGTGCCTCCTGGTCTGCACCCCCGTTTCTGTCCTTATTATCGTTTTCGCACCAACCAACTCGCCTCGCCCGCTCATAAACACACTCGCCCTCCCTACAGGCTATCCTTCAAAACTACTAAAACAGGGCTGATGCTCCGGGTGATCTCGTCCGGTCGTTTATGTTACGCGTGCACGGAACGGAAGAAGCAAGTCTAGGTTTTCGGCAGCTGGGACGAGCGGATGCGAACACACGAAACCCCCCCGAGACCGATGCTATCCCGCTCGGCAGCCCGGCTCCGATCCGAATCTCTGCGTGAAGTTCTTATTGCTTCTGTCTGGAAATCTACGGAGAACCATGCGTATACTTTGGACGATTTGGTACGTCTCGGATTCGCTGCGCCTTTGCCGGGCTGGGTTCGCTTGCCTGGCCAACAACGTGAAGTTCACCACGAACAAGTAGGAAATACATATGTTTGTCTGGGCTGAGATCGCTTGCCCATCATATTCCAATGCGGCTGCTCAGCCCCGCTGGCGCCTCCTCCTCCTGGCGGGGGCCTCGAGGTTCGTGCTTTGTAGCCCCTGCTCCTCGTCGACAACTCCAGGATCCCAGTCCCCATCCATTGGGCTGTATTTTTCTAATATCGACCTGCTGAGGCCTGGGAACTGCCTCATGAGCCTGCGCATCCGGAGCTCCTTGGTGGCCATGTCAACCCAGTCGTTCAGTTCGTCCTCGGGAACTTCCGCCAGCGTATACTGGAGGCCTGGGAGCCGCTCTTCGGGTTCCAACTTGCGCTTCTTGGCAAAAACCTGTGCCTCAGCCTCAACACGACGAGAACATGTCCCGCCGCGGCCCTTGTAGTAGCAGTTCGTACAGGCCTTCTGGGCGCGTCCGCCCTCGTCGACGACACATTCCTCCGCCGGGCCAATCGACGCTGAGTGCTTGCAGGTGTTGCATTTCTCCCCCGCCTTGTTCTTGCAAAAGATATACATGGCGATGCCGAAAGCATGGGTGGGCTTGTCTATGTCCCACTCGGCGTCGACGTAACTCCAGCCCTTCTGGACCTCTATCGGCGAGAAGAGGCGGCGGACGATATGCGTTTCGTCAAGCAGGCGGGCCACGTCGCGCTGCGTGCTCTGCCGGAGCTTGTCCACCAGCCAGGAGGTGAGCTCGAGGGGGGTGACCTCTTCATATTCCACCCCGTTGACCCAGTCGGGCGGGTTGGACAGCGGCTCGCCCATCCAGGTGAAAGCATTTAGATCATGGTGAGGCATAACCGCGGCCCTCTCGCGATGGGAGAGAGGGCAGGTCGGTATAAGTCAGACGTGTGAGTTGGTAACGGGTATCAAGGCGTGGTGGCTTCAATGTTGTTTGCCAATGGGAAACATGGGCGAAGGGAGGTGCACACCTGGGGCTTATTAGATAGCGTGTAATAGTAACAAGGTTTGTCGCTACATGATTACCCGGGGGACAGACAGGCCTTCGGTTGCCCCCTACGCCGTCGCCTGCCGGCGTAGGGGACGCCAAAACCCCCACATAGCTAAAACCCCCGCACATTTAAGAAAAACAAAACACTATACTTAACTAAATATGTTTTACTTAAATAGTATTAATATAAACTAAAAAGAATATTTTTATAAACTTTATTTGATAAGAAATTTAATAAAAAATAAAGTAAAATTGTAAAATTAAACAGGACTTTCCCATCTATATTGTGCGATGTGGCCCTGATAACAGCTTGAATGGAATTCCCGTCGCGGATTGCATGCGTCAGAGGCTTGATGAATATGGCCGTGGCTGCCTCTCCACGAGCATAATCATTGGCATCAGCAGAAAAGGCCTTGCACGAGCCGTCGCTGGACGAGACTCCTTGTTGCTACATAACCATCGATATCCTGGCATGTCAGACTAGTCCTCGAAGCGCTGGTTGCCAAGACCCCGTCTCTTTAGTTCGATCTCGTCCAGGAAGAAAGAACTCACAAGCCCCAGCCCGGCCAGCCCAGTCATTGTGTAGAAAACGGCTCGGAATGACTTGAGGTAGACGCGCAAGACTGCATCCAAAGTTGCCGCGGGGACGTCGAGTGCTCTCAACTCGCCGATAAAGTTTACGGCATTGGAGGCATCCTCCAGAGGAGCCAAGTCTCCAGTTAGCTGGACTGCAGTGTCAGCGATGGATGTTGCAAAAACACTGTTGAAAATCGGCGACGCGATAGCGAGGCCGATGAGGGCCCCAAACATGCGAATAGTGAGAAAATTTGCAGTCGCTAGGCCTTCGTCGTCGGCATTCTTTGTACTTGCTTGCACGGGAAGCAGGATAAGACGGAGCAGGGCAACGCCTTGGCCCCAGAGAATTGGAACCCCGTACAGCATAGACGTCGACGAATCCTCGTTGAGCAGGACCAGCAAGCCGGTTCCCAACGTAGTAGTGACCCTATTGGCAAATTGGGGTTAGTCACCACTCATTCGAGTAACAGATTCACTAGTCTAATCAGACTGTGTTTCAAGATGAAAGCTCCGAGGAGAGTCAGCTTAGAGACCAGAGCTCCCAAGACAGACCAAACAGGAGGATAAAAGCATGTTGAAGGACGTACCATGAAAGCCGCAGGAGCCACACATAGCCACCGAACAACGGAACCATCATCATTGACACAGCTGCAACTACCACGCTCACGATAACAGTGGGCAGCAGGAAAATCGCAGATGAAATCGCCGTTTCCCGTTCCACTGATTGATAGAACAATGGTAGGTATTGCAGGAGGGAGATGAGAATCATACCATGGATGAAGCCGCCCAGCATTGCCATATTTCCCGTCTTCGATTTGAACAGTCGGTGGGGGATTATAGGTGCAGCCGGTTTGCCCTCAAAGTAAGCGAATATGACGAGGATAGCAGCTCCCAAAAGCAATGGGAGGAGGGTCTGCCAGGCACTCCATGGGTATAAAGACCCCGCCCAGCTGACCGGTACACAGAAACTGGTGATTCCGACAACGACCAGCGCCATACCGATCCAATCGAGGCGGTTCAGGTTGCTTGCGAGTGTTGAACCGAATGAGATAGGCCGAAGCTTGAGGAAGAAGAACAGAAGCACCGTCCCTGTTCCCAAAATCGGCAGGTTGATCCAGCCAATCCACCTCCAGGTGACATATGAGGAGAAGAGCGCGCCCGCGAAGGGACCCATGATGTTCCCAACCGCGGAGGGGATGGAAATCAAGCCGAGATACTTGGGGCGTTCTTCCAGCGTCGTCATATCCGCGAGGATAATCGTCGACAGGATGTCAATCCCTCCGCCACCGAGCCCCTGGGTGACCCGTCCGCCGATTAAAACTCTCATATTCTGAGCAAGAGCAAAAACGATGGAACCAGTGAAGAAGAATGCAACGGAGACGTAAAGAGGGTACTGCCGACCGAACGCGTGGGAAACACTGGCCCAGACCGGCTGCATGACCAGGCCACAGAGGTTGTAAGCCAGATTGGCCCAGAATGCCTCCAGACTGGAGCCTCTCAGTTCACCAGAGACAGCCTGTGAAAGCCGATGAGCACCAAGATGAAAAGGAATGAACCTCAGGTCGGTGCTTCACTTACCGGCAGGGCAATGCTCAGGCAGGTTGCGTCTACTTGAAAAACAAGGAGGGTCAACGCAAGCCCCATGAAAGCAAGCTTGAAGGACAGTGACTTTTTAGGCGGCGACTCAGCCTTTGTCTCTACAATTCGCTCTCCAGGAATGCGTCCAACCCCATTGCCTTTTTTCAATTCGCAATCGGCACCCTTTTCTGGCCGCGGTTCCAGCTCGGAAAAGGCTCGAACGGCCACGACAATTTCGCCATCTGGGGCAGCATTGGCCTCGGCATGGTCCATCATGAAGGTAGTGAGCGGCTCGTGTCTTTGACCAAGTGATCTGCCTGTGATTAAGTCTGATAAGGGAGTTCTGAGCCCAGATCATGCGATGAAATTTGCATGGTGGGAGGTCGCCGGCAAGTGCTGGCCGCCGGTGAGTGTTGGTCGCCGGGAGACGTTGGTCGTCGGTGACAAGCTTCTGCAGGGGTGCCTGTCAAGGGGGAGCCAGCGTCCACACACCCATCGATTTTCGGTAAACCACCTAGTACCTATTTTTGTTAGCAACTCCGTTACATTTATAAGCACCTTGTAAGTCACCACTTAAGGATTTTACACGTTATTTTCTTCTTTGATATGAGCTACAGAGGTACTTAGGGTATAAGCCCTTCTAGCCCGCACGCATTCAGGTGCCGACTGAACTCCTCCAGGTCAATCACTCGCCAGAGGAGGTTTTCGCCGGTATAAACATCACTATAGGTTTTAAATTGTGCTACATATTGGAAGAAAATTTGACAAGAATGTATTTTCTTTTCCCTTGTTGACTGACAGCATGTCGCTCTCTGAAGGTCCCTTTGAATTAGTCACTTTCACAGGATCATAGGTTGCGCAGGGGCGGTGAACAGGAAACATGAGTTCCATCCTGAGCAGCTCCAAAGACTGTAACAGGGGCCAGATAATATTGAATCGCAGAAAATTTCGAACACCTGATATGTACCTGAGGACCGTGAGACACCATTGTGCTACACAGTAACCAGCTTCTTCCCTACCGCTGCATCTTTGCCCTCTCCAGATGGCTCGGCAGCAGCAGTCTCGGTCTCGTGCACATCAAGCCCTCCAGCCTTCTCCTCCCAGCGTGAGTACAAGTCCCCGGGCAACATCTTCTTCCCCTCGGATCTCTGCTGAATGACAAACTCGTCAGCAGCGCGGCCATACCTGATCCTCATCCTCCCGCCCTCCATCCCCCTCGCGACCCGGAGGATCTCGGCGATCAGCGCGGCGAGCCTCCTCAGGTGTGCCTGGTTGGCCCGCTCCCATCCCTTAATATCTTCGGCCACGTCCTCGACCGCCGGCTCCTGGAACACGCCCCGGCTGTGGTACGCGCGAACGAGCTTCGGAGTCTGGGACGCCCAGAGCTGCGTGGCGATCTCGTCGAAGTCGATGGGCTTGGTCGCGACGCGGGTCTTGATCTCGAGGGTTGACTCGCGCGGCACCACGGTGCCTTCTTTTTTGACGCGGAGTGTCTGGTGATGATGGTGACGGTAGTTAGTCCCCCTGCTGACTGCGGATCACAAAGGGTTTGCATTTTATAGAAACATTGCAAAACATCAAAGACGGGGACCCTTGATCAGGTGGGAGGTGACGCTTACAGATCCATGACCAGCGGCGGGCTCGGGGATGTTGTCTGAGGACAGGGACAACGAGGACAAGGACAACGAGGACAAGGACAACGAGGACAAGGACAACGAGGACAAGGACAACGAGGCCAGCTCGTCCAAGAGCTTCTCCTGCTCCCGAGCTTGAGCATCCGCTGGAGCGCTCTTCAAATCGGCTCTCACGAACCCATCGGTCTCGTGGCGGATGAGGAAGTTCATATCCCCGAAGCGGTACGAGATGATCCTGTGATGGCCAGTGGCGCCACGCAGCTGGGCCCTGGTGTACTTCTTCTCGAACTCATGGCCGAACCCCCTGAACACCCCGGCGCCGACGAACTCCTCCACCTTGGCCTCGTCGCGGGCGAGGATGACGGTGCGCCCCGCGACCTCGACGTTGATCGTGAAGTCCTCAAGCCCGTTCTTGGACGAACTGGGGTTGATGACCGACAGCAGCTTGCGGATGTTGTTGCGGTCGCTGACGAGGTCCACCGGCCGCACGTCGAACGACGGGTGCGCGACGTAGAGCGCGCGGAAGAGCGGCTCGAGCGGGCTCGCCGGGTGGCGGGCGGCGTTCTGCGCGATGTAGATGTGGCCTGAGTCCTTGCGCACCTTGCAGGCGCCCCTCGGAGGGGACCAGAGGTCTGGAGAGCCTGGCACCGCGATGGTGGGGCGGGCGCTCTCGACCCAGTTGTACGAGGACAGGTCCTTGATGCCCGTGATGACTGCCTCGGGGGGCACCGCGAGGTCTTGGAGGTCCTGGCGGGAGATCTTGACTGTTGTGTTGGCTGCCATGGTTTGCGAATGACAAGATTTAGAAGAGGGACCTGACGGTGAAGTGAAGTGCGGTGGGCGAAAAGTTCAGAATCCAAAGTTGTTTGTTTGTTATCCCAGAGAGCCTAGGGGCGACAAGTAAAACTTGGAACGGTGTGCACACACAGGAGGTTTTATTTATTCAGGTACCTAGGTATACTAGGTAAGTACCTAGGTACAATATCAGACATCTGGAACTAAACCGTCGGGCAACACCATCCGCTTGGTGGGCCTCACGCATCTACTTGATAAATTAAGCCAGGAGAAAACGTTTCTCATTGGCGTCGTGTTCCACCCTCGCATGTGAGGCGTGCGGCTTCTGCTCGTGGCCGGTTGTTGACAGGCAAACAACGTCTCGAGTGGTGCGTTGTCCATTGGTCGACATCAATTGATACTCTTATTAGATTGAGAGCCCGAGACAAGTCCGCAGACATGGCAGCATTTTGACCATCGTTTCCTTCCTCGGCCTGCGCCATCTCGGTCGGCTGCCTCGCCTACCCAGGTGTGTCACCTGTAGACTAAGCAATCTTGGGAACTTGCATCAAGGAGCGAAGTCGGGAGTGTTGGGGACGCAATCCTTCAACAGGGGCTTGCCTGCGTTTGCACGATCTGCAGTCTTTGCCGTCAACAGGCGTTTCTGCGGGGTGATGGCAGGATATTCAAGGCCCCCCCCCCCTCTCAGATTATGGATTTGTTGAAGATAATTTGCAAAAAATAAGCAAGTCAACACTTCGACTCAATAGCCCACATGAACGAACTCAATCCTCGAGTGACTTGTTTCTGATATAATAGTATCTATGCGGTCTCACTCTACCGCCACGACACTTGAATTCGAGAGCCAGGTGCTTCCCTCAAATGGACTAACCTGAACAAACTTTGTACTGTCTGAAATGGTTGTACTGGTCTCGAAACTGGTTTTTTTGACCAAGCCTGTCAACTCCAGCGCATCAGCCGTGAGGCCCTCATATATCGCCCATTCTGTGACACTAGTAGCGCCATTCCAGCTCATATATGCGGTCCCGTTGCCCGCGACCAGTTTCGGTTCTGCACTCGGAATCCCTGTCCACGGCACCCTGAATGCTCGATAACTGCCCGACGAGCTGCTGTCTCCGAATACGATTTTCATCCGCAGATCGCCGTCAGGGCCGTATTCCTTTGCCTCTGGGATCGCTCCATAGCCAACCAGGAAATTGCCGTTGCTGAGAACCTGGTTTGACCCTTGTGAACCTGAATACAATGATTCATTGGGATCCAGCAACCTTTCCAGCAGGGTCACCGACATCGATGTGAGATCCACGGAAAGCACCTGACCACTGGATGGGCTGATGGCGCTGGGACCACCGTTGTGGTTATCGAAGAACGTGATAACCAAACCAGTTGAGGTCAGGTTGTGTACTCGTGCATTGTGTTCCCAAGACTGTGTTGCATGTTAGTCAAATTTACAAAGGTAAGAGAAACGACACGTACGAAAGATACATCTGGTGAAATGGTGAAGTCCCCTCCCGTAGAGCCCTAGATGCCTCTGAGTCAGTAAGGTGTATATACGTTGCAATCAATGGTGGAGAACTATACCTCCAATTCCCACTGGATTTCCCCCTCGGAGTCGAGCATGAACATGGCCCAGCAGTTGCGGCTGTTGATGAGATATCCAGTCTCAACGGGGTGAACGGAATTTATGTGAAAGTACTACAAAACCACAGGCAACTCTGGTTAGCCAAGAAACAGTTGCTGGTTCAAAGGACTCGCGTACATCAAGGGGGTGGGCCTGTGATGACCCCTCGGCAGATTGTTTAGTCGCATTCACTGGTATACCAGCGCTGAGGGAACTCCATGAGAACAGAATCTCCTGGGTTTTGATGTCGATCTCGTAAAACAACGAGTCCAGTACCCATCCGTCTGCAGGACCGCCGAGTGAGCTGAGGTCGGCCGGGGTCGCATTGTATGCTGTGACAACTATTGAGTCGCGTTCTGTGATATAAGCCTGTTGAAATCGGATTCGCGGAATTAGTTCATGTCAAACGAAACAAGGGCGAAATTTTGAAAACCGCCTAACAGGACATCCTGCTTAGGTAGACGAACCTCGTGCACATCGATCTGGCAATCATTGGTTGCGCCGACCAAGCCAAAGTTCGGACAAAGTTTGTACAGCTGTGTGTACGTCGAATCCAAGATTTGCACCTGTCCATATCCCGTGCCCCCGTTCAGCGGGCCCCCGGCACCGTCCCAGTATACCAGGACGGGCTGGTTGTCGAAGGTTTGGGGCGAGAGGTCGGCTAGGGCTTGTTCTTGGATACTCCAAACCAATTCGCCGTCGTCTGTGATGATCACTCCATGTGAGGATTCATTTACTACAGATGGGGTAAGAAAAATTAGACCGGGCGCGAGGGCGGCGCCGGACTTCGTGACATTGAACACGGGTGGTGTGAACGACTCAGTCTTGAAAGATTGGGATGGCCATGCTCTCGCTGCGTTGATGGCCAAGCCAAGAATTGGAAGATACCCGGATGAAATCATTCCTGTTCGGGTCCAAATTCACTCGTGAAAGGCGTGGTGAGTGAGACGCATTGAACGTGCCATTCAAGACTGCATTCGCCTTACTTATAATTGAGAGCCATTTCTATTCACGGGGAGGGCTGCCCAGGTGCTCGACGAGGTACACATCAGGATGAAACCTTGTCCCAGCCTGCCATTCTACGCGGACTCTAGAAGCCAGGGGCCCACTTCACCTGGCACGCAATACCCCCCCTGTTATTCTGTTATTCAATTGATGAGGACTATGCCTCTGGGGACATGGGGGTCACAGAGCACGTAATCAGACTCCCACGCAAGGTCATCTTGTAGTGCCGAGAGCATTGCCGTGACTGCCACTTATTATTAATGCGTACGAGTACACTGTAACAATTGCAACCCGACGTTCGCCAACTGGATCCACTGCCCTAGCTGCCGTTGCAAAGGCCAGATTGGTGCAGGGATCCCTCGAGTGCTAGGTACCTAGGGAAGACGACAACTTGGGCTCGCTGGGTGGGCGTGAGGGCACAATCTCAGAACAACGAAGACCGTTCCGAGCAGCGATGCATATATATTCAGGCTGACTACGGCACTGAATGATGGTTTGTGTTCCGCACGGCGGTCCCAACTGAATTCTGAGTGCGTCAATGTGATGCCCAGGGATCGTACCTTTTGGGGTCGGATTTTGTTCTTTAGGGCCAAACATGGGTTACCTTGTCGACATCGGCACCGAGTCGCCATGACCCGATAAAACGTGCAGTCCCGCTCCGAGATCCGCCTCAGTGCTGTTGGAGTTACAGTACGAGCCCGGTGGAAGTAAATGTAAATATCTAGAGGTTACATGATGCAACGGGCGGGACAGCAAGCTGCGCGTCAGCCCCGCTGCAGAGAGTTACCCCAGCAATGTGACATACAACAATATCAGTGTAATGAAACCACGAGGATATGCGCATGGTATATAAGAGGTCCTCCGATTGTTACCATTAGACCCCGCTACATTGGCAGTGTGCCCTGGTGCCGGATTAAGGTCGGCTTCAAATTTGAACCCGAGCGCCTCGACGTTAAACGCGCATCATTCCAACAATACAGCAGAGAAATGCGGCTTTACAAGGACTATAGCACTGACATTACTGTTATTTGTAAGCTTAGCGTGGCACAGTAGCTCTTGGGCTCCTTGTGTCGACGATCAGCGGCGCCGTCGCGAGCGATGCCTCAAGTGCTAGTTAGCCTTGTCTGTGCGGGATGAGGCTGAGGCTACGTGCCTACGTATTGCATTCTCTCTGTACTGTAATTGGCATTCTGCTGTTTCAAACACCGGGTTTTGAGCATTTAACTGTATATGAGGGCGCCAAGCGCTGGGTCTTGAGTGCTTACCACCGTATGAAGGCGCCATGTATGTCCTCGGACGTATACGGAATAGAAGCGAAACCACACATACCTGGATTTCATATCATTATAAAACGGGTTATGACTGGATGTAGTAGTCGCAAAATAAGTCAACTTGTGACTAGTAGAATCAGAATGGGAAAGAGATAGTTACTTAGGTATAAGGTTGATAGACATTCTCCCTACCACCTGTGTGATCATGACTAGATTGATCGTCTCCCTCTGACATTTTGACCTATGAGAATAGAAACAACATATTGTCTTTCTCCTGAGTAATCAGCTGGCAGAAATGCTATATCTTGACCTTGATTATTCATATCCATTCGCTCGATGTCCGAGAGATCGCCGCACCCACCGCTGTCCCCGACTGAAATCGAAAATCCACGAGTCAGCCTGATGTCTAATCGAATGATCATTTGAGCGATTTGCACCTCGCGATTAGAAACATCATTCCAGCACAGCGTGCTACCATCTGGAGAATGCTTGGAAATAAGAAAGTCTCTAATCTGACTTAGCAGAACACCGTTGGTTTCTCCTTTGTTTGCCGCGATGGCCTCGAAAACACCCTTGGTGCTGGGCTCTGTATCAGTGTAGATGACGGCGCAAGGTCGATCGCTGCCGTGAAGGTCTTCAAAAATCCCACAGACGACGAGACAGCTGCATATATGTCCGGCGCCCCTGTGGCGAACATCGAAGCCACGGAAACCAATGAAGCGAGGATAGATCGTGCTTGGTGTGGCTGCTTGTGATGTAACGGATTCCATAGTAAGGAAGTATTCCCCCTGGGGATTCCATAGAGCTCCAGGATATGTCGTCATGTCCCGAAGAATGTAATCACCAAGCTGCCGGGCTGAAAATCGTATATAAATACGACTCGCTAGCTCTAGACGTATTCTTTGCTTCTCCTCGGGACTTAAGCGCTTTTGTATGTAGACTGTAGATTTCCTTCCGACCCATAAGCGGGGGTCTCGCGTGTAGTAGAGTTTATCTGGGTGCTGGCGAACAAACTTGGACCCTGTCTGGTGAAGGTAGATCCCCAGCCGCTCACCTCGAATCGCATCGCCACAGCAACCCAGATCCAGTACAAATCGTTTGTTCTCTGCCAAACCCAAGCTGGTCTCGAGACGAACTCCGTGATTGGTGATTACAAACTCTGGGCGCGGTGCCAGGAAGTCAGCCCATCGTACAATATTCCGACAATCAGCGAATTCTGCTGGCGATCGGGCGAACATGCCCCTGAAGCCCTCCGAATCGTTCTCTTCTTTCGAAGTCCACGCGAACAAGGACAAATCATTTGTCTCCTTGGCTATCTCTTCTTGGAGCCTAATAAAAGCTCGATCGCCCTCGCCATAGATCATAGGCATGCTGATATCAAAGAGGCCAAGGAGACAGTATGCCATGTCTTCGGTCCTCGTTGTGTGTCGGCTGCTGGCCCAAGACATCTTCCTCGCCACCGGAATTTCGGCCAGAATATTGCTGTCAGTCAACACTTGCTCATCAATTACGGTGACTCGGTGAAGTTGACGCATCAGAGTAGCTTTATCTCCGCGATAACCCCAGTCTGCATCGTAGAATTCAATCTTGTCCGCTGCCACCAGTTCTTGCAGAGTCCAGCCTCGTGTGAACCATCGATAGTGACCGCTATTGAGCCAGTCGAGGGCCGGGCCTCCATTGTTTGGAGAAAGATCAGATATATAGGCGAAGCAGACTTCAGCGTCCTTGTACCATTGGAACATAGAATTGATCGCCTCAGTCAGTTCTGCACTGCTGCTTTTGTCGATGCAGCATGTATCGATCCAGACGTATTGTAATCCTCGCGATGCTGCAAGTTGACATGTCTTGGCTATCTTTTCATAACTAGATTTAGATCTCGCTTTCTCAGGGTTGCAGAACTCTCTGTAATTGACTTCGTCAATTCCCCACGTGTGAGAAAGAATCGCGTATTTTGTTTGACCCAAGTCTGGGACTTGATGAAACTGCAGCGTAAAAACATCGATCAGAATCATGCTGTGAGTACTTTTAAGGCTTTTTGAGGAGTCTGACGAGGTTCCGATAGAAAGGACTTGCAAGAGAAAAGGCAGGAGTTTCTGGGTCTGCAGACGGGAGTTTATTTGAAGTTGTCAGCCAGATGAGGCGGAGACCTGCATGAGCGCAAGCACTAGCCCCCAAGTACAGCGGCACCGTAAGCGCCACAGTCACGCTGAGACGTAATTGTGCAGAATTGGGCGAAACGTGTCAAGAATGGGTTGACTGATAAGCAACATGCGGGTTTTGTCACATACCCGCGTAACTCTGCATGCTTCTATGAGTGACTTACGTGGCTGCCGACCCCTCCTTCCCCTCTTCATCCACGTTTGCTTGACTATTCTCGTTACGACTATTCTCGTTACGTTGAGGAACATGACATATTGACATGGCACTGGAAAAGGGGGCTCTCAGAGCGGACATCTCCACCAGGGAGTCTTCTCCGGTGCTTGCAGCTGGGAAGACATCTGAAGCTTCTGAGGCTTCTCTTGTCAACGAAGCGGCTGAAAACCACGATGAATCAGTCAGCATTGATAACCATGTCTCGAACTTCACTAGACTGGCCGGAATGGCTCAGTCTCCAGCAGTACCACCAAACGTACAACCACTCCTGGAATCACTCTTTGCTTCCCTTGAAAAATTTCAGAAACTCCAGCAGGAGTGCATCACCGAAATTTCGAGCATTCTTCAAGGATCACCTGCGTCTCATGTTGTGCGCAATTATTTACCAGACACCATCATCCCACGAATGCGTACGGTGGGGTGGGAAGACTTTCACAGATCTCACGCCGGCTCAGAGGCACAATACACCATTGACATTTTGGGCGAATCGACAACGTCCTCTATCAGCGAGACGGTCGCCTTGTACGGTTTCCGGGTCCCTGAGCGGATCAGAGTCAACTCTGCTCGTGTCATATACACGATCAAAAATAAGTTCTTTGCCACACATGTCGAGGACTCTAGCCCCGTTACTCGGCCATTGATTATTCTTCGCCCATTTAAACGACTCGTCTATGACGAACAACACATGAAAGCTCTGATCGGCGAACTTGAGGCGCAGCTGGATAAAGGGACCAAAATCGAGTCGACAGAAGACTTCGCCAACTTCATGCAGCGCTTTACGCGTCTCCAAGATCACATCAAGTTCTTGAATCTCTCATGCTTTGAAGAGTTTCACTTTTATGTTAAAGAGCTTCGATGTCTGCTTGACTTCATGGACGAGCGCGTAGAGCCGTCACGAAAGCGGCTTCGAACAGAAACGGATATCGTGTCGTTCTCAGAGCTTTGGTTTCTATACCCAGAAGGCACCTACATATTCATCAAAAGCGTCGGCTCGGCGCAAAGAGTCTGGCGTATCATCCAAAGGACTGGAGGTCGACGACCAATGACATCAGTTGTCTCAAAGCAAGAACGGCCGTCCGTGCATAATTTGACCAACTTCGTCATTGATTGCTATTTCATCGATTACAATGGCTCGCGATTCTTTCCAGTGTATGGAAGATTTGAGATCGAGGCGTTTGAGGGGAGAAAAGCCGTTGCTTCACTCCCTGTCGTTCCTATTCGCATTGCTGCGAAGGAGGGCCTCCTCCAAGAAGAGGCAGTGATTCAGCGCAGCAGGTTATTCATTCAGTATTGTACGAAAACCAGCCACCTCTACTACAATGGCTGGAGTCATCATCGAGAACCGAATGGAAAATCACTTCGAAGCCATTCCAATACAAAGATCGACAGCGAGGTCATTATAGATTTCGAGAGGGCGGTAGCTGAAGATCCGTCTCTGGTCGAACATGAGACAGATCCTTCCGTTTATAGAATCTCGGATGGTGAGCTTAGTGGTGTCGATTTGGAAATCGACAATGACTCGCATTGGGATCAGTACTCATCCGACGAGCTCTGCGGCAACATCCAAGTACCCGACAACGACGGAAATCTAGCCGGCCATGGGGAGTGTATGCCTATTTTCCCAGACAGGGTTTTTGGCTACGTCTTAAAGACTCGCACCTGGGGTGCGTAGGACCTTTCCTCGAAGTATCACTGTTAACTAACGGTCTGACACCTCATAGCATCCCTCCGGATTGAGGCACTCATGGCCATCCAACCCGGAGCGGACTCTTGGGATAGATTACATCTGCCAGGCGGCCATAAGGACATGATCCGGTCACTGGTCTCTGCACACTTCGAGAGAAACCATGATAACACTGGAACACAAGAGAGTCTTGACCTCATACAAGGAAAAGGTATGTAATGTGCCTCTCGAGTCATGCACTTGAAATATCCAACAAGGTCTTCCTTCCTCCTGGTGCCACTCTCTCCCCTTTTCCAACTCAAATTAAATTTTGCGATCCGCTTTCGATGGTTGTGGGTTCGATATATGCTGCCTGCTTGGCCTTTGGAAATCCATTAGTTGCGAAGCCTCGATCTACGTCTGGTGTGCGGTCTTACTCTATGGCCTGGCTGCGACACTGACCAGACGAGAGAGAGCGTATTTCATACTGAATGCTTTTCAATCGGCTTAGTATCAATCTTAATCCGGCTATTTTCTTCCACAACATTGAACAATTTCTATAAATTCTGTATTCTGACTCTAGTCTGAACTTGCCAGGACAAGGTTTGATTTTGCTTCTTCATGGAGAACCGGGAACTGGAAAGACTTCCACAGCTGGTAAGAGATCCAGTTGTTTGATACAACATTTGAAGATTAAGAATTGTTATCATTTGGGGCCGAGACAAACCGCTGACACCTCTACGCAATTCGATGCAGAATGTGTAGCTGCAACTACGAGCCGTCCACTCTTGAAAATCAATTGTGGTGAGTGTCTGCCCTAATCGGGTGTTGTGATGATATTGCTTGCTGACAGGCAAAATTTTTTGCCGTATAGGAGACATCGGAATCGCCCCCGACCAGGTCGAGCGGACACTCGATAACATGTTCGGCTTAGCTCATGCTTGGGGTTGTGTATTACTTCTAGACGAGGCCGATGTGCTGCTGGCCAAGCGAAGCAAATCCGAACTCGCTAGGAATGCTCTTGTGTCTGGTAAGCAACTTTACACCGACCACAGCTATTGATTCTTATTGAATGCAAACAGTTTTCCTCCGAATGATCGAGTATTACACTGGACTCCTTTTTCTCACGACGAACCGAATGAGGGCTTTTGACCCCGCTTTTGCCTCCCGAATCCACGTCTCTTTGTATTATCCCAGAATCAACGAAGAGATTACTTTGAAGATATGGCGCAATAATATTGACAGGGTGTCGAGATCTCGACCAGACATAAAGATGGACGAGCACGCTTTGATTGCGTACGCAGCCAAGCTGTACGAAGCTCAATGTCATCAGTACACTCGCATTCCATGGAATGGTCGACAGGTCACAAATGCCTTCCAAAGTGCTCTGTCCCTAGCAACTTTCAGCGCTCCTTCTGACGGACGTCCCGAGCTTACCACCGCGCATTTCAACCAGATTTCTGAGCAGTCACAGCTGTTTGATGCATATCTAAAACTACCTCCCTCCACCAGATATTATGACACTCAGCGTCAGTCAAGAAACAATCTCCGTCCGGGCACCTCGGCAATTTCTCTAGGTCCCGGCTCCAGTATCGAATCGCTATCCCCTAGCGATCACTCGCAGAGCGACGACTCCTCAGATAGTGAATCTCCTGTTTTTCAGCCAGGCCATTCGTCAAAACTCCACAAGCCACCTGCTCTGCAGCCCGGCCTTCCGGCAGCATCAACGCAGCTACACGAACAGCATCAGCTCCCGCGGAATCAGGCCTTCTCTTCAGCCTCACCGCCTCATGTGAATCCATATCTATGGCCACCACACACGCAACAACACTTCACCATGCCTACGGGGATACCTTACAATATACAGACACAACAGCCATGGCCAGTGCCGATGCCACCAGTTCCCCAGCAACCGAGCCAATTTCCCGTTCCCTCCACAGCACCTTATATGACAGCTTTCAATCCTTTCCAACATTATCAAGGCCACTTACATACAGACACACAGGCCATGCCAGCTCAAACAACACAGCAACAATGGCATAGGAACAACGTTTCGAATTCTGGCACGACTGTCACACTCCCATTTTTCGATCGTACTGCTCCGTGATTCCAGCAACAAGATGATCTTTCAAATCATCAGTCTCACTTAACACACTCGACATACGCCACCAGGGCCAGGCATAATAAGAAAGAACGTCAGAGGGAAAAGAAACGTCGAGGATCGAATGGGAGCCAGGCAGAACATGAATATGAAGGCTTTTGGAGCCGGCTTACGAAAGATACATGAACATTCGTGAGACAAGGGGAGCAAGATTTGAAAAGTTGACTAACACTTTACGGGCTCTCGTACTATTAATAAATCTATGTCCATGTGTTTTTAGCTTTTAGACTCGGATATTTATCCTAAATTCTATATTATATAACACTCACTTATCTAATTTTACTTTTTATATATTACTAACTTATAAATTAAGTTTTATTGACTATATTTTACATTAATATATATCTATTTAATACTTTTAATATTAAATTTTTATAAATAATATAATTTATTAAATTAATATTATTATTATATAAATTATTAAAGTATTTAAATAATATTTTAAAAATATATTTTCTATTTAAATTAAATATTAAGTATTTTATATTTAATATTATTTATATAAATAAAACTAAATATTTCTATTTAATATAAAATTTAAAGATTTATAAATATAAGTTTTTAATTAATTTTTAATTAATTATTTTATTTTATTATAATTTAATTTAATTTTTAATTTAATTTTAATATTCTTTAAACTATTTTAAGACTTTATTTTTATAAATATATAAACTTTAAATTACAACTTCTAAGTTTAAGTTTAAAATTATTATAAATTTTAACTTCTTTTAAATTAAATATATAATATTTTAGTTTTTAAAAATATATTAACTATTTTAAATATTATTAACTTTTTAAAATAATAAATATTTATTTTTATAAAAGTATAATTTTATATAATTATAAACTTAAATAATAAAGTATAATTATTTTATTTAATTATATTTTTAATTTATATAATAATTTAAGTAATTACTTTAAATAGTTTTATAAAATTAATAAATTAATATTTAATTAAGTAAAGTTAAAACTTTAATTAAAGGAATAATAGCTTTATTTTTATTTATTTTAATTAATTTATTAAAGTTATATATTAAATTTTCCTTTTAAATATAAGGTTAAAAGATCTATAATTATAAAATTTTAATTAATTTTTATTTAACTATTTTATTATATTATAATTTAGTTTAGTTTTTAGTTTTATTTAAATCTCTTTTAAGTTTAAGTTTAAGATTTTTATAGATTTTAATTTACTTTAAATTAAGTCTATAATTTTTAGTTTCTTTAAAATATATTAACTATTTTAAATAATAATAACTTCTTTTAAAGTAGAAGTTTATTTTTATATAATTATAGATTTAATTATTAATAGTTATTTTTTTATTTATAAGTTATTAGAATTATAAATCTAAATAATAGAGTATAGTTACCTTATTTAAAGGTTATCTTTTAGTTTAATAATGTAATAAGCTAAGTAACTACTTTTAAGTAGTTTTACTTATAGAGCTAATAGTCTCTTAAGTTCATTAAATAAGTATTTACTTAAGTAGAGCTAAAACCTATGTGTGTCCCTTAGGGGAATAGTAGCTTTATCTTTACCTATTTTAACTAACTTATATTTAAAAAGCCTGAGTTATATAGCGAATTTAATACTTATATATAGTGCTCGCTAGTGTTAAACTAGCTTGTAGTTTGCAATAGCTTTAACCTTTAATAGGCTAATAATATCGGTTTAAACCGATTAAATATAGCCTAGTATATTAGTATAAGAAGGTATCTTTTAATAATAGATAATATTATAGATAATTATAAAGTTATTATAAAAAGTTTTATATAGTAAACTTAGCTAAGTTAATCTTTAAAAGATATATTATATTTTATTTTTTTAAGATTTTAACTATTTACTTTTAACTTAATAGTAGAATTAAAAATATAAATAGTTTATATATTAAATTTTATACTTTTATATACTATTTATTAATATTAATTTAAATAGTTTATAATTAATAATTTAATATTAAAGAAATATTATTTATTATAAGTTTATTAAATTTTAATATTTAATATATTTATTATTATTATTATTATTATTATTATTATTATTATTATTATTATTATTATTATTATTATTATTATTATTATTATTATTATTATTATTATTATTATTATTATTATTATTATTATTATTATTATTATTATTATTATTATTATTATTATTATTATTATTATTATTATTATTATTATTATTATTATTATTATTATTATTATTATTATTATTATTATTATTATTATTATTATTATTATTATTATTATTATTATTATTATTATTATTATTATTATTATTATTATTATTATTATTATTATTATTATTATTATTATTATTATTATTATTATTATTATTATTATTATATATTTTAAATATTAAGTTCTAAGTGCTTACTATTATATAAAAGCGTTATATATATCTTTAAATATATATAAAATAAAAGTAAAACTATATTAATTATAACTTAATATAACTTAATAATAAAAAAGAAAGAAATAAAGAATATAAGCTTTTTTAATTAAAAGCCCTACTTATTTAATACTATTAAATTTATTATACTTATAAATTATATTAATAATTTACTACTAATACTACTTATATTATAAAGGCGCCACATGAGGAAATGAAGCTATTAGCCTATTTAAGATATCTAACGAAAATATCTAGATTTATTCGCTGTGCTTATTATACGGAAATCAAAGTAATAGCAGACGCCCTGCCCTAGAGGCATTTCCCAATCGATCATCGCCTGCGCCGCCCACCGCGGCGGCCACTCGATGAAGGATACACCTCGTCTGCCCTAACAAAGCCAGTGGGGTTCCCATCCGGGTGGTACATCACACCCTGAATGACGCGGTGCTGGTCCGTCACCGTCCTTGTGAAGCCCTCCACGTGGGGCTGCCCCGGGACCCTGCCCCTGGAGTTCTGGGAAGCGTAGGGGTAGTTGCTGGTGGGAAACTCATAGTAATCGCCGCCGGCTGGGTAGAGGTTCTCCCTGTTCCTGTACTGATGGGGGTATTTCTTGCCCTTGTAGCCGACCTGGATTGGGGGCGAATTGTGCAGGTGTCTTTCTACGCTGGATCGCCGGCGGGTGTGAGAGCCGGGCCCGCTTACTGGGTGGCGGTTGATGCGGTATGCCTGTTATGCGTGACACATAAGGTTAGTACACTAGAGTCTGAGCTGTCATGCAGTTACGAGACCTTGGGAGAAGGTTGCGTCGATAAAGTCATGGGCTCTCTCACCTCCGGATGCGAGCTTGAATGGCCTTTGGAGCCTTTAGACATCCCACAACCCATTTGAAATATCTTGAATGGGTCTTGACCTTTAGTCTGTGTCGAATGATGATACAGCCGGCGTATACGATCTTGAACTGTGTAGTAGTACTGAAAGGTCGACACACACACTTTACAGACTTCGAGATCTAGCATCGTGACAGCCAAGTTTGGTGATGTGGGTCATCTTGCTGTGTTATATACCCATGCCCCATGTATTTAGGTACAGTGAAGCTGGGGCAGGAATTTCTAAATCCCTTAGACATTCAGACGCGGCTGATTCCACCCTCGAAAGCCTCGGCCAATATGTGGTCCTTCACGAGGCGGCCAACTGGGCCTGAAGCTTTTCGAGACTGGCCACTTCAAGTTAAAACCAGCACCCACCAGGCCCCTGATGTAACAGGCCACTGGTTATCAAATTCCGGCGCGCCCGCGGCAGTGCTGCTGGTATACTGTATCATATACACGAGACCAGTCACAACTTGAATTGGCAGAACTGCTGCTCGTTGCCTAAGACAAATTTCTGGTCGGAGCCGGATCAGAGACCCTCACTTCCTAGTTGTCTACAAATCCGTATACCATTGATCAGACCTTATTCGACCCTGGCGGACACAGCATTGCAACGTGGACGGCATCGTACAAAACCAATCGACCATCCGATCAAACTTCGATTGGGCTCTGAATCGGGCCTGTAACGCGGAAGGATACACAAGTATACGGTTCACAGTAAGCACTTAAGGGCAGGCGACCTGGGGGAGGCTGTCGTTGGACCAATGAGTTACTTGCATGGTCCTGGACTAGACTGACTGCCCAGCACGGAGGACTCTTGCTAAGTCTGGCAGGTCGCTTGAGTGGGCCGGCTGAGATACCGAGATGCAGCCTACTAAAAGCACTGGGTTAATTGCATATATCAGCGGTAGTCTCAAACAGGCAGCCGCACAGTTTCAGAATTCTGGCAAAACTTGACCGAATCCTTTTTGTCTCACGCGTGGGTGAGGATTATGGCCAGGTATCTACGGCATGCGTTGTAGGTGACATCTGGACCAACCGCTGCACGTGGGCTGTGCATGAGGGGCTAGCCACCCGCAAGGATAAGGATGATAATAGTACTAAGTAATCGGTAACCTAGAAAACCTGCCGGCATCCAACTCACCCGCCATTTCTTCATCTCTCAACCAACACATACACACACGAACCTTATGGCTTCCTCACTCAACCTCAAGATCGATGCGCTCGACGAGAAGGGCGGCACCGCCCTGGGAGCGAAGCTGGCCACGACTCTGAGCGAGTACGTCCAACCGCAGTCACAGGTCTCGCACCACGACGCCGCCCAGTCCATCCTGGCTCAGCTCCCAGTGGGCAACCCCTATTCTGACGAGGGCTTCGAGTTCGCTTCTCTCGTCATCGAGATCGCATCCCAGATCCCATACAAGCACCCCTCTCAGGCCAGGTTGGTCCGGCTCCTGAAATACCTCACCCACTCGCCGAAACTGGTGTCCCGGTCGACCGTCAAGGGGGAGGAGGAGCAGAACGTCAACTTCCAGGCCCTTGGCGAACAGCTCAGAGACAACCTCCAAGGTAAGCAATCACTCTAACCCATGACTCAACGTGCCGTGGCACACCCACCCTGTCTCACCGAGACGTGTTGATCCGGCTGGCTAACGATGTCCCCCCAAGGTCCCGAGGCGGAAGAGACGCCGATCGAATGGGTCAACTACCACGCCTTCCTCGCCCAGCTCGAGGCTACAGGCGTGTGGACGGCCAGGCTGCCCAACTTCGTCATCTGGGAGATGCGCGATGCCTTCGAGAACCAGGCGGAGGCCCAGGGTCAGTTCCACCAGTACCACGTCATGGCCGCGGCGCAGTGGATCCTCTGGGACGGCCAGGAGATCTTCAAGTACATGGCGAACCCGCTCCCCGTCGGCGATGACGAGGCGCGCATGTGGCGCCTTGGGGATCGCTTCTCATCGTCGGACGTGGCCGTCGTCTCCCTGGCAAGGTGGCAGATCTGGAAAGAGGGGTTCAAGGCCGCTGCTGGCGCTGCTCAGGGTTCAGAAGGCTCGGATGAGAGTAAGGACGTGGCTGGGAGGGCTGCCGCGCTGATGGATGTCATTGAGAAGAGCATGTCTTTCTAAAACCTGCATGTCATCACAAAGTGGCCTGTCCTGCTACTGCGTTGTTCCCGTATACAGCTCTGGCTTTTTGCATGTTTCTCACATAAATATCACACGTGCTTACGCTAATGGCTTCTCTGAGTCATTTCTCATACTTTGATGTTTACTAGTATTTTGTCCAACGTACATTCAAAACAGTCTGGCTGTGATATACAACTTGAACCTTGGAAGCTTTTCCAAGCGCCGCGTTGTACTCCAGGTGCTCATTCGCAGGTACAGTCTAGCAAGTCATGACAGTTCCTCGTTGATTTTGAATAAATTCCAACAACCTAATATCCCGCCGCTCATGGACGACAACGTTTGATCTGCTAATTTTGCAGCCAGCTCCGCTGTGTCAGTCCAGAACGGCAAACGTAGCTCTGACTGCCGGCACCCGGCCCAGACCAGGAATCCTCTGAAGCTCAACCAGAAGCTAAATAAGTTGGCGATTGACCAAATGCGAAAACTGCGATTTGTTTCCCGCCACCATTGTCGGCTTAGTTCGAGACTCCATAAATCGCGTCTGCGTGCAGATACCTAGGCCGCGGAACCTTGCAACAACGAACCGGCCACGCGTCATTTCCCTCACTCTGACCAATTCAGCGGGTCCTCCAGCTGTCAATCGATCGTAGTACGTCACTATTTCCAGTCTCAACCGAGGTATCGTCGGCTCCTCATCTCCATTGTGGTGTTTAGCCCAACAAAATTCGTGCTCGGACGCTAGAAGGTTTCGCACTTGCGTCTACCTAGGTCGTTACCGGGGTGCCGACAGAATATTTAAGAGCCACATGTGAAGCCTGCATCGTAAGGAAATGCCAGTCATTTGTTGTGACATTTTCACTTATTCCTGTGCATGAAGCTCTCGATTCTAGTCTCTCTGAATACTCGAGGTCTTTGATCTCAAGAAGTTAGCACAGCTGGTGGTTGTATTTGCAACACCTGTTGTGGTGAAAACTACGAACGGAAAGAAACCTACCAAGTACTCCTAGACTCTTTGTTTCGTTTCAAAGAGGCTCTATACGTTCATATTTTCAGCGTCGACGCCTCAGGCACATTACCACGGAATGCATTCGTCTACGCGCAGCAATGTGGACTGTGGCAAAGACAGTGGCCGCGGGACCCTGGTTATTACGAAGCCGCCGCCGCCCAAGAATTAATTCGCAATTGGGCTGTCTCCCACTGATAGAGAATATGACCTACTGACTAGGTCGCCCTCGGTAGGTTCTTACACCTGCCCCTCTCTTACACGATCAGAAAATTGCTGACCGTCACAACGGTACTGGTGAAGCCAATGAACAACAAATGAATGGTTCGACGCTTTCTCCCGGCCTGTACATACCCTAAGGTCTGGTTGTGGTGTTGGAGGGTCCATTAGCTGCATAGGAGTACTCTTGACCTCGAATGTATAGAGATTGTAGGGCCATGGTCGGTATATGTGGTCCTAAGACGACTTGACGATTTGTATGCATCAGTTAAAGCTTGGAGTGTGCTTCTATAATGTACCAATGGATGGAAAATGGACGAATGAGACTCAAACGGGACAAAAGACTATGGTCAATATACGTAGTAAATACATAGAGCGATGTAACAATGCAAAAAGGCCCACTTCGAGCAATCTACGGTATCGATACAAAAATATGCCTTTTGAGGCTACCTAGGTATGGTGGTGTCGACTCCAAATGCAAGCCAAGTCCCTGCCGATGCTGTGTTGAGACTTCGAACCACTGAAATCGTCTCCCAGGCTCTCAAATTCAGCACAATTGGGTGCCCTGGGCCGTGGGCTTCTGATTTGGGACGATGCACGACGCAACACAGTCAGCAGAAAATGCAAGTGAGGCTGATCTTCTCCGAGGGTGTATCACAAGGCATTACTTGGAGTATGCCTCGTGACAGGGCATATAAGGGCACCAGCCCCGTCGATATCCATGGGCGAGATTTTCCCTTCCGTTCAAATATTATCATGCAGTCTTGTGTGACACCTCCCACCTCCGATGCACGCTGGAACCTCGCAACTTGATAAGATTGAAAGGGGTGAGCATGTAGAACGTAGCAGCGACCAGGAGAAACCACCAGGACACTCCAGTGGGGAAAGTGCACAAGTCCCGGAGCCTTTTGCACACTCGACTGACGAGATTGGTGAGGTGCAACCATTTCAAGTCCCGTCCTCCGCAGCTGACACTCCGTGCTCAGAGCAAGCCTGTGGTCCTTTTGGGCTTGCTAGAGTGAAGAATTACGACCGTCGCTTCGCTTTCTACCCTGGATTTTCGTTCGAACGGTCCCTTGCCCTTGAATTCCGGTCCGAATGCATTTCGCAGCTGAGCATGAGGATTCAGAGACTTAGGAAGGAGTTGGACTCTGTTGATGCGAGCAAGCCACCGAATCGGCATTCGAAAAACAATGCCGAAGAGCTGCCCATCCTCATGACAAGGCTTGCCGAAAGCGTGGCACAGTATGGTAGGGTCTCAAATCGAAACACAGAGTCTTAGATGCCGTAACTGATGTCCAAGAGCAAGACGCTGCCTGGGTGTATGGGAAGATAGTTGATAACGACCGACCGCCAGATGAATCAAGCCTTGACCAATTACGCCTGTGGCTTGATCAGCGGTCGAATGGTCAAGCTGATGCATATAGAACAAGGAAATGGCACGAATTTCGGGTCTTGTCTTCTCCACAAGGTCCTATTGAAAAGGTCATCAAAGTTATTGCACCACTGACAAAGATAGGGCGCTTTATTCTTGTAAGTAGCTATAATCTCGTCCTTGAAGCGCAGTTGTTGGCCACGAATATGCTTACTCGGAATTTAGCGACCCCTTCGGTCCCGGCAAGTCCAAGGTGACGATTTACACTTTCACCGATATGATGAGCAAGCCCTTTCTTGGGTCGTTGGATTTGTTCTACTTGTTGGCATCTGCATTTTTCTTATACTTCCCTTGGCTTTTCTCAGTTACTTCGATACAAATCGTGCCATGAGAATGGCTTTGATATTAGTTATGTGCTTCGTAGTGAGTCTTTTCGCAAGGATTCTCGAGCCGGATGAAGCACGGCAGATCATCTTCATTTGTGTGTACAGTGCTGTTATGAGTGGATTCCTTTCTCAGGTCTCTTGAACAAAATCCTCATATATCTGCGGGCTGTGACGGTTGTATCAGGAACAATGCAAACCTACTCTTCTTTCTGCTTACAAATTCTCCTTTTGGTAGTCGGTGTAATGTCAATGAACTATTGTCTTCTTGGGAAATTGTGCATGTGACAGCCTATGGTCGAGTTCGACGGATCGGCATAATTGGGTTCGTTGTTGGCCTTCTCCAGTACGTACGCACTGGGCACTGTGACAGCAATGGATTGAATGAGTCGTCACTTTTCCTGCTAACTACTTGAGCACCTAGTCGGGAGGGGACAAGAATCCTGCGGTAATAATACCCATTGAGCTTGTCGCAGACAAGCATGGGATCCCAGTGTAATAGCGAGAGTGAGGCCCTCCAACGCAGTTGGTATACACCCCTTGTTTGCCTGATAGCCCAGTGCTCCACAGGCACCTTATCTTACATAGCATCTAGCATTAAAATTAAAACCATCGATGGAAAATAAGACATGATAGGATTCAGACGGCCAGCGAAAGAATGATGATGGAAAGAGATCTAAATGAAGCCTGACATCAGGATCTTGGAAACGTGCTATGAAAACAGGGGAGGGGGGGGCTCAATTGGATAATGCGTACCTGACACATGGAGCCATTTTCCATGATCGTGCATTTGTCATAGGCTAGTGAACTGACTGTGGGGATAATAGAGACCATGTATCTCGCTGAGCAACATCCCACATATGATTGTCAAACACTGTAGAGACCGAGTTGTCGACAGTTCCATGTCCGATCGCCTCGACCTCTAAGGTCTTAAAGAATAGATCCATAGCAAGGCTTAGTTGATGATGGTTCGAGTTGCCCACAGCCTGTTCCGTGATCTCGTAGCATTTCGCCTTCCACCTCTGTCGTAGCAAGGGCACTATCTCCTGCAACAAATTGCCAATATATGGCGATCGTGGCAATTCAGAGACTGGGAAGATGATGGCATAAATCTGAAACCATTGGTCTTCCAAGCCTAAGTCGCGAGGCAGTTTCTCGTCTAGCATCTTTTTCTGATCCCCGCTGATGCCGGGAGGATTGGAGAGCATGGAACTATCCAATCTATCACACCAAGTATCTCTCCAGTGTGCCTCGAGCTCTTTCGAGGTATCGAAGGCGCCGGAGCACAAGGCACAAAAGAATTCGGGCGCCGTGTGGGACCGATAAATATGCTGTTTCACGTCCTTGGGTCTTCTCAACAAGAGAGAGAAACACTTCCGATATTTCGATGGACAGTGCTTGTAGAAAGGACAGGCAAACAAGCGTGCCGACTTGTCATCTCTAGGTGTGGAGCATGATGACCCGTTTTCCGACCCGGGAGAAAAGCCCCGGCAATGCGAGGAAGCAAAATCGATGGAAACTTTCTGAGGATCCATGATACTGCCTGGAAAAGCATCGCCAGACTGAAATGCATCTGCGGTCTGTTCCCCCAACTGCCAATCCCAGGAGCTCGCCCGATGCTGGGTCTCTTCACTGTCGAAGAGTTCACAGGCCAAAAGGTTGTCGGCGGTCGAGCGCGAGCTTGTGGGCGCGGACAATGAAGACTCCTCAAGTTGGGTAGAATTTGGTGCGCAATAAAATGCATCAAAATGTTCAGCATGCTTTCTCTTCACATGCTGTTTTATGTTATCTCGTCGTTTGAATGGTTGGCGACAGTAGGGACAAGGCCACCCGGGCGCCCGACTGCGTATTCCGAGAAGGAGGCGCTTCCGTAGAGGCAAATATGAACCCCCGAGACGTTCTTGATCAAAGCTGTCTAGTATCTGAGTCTTTGGTACATTCCATATCGGGTCAGGATATCCATCGACCTTGTCAGCTCGTGGAAGGTTTGTTGGCCTTTTGTAGCCAACGTCCCCTTTCTTGCGAACGGTCAGTTGTCTCCGACTCGATTTCGGAGCTGGCAAAAATCCTTCACCATCTGTTCCCAGATCTGTGAAGATTTCTCTCTTCCACTGATTCGTCACTGCCA